AAGTAAAAAAGGTATTTTATATATTTCTTTTTTAAGTTAATTTTTTTAATACTTTATATTAAAATTATTTTTATTTTTACTTTTTTATTTTATTTATATATTTACTTATAAAATATTATAACTTTAAAGTTATTTTTTAAAAATTAATAATATTATTATTTTAATAAATAATAAATATTTAAGTTAATTATATTATATTATAGTTTACTTAAAAAAATATTATTATTTATATTTATTATAATAAAAAAAGGAATTTAAAACTACTTTATTACTTTTTAATTATTAATTATTTTATATAATCTTATTATAATACCTTATATATTACTTACTTTTTCTTTATTAAATAAGTAAAACCTAATTTTATAAAATAAAATTTAATTAAATAATATAAGTTATTATTATATTATATTAATATTATTATTAAAATTTAATATAAAGGTTACTTTTATTTACTTACTTTTTATTTTTATTTTTAAATACTTTTTTATAGCTAAGCTATAGTTTTTAATATTAATAATAAACTTAAGTAGTAAAAAAATAACTTTAGTATAATCTTATACTTTTCTTAAGGTAAGAATAAAATTAACTCTAAAGCTTAGGCTTTTATTATTAATAAAATTATTATAATATTTTATTATATAATATTTATTATTATATTTTTTATAATTAAGTATAATATATATATTTTTAAAATATAATTTATTATATTTTTAGTAAATTAGCCTTAAAATAAATTTATTTTTTAATATATTTAGCTTTATAAAAGTATTTTCTTAAAATATAATAGCTTTATTAATATTACTTTTTTATTAATTATTTCCTTATAATCTTTAAAAGTTATTATTTTTTTATTTTTTTTTTAATTATAGTTTTTAAAGTTTTATAATTTACTATTATAATTTACTACCTTAGCTTACTTTTTTATATTATAAAAGTTTAATTAAATTATAAAAAATTTAATATTAAAAATATTTTTATATAAAAGAGTAAGGTATTTATTAATAAATTAAAAAATATAAAAGTTATTTAAAAAGCTGCCTAAGATTTTATTAAGAATTATTTTAAACCTTCTTAAGAAAGCTTAAAATAATTTACCTTTATTTTAATTAATATTATTTAATAATATAATTATATTAAGTATATAAGTAATTTTATTACTAATATTATTTTTATATTACTTTATATATTAATTATATATTAAATTACTAAAAAAGTATTAGTATTTTTTATTTTAAAAAAAGGTTTATTATTACTTTATATTTTTTTTTAAAATAGTTACTAATATATTAAATTTTATAAAAATCCTTAATAAACTATCTTTTTTTAAGTTTAAATTAATTACTTAAGTATATAAAGTATATTTAAAGCTTTATTTAATTTTTACCTTTAAATTTTAAAATTAGTATTTAAACTTTTTTTTATATATTAAAGTAAATTTACTTTAGTTTTACTTTAACCTTAGGCCTTAAGAGATTAAGGTTAAAAGCAGGGTCCTCCTTATTCTTAATTACTTAAAAATATTAAATTATTTTTCTTTTATAGTTTTACTATAATAATAATATATTCTTATAATTTATTAAGTAAAAGGGATTTATATAAATCTAAGCTAAGGGTTTCTTTTTTTAATAAAGGAGCTATATTAAGGGGTTTTTTTAATAATAATATTATAATATTAGCTTATAAAATAACCTATAGTAATATTTATAATTATATTACTTATTAAGTTTATAAAATTATAATTTTATAATTATTAAAGTATAATTTATATATATAAGTATTATTAATAATTATTTTTATTTTTAATAATTTTTTTACTTTTTATAAATAAAAAAATAAATTTATTAAAAGTTAAGTTAATAAAAAAAAGTAAAAAAGTATAAAAGTAAGTTTATAAAGGCTTTATATTAAATATATAAAATAAATATATAAAAGTAATTATATTTATCTTTAACTTTTTATAATTTTATAAAACTTATAGTTATTATATAATATTTACTACTATACTAAGAGCTACATAGCCCTTAGCTTATGCCTTCCTAACGTAGTTAAAGTAATTTTATAATATAAATACTAAGCCCTACTATAAGGTTAGTATATTTTTAAGGCCTTAATATTAAGTCTATTACTTAGCTCTGATATATAATATATAGAAAATAACTAAAAATAATAAAATTAATATTAAATAATTAATTTTAGCTATGTATAGTATTTTTATTTTATTTTAAATACCTATTGTAGTGTTATTTTAAAATCTTAAAAAACTTTAAAAATCATAAAAATCGCCCTAAATCTAGCAAAAATTAATAAATAAAAATTAGCTTTATAGCTATTATAACCCCTATAATAAAATAAACAACTAAATAACATATATAAAAGCTATTTTTTATAGTTTTTTTTTTATTATTTTTAATTTTTTCTTCTTTTTCAACTACTCTTAGGATTTAGAATTAGTGTAGAAATTTAAAAAATTAATTATAAAAATATATAGTATTAGTTTTCCAGGTGTATTAGGGATTTACAGGCTAACTTAAAGGCTATCACCTTTAAGTTAACTACTAAAAGTAAAACTAACGGGTAAGTACAAACCAATAGATAAGCTCTTATTAGCGCGCGGGGCTTGGCAGCGTCAACGCCAGCCAACCATCCTGGGGGACTTAGTTTGCTGGCGCGACAACTAGGTACTATGTAGCCACCCGGCTCATGCTGCCGCCGCTAAACCCGAGTATACATGCAAGCTAAACATAGGTGACCTATCTATGTAACCGAAACACGTACAATGTATAGGTTTCTTTGTACGCTAAAAAACAGTATATTTTTAAAATTTATATATACTATATTAAATAACTAAAAAGTTATAGTATTTTTATTTTAGCACTAATATATCCCTTATACTTAATAATAATACTATATAAGTAAAGTAGTAAATACTGTAAAATTTTTAGGATAACCTGTATAATATAGTGTTAACCCCTATAAATTTTCTACTGTAAGGATCCCATACTAACACCTAACTTACCCACTAACCCCCTCTATAAAATACAGTATAAATCTTTTCGTGCAACTAGAAAGCTATACAATGTACGTGTACAGGTTACAGGGGTGGCCTATGTTTAGCTTGTCGACACACGATACTCGCTAAACCCTGAATCTCATTGGTTTTGATAGCTGCGGGAGCATACTGGTCACACCCTCCAATGCTGTTTCTTTGAATCCCGGCGTCTGACTCCGCCTGCCATAAGATGAAGCCTTCCCACTCGCTTCCGCTCGAGTCCTTCTCGGTCTTCATCCCTTCTCGCCATGGCTCATCCAAGTACACTCTTTCACCTCGTACCGGTCAACGAGGTCGCACGTGACGCCCTTCTTCACCCAGACAACAGACGCTTTGTATCGAGCTCTAGCAAAGGGCCTCTAGGTCTTGAAGTGGGCTTCCATGTCTCCTCCATGCGTCGCGGCCATGTCATCACCAGACTCGGCCGAGATGCCGATCTCATTCTCCGGGAGAGCAGCCCGGGAATGCCAATGTCTGCAGTTCATGTCGCCTTTGAGATCAACCCCGCCACGAACCTCGTAGTCCTCTCCGTCCGATCGAAACGGATCTCGTCGGTCAAATTTGCCGTGCTCAAGCACGAAGACGACAAGAAGACCTCTGAAGATGACACTGGCGAGCAGGGTCTTGTACAGAAGGAAAACACGGAAGATGCTGCGGCTGCGGGACTGTCAATCATCGGTGACGGTGTGATCCTCTACACGCAGGATTATACACTCTCAATCGCATCTTACGAGTTCCAACTGTTCTGGCTGAAGCGCAGTGAGGAGTCGTTCAAGGCCCTCGTCCTTCGAGACTACCAGACATCGTTGCAGCTACAACAGAATGTGCGATCGCGTGATCGGCCAACAGAAGGCGATCATTCGGAGGCTCTGTCGTGGCACATCACGAGGCTGGATACAGCTAAAGGGAGCCTTTTCAAGGACATACCGCGGCTTCGGAAAAAGATAGGAAGTGGGACTTTTGGCAATGTCTTTCGGGCGGTCGACGAGATGTCAGGCAATTATTTTGCGATCAAGGTGGTCAAGCTCGAAAAATACGGCGATATTGACGTGGCACGAGCTATGCTCCACAGGGAGATCAAAGTCATGGAGAGATTGCGGCATGTCAGTCACGCGTCCTGTGACGGCTCTCATTTTACTCATTTTCACTAACAGCCCGCGCAGGACCATATCATCGAATATCTAGGTCACCAGCACTTTCAGACTCTCTGTCCAGAGATCTTTATGCCCTTCCGAGAAGGCTCTATAACTAGACTTATTAAGAAAGGGTCGATCTCTGACTACAGGCAGTTCTGCTATGACCTGCTGCAGCAGTCGCTCAGCGGTCTCGATTATCTGGCCAGCTCGAATGTGTGCCACCGCGACGTGAAGCCTGACAACATTCTCTACTACACATTGCCCGACAAGAACAGCTACCATTTTCAGATAGCCGATTTTGGCCTTGCCCATCATCAATCGCTAGCCAAGACTGTCTGTGGCACGTGAGCCATGTTTACGCTGCACAGAGCCCCAAAATGGACGTCTTCTCCCTCTGCGCAACCATGGCTGCTGTAGATTGCCGATTCGGAGGATTTCCACTCCACACCTCTGACTACAGTGTCGTTCTAAACGCTGTAAGAAGTAAGGCCTCACGTTCGTTCCTCGAGCCCATGGCGAGGCTGCATCCGGAAGACAGGGCGTCAGCTGCGCAGATGCTTGCGAGCCATTTCAATGGCCGGGGACTGACAACACCAATGTGGAAAATCCCACCCATCAAGCCTATGGCCGAGAGCAGTTCCCAGACAACCAAGTCGCCGTCTGCGGAGCTAGAAACTCCCCCGCAGAAGAAGCTACAAATACAGGGTGGCAAAGCTCGCCTACGTCAGGAAAAGGCTCGCCGCCCTTTGATCGTGTATCAAGCCCGCAACCCACAACATGTTCCAGGCAGGTCCATTCAGCCAATTCGCACCCATCGCGATGGCATTGCCAAGCGCCATGCTGGATCTCGTGCCAGACCACCGTTAGAAAAAGCACGAGACTCACCTCAACAGCTGAGCAGGAAGGCTTGCCAGATTCCCGGGGCATTTGACAGCCCCCCACATGATTGACAAGGAGAAGAGTTGACAGAACCCCAGAGCCTCATTTAGCTAGCCAAAATCGGAGGGCCCGCTACCCTGAGTTCTCACAAACTATCCCCAATGATTATAGCCACCGCGAGTAGATACCTAAAAGCAGCGTGCTTGGGTAAGTAGTAAGCGAGCAAGCTCTATAAGTATATTATAATGTAATAATCTGGCGAGGTTAAAGGGAACGAAGCTGTTACCAATTGCAACACATTATAAAGACTGTTGTAGTATACCTATGTTTATTTAAGGCTGCCTAACCTATTTATAGGTACATAAGACTCTTTATTATAGCGGTTATTAGTTGGATTAAGATAAAATATAAAAAGGGCTAAGAGGTAGCCTAGGTTTATATTCCATTTGGGCAAACAGAGATGCCACACGTTATGCATTGGATGGTTACTACTTGTATTTTGAACACAGCTATTGAATCCTTTTAGCTAAGGGAAATAGACCATTAATTGCAGTGAGGCAAATTGTCAAATGTTGAACTTTAGTGTGCATGGTCACCCAGGAGTAGACAGGTGAGAGATAGTCTTTAAATCAAGCAGTCAAAGTTCCATTTCCGCCGTACTCTTAGGATAACCATTCGGTGATAAGCCGGATCTCCTAAAATTAATACAAAAGGATTGCGAAGGGAGAAACTGTTCTACAAGATGTATATTCGTAAATAAGTCAGGCTAAATTAATAAAACATGGAATAAATCAGTGTTCATAACATTAACAAAAACAGTTTGTAAATGAAATTTATTACCAAAAGATTTTAATGCCTCAAGACGCATAATTTAGGGAATCATAGAATCAGTAAGTCCCGGGAACTATTTCCCATTTTTGGCAAAAACTTCAGGTGGTGACAATGACGCATATAGGTTGATGGCGTACTTTGGCGCCAGTTAAGTTGATGTCACATGCAGGAGTAGTAGATCTTCAAGCAGAGATGGACGGCGAAATATACACGTTCGCTTTAATGCTTTGCGTGAATCGAATGCTTTCACCTCTTCGTACAAGATATTGGCGTTTTTTTTTTGCTCTATAAGCCACTGCCAGGTCTACTTCGGCCATATGTTTTTATCTTCGCCTCGCTGCAATGTCATGAATCTTACACGCACGGTTCTGAATTGTTGCTTCACATTATCTTCGCCTCTTTAACTAGAAGTCAAAGAGGGAATTAACAAAACAGCGTTAAGGTGCTTGTTCTCTTTCTACGTTTCAAATATGCCGCCGCCAATACATTTATAAGATGACACAATGAGTCGCGGCGGCGTGAAGATTTTTCGTGCTGAGAAGCCGCTATAAGGCAAACGAGGCTATTACCAAGCACATACGACCATAGGTAGTGGAAAGCTCGGGGTCCCGTCTGCTCCCCCATAGATAAGCCACTAACCGGCAGATTAGTAGTTAAGTGGGTGACCATTAGCGAACACCGGCTGTTGTATGTTTTTTTCTCTTTTTATGCTTTATCTCCCTTTTGATTCAGGGCTCATAAGCCAATCCACATGGTCTCCAAGCACATACGACCACATCCATTGGAAAGTACGGGGTCCCGTCTGCTCCCCCAGAGTCAAGCCAATGAGAGGCAGATTAGTAGTTGAGTGGGTGACCATCAGCGAACACCGGCTGTTGTATGTCTTTGTTTTTCTTTTTGCTTCATTTGTCTCAAGTGTCTTTCTTGCAAGTTGCCCCCGATGTCAGACAGGGGGGACCTGTCACTACCACTATTTTGCATAATAGAGCGGCGGCAAGAGTTTACGAAGGGGAAAACACACAAAAGCATTAAATAAAAAACAATAAACAAATCCAATTACACCGTTGTCGCTAAATAAGTCCCTACGCTAATTGAGATCTAAATGTCGTTGTGTTCTGCTTTAAGGTACCTCACATGGCTGAAGAGTGGGCCCGCGCAATGTATATAATCCTGGATTTACCAAGTGTAAGACTTTCCCTGTTGGCGTTGACTTCGCGCTCAATATCCTTAATGAGCGCGGAGATGTTTGCGATAAACTTGTCGTTTTTATCTTTCCTATATAAAGCCCATTTTATTCCTTCTACTCTCTTTGCTGCTTGGAATCTTTGTTTATCAAGAAATCCCATCATTCGAACTCGTATTGTTTCGGCTTCCTGCTGGGGCGGGTTGGTTGTCAAATAGCCAGCTTCTATCTTTGCGGCTTCTTGCTGAGCTTTGCGGAGCCTGTCTTGAATGGCGGGAATAATTTCGGCTATTGTTGGTTCCTGATGCCCTGACGTATGTGTTGAGCGCTCTATTGCGTTTGAGACCAAAATCTCATCGGTGCCGTTTGTGTCATGGATTATTCTCGAGACAGTCGCACAGCGGGAGAGGTGCGCTTTAAGTTGGAGCTGGTAGAATTCGAACTCGTCTTCAAACCCGCGTGCTCGTTGAATAATAGTAAGGAATTGAATCAAAAAGCGTATGCTACCAATTGTGCCTTCTACGGCATCCATGTTTGTATGAAAGATATTGGATCTATAAAATGCCGAAAGAATGTCATAGAATGATAAGAAATCTGCGTAACCTTATATATGGGTGGATTGGTGGCCTAGTCCGCGAGCTTTGACCGGAACTCATTTGGTGTAAATGTATGTACCTAAGTACTTGGCCGTATGGCGTCGGGCAGTGCAAAATGAAGGGGTGTTTGATTGGTGGGAGGGTGGCAAGAACGCGCAGGCACTGGAGACAGCAAAGTAGTTGGTCTGCGCTTTGGTTTCGCCTTAATGGGCACACGACGCTTTTCTTTATCAGATAATATACCAACTGTGTACTAGTCTACCATTACTGGCGATATCAGGTACTAGGTAGTATCTACAGGTAGGTAGTAAGTAATGCTTGACAGGTACCTATGTGCGTGTAATTCAAGGTCTTGTTGTATCTGAACATATGTGTGCCAAGACGGTTTGTATCTTACATCGTCCTTTCCAGCCGTCTCTAAACCCAGATGATACTTCATAGGAGCATGTCTCCACATCGGTTGTAATAAGATGACGACGGAATAAACTACTAACCAAATAACCAGGCTAGTATCTTCTGTTCTATTGCTTCCCACAGGCTGTTCTATTTCTTTGCCTTTAATGCGAAGCCACATTGCTAACCTGTCAGCCAGCATCTGCCTTTGATCCCTGACGGTCGACGGCCATCCTGGTTGAGGCCCAAGGGGAATTGCGCCGTCCTGATTCTCGTCAAGCGGGGGTCCATACTTATACCTTACCTTCACGTACATACCTACCTACCTGTTGTACGCCTGCTGGTCGTCGTAGACGCACCAAAGGTCTCGAGCCACGTCCACGGCTCTTCATTTCTCTTGAGCCCATTAAAGCGCCTCCCCACACCAAAACGGCTGGGTGCCCAAGGTTGCATCAACCTGTTACCATCTCGTGCACGACCTTACTCCATTGCTTCCGGCTCTGGACGTTCGCATTGGCTAACGGGACGTGTTTCCTCTCATTAATTAAGATACAATCCAATCATTTCATATCGATTGGTAGAAGCTAAGCATCACATTGCAGGCTTCCGGCCGATCATGATACCTAATTAGAGCCGCCATACATGTAATTTTTAAGCGAACTCCGTTCATCGGGGATGCACAAGCTGTGGGGAGCCCTTAATTTCTTGGACCGGTGTGTTGCCGTGCCTAGTGGCCGCCGGCGCCGGCGCGTCCAAAAAAATTTCCTAAAGAAGAAAAACAGATGAAGATGAAAAGGAAGAAGAGCAAGCAGAAAGCACCGGATAAGCAATTCAGATGTTTTATTATGAATACTGTAAAAATAAACCACGCTGTCAATGCTATGCCAAGCTTTCATGCTAGTTGATTATGAAATGCCATTGCGTTCCGCGTTATACATGATTAATGAAGTGGTTGGTGCAATGTGCATATATGATCCTGGTATCGCTCGCGACTTGGCGCTCCAGGTCGTTCATGAGCAGAGCGATATCTGCGATCAACTTGTTGCAGATGTCTCTCTTGTAAAAAACCCATTTCATTGCTTCAATTGTCTTTGCTGCTTGCACCTTCCGTTTATCAAGAAACCCCGTAACCCGAACTTGCATTGTTTTGAGGTTGAGTGTGGTGTTAGAATTGGCGTCTTGTAGCTGGAGGGCAGTTGTGGTAAGCCCGGCTTGAATCTCGGCAGCTTCGCGCTTGGCTTTGCGGAGGGCATCTCGAGTGTCGGAGAGCATCTCCATTATCGATCGTTCTCCTTCTTCTTGCGTAATTTCGAGGCCATCAATTGCAATTGTGGCTGAAAAATTCTTGGCACGCTCCATGCGCTGGATAAGTCTTAAACAGTGGTTGAGCTGCACTTGAAGGCGCTGCTGGTATCTTCTGAACTCTTGCTCAAATGCACGGGCTTGCTGGATGCGAATAAAGCATTGATGCATAATGTGAAAAATGCTTGATGGATTTCCAATAACATCCATTATTATAAGCGCTTTTTAAGTAATCAATGGAAGGGGAAATATTATTCTGGAGCTGCTAGAGAATGTAGAAATAAGATAGACAAGAAAATGGGGGAGAGGCAACATACAGCCTATTGTGAGTGGGCTCTGCTATAGATGAAGTTGAAAGCTCTTAATAATCTTAAACGGTCACGATTGATGGCCAGGTCCTATTCGCTGATCCGCGGCACCGTTAGAGACGGTTTGTGTAAAATTGTTTATGCAAATGAAACGGGGGCAGAAGAGAGAGCAGATGGCTATAAAGTACTGGGTAAGCTACTAGGTAAGTACATGTAGGTAGCGGTTAATCACAATTGTCGCTTACTTTGCGCAGGTTCCCCCACCCTTTAAAAATATATTACCTATTACAGTGCTGGTAAAAGCTTTGTGTTTTTCTTAGTGACTGTGATTGCCTTTGTTGCGTTTCAAAGTGCGAATTTTGGAATATGTAAACGCACAAGCCCATATATACCTAGTCTTTCAAAGCACGACTCTCCAATAAAACGGATACTCGCTCTATGAAATCTTGTGTCCAAGGGAATAGTTAAGTAGCATATGGTAACAAAATGTGCAATGAATTTCATGACTATGTTAGTACCTGAGACTAGCCCTGAGTATAAGATACTGGACATTATTGTGATATCCATGGATCATAGTTACTAGTTAATGGTGTTTCTTCTGATGGGGGACTTATGAAACCCTCAACTCCGCCTCTAAGCACATATAACAATAAGTAATGGAAAGCTCAGGGTCTTAGCAAAATCTTTTTTTTGAGTTTAAGCATTTCTGATTATAATATCCCTAGATTCCATTGTTAGAGCTGCATAATTCCTTATTAATAAAACAATCAACTAGCGCCTAGAACACACTACTAGTGTCAGTGGTCAAGTCACAAAGGAAGGAATCTTCCCGTTGAACCCGGATAAAGGCGTCTGACTTCCCTGCTAATACACTAGCTAGCTGGGGAAGACTGAACAAGTATAAAGAGAAGGAGCCCCAGGCCCTTTGTTCTAGGGAGGTCAGAGATAAATACAGTCCTTTGTGTAACCCTAGCTGCGTGGTCCGTGATAGTGACTATGCGCTGTCATCCTTGACTCTTTCACTCTTCCTTACCCCGCCATCTTCTGACAACTAGTAATTAAGATCATACGATTTACTACTGTGAAAATTTAGGGAGGATTAATTGGCTTCCTTTTTACACCTCTGCAGAGTCAATCCAAGGTGCTAATATACTCATAATCTGTCTACTTTGCTTGTTTCTCCCCTCACTTGTTTTCTTCTGGAAACTTGTTCTACGCGCAGGCTGGAGAGGCTCTCGAGACATTGAGTTCAAACACAACACAAATGATTGGACTCATGCAGGTGCGGGGAACCTCGAAAGCCGGGCTGTCTCACAGAACGTAGAATGACGACGGCTTTCCTCCCATGAATTTCCAAAACGACACTCACAATTTCTTTCTTTCTTGGCCCCAGAGGCCACATGAACTTCAAATAATTCTTGGAAGAGACGAGCCCCTACGGGCCGCCTCCGAGGCAAACAGGGTGACTACCGAATTGACATCTTCCTTTGCGACGCACTTGGCTCCCACTGTCCTGTTGCCCATAGTAGAATTATGTATCTAGATACAACGTGGATGCTTCATAGCAACATAAATATAACAATGGCATTCTACAACGGAGACGGAAACCCTCTGATGGCGACCTTGAATAATAGGTGCATGTATAAAGCGGTAGTATGGTTCCTGTTGGGTTATGAGGGCGTGGCGGCCGATATAATCAGGGCCACGCTACTAATAGATACTGCAATCGACGGACACGTAGTGGTCATGCGATAACTTGCAAATGCCAGTGCAGAAGTCGCCCAAAATACTTGCGGAAATTCATCGTTATAAATTGCCGTTGAATAAGAGTGGGAAAAAGCTTGACCGTCGGTCATATGTTTATATGAGATTTTACTATTTTTCAAAGCTATGTCGCTTCCTCAGCTTTCTTTGACCAAAGTCAGAACCCTTAGTCATAGCCTTTCTCCTCCACAATTGCTTGATCCATAACAACACTAACATTGGAATTATAGCATGGAATATGGCCCTAAACCCGGCATTCTCATTATCACTACTCTCCCAGAACCGGCACCGAGAGCAATGACTGTGTCCGTTGATGCTGGCTGTGAGAACGAAAAAGGTAGCGAAGGCCATGTAGCGGACACCCGAGGCCGGTATTCAGGCGGAAGCCACAATATACCATATCCTCCCCAGGTGATCCAACATCTGTCAGGGCTTAAGGCATAGCCAAAATAGTTTCTAATTGTCTTTGTAGTATCCTTGGTAGCACGTTGGTGTTGATATTGATCTTGAACCGGATTCGTATCTAGAGATATAACTTGGGCTGCCGCAGTAGCTTGACACACCATCTGTAATTGTATAGGGCCGATTTCGGTATGCAGGTATGAGGCCGTGCTGTCAAAAGATATCGTGTGTAGTACCGTGTTCACCTCAATCATTTGCAGTTCACTACCTGTTGTTGTGTCCCAGATCTTCAAAGTCTTGTCCTCTGATGCTGAGGCGAGATAGCGCCCATTAGCTGAGAAGGCAATTGATCTAATCCAACTGCTATGGCCCTTGAAGGTTTGATGTATTTTGCCGGTTGTTATATCCCAGATGCTTATAGTCATATTATCCGAGTCCATTGGAATATGAAGATCAGCCGGCCCTGAGGCAAGATAGCGACTATCAGCTGAGAAAACAATCAAGTTGAATGGAATTACATGGCCCACGAGCGTTTGCTGTCTTTTGCCTGTAGTTATATCCCAGACTTTTATCATATTGCGCAATCCCGAGGCAAGATATCGGTTATTTGCTGAAAAGGCGACTGACGTACCATATTCAAGATGAGTTTGATATGTTTGATGTTTTTTACCTTTTTTTATATCCCATACCTTTATAGTCATATCATCCGATGTTGAGGCGAGATAACGGTCATTAGCTGAGAAAGCAACTGATCTAACCCAATTGCCATGGCCCCTGAAGGTTTGATGGATTTTGCCAGTTGTTGTATCCCAGACTCTTACAATCTTATCTTTTGACCCTGAGGCAAGATAGCGGCCATCTGTTGAGAGGGTAATAGCCATAAAGTTGCCATAGCCTTCAAACATTTGCCCCTCTTGCTTTATTGTTAAATCCCAGATATTTATCGTATTATTATAAAGCCCCGAGGCAAGATAAGAGCCATCGTCTGAGACGGCAATCGAGCTAATATCACTTTGGTCTTTAAGTTTTCGCTGCTCTTTGCCTGTTGTAATATCCCAGATCTTTATAGTACTGTCAATTGCTGAGGCAAGATAGCGGCTCCCTGGTAAGAAAGCAATTGATTCAATGTAAAAGCTATTGCCTTTTAGAGTTTGCTGTTCTTTACCTGTTGTTATATCCCAAATCTTTATTGTTTCATCGCCTGATGCTGAAGCCAAATAGTGGCCATCTGCTGAGAAGGTAACTGATTTAACGTCGTCATTATGGCCTGTGAGTAACTGTCGCTCTTTGCCTTTTTTTATATCCCATATTTTGATAGTTTTATCTCTTGATCCAGAGGCGAGACAGCCATCTATTGAGAAGGCAAGTGACTCGACGTAATTCATGTGGCCTGCGAGTGTTTGCTGCTCTTTACCTGTTGTTATATCCCAGATCTTTATAGCTCCGTAATTTGATCCCGACGCAAGATAGCCATCTGTTGAGAAGGCAACTGATGTAACCCGCCCACCGTGGCCCGCGAGTGTTTGCTGCTCTCTGCCTGTTGTTATATCCCAGATTTTTATAGTCCCATCATCTGATCCTGAGGCGAGACAGCCATCAATTGAAAAGGCAATTGATTCAATGCCGCCATTATGGCCTCTAAGAGTTTGCCGCTCTTTGCCTGTTACTACATCCCAGATCTTTATAGTCCCATCATCTGATCCTGAGGCGAGACAGCTACCTGTTGAGAAGGCAACTGATGCGACCGAATCGCTATGGCCATCAAGTGTTTGTAAACAAGGGGTCCAATCATACTCCACCACAGGCTTGACTTTCAACCATTTAGGTTCTTCTTTGTAAAATGATCTCCGTATTAAGCTATTAGATGGAGCAAATATAAGCCCTGATGCATATACTTGGAGCGGATTATTTGCAATCACCGAATTGTTCTGCTGGATAAACCGCCGTGAGTCTTGTGTGAAATTCAATAACTGGTAGTCTGATGATTGGCGGCAATCTGGCGATTGGTGGCGGTCTGGTAATTGGCGGGTCGATGATTTCCCCTTTTCTGATCAGATATACTCTGAATCATTGCTATAATTGATACTCACTTTGAATAGATCCTTGATTTTCTTTACAGGGTGAAACCGCTGTATGTCTGGAGCAAGCTCTTGAACTTGGTTGTGTAGTGAGTTTTCCTGCTTTGATTAGCTTTATTCTCACTAAATATCAGGCTACTATTACTTACTTTTAGTAAAATCTCTAACCTTATCATTGAAAGGACCCCATCTTCTACACACTGTATAAGGCCCAAGGCCTCGAGCCAGTGTAAGAAGTGGTTTCGAAGGAACTGAAGAGCTATCTGAGACTCCTCGCCGTCTACTTTGAACTGATATTGGCCATTACTGTGCATATCACAGAAATGGTTGGCCCAATGCGTACAAGAATAATGTAAGGATTTCAAAGGATCGGGATCTGGCGGCTTGATTTTTTCAATTGAGAAACCAAGATGGTCTATGTCATACATATTCCGCTGTAATATGGAGGACATTGCTTTCAGCGATTGCGTGAAGATAATACCATGAACATAAGTTAGGCTTGGTGAAAAGAGAGTAGATGCAGCTTTGGTCAAATAGTCTTTTGCCGACTGGTGGATGATATAAACCTGTTCGTCTTTTATAGTAAGGAATGAGCCACAAAGTCCTATCGCTCTGTAGATGAGCTCGGCACCTGCAGCATCACCGTGTAAGGGCTCAGCATCATCGTGTAAGGGCTTAACAAGGCAGCCAAGTTCAGCTAGTGTAACAGGTCGATACACAAGTAGCACAATTGCAAGAATCTGATGACAAAATTTCGCATCGGCATCTTCCAGACGGAGTATTAGTTCGATCATCCTCTCATATACTGAGTTAAGTCCAGGCGGGAATTCTTTTAGCCTTTGAAGAGTGTTTTGTAGCGAGAATTTTTCCAAATTCTCACAAACTAGAGCGACCCATAGGAATGTATTATTAGATTGGGCAGACAAGTAGTTCTGGGTAGCTTTTTGTATTTCGGGGTTATAATTCTTCTTTTGTGCTAGCTGTTCAACCTTATACTTAATGTATATATTGACAGCTGCGGAGATGGACCATTCGTTAAGCTCTAGACATAGTCTTGTTTGCTTATTTGCAGAATTTAGATTCTCTTCAATTTCTGGCCAATTGCGACTCGATACTATCCATTTGACTTGAGAAGAGCCGGCAGACTTTGTGTGATTGATAATAAAGTTAAGCAGATTTGGTAGATCGGTTGTGCATTCGTCCAGTGCATCAATAATAATAATAATTTGCTTTAGGCTTATGTCGTGTAGAATATTTGAGAAGATTTCCGATAATGCAGTCCATGAATTGATGTCGTTAAAAAATGTCTCCCCTCCAAATTTATATTTTTCCAATACATGGCCGATAAGTTGTTTCCGTTGTTTTATCGCCAGATATATCAGTCCTCGTAGCACAGCGGTAGCGCTGTTGATGCGCGAGTCGGCGGCCTGACAGAAGAAATAGGAGACTAATGTCTCAGAATCATGTTGAGAGTTTAATTCGTCGATGATTCCACAGAGTAACATAGTCTTGCCCTTGCCGGGATCGCCTTTAATCCAAAGCAGGCGACTACCTTTGTCATGGCGCCATTGTTGGAAATCGCCATGTTCGAGGATCCAGCTGTATGAATCCTTCAATAAACCACCTTTTGTACTCTCGATGCGAATTTTATCATCGTAGGGGTCCGTTATCCGTAGGTCCGAGAGGCACTTCGCCGCCTCGTCTTCTTGACTCTTATTCCAGTGGTTATGAACAACATCGCCCTGGTAGATGCTGACGTTATCGCCAAAGCGGCTACCAATAATATCGCGCGACTGTGGCGGAGTCATTGAAAAGAGTTCAGACAATGACTCTATTGTTAACTATGTTTGTGCTGCTGTTGAAAGAAACGCAGTGACGGGCGATATCTGAGATGAAGGGATTGCCTACCTAGCTGGAGTAGCTATCCTAGATAAGGTAGTATGCGGTTCTACCCGAAGTTAGTACGGGCGGGGTGTTTCTTTTTGGGCGGATCTACTGGCCCTTCTCCCCTTGGCTTACGGGCTGAATTTCCCCCCTTCGCGTATATCACCGCCAACCAAGAGGTCCCATTGAGATTTCCAATCACAGACGTCCACGTCAGATGTGACATCATATCCCCTCAAGAGCTCACCGAAGGCCTTCATACAGCCAGTAGTGATTCAGTGCATCTGGCCAGTGCTGTTATCAATAGTTTCATGCGTGTGATGCTATTGGCATATGCGGGGTGGGTGCGGGTGCTCGTTACCGTGCGGAGCTCGTGGCTCACTCTGGTTCGTTGAAACAAAATCATATATGTACACAGGGACAACGATATCAGTACCTGTAGTTGCCCGTCACCTCTGATAAGACCAGATTGGTGCCTACATGTAGGTACGTGTATCCCCTTGAGTGCCGTATGGTTTAGCTCAAGTATCCAATCTTTGGGATAGTGGCCAGTTCAATCGTCGCAAAATTAAGATATATCGACTGCCCATTATGATTACCCAGCTTATGATGGAAGTCCCGCGATTTAGCCCGCTACAATGAGTGATATTGCTTTAGTAGGTAGGTAGTCGAGTGGTGGACAGGGACTGCAGAACAAATAAGTGCATATACACTCAAAGTATGAACACTTGTCACACCGAATGGCGATCACTCTTATATGCGTATATTTTTTGTCGTGAGTGTTCAAAATCTCTCCATTCCCTGCAATTCTGTCCCCCACTTGATAGTGTGGTGATTGAGTGGCTCTTTTTTGCTAGTCAATACATTTATCCGATGTAGCTTTTAAGCGTCAATATTAAGGATCATAGCATATCTCGATCGACCCTCGCTTCTCTCGTTCGCTCTAACTTGCCGGACATCGCTTCTCTGTTACCTCCCTCAACCTATTCAGCTATCTTCCACTGAGAAGCAAGAAATACTGGCTCATCTAGAAAGGGACGCGCCTCATTACTATTTCTGCCATTTTTGCTTCAAACTCCATCGATGGCGCAGGTCCTGCTTTTGGCATTTCAATTCAGAGATTCCACACTATCACCTGAAACACAGGAATACTTGCAGAGAAAAGTATCAAATCAAGCACAATGGGATGCCAACTTTGTTATATCCTCTTGCGCGGGTGATTATGAATCGGCATTTCTATGGGGCAGCACATGGCCCTCTACCAAATGTATTATCAACATCAATCAACGATTACGGGTATTGGGATGGAACGGCGGCAATCCAGATATCTTTTGGAGCATAGACCAGGTAGGTATGGTGAGGCACTTGGGAGCAAAGCAGATAGTATTCTCCTGCAACCTATAGGAGAATGGGCATACCTCTCTAACTAGCACAAAGACTTGATTGATAGAGGTAGGTAGATGAATCTTTTTCATGCACACCGTCTTTGTTGTTGCCTTCCATCATATTATCGCCAGATATCTTCATAAGTAATCACGATAACGATCCAGGATGGTTAATAATTGGCTACCATGAGATCACATGTAAGAAGGTGAGAACAAAAAGGGCTGTTTCGATATTTTAACCTTCAAATTTCTTTCCATCAAAAACCACAGAAGTATCATAATAAAAGAGAAAGTTAAACGTCAAAAGGATTGATTTACATTCAACTCCTGTTTACTCCATCGATTATCTTCTACTCGCGTTACTCCAGCAAGTATTGAGTACGTAGCCTAGAATACATGTATCTAGCAGAGGTAAGTCCGTCTCACGTTGCAGGCGAGGTTGGCCCCTGCAGAGTGGCAGTTGCTGTTGAAGGAGCCGTCATCATTATCCAGCCACAGGGGGCCGCCGCAGCCCTGCAACGTGTACTTGAACCCATTGGAGAGCCCGTTGGCGAGATGGACGTTGCACGGGTTCTCGCCCTGGTCGTTGATGCGAGTCCAGCGGCAGGGGTCGGTGCCATCAACCCACATCACTAGTAAGTAGACCGGAAGCGTTAGTTTCTGAAAGCTAATTGAAGATATGGCGATATTATGACTATGTACTATAGTAGGTGGGCGGAACATACCGTTGAAACCTGCGGCAGTTCCAATTGCGATAGTGGCCTCAGCACGCGTTGCAGATAAGGCCAGGGCCAGGACGGTGGGGATGAAGTCTCGTCTGAAAAGCATGGTGAAAGGTACAAGTTTTTGCTAAATAGCGAAGAGAGGGTTTGTCTGTTGAGTTGTTCGAGAGACTGAAGAATATTGGAAGCTGTTGATGAAAGGTTCAAGGTTAAGCAGAGGGTTGAACAACGTCTTTATATATCTAACTTCGTAGCAACACCTTTTTATTTTCGGTAACGGTTTTACAAACACCGACAAGGGATTTGCAATCAAACAAAAGGGGCTAAATACATGTAAGTAATAACAGCACCCATCATCAGACTATCCGCACAAATCACACTTTACTCATCTAGAATAGTGCTCTTATCCTCCTTAGGTACGAGTATTTATGCACATATTCATGTTGCAGTCCCTGTTCTATTCTTTTTCTTGCAAACCGCTTGGCCACCTTCACTGAACCGGAGTGGAGTGGAATAAGCAAGTGCCACTTTTCCCCCGAATAATTGGTATTCAAGCACCTACTTAAATAGGTAAGCATAACGGGCTCTGCCAGTCTATACTTATTGCAAGGTATATATCATTTTTTGAGTCAGGTTATGATGACTGCTTCTTAAAAGATGATACTATTTTACAAATCAGTCAATCGCAATAATCCACTCTATTAAACAGCCGGTTCAGTCACAGAAATTACCACAAATGCGGTCTGATCTTTGGCACCATATCTACAGTATGACAGAATGTAACGTAAAGGTACATTAGGACTAATAGTATACTAAATTATCCCGCCCCTTGTTCAACAAGCTTTGTTACTCGTATTGCTGACTTACTTTACCCTTAACTATTATTATAACGTCTATGTCAGATATTATGTTAGACTAAGCAGTACGGGCAGGTGGCTATTACAGAGAGCACATTCGGCCTAATACAAGGAATATGGAATTCGCTGACTGTAGCTGCTGAACACTATAAATGAAGGACAACGAATTAGGTTGTCTCGACGAGTATATAAGAAATTGTATGCTTACGCAATCCAACGCCCAATTGGCAAGGGTATCAGTCTTACATCCTGATCTTTCTGGCCCAGGACACACGTAGTTGATCTAATGGATCGACGCTCCTCCCTTCCTCAAAACCTTGGGGGCAGGTGTAATGGGACATAAAACTACGCAAGAACCAGTCTTCTTGTCTATTGAACCAACCGTTTCGATGCTATATCCTATTAATGAAACGACAATTGCTTCTTCAAGTACAAATATTCCAAGTCGATCTGTTATTAAGCCGTCGATAATAGGTTCATATTATTTTAACATCTGTTTCTAGAAATTGCTTTATCAACACAATAGTATCACAGGAATACGGCCCAAAATTTGAAAGTGCAGTCATCAAGCAGATACTTTTGTGATGGATAAAAACAAGCCCCGTCAGACCTCAACCTCAGCCCTCGCAGTCTGCTTGTTGCTAGCTAGCATAGCGTCTAGAAGAGCGTTGTACTCTTCATCTACCCTTTTTGACGCTTTCTGAAACTCAGCTTCAATCTTCTCTGTTTCTTTTTTATGCAAAAGCCGTGCCCCATTCTTTCTAGCGGCAAACAGCGCATTACACGCAAGCAAATCCAAGCCATAGGATTTGGAAAATAAGAGGGAGCGAATGAGAGGCTCCTTGGCATCCAAAATATTTCGCACCCTCTGCCAATATGTTCCGCGGAGGCTTCTAACATCCTTTTTAGCATCTTTAATCGTTTCGGCCAGTGCACGTTTTTGACGAGATAATGCCTTCTCTTTTGCTTCCACAGCTTCTCCCTTTTTCGTGATGTATTCTTCCACCATTCGAATTCTTTCCTGATGCGTCTCTAGCGCCATGACTTTCTTCATAGTCCGCGGAGGAACAAATATCTTGTCACTATGGCTGTTGCCATCATCGGCTTCTTCAGCCGTGCCATTGTGTTCTCTATACGGAGGTGGATCGGTTTCCTGCATAGCCAGCGTGTTTAGACGTGAGTGTATGCTTCCTGATGCCTGGAATTAATTGTCAGATAAAGACGGAAATTATAGTCCAAGATTGTAGACTTACTGTCTCCTCCTTGAAGGAAATCGAAATTTTCAAGTATGACAATTTGTTCAAGGATAAGCGATTCGATGAGTCTTAGAAAGAATAGAAGAGTAGAGTATGAAGCAAGAGATTTCAAACACTTATATGAGACATATTTACACATATCGGACCTTTTTGTTGTGAGTTTATGTTGGTGGCTGGTGAAAATACATTAATATGGGGCTTAATCTCGACCATAGGAAAAAATTTGCGGAGAGTTCAATACAATTGCTCGTATATCTATGAAAATGGATGCCTATATACCCCTCTCATGACTTGAAAAAGCCGTGGGGAAACTCAAGATGCCGGCCACTGCTCGACAATTCCCCAGCCGCGAACGCTTTGTCCCTTCCAGGTTCCCTTGTAGAGCGTGAAAGAATCGCAAAATGCAAACGATGGCCCAAAGCTAGCCTCCCCAAATTTCCGATTGGTGACGTCGGGAGCTACAGCAGTGATCACGCTATTGTATTCATCTAAAAAGGAGACTTCAAAGGACCCGTACCAGGTGCGGTTCGTAGTCGGTGATACCCACGCATCTTTCGGCTTGATATCAGGGTTTACGCTAACCACTTCCTGTTCTCCATTGGGATACAAGACCGTGGCGAAGGCTTTCAAGGCGTCGCCTTGTTCTGTGGGGATTATCCACGTTGAGATGCGGACCCCGTTTTCGAGCTGGATTGGGAACCAGTGCCACCCTTGCGTTGGGTTCTTTTCGCCCCACTGACGATCGTACCATGTCGTTGAGTGCTTGGGATCGATAGTGTGCCTTGTTCCATTGATGATAAACGTTCCTGTGGTATAGGCAGCTGAACTGGACCATTGATGGTTGAAAACTGAGCCCCAATAGAGGCTTCCACTGCCACCATTGAATAAAAGAGAGCCTCGAGGCTGAAATGTCGTGTTGAGGCTAAATTTGCTCTCAGTATAGTTTGCGATGACGTTGATGGCAGATATATTATCATCTGCTAAGCTGTGCAGCTCGTACTGATCGCCAAACTGGATTCTGAGTTTATCTTGCCCAAAGGTGGTAAGCTTTCCGGCGATGTATGACGAGCTTGAGCCACCAGACTCCAGTGAGTAAATCAGGCAACCGTTGGCTGAGCCTCCATCTGTTGCATTATCGGGGCCTCCATTGACGACATTCGCGAATGTAATTAAGACGAAATGAAGATTGTTGGTGGTTGTGATCCAGTGCCCAACCCAGTGCGAGTTGAAGCCGGCTGGTGATTGGACGCGGATGGCTTGGTTCAGAGAAACGTCCAATGTGGGTCCTGATGTCTGAAGAATGTTAGATGATTTTGTCAGACGCAATGGGTATTAGTGAAAGATGGTTGCTTACCACGTATGGGTTTTGCATTGACGGTTGGTTTGATGCTGGAGCGAGCCAGAGTTCGCGTTTTGACCGATGAGTCTGAGTGCCAGTGACCAAATGACACGAGCTTAGAGCCCAAAGATAAAAGAGGGGTTTAAGAAGCATTTTTGAGCTTAAAATGTAACCGTTCACCAAGTTAGTAAGCCTTCGTTGTTGATAGGATTATAGAATCCAATATCATCTAGAGGTGAAAGTCTTTATATCTGTTTGCCAACCTGAAAGGGGAATGCCATAAAGGGAATGACATTATTCTGGGGATATCCTAATCTGGCAATACACGGAAGCATAGGGACTGTGAACGTCGAAAGTGGATCCCGAACTTCGGGGATAACTGGGGTCTTGACGGAGTAAAATTCCAGGCCGTGTCCGTTGACTATATCTCGTGAGTTGTAGTTTGAGACCGGAGTTAAGACGGCATCTCCGTTGCTTGATTGCATGCTCCTATGCCTTACTTCTCCTATTGTATGATCTTATAAAGCTTCTAAAGTCTCCCCGTTGAGCTGAGATCGCTTATCTCGCTTAAGCAACTGTTGACCGATGATCTTTCATCAGGAGGATCTGCTTCATATGGCATGAATGCCGATATCCACCATGTTTCAACTTTTAATCATGATTGCGTCATCTATTCACACCGCCTCGTCCCGCGCCCGGATAGATAATCCTTGATATATGTCTGTATTCTCAAGGCGGCGTCCACAGGTGTCAAGTCCGTTGTGTCGATGTTATATGATTCATACGGACTGTTTTCGAATCGAAACATTTTGCACCTTGATAGAGCGTCTCTTAACATATCGGCGTCAGTCAGCTTTGTCGTGGTTCCCTGAACGCGTTCGGAACTAGTGGCCCTTTTAATGTTGACCTCTATCTCGCAAGATAGATAGATGGTAATAAATGGTCGCTTAGCTTTCCGAGCGGCTTGTAGATACTCTTGCGCTGTAGCTTGGCCTAGTTCATCGTTTGATTGGCAATCTTGCCAGTATCGCATTAGCTGTGCGAACGCTATGTATGGTCATTCTGGCTTACCTGTGAAGACGATTGTTTTTGATATAAGACTTGGTTCAAGTACGTATTTGTCAAATGCGCGTTCGCGTTCACGTCTCCGCTCTATTTGGTACTGAGGATGGTCTCGAGAGAACCGTGCTGCTACTGGGTCTATCAGCTGATGGTTGTCGATAAGAATGCTTGACTGATCGAGGCGAACGAGTTCTCTGGCGACGGTTAATTTCCCCGTTCCTGGGAATGCGTTGATCCAAACAACAGGCGCTGCCATAGTGACATGCAATATGAAGCTGTGCGGCGTTATTGATCAGCTATAGAAATCTGTTGTTTGGAAGAAAAGATGGAGCATTTTTATTACACAGGGAAAATTAAAAGGTTATATAAAGTTTTTGAAATTGGTTTGTCTCAGCTAAGAAAAAGAAAAGTTTATTCGGAGCATTGTGTCCATGCAGTCACTCTTAATCTCCTTTATCGGCTTATTTCGTCAGCCAGCGGGTAACAATGACTCACTAGGTACCGCTACGATTCAATAGGGAGATGTAAGATGACTCTACAGATGTTCAAAATGGAGAGAATAATGAAATGAGAAATACCGTGCATGGAAAAAAGAACTGTAATATAGGAAATTGCCTAGGATAGAATTCGGGTGAGCATAAGAGTAGCCGCATCCAAAAGTGGCTGGTCGTATCGCTGGGTCTGAGCGAAGTGGTCCTGGATAGCGTCGAGCTTCCCCGGATCTGGAGCCGCTTTGTGTCCCCGGCATTCCACAAGTTCAGGGTTGTCTCGGAGGGGATCTAGCCCGTCCATCTTATAAAGGTCTTCATTATAAGCTTCGTTCACTCAAGCCGACGGTGTCTCGGTCCGGGTTGTCCACGAAAGCCACGCTCGTCTCCTGCCGAAGCTCAACCAGACGACTCAGGTACGATGCCACCAAATTGTCGCCCCTCAACCGCCTGTGATCTCCATCGTCGACTTCAGATTGCGTATACTCGCTGGGCTCAGCCTCGTCTAGAGTTGGAATCAACCTGAGGGCGAGGTCCTTGATGTCTGCTGCGATGTGTTCATACAGCTGACGTCGGATCTCGTCGGGGCTACTGTTCAAAATTACCGGCTCTAGGACGCTGGGAACGCGCTTGCAGATGGGGCAACAGTACTCGTCACGGAAGAGGAGCTTCTGCTTCTCGCGCGAGAGAGTGTCGAGTTGCCGATCGGTCGGGGGTTCCTGGCCCTCGTGGTTCGCCGGGTCTTTCATATGCCGCACGAAGCTGTCGTAGTCATCAAATTGGATTGCGGGTTTGTGGTCGATGTCGCAGTACCAGATGCTCATGTGTATCGAACGGTTCCACTGTTCCGAGTGGAACATTTCCATGTGGTTCATCCAGTCCTTCATGTGGACAAAGAACAGCATGGGAGACGTGCAATCCTCAGAGAGACAGACGTAGGGTTCCGTGTCATCGTCCATGTGATGTTTGGATTCCTCTAGGCTATGCCTAGTGCCGAAATTTTCCTCATGCCGCATCCTCTGGAGAAGCTTGCTACGGCGTATGGCCAGAGATGCCCCGAGTTGATCGCACAGAGAGCGCCGAGCATCTCTGAAGTAATAACGGACGAGGATACAGGCCTGCTCGTGGAAATAGCTGTCATCGTTCTGATGGAAACTAGATGCGAGGTTGTACTTCAGACTGCGTATCCAAATCCTGCGGATGTCAGCCGCTATGAGGTGAAGTCTATCTAGAGCACATTGGATCCCATCTCTGGCTTCGTCTTCACACTCATCCGTGTCGCTGTCGTTGCTGCTACTGCCGCCTAGGGCATCCAGCTTAACACTGTTGGCTTTACCAACTGGAAATTCGTTGTTAGCGCAAAATAGAAGGAACAGAAGTAGTAAAAACAATGGGTTAATATATATGTAGCTGCATTGCGGACGTAGACTTAAGCCACTGGATATTCCTGGCGAGCATCTGGAGCAGCTCAGTGACCATCTCCTTTTCTTTGCGGTCGAAGAACTGGCGCGTATCGAGAAGTCTGCTGATGTTGGCCCCCAGAGCGGTGTAGTCAACCCAGAGGTTGAAGCTCCTTTCCATCTCGCTAGTGCTTAGTTTTGAGCTACCAGTTTGAATACCAAAAGCCATCTTCTCATCTTCTTGCCCCCCACCCCCCGCCCCCCTTTCAGCTTTGATGATATCCATCTCGCCATGATCCAGCTTGGATCGCTCAGCTAGTGACTTAAAGAGTGTCATACGTCAATAACAATGTCGTAATTGTCGTTCACGCCATTTTGTTCCAGCTCATCTGACGAAGCCATGGTCGAAACTTGTTGCGATCACCAAGCTCTTTAAATACTAATTAGTATGATGTTCTATCGAAATCGGAGCCAGCCAGGTCGTCGTGAATATGTATCTACATGTTCTTTGTCAATTCAAGTAGAAACAAAGGCTTTCCAGAATAGGTTAGGACGCAGCTTGTCCTTTGTCTTGCTGCTGTCGAGTCGAATGATGGGAAATGTACCTCAAGAACTACCAGACAAAGGCTTTCCCTGCGGTGAAACCCCTGGAGCCTGGTAGAGCACAGTGAAAGTGATTTGTGGCTCTCCACCCGCTGTACGAGACTCTTGGTCGGGCGCGACGGTTTTAGATTGGATAAATCTGTCAGACACTAAGATCCATAGAGAATACATGTACGACATCGCTTGGAGCACAATGGTCACAAATGAGTAGAGATGGTGTATTCAGTCTTGATCCTTTGTTAACCAATGACTAAACACACTATCTGAATCTGTATTGAATTGCGCTCTCATATTCAGTCGTCCTTTTTGGATCGGTTACAACGCTTCTATTACATGGCTTTATTGCGAATTTGAATCATGTTGACAGCAGCATCAACAATAGATTCTTCAAACGAGCGATACTTTAACCCGAGAATTCTCTTTGACTTTGAGTTATCGACCTCGTATACCTCTGGCGATGGGTAATTTTGCCCCGGCTTCCCAACAGGGATCAACTTTTTATCCTCTTTGGCAATACGGGGAGACGCATGTAGAACGTCAGCCGTTTTCTGGTAACTGTAACGCTCACTAACAATAAAGAAGCGCTCATTTCCAGCTTCAGGAATCTCCAGAGCACGGACGTGAGCATCAGCAAGATCTCGTACGTCAACGAACGCCCAGCAAGCTGTGTCGGGAACATCATCGAGCTCGCCAGATAGGAATCGATTAATATCCCAAGTGCTGGTATTCATTGTCGACAAAGACAAGGCGTGGGCTGTAGGACCAAAGACCATGGGAGGGCATAAGACAGTGAGGTCAAAATGAGGCTTTTGCTCGTCAACGAATTTCCAAGCAGCCTTCTCCGCCAGAGCTTTGGAAGTGCAGTAAGCCACCGGCGGATCAGCAGTCTTAGCATGATCATAAGTGATTTCGTTCCAATCCGACTCGTTATATGCGTGACCTGGCCAAAGGCCCTTGGAGAAATCGACCATTGCAGCAGAAGATGAGGTGACGACAACTCGTTTGGCTCGAGGCGCATGTGTAGCAACCGACTTTAGTAGGCTCTTGGTTCCTTCAATTGCCGGAATCAATAAGTCGGCCTCATTGTCTCTAATGTTGAATGTAAATGGACTAGCAATATGCAGAGCCTGGTTCAATATTATTAGTAGCTACTTGTGTAACACGCTTCATGGAAGTCCTTACCCCGTCGATACCCCTGACTGCCTCGTCAAAGGCGTTTTTTACGCTCAAGTCGGGAACAACTACCGCAGAAAACCTATCCGAGTAGGAAGAGTAAGTTTTTCGAACTTTCTCAGCCGAAGCTTCGGATCGAACGGTTCCCCGGACTTGGTAACCCCCTTCCAGAAGAGCAATAATAGTATGTGCAGCAATGAAGCCATTCGCACCGGTAACTAAAATCAATCTTCCTATCGATCCCATGATTGTGTATTTATTCAAATCAAAGATGTAATATAGAGACAATAGAAGCGACTTTGGGAGTGATTGGCAATCACCTAGTTGCGGATGTAGATGTGACGCGGACGGTCTTGAAGGTAACCCCTTTATGTTTTCCAGTCCAGTAAGATCATCCCCAGCTGTCAAACGACAAACCAAGGCTGTTTCTGATCCGAATCTGAAGTAAGTGGCATCGAAATCAGTAAATATGGCGTCATTGCGCATCTCTGTAGTCTCGACGTTCGGTACTTTTCCGATGCTAGACTGTAAACTACGCATGTATGGTGCGCCTGCAGCCGCACGCCCGCATGGCTGTCCTTGATCCATAACTGATCTCCATCGCCCTTTCAAAGGACATCCACTCATAAACGCTACTTCTCCACTAACATGTGATATTCACCTGGCATGGGTAAGTACTTGAAGCCATGAATCTCTAGTTTTGAGGGGAAGCCCACCCGCAACGTTCTATCTCGTTTCCACAGCGCAAATTAGATCCCAAGGTTTCCAAATTTCTAGGCATTTGCTCATTTCCTCTGTCGTTAACGTACTCAAGAGCCGCAAATGCTCCTTAGAACAGGCAATCACATGTAAGAAGCCTCATAGTTCCCACGTAAATCTGTTCTGTAAGCTCCAGCATCTCGCCAAAGCGAACTATATCTGCTGACATCCTGAGAAATGCATGAATTGCTAACACTTGCACCTCTGTTTCTTCTACACTTTCTACAAGTCGAGGGGTTTTTTTTTCGCATGGCTATTCGTTTAAAGACGAAAGGATGATATGACCTTTATACGAAACAATAGAAAAGAGACCAGGCGGCTTTTGGAGCCATCTATATGCTTGTGACTAACCGTTAAACAATCCACCGATCGAAATTACAACTTAGCCATGATAAAGTCGGGCTATACCTACCTTATATACATCCTTGTATCTCTTTGTTCTATGGCTGCGGCCAAAACGCCCCAGCAAATGTATCTTCCCAACCAAATTCGGATATAAACTGACATAACGTCACCGGGTGTAATATCAAGTCCTGAAGTTTTAGAGTATAAACTACGAAGCCGTGATTTCTGAAGAAGAATCTTTTCAAGCGCCTTCGTATGACTGCAATTTTGTGCCCAGTATTCTCGTGATTATGCCCTACACGATCCCAAGCACTCACCACCTCCGACTCAAGAGGGTGAGGCCATGAACTCGATATAGTGATTGTGGGCATTCCTTTTAGGTTACGACAATACTGGAAGACGAACACGCTCATAATTCTTTGGCTGAACATCTCCATTGTCTGTAATTTGGGCATCTCCAGAGCAGCACCTGCTGCAGCTCGTAGGAGATTGTTGATGGACTTACTATCCGCAGCAACATCGAGCAGCGACGAAGTGAGTGCTATTGACACTAAATTCGGCCATGTAGGCCTGTAGATTGATGGAGGAATTCTTTGCTCTCCGTTGATGCGCTTGAATACTTGAGCGAGCTTTCGTTCGAAATCTGGTGATCTGCGGGGCTTGCCCAAGGCACGGCGTTGGGATGATGATAGATGAGATAGGAGAGCTCTTTGCACCCCGCTCCGTGAGATATCGGCAGACTTTGGCGCATGGCCAGGCCAGAAATCCCGAAAAAAATCTTTTGCATCTGCTAGAAAGGCGATTGACAGTTGCTCGAACAAGTGGCTCTCATCTGCCAATGTCCATCCCAAGGATGGCATAATCTTGTATGGATTATACCCATTTGTGCCAACACCCTGGTGATCCCCGTATATAGAAAGGCGCTTGAGGGAACCAACCTGGCGTAAGAACACATCGAATCCGCGTTGGAAATCTACACACGGTGAGTAATTGTGAATACATTCGGTTACATCCGACGCTTACTCTTATCGTGACATGGATAATCGTGAATCCAAGGCTCTAGTACTATGCTCTCCAGACCATGTAAGCTCTCGAAAATGCTGAGCAATGTATCAGGGTGGAAACTTCGAGGATAGCGTCGGCGGTGAAGCAATGCTTTGACAACTGAAACGTTTGGCAGCCTTCCATTTGCCTTTGGAATATCGAGCTTTCTTTAATCAAGTTTAAGAAGACTTCCAAACAGGCGGCAACTTCCCGGTGTGTGACCGATATACGGCGTCTCAAAAGTCCGATGAGAGGTATTATTCTCTGGGGTTTGATCTTCCAGGAGATCGTCCGGTGGTCCAGCTTTTACGGAATCGTCTACTATGCAAGTTTCATCGTATTTGTGGGGATAATCATCTTTACCAAGGGGATATCTGGAATAATGCTCCGAGTCACTCGGCGAATAAGCGCTGAGCTCCAAGACCAGTCCTCCGTTAGAGACACCATACTGTCCGGTTTTCTTCCAGTTACTAAGGACCTCGAGTAGTCTATATAGAGCTACTGTAAAAGTTTGGTTGTTATTTAAGATCTCAAATGGCCTCTCGGGCCATTCACAAGCGGGACAGAGGTATGGAGCAAGTTCAACTCGTAGCCAAACGTGCTTGAGCATTCCCCTCCGGTGGTGGCGAACGATTCGACCAAATTCTGGGATACATGACTGCTTGAGAATTAAGCGTCGAAAATTGAACCTCTCAAAGTATAGCTGCCATTCTTTCGAAACGGCTGCATAGTTGCTCTTAGTGCCGCTATCGCTATGAGATTGGAGCAACTTTAGAATTATAGTATGGATTTCGATTGGTAGGCTGTGCCATGTTGCCATGATGATCGGCTTCAAAAGAGAGAGAAGGCGTCTTCAAGTTGAAATAACATGATTTGAAGGGTGAATTGAGTGAACAATGTCATAATAAGCTTGCATAGAATTTATATTAATGACACGGAGTGACTAGCCAGCTTTACTCTATAGAGACAAGTTGCCCAAATACTCAACATTCGGCGCCTTTATTTCAATGTTGGGTAGTAGAATAATGGCAGCTTGTGCCTTGGACACGAACAAAAACTTTACATGCGACGAGCCCCGTTTCCTTTGTTCAAAAGGTTCCTGTGGCTTTTGACCTGAGCAGCCCCTCAAGCTATCCCTGGTTTGGGCTTGTGAGCAAAGTGAAGTGGCACTAGATGACGAATCAGTAATCCGCCAATTCCTTGTGTGGATGCCCCTCATTTTCATGTTGATGTGAATATTTCCAGGGATTCAGATTGTTGCCTACGATCGGGCTTGAGTGTGCCCTGACTTGCTATGATGCGTTCCCAAGTGCAGTGGCATCGAAAGATATCAAATGAAAAACCCATTGAATGACCCATATCAATATTCGCGAGCTGTATTGATGAGCTAAGAGAGTATCCATCTCTTTACGGATTGAATGTCTTACTCTGCGTCAGTTTTGGCCTTACCAGCCGTAAACTACTCAACGATCGTGTAATGAGTTTTAAGAATGTTCATCCGGAACATGGACCTTCTGATTCAAGTACGCCAAGACTGTTGCAAAATATAATCTGCCAAGCAAAGACACTTGGCAAGGCTGAACGATCCACTGCCGGCAGACAAGGATAAAGTAGACCGCTGTTGGAACAATTCTCCGAGCCTGTTTCGGCAGTTGTTTTTCTTGGTACCTTGTAAAAGTATCATTAGGTAATATGACTTTTAATTAGGCAGACTTATATCTCATTGCTACGTGCTTACGGGCTTGCAATGGATACTCTTCTATGGCGGTTTAAAGAAGATCGCATGTGATTTCTTCTCATCACAGCGTTGGAGATTCAGTTGGTCATTTTGAAATCTGATATATACTTTGAAATAGGGCTGTGTATTCCCCACGCGGCTTGATCTAGGGAATATGCGCCGGCTTAGTCGGGGTGAGTGGCTCAAACTTGAGAGAAATGCCATGTAAAAAGTGGCAAAGCAGCCTCAAATAAGGCTGAATGAACTCTGTTTCAGCTGGGCTTCTAGATGAAGACAAGTTGTGGTAGTGTCACCCGTAGAAATAAACAGGTGAATACATGTGGCATAGTAAAGCAATTGGTCGTTCCAAGTACGGAACTACTGGAAGAGCTATCCCTGCCGTGTAGCCGTACTCATCTTGAAGGGCAATCTTGGCAGCGATTTCATAGTTTCGCCAAATGAATTGGAGGTTTAATTTGTGCGCGAACGATGATTGATGACGGCAATGCCTTGTTGCTAGTGTTCATTAGGAAAAGGCTCATCTTGACGTGAAGGTTATAGAGTGGGACAAGCGATCTTCAACCACAAACTTCTTTGATCCTTTCTCGATGCCTCAGGAGGGCTGGAACAAAGAGGTGTCTTTCTGAAACAATTGGATACCTTGGCAGTATTAACCGGTGGGAGGAACTTGATGTCTGCTGAATCCATTGCGCCAAGCTGAGTGCGCCGCCATTTGGCTCTATATTCCTACTGAGACTAAACATATGGCGACTGCGTCGAGTAAATTGTTTGGCGCGTTGACAGCCACAGAATCGGGCCATCGGCAGGGTTCTAAGTTAGGCTACAAGAGATCGTTAGACTTTGTTTTAGTCTTGAATCAAGATCATTCTTGAACACGAATCAGCCCATGCGGGGTGGATTATACCCTTTTCGTGGCACAAGACCCTTCACATAATGAAGCTTAAACTGATGGCGCGGATCATTGAACATGCCGGGCAAATACTTGAAATTTGTACCACAGAGGCGGTTTATACGATGTATTAATCGCTGGCGTTGCCAATGTACTTGCGCCTCTAGAGAGACACAGCCACTTACAGGTAGACAGTCTGCCATGTACACAATTGTCCGAAACTATCGACATCCGATCAAATACTACCTATTTGTAGAGCACATGCCAGCAAAAATCAGTCGTTGCAGGCTGACGCCGTTTATTAGGTGGCTTAGGCTGGTTGAGCAAAAAGGCTACCGATGGCTGAATGTAATCGGACACAAATCGATGTAACAAAATTATTGGATCTTGAACGCCGGCATAGCGGTGTGTTTAATCTCATGACGAGGTGGTGAGATCAGGAGGTCGGGCCCACGGATATCTCCTCTCCAGACAGACGAGTGGATGGGGGCCAGGCATCAATCTGGCGGGAAGGTCGGACACTCCTTAGCCCAAGCATTCCGAGCGACACATGGGCTTGGAGATAGTTGCATCTAGTCCAACCAGACTGATGACTAAATTGGAGACGCTTTCAGCTATATAATAAAATGAATGAAACGAGAAAGAAACCGTAGCAATTCCCTCTATTCAAGCTATTTCATTGTCACAAATGAAGTAAGTCGCTGTTGTTCCGCTTAATCTATTCGCTCAACACAAGGAACTATCTACATCATGGCTCAATTCGCCGGCCTTCTCCTGGTTCTCCTATCCGCCTTTGCGTCTCTTATACAGGCACAGGCGCAAGCAAAACCGTCGCCGTCGCCTAAAACCCCACCTTCTTGCTCCATGAAGGATATCCGTCAGATGGACGTGTCAAAGTGTGCCTGCGAGCCTCATCACAAAGACACGTGCCATAAACTTGGATGTACAGCCTGCTTTGGCAACGCCGATATCAAATCACGATATACCAAGAGCCCCCAGTGCGCTGTCGGATGTACCGATGCCGACAAGGAATGTACGGGATGCGGCTTATGGTTTTCTACGCTTTGTACCTGTCTCAGATATGATGATTGCAACAAGACGGCACCGTATTCGAACCCACCTGCAAACCAGGCGATATTCGTTTTGACCAACAGTGACGAGAAACTCGTGACTACCACGGACGTGCTTCCGGGAATCTTGGAGATGGCCAACAACCCTGCCCGATACGAGGTAGGCTGGAAGCTTGCTCAGGAGAATTACGATCGTGGCACCCATGCACTGGCATTGAACTCTGTTCGGTCAAGAACGCACGAGCAATTTCACATTCATGTTTGCGAGAAGCCAGATGTGAAATCGAAAGAACCCAGAATCATGGAGATTCTCGACCAAATCCCCAAGAAGGATCATAATTACAGCAAGCACCTGAAGCCAGTTGCAAAACATGATGATCTCTACTGCAGGACGATCGAGGCAGGCCACCCTGATGTGTTCTACGACTTTATACAGGGCATCAAAGAGGTTTTGGACGATAAGGCGTTGAATGTCAATGGCAAGATCTGCCACGATTTTGCGGGAGCAGGTATCATCCGAGATAGCCATCACAATATGTGGGCTTGTGTTACTGGCAACCGTGAGGGCCCGTTGGCCAGGTTCTGCAAGGGCTAGTAACAAGAGTAAGTAAGTGGAATGGAGTTGAGATTGGCACTTGGGGGTTATATTGGACACTGCATAGTACATATGGTTCGCTCTTGACAACTGTCATCATACTTACACATGTACATTTACCACTCTTTCTTTGGACTCGAATATTGTAATGAATATCCTCCTGCCTTTTACAAACTCAGGGTCCTGTGCGGCCATCTCCACATTCCCGGGGTATGTAGTGAGATGCTAAACATTACAAGGGCCTCACCTCCACTTATTACGAGCACGATGTGAATCAGTGAAACATGTCAAGAGATCTGCGTCGTCTAAGTGCACGTGGAGGAGGGGTATGTCTATCACTTTTTATTTTTGATTTCATGTGAAGCCTCGTATTACACGTCGAATATCAGGCATCGTCGGATGTCCTCGTCGATTCATGAAGATGATGTGTTTCATTGATTCTGACGTTGACTCCACAGTGCATTATGCGCTTATTCTCATTACTCAATCGGAAATTGAAGAAGAGACAAGACAAAATAATACATGTAGTCATTTTGTTGTACAAGTAAGCCCGTGTAAGTTCCGAGACCGCTGCTCATGAGACCTCAAGGACAGGAACCATTACAGCCGCCCCACGTCAGCCCGAAGCAGTTGAATCCGGCAATTTGAGGTCGAGAAACAATTGACCCCAGAATCCACAGATCTTGGCGTCTCTCCACACGTCGCTGCTTTATTCTTGCGCCTCAGCTGGAGTACGAGAATCGCATCTGATCTTTTCGCATCCAACGGGCGCCTTGCCCCGCTTCGGCTAGTCTCACGGAGAGCATCTCCGGCGCTATGATTGTTTTTATCTCCCCGATTCTCTTCCATGTTTGCTCACTAGCAACGGCGTTATTGTTGTTGATTACAGTACAAGTCATACTTTCGGTCGAAATCAACACCCGCGTCGACGGTATTTGAGGCTGTTGTTGGTCCGTCTGTGCGCCTCTTTAATTCCCGATTGCCTGCGTGGATTAGGAAGTCGTCTAGAAGCACCGCCTAACCTTGGCTGAGCCATTTTGCTCATCCCGTTGCATCCATCCGCTATCAGACAGATACGCGTAGCTGACGACCATCGTGTCATTGTGAGAAGTCATAGTGTTAAACAACGACACAATGGCTACAAACTCGGGCAGCAAGAGCCATCGCTTGCCAGCTGATGAGCTGGAACTGATACGCAAGTATATCCACGGATGCCACATCTTGCACTACTACAATGTGGTGGACGCGTATGGCCATCTGTCGGTGCGCTTGAGTGAGTCGGTGTTTATGATGTCGCGTTATATGGCACCCGCACTTGTGTCTTCAACAGACGACATGGTGCTGTATAACGTCGAGACTGGCGAAGCACTTCAGAAAGATGCGCCTAGAGGTTTGTCTTCCAAGACGCCAAGCAGACACCGATGAATTTTACTGATTGGGAAATAATCACAGGCTTCTCAGAGCGGTTCATCCACTCTGAAATCTACAAGGCATACCCCAAGGTCCAGTCAGTCGTGCACTCTCACTCACTCGAAGTCGTCCCATTCTCCATCTCGTCAACGCCTCTGCGGGCTTGCTTCCACATGGCCGGCTTCCTAGGCACGTCGGTTCCTGTCTGGGACGCCGCAACGGTGTATCGTGAGGATCCGTCGGCGAGTCAGGACATGCTTGTCCGCAGCACAGGGGCCGGAGCATCCCTGGCCAAGGCGTTGGGTCCTGCTGATGGCGAAGGATTGCCCAAGTATCCAGTTGCGCTAATGCGTGGCCACGGATTCGTGGCGACGGCCAACAACATCGAGATGGCCATCAGCAAGAGCATCTACACGACGCAGAACGCGCAGATCCAGCGAGCGGCCGCGGGACTCTCGGGAGGCATGGAGGATGTGCGCTTCTTTAACGAGCGCGAGGCTCACGATGCGGGCATGACGGCGATTGCGGGAGCAGCGAAGCCGTGGCCGCTGTGGGTGGCGGAGGTGAAGGGGCACTCGCTGTATAAGAACTCTGTGTGAATTGATGATGGATGATGATTGTGAGTACATACTACCTGTGTAGGTATGTACTCGTATGTATGTTATGTAGTACAAGTCATGTATGCAGCATGTGATTTTGGTTGTTGGTTGGACGTACATGTACAAGCAGAGAGTAATGAATTTGCAGAAATTTCCATGCAACGTCAAAGATGCTGTTGGGTTGTAAAATGCAACGTGAATACGAATTTCTACGACGCTGTCAGGCCCCCCTGCATGGCATTTGCATGGCATTGCATGGCTGTTGTTAATGCATGTGTCTCGTCCCCTGTTTCATCTTCCTTCGGTAGATGCGGCTCGATGGCCTCGGCTTGGCGTAATCCACGCCCGCTAAGCCGATCTCTGCTGCCTGTGCAGTAGCCTGTATGTACTGCAGCCTGTCTTTTACAGCAGCCTGTACAGTTAGCCCCCAGAAGGCTGAACGCTAAATTGCCACTGAAGATGCATCGAGCTAGCGCTGGACGAGTGCACTGTAGCGTCCAGTCCTCCCGCTAGCAAAGCCCAAAAGGGTGCCAAATCCCCGCACGGCTCGACTTAGGGCGGCGTGGGGATGCTCGATGTCCCACCGCCAAGCACCGCCAAGCACCGCTCACCTCGCATTTATAACCCTCGACTCCGTTCTCCGATCGCGAGGCCCGGATCACTTGTCCGCTCCATCTTCGTTTCTCATGGGGACGGTGGAGAGCCTTTTGCTTCTGTCTGCTGACCCAGCACAGCGCAGCACAGCACAGCGCAGCACAGGCTAAATGGCCTCGCCCACCGCGCCCTTTCCCACGCCGCCTTTGCCCGACGCGGGGAGAGGCCATCAGTTGCCCTACGAGTACGCGCAGCCTCCACAGCCACAAGCTCAACCTCACCACCCGCAACCTCTGCCTCTGCCTCTGCCTCATCCTCATCCTCATCCTCAATCTCAATCTCAGCCACAGCCACAACTACAGTCTTCCCGACATCTCGACATTATCAATTCATCCTCAAGCTCTTCTCACGACCAGAAGCCGCAGCTACAGCATCAACAACGGCAGCAGCAGCAACAGCAGCAGCAACAGCAGCAACAACCCCCGACGAAACGGCGCCGCATCGGCTATGCCTGCAATCTCTGCCGCACCAAGAAGAACCGCTGCGATGGCGAGCGACCCTCTTGCGGCCCGTGCAAGGAGCGCCGCCAAGAGTGTGTCTATAGCCCCCAGCGAACCAAGATTTCCGTGACGCAAGAGTATGTCTTTCTTTTGTCGTTGTCTTTGCGTCTGCAACTCTCATACATCTTTCACTCTCTCTCATTTGCCCTTACTTGATCCCCATCTGTCTCTATACCGCCAGTGAATAAACCGGCTCTCGGCCCCTGTTGCCCCCTATTTTACTCACTCGCCTCATAGATACATTGAAAATCTACGAGCACGGAACCGCATGCTCGAAGAGCATATAGCCAACCAGCAACCTCAGGGCTCTCACTCACCGTAAGTCTAACAACCTGACACTCCCTTCATCTCGTATCCCCAACTAAACGTCCCTATCCCTGCAGCCATGAGAGCACTTACTCCAAGGAATCGCCTTTCGCTCCTCCGCGACTATCCTCAGACCGCAATCCAAGCGACGGTCCGCGGCAACACCAATATCCAAATCCTTCTTCACCTATATCTACAGCAGACGGGAGACCAGAACACCACCATGACCGGAACACGTTACTCAACGGACATTCGACGGCACCTGGAAGTCGACAACGCCCCTCTGACAGTAATCCTCCCAGTGATCGACCCAAGAGTAGCCATTCCGCCTTACCGGGAGAGTACTTTGGAGAGTCATCAGCATTCGATTTCATTACAAAAGTAACATCACCGAATACCACTGATGCCACAACTGGCAGCTCAGTAGCAACTGCCGGAACTCCTGCAACAGGTGCCAGCAGTAGTGGCGCTACAAACTCCAAAGCCTCAACGACGGGACGACTAGGAAACGCCGTTACCGCGAGGAGGAGCATTGCGGAGGCATCTGGAATGGGTGGCTTGAATTCGGAATCCCTGGCAGAATCATCGCCGTCAACAGTCGTGTTCGAAGAGCTTCTGGGCATTGGTGGAGGAATAGGGGACGGCAGCGGAAGTAGTGACTTGTTTGAACTACCCCAGCGATCACTGGCCGACCGCTTGGTGACATCATATTTCAAACATCGACATCCGCTGAATCCATGTCTGCATGAAGGAACCTTTCGTCACCGTTATTCGAAACTGTGGCTCAGCAAGGACGTGGGCGGCGAAGAGGCAGCTCCCAACAACTTGGCCTGGCTGGGGCTGGTCAACATGGTGTTTGCGTTTGGAAGCGAGCACGTGCAGATCCGTCCTCCATATCACGGAAGTCCCGCCGGCTCAGCACCAACAAAGCCAGATCGTTCTCGCTTTTTCAAACGAGCCAAGATGTTGGCATTCTCCAGCATCCTACAAGCCAGGATTGAGCTCGTCCAGGCATTGCTGCTGATGAGCCATTATTTACACGGCTCGCTGGAACTCAATCATTGCTGGACTGTCATTGGGCTGGCAATACGCACTGCACAAGAGTTGGGGCTCTATCTCGATTCTACCAACTTCACCAAGGACATCGTTGAGCAGGAGATACGCAAGCGTGTGTGGTGGGGCTGCTTCGTGATCGACCGCCTCGTCAGCATCAAGGTCGGTCGGCCGCCCACAATTCACGATATACCCGCCATTCGCGTCGGTTTGCCTCTTGCGGTTGATGATGAGTATCTCAACGAAGAGGCCAAGTATACTCAGCCTAGCAATGTCCCTTCCAAGATTGAATACTTCAACCATATCGTCACCCAGTGTCGCCTGCTTGCAAAGGTACTCGACACTTTATACGACAATACCCCGAGCAGCAGCGGTAGCGCTGGCGGTAGTAGCACCTCGTCTTCAGTAGGGCGTGACACGAGAGTTCGCATCAAGGCCGACTTACCGGATCTCCTGGCCATGTCGATCCAGCTAGATGGCGAGCTGGTCGTGTGGCAGAGCACGCTGCCTCCACATTTACGCGCAGGCTCAGACGTATCAGATTGGCACTTTGAGCGACAGCGGAGCGTTTTACTCATGCGGTAGGTCATCACCATATAGTCATCATATGTTGACCGCCACCCGGGCTGAATATCCGGCTAACTGGTGTCGTTACCTGTTGATAGATTTCTGCATATTCGTCTCCTTATTCACCGCCAAACGCTGCTCTACCATATTTTGCGTCGCATATCCGATCCATTTCAGCTTGACCTTGCACATTTGTGCATCAGACGTTGTGTCACGGCGGCCTACGATGCAATCCACCAGGTGCATCTCTTACAACAAAACAACTCTTTGTCTTCCTCATGGCATAACTCACATTGTATGTCACATCCCCTGATAACCCTCCCATCTGTACCATTCATCAATATGCTTACAATTCTTGTTTTGAACAATAAGACGTCTTCACGGCTTTGAGTGTCTTGCTAGTCTATCAGCACCTGGACCCTCAATCGCGGTCCAAGATTGACCTTCCGCCTTCCTCAGACATCGACGTCATCATCGGCCAAGGTACGGATCACTTACACCGTGTTGGTGGCGAGATACATCCCCTAGCCTCTCGCTACGTCCGCTCATTCCAACAACTGCAAACACGATTGCAAGCAATCGGAACGCTCTCCGCCAACGCGCCGCCACTCGCCGTGCGTGGTAAGCAAGCCGTGTCGGTGAAGGAGGATGGTGCCTCAAGTTACGGCCAGGCCCGTACAGCAAGCTCCACAACTGATTCTGACCAGAGCAGCAGCAATGCTCATTCAGCCACCAGCGAAAGCATAGGCAAAGGATCCATGGCCGCACCTGAGCAAGTCCAGGAGCACAGCGGCGTCCATTATTATCATGGAGAGGGATATCAAGAGCAAGAAAACAACCACCAAGGAGTGGAATACGGGGATGATGGCTTCATGTGGGCTGGCTTTGATGACGAGTTTGCCGTCATACAGAGCGCTTTGTTGGATAGTAGCGGGTGGGGGCCTGGGTTTTTGGACCCCTGGGCGCAAGGATGAACATTTGGCTATTTTCGTGCTGTTCAGTCATATACGGAAGTTTTGTATATACCACTAGGCACTGTCGATTATCATGATACTCCATCAGTTTTGTCACCAATGTTTCAAGGATGTTAAGATGACTCTTTCCACAAAATAAAGTTGGCCAATCCCTACTGTCAGTGTTGATCAGTTGTGGATGATTGGTACCCAACGGCTCGGTTGTGAATGATTGGTTCCCAATTATCCAAGTATATGCAGGAGGAATACGACGTGATCTGATCAAGGGTTTTAAGCTTATCGTGCATGTTAACTATTTTTAGCAGCTCGCCAAACTGCCATAATGTCAAATCCAAAGCCTACATACAACTCGTGTTCACGCGATTTCTGTCATGGTATTCATATTTTTATATTTCGCTCTATGCACCAATGACAGCATTGTATAAGTTGGTAGCAGAAATACACCCAAGTGATATCATGTACAAGATACAAAGGAAAAATTATAGCCAGAAACGAAAAGCCATATGCCAAAGTTCAACTACATGTAAAAATTCCCCCTTACAGCCCAAGACGAGTCCGAGTCGCGATGAAGTCGGCCTCCAGATCGTGGCCCCAAACCCAAGTCATGCGGTCCTTGAACTTGTCGTGGATGACTTGCAGGCGCTGGTCAAAGTGCAGGCCGTCAAAGTCGGGGCCTTGCATCTCGTAGACGTCGCCGGCTTGGCGAGATGTCAGCTGGGCTTTTTGGGCGCGAGGCAGTCTAGTTTCTTGGTATAGCTTCATGTATGTTTCTAGGCCGAGAGATGGGTTTTCAAAGAAGGCCTTGACGGCTTGGCCCATGACGAATGAGTCCTCGATTGCGTGGCCGGCACCGGAACCTGCGACAATGATATGTTAGCCTCTTATACGTGCCTTTGTTTATCGGGATTGGAGAGATTCTTACCTTGGTGAGGAAGCATGGCGTGAGCGGCGTCACCACTGAGGGCAACCTTTCCACCTAGGTACACCCAGTGGTCGAGCAGCTCGCGGTCGTTGAGCTTCCACTTGCCAGGGTTCGGCTCCATGGCGTGAACCACCTTCTGAACCGTCTCCTCCCAGCCAGCAAACTCCTTCTCAACCTCTGATCGCGGGGCGGTGCTTGACCAACTCTCCTTCAAGTCACCGAGCTCGGCCTCGGGCTTGCTCACAAAGGCGACAACGTTGAGTGTCTTGTTCTGAGAGATGGGGAAGACGAGGAAGTGCCTGTCCGGTCCCAGCCATGAAATTGCAAAGGAGTCATAAGGCCAGTCCTTCTCAACGGCTGACATTGGCAGCAGACCACGGTAGCAGACGCGACCCGAGTATCGCGGTGCCATGTCCGCGGCCTTGGAAAGTTGGCGACGCACGTTGGAGTGGATGCCGTCACAGGCAATGATGAGATCGGCCGAGGCGCTGGTACCGTCGGCGAAGTGAACGGTTGCCCTGCCGCCCTTGGCATCGTCGACAATCTCAACAGCCCTCTTGTTCGTCTCCAGCTTGGCGCATGTCGTGTCCCGGATATGCTCGTACAGAACCTGCAGAAACTCGGCGCGGTGGACGCTCAGCTGGCGAACGCCACCGTTGGCCTCGTCCTCGTCCATGGCGCTGACGGAAACAATCTCATCGCCGTTGTCCCAGCGTCTCAAACTGCGGTGGATGCCGTTGCGGTCGCCCGAGATGGCATTTGCGGCATCGAAGACGCCGTAACGCTTGAGGATGCGGCCTGCGTTGACGCCGATCCCGATGCCGGCTCCGATTTCCTTGTAAGCCGGTGCTTGTTCGTAGACGGTGATGTTCTTGAGAGAAGGAACCTGCGTGGCCAGAGATAGAGCCATGGCGAGACCACCGATGCCACCGCCAAGGATGGCGACGGTGAAGGTGTCTGGCGAGACTGTCGGTTTGCTTACTATGGCCATGATCGCCGTTGATTTCGATCTTTGCTTCTTATCCGAGGTGGAGAAGGGGGGAGGAAGACTTGTATACTACTGTATGCCAAGAAAGATGCAAGGTAGAAAAGCACGAGATCTGCCTAGTCTATATAGTTGCCGCTGGAGAGAGTTTGAAACAAAGACGCAAGAGAAGAAAAGCAGAAGAAATGGGACAAGATGGGAATGGGGGGAAGAGTTCCGAGAAGACGGTCAGATCAATAGTAGCTCCATCTTTCCGGCTTCGTCAGACGGTTCGACTCAGCTCTCGGAAATGGCGGCAAAAGATTAATTGGCGATTATTTTGGTTGAATCTTAGTTTCTTGCGGTTCTATGTTTCACGCCGCTTCATTTTTGCTCTCCAGATATCTGCCGGCATTCTCTCTCAAGTAGGTCGTGGGGGGGATGGTTTGGAGGCGGAGGCGGGTTCCGGAGGCGTGGGGTGCATAGCTTGTGATGTCTCGATACGAGGAACTGAAGAGCTGGGAGAGTTATATCCGGAGATGGTTTCCGGTGAGGGGCAATAGATGCTAAGGATTCATTGGTTCGGAAAATATTCCCGCGCATGCGTGTGGGTGCAGAGGTTCGGGGAGATAAAAATCGAACTCCATTTTGGACGCTATAATGAGACTGACCCTTGTTTGCCGTTCGGTAGCTCAAGTTGTTGGAGTCACTTGAGCGTTTCTGACCACCAAAAGGGCTGAAATTGGAGCTACGGGGTTCATGGTAGTAGAATTAAAGCCATCATGGATCAAACGCTAATGAAACTCGCAGTGTACACAGCTCTCATGGCGTGGAGAAGATGGCATGATGCATGGCATGATCTGTGATGCGATTCTATGTTTCATGATATGATTTTTGACGCGATGGAAGAGTTTGAATGAAGGTTATAACAGAGCATGCATCATTATATTAAACCTGCCAGCTAGACGTATACGTGACAATGTAAGAGAAGTAGCTACCTGATCTACGCGTACATGCTCAACCACTTTACGTGACCGACATCTACAAGTCCTGGTGCATCTCAGGCACGCCCTGAGCCTTGCGGATCTCTTCACCGCGGAAGATCAACAGCAGCAATGGCAGCCAAGCAACAAAGTTGATGACGGCAAACACACCCCACGCAACGTCGAACCCAGCGCCCTCACCGAACGGCAGCGCGTAGAAACCAATGGTAAAGGCAAAGATCTGACGGAACAGGTTGATGATGGTGGACACCTCGGCGGCCTGCGGCTTGTAACAATCCGAAATGTACGAGTACGTCAGGGTCGTCCCGGCCTGCACGCCGATAGACGCAACAGCCATACCGATGGCCAGGGCAATCCAGGGCGCGTGGTTGGCTACAGATACGCCGTGGATGATGAGGCCGGCCGGCAAGAACAAACCAAGAGGGGCGAGGTGCAGACGAGCCTCTGGCTTTCTGTAACCATCATGACGACGAGCATATCGGTTGATCAACCAATCGGAAATCCAACCCGTGCAAGCCTCACCGATGAGACAACCGAGAGTCAGCGGCACACCGAGCAGCAGACCGTTCTGCGCAACATCAAAGTGGTAGAGCCTCTCCGAGATGCTCGACGCCGTCAAGACGAAGACGATGGAGCCGTAGGTGTTGGTGGTCATGTAGTAGACGCAAGGCAGCACGACGGCCACGTACCTGAGCATCTTGAAGTTGGACAGGAAGTCGGACGGCCTGAGCTTGCGGTTGATGACCTTGCCGCGAAAGGCCAGGCGGCCCCAGTAGCTGCGGTTCTCGAGCGTGCTGAACTCGGTGCGCGAGAAGAGCGTCTCGGGGAAGGCCACGAGGTAGACGGCGAGGACGGCGCCCATCATGATGGCGTTGATCTTGAAGATCCAGCGCCAGCCTTGATCTTGGGCGATGAAACCACCGGCAATGGGACCAAAGTGCGGCTGTCGGAACTGTGTTAGCAAGCGTCTTTTCTTGGTTAACAGGGAATTGATGAGAGCCAACTTACGCCGTTGGTCAAGGCCAGGGCGTAGAAACCAATGTACTTTCCACGCTCTCCCTGGAAGAACATGTCGCAGATCTAATGCATCATGCCGTATTAGCATCTCGTCTTTGACCTCGAGTATTCATGGTTAAAGAGCACAACTCACCGTGGCACCACCGATAGCCAGAGCAACGCTAGCACCGATACCGACAACGCATCGGCAGAGAATCTGTGTACCGTATGATGGCGCGTATGCCGAGCCAATGTTGCCGCCAATAGCAATCAGCGTGAAGAGCTATTTGCAGAAACTCATGTTAGCAAGCGATACATTGTCAGCATGGCCACCGTCGCGTACCAAGTAGGCAGGGCGTCTACCCCAGAGGTTGACAAAGGGGGTGATGACCAGGGGCGTAACACCGCCGAGGAGCGTGTACGACGTCGTGAGATAACTGGCCTGCTGCTTCGTGACTCCGTAGCTCACGGAAATGGGGCCGAACGCAGCGGGGACCATGCCGGCACCGACTATATTCGCGATAACGTGTTACAACGTGGCCAAGATGGAGATTGAGATGAACAAAGCTTACACTGCACGACAAAGGCCAGAAGACAGAGAAGACCAAGGACAAAGCACTTGTACCAAAACGACCAGTTCTATACACAGCATGTTAGAAAATTAATTAGCCACCGTCTCTCAACTCAAAAACCGACGCTCATAAGGAATGGTGGCAACGACATACCAAAGGGTCATCCTTGTGGTCGCTCGGCTGCGGGACCAGAGGCAGACCGTTGGCATCAAGCTTCAGATCCGAGATTGGCTCCTTGCTCTCGTTCTCATACCCGGACGGGCTCTCCTCCACATGGGCCGCAGCAGGCGCCGCGCGGTTGGCTTTCAACGCCATTGCTGGGATGCAAAGCGGATTGAAGGAATTGTTCTTGAGCAAAAGGTGAAGAGGGTTGAGATGAGTGAAAAAGGGAAAAGGGAAAGAAAAAAAAAAGGAAAGGCGTTGGCTGGAGGCGAGGTCGGGGTATAAAAGGGAAAACGCAGGGGGGAGGGATCAGAACATGGGTTGATATAACACAAGGTAGTATTGAAGCACGATAAGAACGGTGTAGGCCGCTTTTACGCCCATCGCGTTATTGTGTGCTAGTTATGCGGATGAGCCACGGCTGGGTGTAGGGGGGAGGAGTTTATTATACCAATAAGCCCGGTTGTTAATGCCCCGCGTCCGCGACCGCGGGGAATTGGGGGATTTCCGGGGTAATAAGCAATGGATGTAAGTGGTTGTGTACATGTAATTATTGATTCTTTTTTTTCTTCTCTCGTTTCTGACGTTCTTTTGGCCTAAGATCTAGGACTGAGGCTAGGAGAAAAGACGGACTAATAGAAAAACTGCCATGGGGATGTCTCATCCGGGGGTGTTTTGGGAGGGGGGTTGGTGACCACGTGTCGATCCAATAGTCTGGTAAAAAGTCGAAAAGAAATTTTAAAGTTGTGACAGGATTACGCTGGAATCTATTGAGTGAAGTTTTTTCGGAACCGGGGGCAGTAGGGCTGGTGGGATGAATTGAGTCTACGATAGTTTCTGAACTAAATCCGGAGAGACGCTCCGAGCAAACTGCGGAGGTACTTGCTGGAATGTATTCCGACTTGGCGCTCCGACTTGGCGTTCTCCATTTCTGTCGATTTTGGTTTTATTCAGACTGGAAGGGCTAAATTCAGATTGCGGGGTACAGCGATTAAGCCGAATACAGAACAGATACAAAGGGACTTGTTGCGGAGGAGAGATCCGGTGAGTTGGGATGGAATCCGGGGAAGAGACTTGATGTTGGGCATGGAGGGAAACATGCTAAAACTCTTTTGATGAATGTCACAAATGGAGGGGGACGATTATAGAGCTGTATAATCCGTGGGGATTCATGATTTCAATACTCATCTGAGTTACATAATACACCCAAGTCTAAATATCCATGTCCATTAGGTCTATTACAAGTCATGTCCATACTAGAGATGGACTCCCATCCCATCTAACCAATGCGAAAGTTGATGCGTCGAACCGGAGCAAACAGCTCCTCGATAGGCACCGTCCGCTCAATCATGTTCTGCTCGTAAAGAAACCGCACCAGCGCCTCCAGCGTCTTCCTGTTCTCCTCCAGACCATACGGCCAGCAGTCTCCTCCAAACGTCTCCTTGATCTCGTCGAGGTCTCTGCCCAGCCACGGCAACATGTATCTTAGAGCACCGAGTGATTCCATTCGCTTCCGAGCAATCTCCTTGCTATCCTCCAGCGCATTGAACAATGCCGACGCGACGAACTTGTTTGCTTCGTAAAACTCACGACGGAAGGCGACCAAATGCATAATAGGGAAGATGCCCGTTCGCTTGTAGTAGTCACTCTCGACGTCCTTGAAGTTGGGAAACAGCCTCTGAACATGAGGCGCGCGGCCCAAGCACTCGGGAATATCGGCGCCTATGGTAGCAGCAATCTCGCCGCATTCCAGCAGGTCTGAGAGCGACTTGGTCGGGTCTGTATTGTTGGTAATGTTGACGGGCTTCAACAGCGGCAGCACTGACGGCTGGCCATGAGACCCAGGCGTTTCCATCTTGCCCTGCACCCACTCAATCGTCGACAGGTCAACCCCGTACTCGTGTTTCAATATACCTCTGATGTACACCGCCGCCGTCATGTTGTACAGCTGCACGCCGATGCGCTTGCCATTGAGGTCCTCGGGCTTCTTGACAATGTTTGCGTTGACGCAGATGAAGGAGTGCCGGAAGACGCGCGACGCAAAGACGGGGATGGCGACGAAGCTGCGGTCGCCGGCGACGTGGCGCGTGACGTACTCCGAGGCCGACAGCTCCGAGACGTCGAATTCCTTGTTGGCGACCATGCGGTCGAAGATGTCGCGCGGGTGCTGGACCTCGACCAAGTTGACGTTGAGGCCCGGGGTGGGCACTTCGCCGCTGGCCAGGGGGACCATGCGGTCGTAGAGGGCGCAGGCGAAGTTGACGCCGAGAGGAGCCATGGCTTGTGATATCTGGTTGTATTGTATGGTAGAGTACGAGATGAGCTTTGAACAGTCTCTGAGTTGGGTGTTGTTGGATATCGAATGCCGAGACTGGAGATCAAGTTGGAGGTGTGCGCCCTTCTTTCACTCTAGCTTTATCGATTGATGTACAAGCGGGCATAGGTAAGTGGGCTACTCAATGGCGCGGAATCCAGAGCTATATGAGAGCTCTGAAGCTATGAAACTGCATCACATCATCCCCGGCATGTGATTCCGGCTGCGATGTATCACAGATTCGTTGGATGTTGGCCCGAGAGAAGTCCGGATGACGGCTCCGGAGCTAATTGCGGGATGGCGGGGTGTTGATAAGGCGCCATACGAGAAGTTGTTAAAGCAGCAACACTTTGTTGAGAAGAAATGGGTTGACAGCAAAGCTATGTGAAAAATATAGGGTAGCTAATGCTTTTCAGTATTTCGTAGTTGATTTTCCTCTTCATGACTCTTGGTATGAGATTGAAGAGGAGAATATATCAGAATGTGATTGGCAGGTCATCCAAAGCTGTAACATGGATCTACTTTGTATTAGATGTCACTAGATCTCGTTTGGCAGCGGCTAAATTGTTCAGATATCCAATGTTGAAACAACACTATCATTAAGGAAGGGGATAGTATTCGGCGGCTTAGAGACTATTTTGAATCACCGCATATAGCATCGTCGGTATGATGTGTGTTCTGGAAAAAGTGTATAGTTTCCCACCAAGTTTCAACCCAAGTGCACTCACATAGAACAATTCGCCTACAAGTATTAAATCCCGAGCCGTCATTCGGTTAACCCCTCAGATAAGGAACATCAGCCGAAACCGAAAAAGAACAAAATTCCAATTGATTGGCTCTCCTCCAAAGATCCCCTGTAACCAATTTATATTAAAACCACTCGGCAACGATCAGACCCGCGTCCCATCTGACGCTCATCCGATGTCATCAATGTGTCACTCCCCCAAACGGCACATCGCATGTCGCATAAACACCAAGAGAAAAAAAAAGCACTTTATCCTCTTCCTCTCCCACCCATTCAATTTCATTTTCTTTCTTCGCATGACATTCCCCTTCAGATAAGGATAAGCCTCATGCAGAAAGACTTCCTGGTCGTTCCATCTTCTCCGTGACGTCACAACCCGCGTCCCATAACGTCTCACCTTTTTTTCATTCTAAGATCCTCGATCCCAATAATGCGCGACCCCGTCTTTTTTTTTTTGCTTCCTCCATTTGCGTAATACGGCGTCGATCACAATTGAATGCAGCAGGATTCGCAATGCCATTTCCCGAAGCTGTTAGTCCGTATCCGCATTCAATCAATCAATCAATTATTTTTTCCCCTCCGTTTCTACTACGTGAAACACGAGCGGTGATGCGACCGAATCTCCATGTGCAACACGGCATATCTGTGTAACCTCGGAAGCAAAGCCCATCATATGCATACGTTCATCTCAACCCAAACCGTCTCCGCATCCCAAACGCGGCAAATCTAACGTCATGAACCCGATTACCACAAGCACAAATCGCATCCCCCCTTCCAGCCGTGATCGTGATCGTGATCGTGATCTTTGGCCCCAGACAACACCCCTGCCCGGTGAAGTCACCATTTCTGCCTCCCGCCCAGTCAAATCGGTGCCTGTGACTAGCGACGGCTAATTGCTGTCCTCCCACACTGCCAAGACACCTCATACGTGACGCCACATTTATGCCAGCTCCCCAATGCGATCAGCCACATGCTGGAAGTTGACCTCAGCCCAGAGCAATAGTTGTGGGGGGAGGATGGAGGAACAGAAGCAGGACCCAGAGTCGATCGAGGGCCGGGTCCCTCCCTCGACGGGAATTTTTTGCTCCGAAGTCTAGTCTCAGGGTAAATTAAACCTGAAAGGGCTTTTTTCTTGCCTCCCTTGCATGTAAATACAGTTTGCATGTTTCAGAAATCTCGCTTCTTTTTAAAACGGTGCATCTTGCTCAATTCTTGTTTCGTTGTAAATCTCCTGTTGTTCAGTCAACAAGCCGTCCATTTACATGGCTATATATACTGCATCCACGTATACAACCCTCCCATAAGCAACCTCTACCACCAACCCATCAATTACTCTCATCCGTTTGAGTACTCACTCATCTTCCACTCAACACCATGAACACCGCCAGCACCACCACCACCTCATCCAACATGCTCTCCGTCCCATCCTCCGCCTCCTCCTCCTCGGGCATCGACATCAACCCAGCCCGTCCCGCCTTCAACTCCCAACGAACCCAAGACCGCCTCCGCGAAGGCGAAGGCCTCTACGCGATGCTCTTCCGCAGCGACAGCAACAAACTGCAGCGCGGCCGGAAATCCGTCTTCAAAGAGACCGGCCTCGACGACGACAGCGCCAGCGACGTCACCGATGTCTCGTCGCTCAGGTCGCCTGTCGCATCGCCATCACCTTTGTCGCCCTCGTCGACGACGTCGTCTCAAGAGCCGTCTCCTCTGCCGCCGTTTCCGTCTCTCAAGCCGGGGCCGCTGGAATCATGGTATGTCTGGGCTGTTCTTTCTGCGTGTCTCCGCTCGCGATGGTGATGTTAATGGTCATAAAGACATCCTTTTTTTCTTTTTGGTTTCTTCAAACGATGAAACATCACGAATGCTGGTCGGATTGATAACCGGCCAATGACCTCATGACATGGATGTCATGTCTATCGCTTACCCAAAACAGTACCAATATAATACATCATTTGCTGGAGTAAAACGGGCAATCCTTGAAACGAACACTGCTTGGAGGCTCAACTTTTACGAGACCTCAGAAGAAAGGGGTAAAGGGGGACATACATGTTTATGGTGCAATGACATCATTATATGTCTAAGACATGCACATGTGTATATACAACTCTTTCATTCATACTTGGGAAATATGAACAAGCTTCATTCCATGATACTACAAACTCAGATAGGGGTATATAAATATATCCATACGATCTAACGTAAAAATACACCGGTAAAATACCAGAGGAATAACAATTCCGTGATATGTATGATGAAAAATCGCTTCAATGCCTTACAAACATGTGAATCCCAAACGCCAAGGCCGTGCAATCTAGCAGTCCCAACATCATCAATCATGACAAGATGGAGAGAAAGGGTATAGAGAAGAAATGAGTAGAACGAAGAAAGGCAAAGAGTAATCACATCCTTTCCAGCTCCTCCTTGGGTACCGTGCCAACAAAGGCATGGCTCAAAAAGTGCAGCCAAGTCTTGTTCTTTTCCTTCTTGCTCTTCTTGTCGCCTTTTCCCTTCTTGAATGATGATTCGGGCTCATTGTCTGCATATTCGCCATCTTCTTCGTATGCGTCCAGCGTTTTGCCTTTGCTTCCGCCTTCTCTCTGGCCCATTCTATAGGCTAGTTTCAGGTAGCTTTTGACCGTCAAGTCGGGCAATTTGTAATGTTTGTCGTCAAATGTGCTGTACTCCACTTCGTACTGAAACTCCCGCGGATTTGGCTTTCCATGCTTGGGTTCCTTGTGGTCGTGCTTGCCTTTGCGCCACTTGGTAATGTCGACGCCAACATCAGGAATGTCATCGTTAATGTGAGTGAGGTTGGCAAAGTATTGCGTGTAGCCGGTCAACGTGAGGAGCTGAGGGTAGTAGGCGGGGCCAGGGGTCGAACCCTTGGGCGGGTCGAGAGGAATGGCTAGGTCGTGGTCCTTGGGTGGCCTGCGCGCCTTGTCCTTCTTCTTGTCCTTCTTGTGCTTCTTCTTCAGAATCTCAATCAAGACTTCTTCTGGGTCCTCGTAGTCGAGGGTGTCCTCCGGGAGTGCCAACGCCGTGGGCGGGTTTGCCTGATCGTATCCATCTCGCCACACGGGTACGTCTTCGATTCCAGTAATATTGTACTCAAAAATGCGAAGTGTAGGGAAGTAGTTTGGCACAACACTTGGCGTGATGAGGGAGAGTTGGTATCGCTCAGCGTACTTGCCGCCGATCTTACCCAGCTTCTTCTTCTTCTTGTCCTTCTTCCCCTTCTTCTTTTTCTTGCCCAGATCCGTCTCTTCCTCATTGGCTTCATTATCAAAGCCACGGGTAACCACCTTGGGCAAATCAGTCCACGTGTTCCGCAGTTCTTGAAGATAATCTTCTTTGGACGAGATGGATATTGACTCGTCTGGGGAGCCACGTGTACGGACTTGGTCGAGACCAAGCTCCGGAGTCAGTTCCTTCTCATCTTGGAGCAGGAAATGATCAATGTTCATATGTCCATAGAGAGAGCCAACTACAACGTCGCGGTACTGCTTGAGCCACAGCGTGTACTTTTGCCAGCAAGTTTCGTCCCAGTTTTGCTTGCTCTCCGTCCGAGCGGGTGGCACGTGGCCCATGAGAATGGCCTTGACTCCTCGTTCCCTCAGGATCTGCAGCTGCACGCGCAGCCAGTCCATGTGCTTGTAGCCGGGCTCCGAGGGGTGGGCACAGCCATCCACGCCGGCATTGCGATCGAAAAAGTACATCGTGTTCAAGCTGAAGACGGCCAGCTGGTCGGGAATGACCTCGACGTAGAACCAGCCGCCAAACGCAAAGGAATGGCGCTGCTCTTCGGGGATGAAGCGGCGCCAAATGTCACTGTAGGTTGCGAACCACTTGTTGGGCCCCGGCAGCATGATGTTGTGGGGGAGGAAGTCATTGTTGCCAAAGGTAGGCACAATGGGGATCTCGAGCCCGTGCTCGGGAGATGAGAAGGTCTCGACAAACTTGTCGGCGATGATATGGTTCGTCCTCAGGATCTCGGGCTCGTGTCGAGGATTCTGCTCGTCGCTGTCGTGCCTGGCCGAGTCGCCCGTCCAGATGACGAAATCGATGTCATCCTTGATATTCTCCTCGATCCAGGTAAAGGTGGCGTTTACCAGCGAGAGGGGAGTGTCGCAATCCGTCTTTTCGGCTCCATACGATCCAGCCAATCCTTTTCCTCGGTGGCATGCGATGCCTTCTTCGGTGGATGTGTGCACGCGATAGAGCTCGTCAGGGTGGAAATCTGCACCAGTTATCACGGTCAGCCCAGGATCTGCCAATCATGCCAGATCGATGCAATGTAGCATCAGCTAATCAAAGAGACAAGAGTCGATTGGTGGTGGGCACCATGACAGAAGAAGAAAAAAATAGATGCAGCGTCGCATGCAAATTGGAGAATACAAAGGTAGCGGCAGATAAGGAGGAAGCACCAGTAGACGCAAAGAAGTTTCTGGTGTGCCAATCGCAGGCGGGCAAGACTTTTTAAACTTCACACAGCGCAATGCAACGCACCTGAGATATGCAGGAACCGGCCGCTGAGTTTCCGCTGCTGCAGTGGTAGCGCATCGGATTCGGGCTCGATCGGGCGCAGAACTTGCTGGTCGAGGCGAGTTGCTGAGGGCAGGGCGAGAGATTTGGAGGTCAGAGATGCAAAGGCGAGTAGCATCAGCTGGTATGGCCGTCGATTGAGGCCGCCGCGTTGGCGAGGCATCGTGGGATGTCGTGCGTGGTGATGATGTTGTAGGTTCAGGTTCTTTTTTTTTCCCTTGTAGGTTCGGAGATGCCGTCTGTGTGTAGGTGGGCCGAATAGGTAGAGAGCCAAGAGTCCGCCGATGAGGAAGAGGAAGAAGAAAGAAGAAAAGATTTAACAAGGCATAATAAACCAAAGGAATAAAAACGCAAAGAAAAACCGTAGGAATCGCCCCAAACTCAAAGATGCATCGTAACTCAACTCGACATCAAATGAAGATTTTTCTAGGGGTCCAGGGGTTGAAATTAATTCCTTTGACAGCGTGGTGTGGCGGGCGCTGAGGCTATGAGGTCATCGGTGCCAATCAGCTGGGGATGATGCAAACGGTTGGCTGCGTCTGCCTGCTGAGACGAGACAGTCTGTGTCAACTGAGGAATGGATGGGCAGGATTTGGGAGTCAAAGAGCAAGTAACGTGATGAAATGCGTCCGCGGTTAATGCTCGTGCTCAAGATGAGAAGAAAGGTAGAAAAGCCTTGGTGTCTCTCAGCCAAAAGGAAATAATATGGGGAGCCGAGACAGAAGAAACGAGGCTAGACCCGAGTCATTCTCGACAATGGGATGATGCGCCAGCTCCGGGGCCCTGCCTATAATATACTATGGAGGCCCAGCAACGACACCACAGAAGCAAAGCCGTCAGCCCGCCATCGTGATCCCATCGCCATCCAGCTCCCGGCGTAAATCGCTCTTCCCCGTATTCTCAGCCCCCCGACGAGAACCTCGATGGCCCAGCCCAGCCCAGGGTCCTGCTGATCCTCCCCCCTCCAAATTATGCCCGAAGATGCTCTGCATCCGGCTCCACAGCCGCAGCAGCGCTCACGACCGACCAACCAAGCGACCGAATCTCCAAACCTCATCGCCATCGGCTCTGCCCAGGGAGGGGCTGCTGAGCCGTTTGTCTGACTCTGGCGCGTCTCTCCCCCACCACGATGGCGAGCGATGCTAGTATAACATGCGAGTAGCAACATCGGCCTCCTTTTACACTCTCGCCGTCTGCGCCTAGCTCCCGCCCAGAGCTCCGAGCTGCCGGACGCCTTCTTTTTTCGTCCTCATCGCCAGAGCCAATCTCGAGTCGGGCCCGGCTCCACGTGCGGCGACGAGACGCCATCGACGAAAGGCCTGGGTGTCACAGCCGTAGCGAACAAGCTGCCAGAGCGTGAGCACGCGACTGTGTCTTCGCATGTGAGGGGGGGGAAACTGGCCGCTTGTTTTCTCGGTCTCTGCATTTTCTCCCTATTGCTCTATTCCTGTATGCTCCATTTATCGCCATCCCGCTCTCTCCACCTGTTGTGACCATGTCGTTCGATCTCTTTCTCCTTTGGAACCAAGCCTGTCGTACTGTTGAAGATCGTGGCTGCGCACCTGCGCTCACCTGAGCAGTTTTTTTGGAGTAGGCGGATGACGCCCGCAGTTGATCTGAGGTCGCGTGCGCTAAACGACTTGCGGTTGCTCAAATCCCTTGGGGCTATTCAAGGTTACAGCAGGCTTGAGTGTAAATAGGGGTCCATCGACACACGCATGTCTGGAGGCATCTCAAGGTCTAGATTGTCGCTGCACAGGTGATGTCATTTTGCCGGAATATATCTGCGGCTAGAGCGCTGTCAAAAGCGACGACCTGTTCATTCTGTCCAACCTGGATATATACGGCCTCCGACTACTAACATACAGTAGTCCAGTACTACCATGATGCAAACTGTCAACTACTGCATCAGCCCCTCATCTATTATCCATCTGGCCAATACACCGCCGACGATAAAAGAGAAAGGAATGACGCTCATGTGTCTCACCACCAATGACCACCATCTTGGGTCGTTATGGTGAACCCTGCAGGCTTAAGATGCACATCTCATGTTACCCCAACTCTGTCCATACCTCCTCTTGACCAATAACATAACTAACCTGCATCTCACTCAACCTCTCCAATTCAAGTGCTTTGCCACTGTGTCACCTTTCAGCTGCTCCCTTCACCGCAACCCAGCCGTCAACGAAGCCCAATGTGTCTCATTCCTGGCTTGGCGCACCCTGAAATCATGCTGTACTGCACACCCACCGTTATACACCATAAATGTACACCGAGACAACATGACGATGCTATCTTGAAGCCTCCATCGCCCAATCTTGGTCTTACAAAGTGTCCCATCAGTGTATCCTGTACTACATAAGTACTCTGTAAGCCCCGCCACAAAGCAATGCTGTACGAGTCCAAACAAAACTTGTACGAGTTTCGGCACATCACGAAATCCGCTAGTCCTAGAATGGAATCCCAAGCCCACCATTTCTCTTCAATTTTTTTTCTCTTCCTTTTTTCTCTTTTTCTCCTTTTCACATCACGCAACACCCTCAACAAGAGCACCTGATTCGGGTGTGAGGCCTTCTCACCATATCCGTAGATACGTCGCAGTTGGAGGATTCAAGTTGCTAGACGAAATATTTGCCGCACGTTTGAGGGGGGTCATAGATTTTTTTCTCTGTGATGGCTCCCCATGGTTTATCGTGGCTACATGATTTATTTTGCTAGTGCCAGCTTTGAGGTTGTCGCTAGGAGATGCACCGTGTGATTATGCCTTCCAGTCACCATCCGACTCCGTAAATCAATGTATTGGATGATGCACCGTGTAAACGCTCGCTGCAAGAATTGCCGTGGCTGGTTCAATGACTTTGAGATTGAGTTCTGCGAGTGGGGAGTGAAAATAGGCCACAGAACGATGGTGCGCCATGGCCCGTTTTAAGCGTTTACCCTAGAGGGCAGTTTGGATTCTTCATTTCTCTTCAACAATCGTGAATAAAACTCTTCGGATGGTTGAGACAGATGATCAATATTAGCCAGCTATGGCTGAAGCCATCGCAGGACTTGGGAATATGTTTGCAGCCTTGATGCTGTTTATGCGAACCGATCAACTGAACTGGTAACCGCCGATCTAAAACGACACTCGACTGCTATTTAGTGTCCTTATATACCTGTTTGGATGCAGTAAATAGAGCTGCATCCATCCTGTTCATGTTTGCCGTATTTTGCCACAGAATCCGCTCCCCAATTCTTCCTTTTCCATCTAAATGTCCGCACCGATACTTCGAGTTATAGGCCCCTGCCTTGAGCGCATAGTCATAGTTCCCATATACAAAGAACTTCAGACCTTCCTCTAGGGCAATCTCATAGATGCGAATTGCCCAAAACATTTCTGCCTTTTCGCCAGTGTTGAATCCATCAATATTAACAAATGCTCCGTAGCAACCGCGGAGACCGTTATGAAGAGTTGTCTCGTTGGCTGGGGTCCTTCGAACAGTTCCACATTTCCGAGTCCGTACAGTTCTTGAGCACGTCGAGATGAAGCGTTACGGGTCAGAACCCTGACCGGATATTTCTATCACTGACAAGACTTCTGACAATAGGCATCCCATGGGCACCCGTGCCACCAATCACAAGTATTTTAGGGGCGTGTTGCGAATCCATCGTCAACGTGAGTGTTGCCACATGGAAGAAGTGTACAAGCAATATACTGCTGCAGCAATAAGTGTTGGGCCGAGTAGACCCCTGCTACGGGAATATATACCGTCAATCGCGAAAATAGTCTCCGGCCTGTGTTTTTGCTATGCAGAGTTATCTTTCAATGTCTCCACAATCACTGCAGTGCTTTGAAATCAGACGCTGCAACAACATAATCTTCATGCTACTAAGTGAAGTCCACCAGCACGCAAATCTTTCCTGATTACTGAATATTTGTCGTCCCATCTGATTGGTTTCTTGAAGATGGGGTTATCACTCTCTTGTTATGGTTATGGGTGACAGTGATTACTCTTCTTATTTCAGTATATGCCTTGTAGATCTGCTTGGCACTCGCTGAAACTGGTATCAACACTCAGTGGCCTGAGCGCATTATGCTCAGTGAAACTATGTTCCCTTTTAGTAGATGATAACCAATTGCATTTGTCACGTTTGTGGCCTGGGCTTTTGCTGCCCGAGTGCTATGTTGAGTGATCGCTGGTCCGCTGGACAGCTTTGTAAATGTTTCTAATGTCGAGGCCGTACATGAAAATGGCAAAAGTTGACTTCTAGTGCTAGTACATCCGGCAAACACCCCTTAGTCAGGGCCATGTGTGTATCGGAGAAAACGATTGCCACAGTCTGGAATATTAAGCAACTCGACGGCGTAAACTACTGAGTACAATGAATCATTAAAGAAGGATCAAATAAGAGACGTTTCCATAATGTCTTTCGCGAGAAGCGGGGTTTATATTTTCCAGTTGATGATCGCCAATAAGTTTGAAGTTACATCTTAGGAGATGACTGAGAAAGAATCTGCCGGAATACATCCTTACAATTCTACTAGAGCAGTAGGCAGCCAGCAGTAGTCCGGCCACTCCGGTGAACGTCGAATTACCCTGCAGTACTATAGCGGGAGAGATGTACCGCCTTTGCACAATTTTGAGGGGACAGGTTAAAGTCGTTGATTGCGGGGATAAAACGGTTGCCCTTCTAAGCAGGTCTGCGATCTATTGGAAGATGAATTCTAGATTAAAGAGAAGATTGATGAAGACAAAGAGGTTAACTGTCACGGTGTACACCGTCATCACGCGGTTAGATATTCTGTCAAATAAATATAAGACGGTATACTTCTTGAGCGAGTGTGGAGTTTCACTTTTGCTTGGATTTCAGTCTGATATATTCAATAATGACTGTATTTAGCTCCGAGTTATTACACGGAGGAAGGAGATGTTTTGTTTCTTTTCGTGGTGTTTTAATTCCAGATAAAATGATCCTCAAATACTGCATATAACTTTAACTATTATCCGCTTCAATTGTCGTTAATCGTAAATTACCATGTATCGTCGATATGTGTACTGAGAGGGAGCAGAAGGGGATTGTAGTCGCACCAAGTCTGAATACTTTCTATCATAAAATAAGGTCACCTTATCAACAATTCGGATGCGCTTCCGTAGCTCAGTTGGTTAGAGCTTCGTACTAATACTAGACGTCATACTCTAGCCTTGGTAATGCGAAGGTCGCAGGTTCAAGCCCTGCCGGGAGCAAATGCCCCAGATGCGTTATTCGGACTTCTTTTTTTGCTTTTTATACTATAAATCGTACGACATCGCTTTTCTCCCTTGTATCATTTGTCAAGGCCTTTTGTAGAGTCAATTTTCCTTTTAATATAGAAACACATCATAATAGGTGAATGACTAATGAATTGCACTAACCCGACCGGCCTTCAAGGTTCTTTTACTTCTTTATTTTCGACATATCTCAATATATCGACCTATGCCAATTGGTAGAAATATCTATAGCCTCTCTACGTATAGTTGTTTGACGACAGGCTCCGCGTTTACTACACTTTCGACGGAAGTTTCCTACCTAGTGTTTAAAATAGGACGCTTGACACGTTGATATCTGTTGTAAGAGCTGGTAAATTACTTGAGTTTTGACAACCTGCCCACAAGACAACCTACGAGACATCTTAATATAATTTGGTTCCAATGGCATAAAGAAGTTGTGATGGAGTGGCAAGGAAGCTATCTAGCATTTCGTGTCGCAATTTTCTCACTGTATCGAAAGGCATGGATGGCCCAGAGGGGAACTTTATCAAGCCTTCGTAATTACTGGCGGCAATTAGAAGTATATATACCTACTTTAATTCCTGGGAAGAATCCTTCGCCTAACATTGAAAATCTTAGAATCATACCTCAGCGCGTTGAAGTCCTGGTATTGTTCTGGTTCTTTGAACCCTTCCAGAAGTAAACATCACAATTCTATTCACTTTAAGAAGAGGGAATAAAGCAATATAAATGAGATGTCAGTCTAACTACTCTGGGTGTTATCGCTTAATGCAGCTGCCCTTAAGCGCGAAACGATGTTCGATTGTACAGATTCCGGTTTATATCCATATTCATGATATGCTGCTTAGTGACATCCTCCGCGGTGTTGACCGGGAAAGACCTTGTGTAAACCCATCCACAGATGGTATGCGCTTTTAATATGTCTCTTTGCACAAGAGGCATCTTGAGCTCCACTGATTCTCCTCGTAGCCACTTTTTAAGCGCACCCATGGAAAAGTTATCGGAGACCCAAGGATCCGAATCTTCAATCTTTCGATAAGTAAGAATCTCAGTTTGAATAACTGCCCAAACGAGACCGAGTTGTGGATTTCCGCAGGGAAAATCAGGATCCGCGTGAAAGTCTTCCAGCGGACACGTAGCCGTAGATATTGTCGAAGCATTATCGCCTTCATCGCTGTCTTCACCCTCATCGCTGTCTTCACCCTCATCACCATCAACATTCATAGAGTTGAGTTGATCTCCAAGGTCTGGCTGTTCACTGGCTTCGGTATTTAGGCAGTATATTTTGCCAGATTTGGCTAGCTGCAAGATTCCACGCATGCAATGCCATCCAATCTGGCATTCGGGGCTCCAGCGATCTATAGTTGCGGCTGGGACTGTTTGCATAAAACCATCAGCGTCTAATCTTGCATGATGACACCCAGTCGCGGATGTGAGCCCTAATATTTCATCGAATGATACCTCCTCCTGTAGTGAAACATTTGCTCCTAGCCTTAATAGACAGACTAGCATCGCGACGGCTCCAAATAGCGTTTCGCCTTGGATGCCTGAATCTGCTAAATGGTATGTCAATACCACTATCAAGTGAAGGGTTCCAAGTGATAGTTTGGTACCGCAAGAGACGCAGTGTCGAATGAATAGTCCGCTGGGGCGGCCGATATGGGGTATATAATCTCCAGGAGCGAAAAGCTTCATCATGCTGTGACAAACAGCCTGAACGGAGCTGTGACAAAAGGGATGTTTCCAGTTAAAGGGAACGCGGTATTTGCCACGTTGAAAGAGATGGCGAATTGCTGGAGAATCTGCATCCCATCGACCACATGGATCTTTTTCTTCTCCAGGATACGCATGTGTGTCGATAAAGCTGGAGCTGACGTCTCTTGGGCTAACACGGGTATGTGAACGTATAATAGAGATTACCAAGCTATCAAGGATTGTATGTCCCATGATGTCCTCGTAATTTTTAGCGACCGGATATTCGTCTTCAATATACTCGACAAGTGTATTGAGCAGAGAACAGCACGTATTACCGCCATCCAAGTAGGTAGCTGCGAGGTGGTAAGGGTGTAATTCTTTGAGAGACTCAATGAATCCTCGATCTAACACTTTCTTTAAAAGAATTGATTCCACCAATTCTATGTTCCCAGCCATTATCGCGAATCTCAAAGACTCTAATTGCAGTGAACTCGGATCTGTTCGCAGTGACTCGGCGATTAATGAATTAGAGACTGGTAAATTCTCAGGTGATGAAGAAGTGAATGTGTTTTCCGTAATTGATTGTTGCATTGACTGGGGAAAGGAATGGTCGGTACGTTCCGCCAACGACCACGGCTTCTCCAGAGGGTGATTAGAATTGGTCGTCATCTCATCTTCCTCTCTGCTAAAGTATAGGTGTTCTCTGCTGACATGAATAACCCATCGGCAGTGCTGCGAAGGCATAGGCAAAAACGTTGCTTCGTCGTGAGACAGTAGAGGCGAAGGTGCAAAACCGATCGTTGGAGTTGCAGGCGCCGAGGAGGGAATCACTGACGGGCTAAGAGTCAATTCTGCTATCATATCAAATGTCCACATCAGGGGCCCGCGTCCCCAGTATTTGGCTGTGACGAAAGTGTGAATCCAGAACTCGTGCATATAATCTATCATGGCTCTGTCGTGGATTAGCGCCATTTTTTCGAATACTGCTTTAATATACTTACATGCGATCTTCTTTGCCACATTTTAAAAATAACTCTTTAAATTGTCCCTGCAAGAATAGGTTTGACAGATCTTGTCTAAATCTTTGACGAATAAGCTGCATCGATGGCGACGCCATGGCTTGTGGGGAAGTGCCAGTGGTATTCTCTGGGCTGTTGACTGTTATGTAGTTCGGGGTAATGGCCGCAGCCGGGGAGGAGATATCTAGCTGTCGGAATATCAAGTTGTTGAAAGCGCTATAAGGGAGCCTCCATGAACTTAGTCTAGAAATAGTTATTATACTTATCATAAGGTTGAGGAACAAGATTCAAGGACTAACACTCCTGGTACCATGGGCTCTACCACATGGCGACGAATTTTATCTTGGAGATATCTCTTGAGTTGTTTCTTATCCACGGGTTTGCCTTCTTGAAGTGTAACATCAGAAGTGCTTGTTCCAGCACGAGTCCTTTTGCCAAGGGCAACAGTAACATCGTCTTTCTCACGATTCAGTATGCGCCTGCGAATATTCCATTTACGAAGCGAATATTCGAGTTGGTTCTGTCTGTAGATTCGACAGTGTCAGCAATGAATCATATAGTGGGAGACAAAGTTTGCGCTGAAGAGGGGGATGCACAACTGACGCGATATGGAAAGAATATTTGTCCTTCATAAACTCGACCACTTGGCGCATCACCATACGCTTGCCGCCGGGTCCATAGTTTCCCGTATATAATTCGACGATGATAGGCTTGAGCTTTTCCAATCGTTCTGCAAATGGCAAGCTACAAAACTTGTCTTCGTCGGAGCGAGGGAGCAAGTCATCGATCTCCATGACGAACGAAATTGGAATCAACAAGACTGGAAATGAAGAGACAAAAATGAAGAGACAAAAATGAAGAGACAAAAATGAAGAGACAAAAATGAAGAGACAAAAAATGAAACGAAAGAAAAAGAAGAGAGGAAAAAAGAAGAGAGGAAAAAAAAAAGAAGGGGCCAAAAGCGGTTGGATAATTTCAGAAGAATTTTTGCAGGTAAAATCGAGTGTGGGTGTAGGAGCAAAGCTTGCTCGTGGCGGGTCGCGGCTCTTTATATCTGCCTCGTTTTTTCGACATGAAAGGCCCAATGGTGCCTAAACTCAGCTGTAAGCTCATTTTGGGAAACATGACTCGTACAAGGCATCAGGCTGGGGCATCGTTGCTCCGGGCGGTGACGTGCTATTGGTGTTAAATCGGGATAGGCACGCAGTATCAAACAAGCAACTGGACCTATGAAAAAGCAGTATGCTCGAGTACAAGTAATCCGTGCGTCTATCGACAGTGAAGATACAGGTACCTTAGTACTAAGGGTAAGGCGACAAAGTCGGTGGTGACGAACAGGTACCTAAGGTCGCGACAGCCTGAAGGATCACCTAGTAGTACTACCCGGTACCTACCTAGGTAGGTACATGTAGTTGATCGTCTTGGGGGGACGAATCGAAGCCTGTGTGGTTTTTTTTTTTTTTTTTTTTTTTTTTAAAAAAAAAAGAAATAGCAATAAAAATGCTCGCTCCGGTACCATTCAAACCCTTTCGGGTCCTATTGTCAACCATATATGCTCAGCTGTCACAGTGGGAGATAGCATCCCTCATCCATACCACCCCAGAGGTAGTATTGACGAGGCAAGAGGTTATTTGTAGGTATATGTAGTTAGTAGGTACCTTAGTAGTAACTTGACGGTTGTACAGCATGTAGAATATACCGTGTATTGATATTCACCTACGTATCTAAGGTATGTACTGCTACCTATACGGCTGTGTAAGTAGCATTTGGCTTAAAAGGGGACCCTTTGCAGCAACACCCCCACCACCCATGAAGCCCTCCTTTCTTTCGGTCTAGATTAATACCTGTACTCGTCCATCACCGGCCGCCTCCGCCATCAACCCGCCTCATGCAAGCCTCGCCTGCACACCCCACAGGACTGTCATCCATTGGATAAACAAAACCTCGCTGACCATTAAGAACGCGCGAGGAACGCCAGCCGCAGTAGGTGCTTTCCCTGAGTTTGGGGTTTCCCTACTACCAATGTACCAAACAAAACTGCGCTGGCCAACCACACAGGAGTACGCGGTCGATTGGCCAGTTAGATGTGTATATCGGTTCCACATGTACTTGATATACTTGCCCACCTCAATGCCGTGATGCCGGCAGACTGTCCCAATTCCTGCATCAAATACCATCAGAACCGATCCACCTGGCATCCACAAGTTAGTTTGGATGGCATTTTATCTTATGACTAGAATGGTATCTCTCTTTCTACTCCGTGGCTCCTTGCCTTGTTGACTGCCTAACAGTACTAATTGTACTACCTGTCCCAGTGCACTGACATCGGGCAGGAGGGAGTTTCTTTTCCCTTTAGCTGTAGTTGCCGGGGAAATTGATTGCTGTCCCTCCTGTCCATGAGTGATGTATTACTCTCCACTCTTGCCTTTTCTCTGATGCCTATATAAGCCCTCCGTTATCCCATCCTCAATTTTCTTTCATCTTCTTCAGGGCAGTTCAAAGCCAAGTGTGGTTTATACATCATCCTATCAACCGAAACACTGTTTCTGCTGACGACTTCATTCCGGTCTGAAATTCACAATGCCATATCTTGAAATGGAAAATCAGAACTCCATCGGAGTAAAGTCTACGTGAGTCATGCTGAGACTTCTTCATTCTGAAATATCGTCAAAACCTCCCTGTATTCCCATAATTCTGGGCAGTTTAACACAGTTTCGCTCTCTATACTGGCAGAATTGTCATCTTACCTTGTTCTTTTGATATGCTTCTCGAGTTGGAAGCTTGATCTTGATCTTGGCCAGCTGCAATGCGTTGGTGCAAAACCATTCATCATTCACTCCCCCCGCTCATCTTGGAAAACACTTCACACAGGTCCACAGTCAATGATCAAGTTTTGATCGATATACCAGCAAAGCAGGGAATGCTATGACGAACTAGTGTGAGTCTGGCAATTGTATCGGCCTTCATACAGCATTTCTCTTTCAAGTCCTCTTGCCCGCTTCCCATAACAAATATGAGATCGTTTCAACCCAATACACTGTGACTGAAAGCCGTGTTTATTTTCATTTAGGGATGCGGCAGATACTTGGAGCACCGCAGCGAGAAGCGATTCTCCTCCACCAATCGCCCGAATGAGCCGTCGTACGGCCACTTCAGCCGACGTCGCAAGCACCACGGAAGCATCACAGACTAATGACATGAGAAAAGATCAGAATGATGTTCTTCATGGCATCGGTTCACAGTTTCCTGTCATTGGTATGTCTTGTCCACTCGATGGTATATGACGATGCAGACAGTGACTTACTTCCCTGACCCTACTTTAGATGGTGCTATCAAGAATATGGACCTCCATCCTGATCTCTAACGCTACTGTCCCTCCCTCCTATATCAACAAACACAACGTGCCGGCCGAGATAATCGCAGCGATGTATACGACACTTGGGATTTTGCAATAAGAAAAAGAGTACTGCTATATTTTATCCAGCAACACAAGAATACATAGATATCTGGCATGATATGCGGCGTTTTGTTGATTATGTATTTTCTCGAGTTGGATAGATCAAAAGCTCATGGAAAAGAAATCCGGCGCCATGTTTAGTAATGGGTTGAAGACATATCGCTTGGGAAATATGATCCAATTATTTTATTCTGCTACTCTCATTCCACTCCATTACTAAAGTTCTTAGTATCGTGCATTTTGCCATTTCTTCATGCTTTGTTCGTGCTTCAAGGTACATGTGTTGATCGACGAGACTTGGAATAGGGTTATGACTAAAAAGATAGTGGACGGGAGCTACGCCGAGACCCCACCCCCAAAGACTTGGCCTCCCCATGAAATAGTGGAAACCTTTGCGGGCTCAATGCACGATCTTTCAAGACCCTGGACTGGCTAAACTCGGGCGCTATCATTACATGTAATAGTTGAATTGCTTCTCAATTGACTTGGGAGTTTCTGTGCATTTAGGTACTAATTGTACATGTAACTGTGTATACAACTTTTGAGCAAAACAACATTTAGTAGAATGAGTATTTGTCTCTCTATCAGCATTATTAAACAAGAGTAAGCCCACTATAAATGATAAGCGTGGCAGAGACTTCTTAACTCCGAATAGCCTTTTTTCTTTATTCATGTTTGTATTTGTTCATCTTCAATTTCATTTTCATTTTGACTAGGAGTCGAGGCTGAACTTGAAAGGAATTCCGATCTTGGAGTGGAGGCCAGAACGAGAGCCATGCGCAGAGTGCAAATTTCCTAAACATGGAAGCTTTGTTATAGGCCAATCCTAGAAGCGGCCCCTCTGTGAGCCCACAGCGGGCACCCGGAGGCAGAACACAGTTTGCTACGGTCGTTTTGGAAGCATACCTTATGAAGCTAAGCTAATTGAATAAGCTGACCTCGGGGTATTTTGACATGCTTATTTACTTCCATTACGTTAAATGGAGATAAGGCTGATGTGTGGATTGAAGACCACCGCTCTACGGTCTAAAGATGCCCTCAAGAACAAGCTCATGATCCCCTCTTCTCAGCCCCGGCGCTATTGGCAATCAAGCAGTGGCACACATGATTCGGGACTTGGGGTCAACGTACAGTTTTATAAAGAAATGTACTTCATCGACACGTGCAGGATCTCTCCGCGGCAAGTTGGCTCTCCATCCTCTTGCGATAAAGGGATGAGAGGACGTATGTCCTATCTCGAGTCGTCCTACCTGTTGGACTGTTGCCTTGGACATGACCATGAATAAATTGGTCTTCAGCAGCGCTGATACAGCTCCTGAATTGATTGGATGGTGGCATCATTAACCCGCTACGGCTGCGCATCCGCTAATGCGACAACAACAACAACAACAACAACAACAGGGACACGACGGCGCCGGCGCAGAATTTCCCTCATCAGGTTAGCCCCTGTGGCGGCATCCCGTATGCATGCGCTCAGGCGTATGTACAGCAGAAGCGGAAGGCCGACTTGCAGATCAAAATAGCGGTACCTTTGACACATCTAGAGATGCTGCTGTCAGTTCTTGGGGCGGCTGGGCTCAGAGCCGCGTCCAGTGAAGTAGCGTATCTGCAAGATTGGCCCCCAACCTCGGCGGTAGCGTTCTTGAACTCAACGGTAGTGCGGCTTACACAGAGATTGACCCTGGACTCGTTCTCTCGGGGAGTGGGGTCCTGATTGCGAAACTCAGCGGCAGCATGTGAGATTAGCCCACAGTTAACTGTTGAGAGAATAGTCGAATCTCGATGTATTGACCAAGGCGCCCATTGTGGTCTTAAAAACGCCGGTAGCCTATGCGTAAGGCTATCCCACCTTGCGCCTGACACACATAGAATACAGTATGAATGCCGTTCAAGAGGGAAAAATACAAGTGTGTTTTGGTGTGCGTAAATCTCCATGGGTGTTGACCTCTCTCCATAGATACTTGATGCCCAAATTAGGTGCAGTTGACTTTCTGGCGTATGTATGTCCCTGATGGTTCATCAATAAGGTTGCCAGAAGATGTGTGGTTTGCTTGGTTACTTCTGCATCTACCACCTGTTTCCTGTCAGCTATATCTGTATAAGCCTGTGATATTTCCACTTACCCTTTTTTTTTCTCTTTTCTTGCCTTTTATATATTACCTAGTACTGACGTTTGAAGCCTTATTTCTGCAAATGTCATTCAATTTGCCGCCCCGCAAGGTTATTCAATCTCATACATTCTCTCATTGACTATCCTACTATGAAGAACTCAAAAGTCACCACCACTAGACCTAGGTAAGCCACTCTTTATTGCTGTTAAGTATTGTCTAATCTTCCCTTGAACCAAGATATCTGGTTTCATGATGCCTCTGTTAACGATGGCACACTTCCACGCGTTTTCTTCTCATTGATCTCAGTCGTATCATTGGACTGTTAGTCAGCTTCTAAATACGATTCAGACGCAATGTCATAATAATCCATGGCCTCCATTTAACATCTCTGTTTGCATACATGACTAATCCTATCTTTTAATCTCTCTAGGAAGTCATCGGATACATGGAGCACTAAGGCAAGAAGCAGCTCTCCTCAGCCGATGCCGAACACAGGTGACGCTCGCAGCACTCGCAGCCTCAAGATGCGCAAGGATAAAACCGCCGTAAAGTCTCAGAATAATCTCCTCTTCGGAGTTGGTTCACAATTTCCCACCATTGGTATGCCATAGCCATCATATCGAATCCCACCAGAAAGAAACTAGCTAATGTTTGGTATCTATAATAGATGACTCGATCAAAAACAAAGACATCGACCCAAAGCTCTAAGATACTACATCGCCACGCACATGATCTTGGATATAGCAATCTGGATTTTGTATTGTGACTTAAACTGTGGCTAGAAGGATGAAGCTATCATTGTTATTTAGCAAGCTAGAATGTTATGAGCCTTTCATTTCAAGCCAATCCTATCTGGTACACCTACGCTATTCCTCGTTATTATGTACTAATTTAAGTGATTCATGATGACAACGTAGTTATAACTTATCAAGCCTGAGCATACATATTGTCGGATTATAATGGATCAAAGATGATCTTGCATCAAGATATTATCCGTACCTAGCTGAGCTTCGACATCACGCTTGGCTAACCGAGTCTAGTATACAACGTGAGGAAAGGGCAAACACAATAAACTTGTTATTAGGATACCATGTGTACCATGCTGTGATTCATTTCTGATGTATCGACATACTGGTATATCAACGATATAATGTCGTTTTGGGACACTCGACTTGCTGCGAATGTGTCTCATGCCATCAAGACTACATGTATATAATCCTCAATGCATCTTCCGTCATTTCAACTACTCTTCTTCATCCAAGGCGCTTCTAATCAGATTCGTAATGTCTCCTGCTGTAAGGCGCAGGTGGAACTCCAAAGACGTGATCCTTCTTGTTATAATCCCTAAGCTCCCCACGTTCAACTCCAAAGCCATTCTTCGGGACATGTTGGTATTTGACTTTGGGCGGTTCCATAGACGGGTCGCGGTCGCGCAGCCGGGTGGATGGCGGTTGCGCTGTCAAGCTACTCTGCTTGATCCCGAGCTTCTTGTTCAGCTCTAACTCGACCCAAGATCTCTCAATGTACACCGCTTTAGGGTCGCGCCCGCCGTTATACATCTGCGCGAGGACAACCCGCTGCATCCACTCCCTCGCGGATGCAGCGTCGTCGAAGCAAAAGACCAACCCGTACTGGAAGCTGGCACGGATGTGTGTCATTCCCTGCGGCACCGGCAGCCAAACACTGTACTCCTGACCGGTTAGGATGCGGGCCTCGCGATGCAAGCTTTGGTACGCCTGAGCCTGCTCTTTCGTCATGAATTGTATCTTCAGTTCCTTTTGACCGAAGTCGTAAATAATGTCCAGATCATAGCTGCTCATCTCTGAGATAGGAAGAGGGTGATTTGAAACCAGGCTTTGCGGGGGAAACAGTTGAGTGTTCGCAGTCACACGTTGGTGCCCGACGTACGAGTAACGGTGACTGCCGCAGCATTCAGCTCATGCAGGTTGAAATGTGATCACCAATAGGATCAACGGCAGACTTCGCTTACCCCTCTTCTGAAAATTCCTTCTACTGCCCTCTCAACGTGAGCCTCATGGGTGTCTGGCCTGTCCTTACCTAGCTCGTCGTTGACTTTAAGTCATCATGAACACAGATCTGGAAAAGGGCAAATTTTCAAATGCGAATGTCTCTGTTCCCATTTCCCGAATTACTGCAGAACACCGCCGAGGGAATGATGTTCCCGCTCATAACGAGGAAGAGGGTCACACGAGGCTGTCAATGATAAACTCAAATCACAGGCGAAAGAGTCCTGACAGACGTATCAGTGAGGGATCACGACGGTCTCTGCGAAGAAGAGGCACGGCTCGAACCGTCAACTTCGACGGATCGGTCCGCTATGGCGGCGATGAGGCGCATACTGGTAACCCTCTTTTGTATTCACGTCTTCTTGTCACTCCTCAACTGATAAAGATGGGTAGGTGAGGAAGAGACTCAAAGCAGAGAAAAGGCGCTTGAAAAAAACCTCTTAGATCACTTCATCGAAAGTATATTCATGACTCTAGATCCGAAGCCAGATATACCAGGTACGCCGGATATCGATAATGGTTATACCAAGTTTGAGAACTGACAATCAACGCCAGGCAAGGGACTGGTCATCAGCTTAGCAGGTCTTCAGCGCATGCGGCTCCGCAAACTCCAGGCGGATCTATCAAACCGAGTGATGGAGATGCACTTCAATCACAATATGCCCGGCGATTGGGAGTTCCTTCTGAAAGAATATAGTCAGCCTGCTCCGTGTACATGTGCCCTACTCCAGCAACTAACCTCTAATAGCTCAGGCAGTGCGCGACTACGACTTCATAAAGACGTGCGTGGACCGACCCGACGATCCCTTCATCATCGCGAGTCGACGCAAGCTGGAGGCCGGGATTCTCACATTTGAGCTGCAGAACTTTCCTCGGCCGGGGAATCCCGACTCGCACGATGAAGATTGGAGCACCATCGACATCCCCCCGGGAACCCAACAAGACACGTTCGGTCGGGGCGACCTGTCACAGAAGGCTAAGCTGCGAGCACTAATCAAAAGGGTGGCCATGGCAGTATTTAGCGGTTTGTTCCTCCTTGCTCCAATGTGGATCATGGTACTTCATCCTACCACGTACACGGGCTTGGTTTTGACGACCGTCTTCACCTTTGCATTCGCCATCGTCATGGCCGTTGTGCTTCGCGGGGATTCGACAATAGCAGTCATGTCTTCTACCGCTGCGTATGCTGCTGTTCTAGTTGTGTTTGTTGGCACAACTACAGGACCAGGTAGTAATTAATACGGAAATAGTAGTTTCAAATTACAAAAGGATTTTATATCATTACTTTTTAATAAACTTACATCATATCTCAAGCTGGGATATACGTATTGCCTAGCCATGGGTGATTACGGACAACTCTATATAAAGATATTATTCATATTTGGGCTTCGAAATCACACATGGCCGACTACGTCTAATATGTACTTCGTGGCGAAAGTACAAACACAATACACCTGCCATTCGGATACCGTGCGTACCTAATATGATTCGTTTCTGATGTATTGACTAAGTGTGCCGAATCAACGATCATATTTAAAATTCACGCGCAGCTTTCGGCCCACACCGTAGTATGAACTCTTTCTCGCTTTTCAAGTATCATATTGGTCCATCGCTTTTTGGACATACAGCTTTGCCAAAACCCGCTTACTAGTGACCAAAATTAAACACACAGTTCCAGCTATCCCACTCAACCAAAAGGTATCAACTTTCCGTACGTCTTCTTCAGGTGGCGTGCCAATATCGGTATCGAATGCCCTTCTATTTTAGAATTAACAGGCCGGGCAACAAGCAAGGTCGCCGTCACAGGCATGTTCCTCGGTGGAATGAATGTGTAATCGGCGCAACGCCCCTTTTTGACACGAAACCCCATGGCAACCATGGCACTTTCAAACGCGGCCCAAGTGATGAAGACTCCGGCCTTTGGCTTTTTAAAGAGAGTGGTGAAGACCTTTTTGGCGGCGGGATTTGCATCCAACTGCCGCAGCTGCGCTTTGATCAGTTCGTTGGTGGCTTGCTCATTCTCAGACGTTGATGTTTGAACGGGAGTTGTATTTTCTTCGAATTTCTTTAGATCCACACCCTCGGCGGTGCAATAAGCGATCGTAAACGGAAATCCTTCTGGCGTGTCTTCAGTCTTCCGAGACTGGGCTCGGTGATATACCAGGCATTCTTGCACAGCGTAATGGTAGAAAAAGTCCATTTTCGAGCCCATATTGCGTTCAACAAAATCGTCGAGCTGAGCCAATGCCTTGTTTGCCATTCCGGGCTCCAGTAGCTTAGTGATTGGCACTGAGGATTCCTGTAAATCTATTTCTTTCCGGATATCATTCAAACCTGAATTCAACTCCCGATATGCCTCTAGAAACGTTTGTCCTGTCTTGCGAGAGAGAGATGGTACTGGTAGGTACATTGAAAACTCTTGTATAGCTGCCGCGGTCATTATTAGCTCGCACATTGCATCCATCTCTCTCTGTTGTAGGGGTTTCCAAAAGGATTGTTTAGAGTTGTATAGTCTATCGAAATGGTTGAACCACTCAGTTGCCTGTGAAGCACGCGTCTGGGACTGGCATAAGCGCAGCATGTATTGCAGAAGAGGATCGCCTTGAGAAAGCTCTTGTGGCTTGATCTTCATAAAGACTTTTGGGTTTCCGGCGTCATCGTAAGTGTTGGCCACACGCCGGAAACAGTCTGCACCGATTCCTGTTTGGACATGCCTGATGAAGTGAGCCTGAGCGCGACTGTACTCGAAGTGGCATACATTGGAGATCTCTTGAAGAATGACTTGCTGGTAGTCCGGCCTAGTATCTGTATTGTCCAACATCTCCAAGAGATCGCAAATGTAGCTCCAGATGGCGAATTTCTGGACCCAGCCACGGATAGCTTCGAAAATGGCACAGCTGATGTATTTGTCGGTTTCGAGTGGCAAGTGGCGGCCTTTCTCGTCCGTAACTAGCTCTGGCCGGCTGAGAAGCCAGGAGTTGGCATTGTAAACAAGCACAGATGGCTCATCCCGGAGAATAGCCAGGTACTCCTCGAGGTAATCTCTCGACTCTTGGGCACGAAAGAGTATCCGGGCGAGCGGCGTCTTTTCTGGCGCCAATCCAGCTGCCGACAGCTTCTTTGCTAACTTCACTACGACCTCCTCCGTGAGCTTCTCCGGCGCCTTTCTGCCTCTTGACATCTTCAGCAAGGGCTTGCTTGATAGCCGTCCGGCGGTCATGCGCTCTCGTTCAACCTTTTCCCACTGCACTTTGGTCCACCATGATTGAGGAATTTTATCAAGCAGTCCCAGGATGAGGTCTCGGAATTCCATCGTCGATATCAATTGTCTGTTATGGATCAGGTTTCCTGTTCCCGAAGAAACACAACTGCCAATTTCCGTCATAGCCTTCTTCAATTCTAGCATCCCTTCGTCTTCTTGATCAAGCTTCACGGTATCTCCGTAACAGTCCTCTGTAAATATCATATAGTAGTTCGGCGCCCCTCGTGGTATAAGTTGCTTCTGGTTCACCTTCTCAGTAATGAAAGGGCCATCGCCGAGTGCACCGTCAACGCCGGCCCAATACTGCTGAAATAAAGACGTCGTAGCACGGTGCTCGAGGTGATTCAACAGATATTTTGCACTCGTCGAATAATCTTTCCGGTTTATGTCGGAAAACATCGCTTCCCTCTGGTCCTGAATCTCGTTCCAGCTGTGGTGATCTGAATTCGCCCATTCTTCATGATCCATGAAAGGTCTCGCCCGCTCATGTCTGTTCAACCTGTGCCAAATGGCTCTAATTTGCCATTTGTAATCGTTGTATAACCGGGCAAGGTCGCTATGCATACGTTGAAGGAAGTCGCCGTCGGGTCGGTGGGCTTGGTAATCGCATCTAGGCTGTGGAGGCATTGGGTCAACCAAGTATTTGGGTCTCCTCGGATTGGTTTCGGATAGGGTGGCGAGATTTTGTTGCTATTAGAAATATAGGGCTGATAAGCGTGATTCAATATGTGTTTGGATTTGGGAGAAGATTCAACGTTCCGTCGCCAAGGGTTGCATGCTGGAATAATCACGTGGACTGGCTCCTGCTCATCAAACTTCCAATGTCATCGTGAAACGCCTCGAAATTGTTGTTGAAATGCATCACCCGGGCAACATCCAAGTATGTACTAATGCATCAGACATCATAACTGAGCCAGAAAGGCAAGAGCTATTGAGCCGTCACCAAGTTAAATCCGGATAGAGCAAAGAAAGGTTTTTGAAACCGCTACTCTCCGCGCGGTCCAGGTGCATATAATGGAAGGCATCATGTATACTCCCAAGTATGAGGTACTAGAACTGCCAGTGCAGAAAATGGCCGAGTTTGGCATACGATTAGGCTACATTGTCACAAAATCACGCATTTTGCAAGAGATGCTACATGACAGACTGGAATTATTTGATGAGAATATGACGCTCATGATATACTAGCACAAAACGATGACAAAACTTTTGTTCTCACTCATGCCTGTTATCAATCTCCATATCATTTCCCTACGCCCTCAGCAGAATGCTTCTGCAAATCTTTGGGATCAAATGTTGGACATCCCTCAAACTCATCAGTCACATGAGACCCTTTGCTTTGAAGCGAACCTCGTTGGCCGGTGAACTCTTCCATGGTTTTAGGAGGCAAGACCTTAGTCCCATGATGCACAGCCCCAGCTTGATGAGTCTCATGGATTGGAACAGTAGTGTGTACAACTTCTGGAGCAATGGTTTCCTTTTGGATTACTGGCTGGACATGCTCGTGCACGTGGTGATGGACTCGTTCGCCCGCGAAGACAGGCGCTTCAGTTGCGCTTTCGTGTGTGGTTTTGTGGACAACGGATGTGTCCTTATATTTGGCGGCATCACGGTTGAGGTAGGATTCGACATTTTTGTCGTTACCGTGCTCAAAAGTTTTGTGTTCGGTTGGTAGCACCTTGTGAGAATGCTTTTCTGGGCTAAAGATAGATGTCAGATTAGGAATTTATAGATCTATGGCCAGGTAAACGAACAGAACTTCTTTGGTATTAACCGGTTGAACCGTAGTATGATGGTGGTCTTGATGGGTCTCTTTCTCCACGGCGGTCCTTATGTTTTCTTGCTGCTGTGGCTGAACGTGTTCGCTAGTGACTGGCTGTCGAGTTTCCTCATCCACAGTGGTGTCATGTCTGTTGTCTTGAGAAATGAGGTTTCCAACGGCTTTCTTAACTTTATTCATATTGATTGCGGTACGTAATTTCAAAGATGTGGTTGAAATTGCTGGAGAGCTTAGAATTGGGTACACATATATACATCTCTAGATGTATGTTTGTAGGTAGTTAATATCAGCTATCAGCTCCCATTTATACTTGCTTTCAAAAACTGTACGTCACTACTCCATCTTTCAATTCTAGCATACTCTTTCGGCTACATAATTTTACTTTGTTCTTCGTAGCACACCTTTCATCTTCAGAAGATGCACCGGGAGGCTGGGACGCTTTGAAGAGCGCCAGTTTTGTCATTTTGTTCATTATTTACGGCATGGCTTGTAAAGATGGATATAAGCAGGTTAATAATGGCATATTAGCTTCCAGGAGCTATCAATTGCCACCTTCTATGACACGGAGACTACGGGGGTAGTCTATTCTTATCGTTAAAGAATACATGATTGGTTTCAAAATTGCCGAAGGACTCCAAGTTGGATGATTCAAGGTTGGAACTAAAGTTGTGAAGTTCGATTAGACTTAAACTACCATGGAGTAGATCGCCCCAGCTATCTATTAGGTAGCATGCACGTCATCCATGACCCTTCGCAAGCCATTTCCACACAGTTACCAAGAGTGCAAGTTTGCTAGCATTTAGCTACTCAGCTGGTCCTCCGGAATTAAAGCTCCTGAACCAATCACATAGTCGATCTAATAATATCGTAGAGCGTCCATCATCGAGGTTTGCAGCCGACTTGCACTACTGTCGGAACACTTTCACCGCATCTCCACTCTTACATACATTTTCACATCACCCATGTATCTCGAAACTTTGTCTATCGCAAAAGACAATCATTTGACTGCTAGTGCAAGTGCTATGGTATAGCATCAATATCTATGTAGATATAGAAACTTGTTAAAATGCTATCTCATCTCTTCTCCACCACAAACTCGCGTACGCTAATTGCATCACACTTTCCGGCCGTTCTGGAACCTTTTCAGCTGCCCATTTTCAGTAATCAGCTCCCTGGGTACACCCTTCTCGACAATTCTACCTTGATCGAGGACGACGAGTGCATCGAAGTTTCGAACTGTATTCAGTCGATGAACGATGGAGACTATGGTGTGCTCATTAAATTCGGTCTCGAGAGCTTTGATCATTAGTTCTTCTGTATGATGATCCACCGCACTCATCGCCTCATCCAGGATGACAATTTTGCTTTCGTCTTTACGGAGTATGGCCCGCGCCAAACAGAGAAGTTGCTTCTGGCCATAAGACAGAGCCAAGTCGGTCATTTCCGTATCGAGAGAGCCGCTCTGGCAAACGGCGTCCCATACTTCCAATCTCTCGAGTAGAGCAATAATGTCGGCATCTGAGAGTATTTGTCTCTGTTTACCCGAGTCATAGAGAAGATTTGAGCGTAACGATCCTGGGAACAAGACTGGATGCTGAGGAACCACGATTAAACCAGACCGTAGAGCTTGCTTAGACAGTTGTGAGATGTCCAGCCCATCAATTGTAATGGTCCCAGAGTAATCCAACAGCCCAAATAACGTTGAGAGCAGGGATGATTTTCCACTTCCACTTCTTCCGCAAATGGCAACCTTCTGGCCTGGCTGGATCTGGAGAGAGATTTTGTGAAGGACAGGATCCCCCCCTCCCTCTTTTCTAGTATAGAAAGCCTCGATATTTTGCCAGTCGATTTGACCTCTTGAAGGCCATGAAGTTGAAGGGTTCAAAAGCGTGTCCTCTGATGGCTCAATCTCTTGTGGAGTGACCTGCATGAACTCTTTAAGTCGGGCGATCGCTCCAAGAGACGTTTCGAGTGATGTCCAAGAGGAGATAAAGTTGGCGAGCGATCCACTAAAGCCCAGCGCACTGTACATGGCAATGGCCATGTTTCCCGGCGTAGAAGTCTTGGTGGTAACTCCAAAGAGGACAAGAAGCACCGCTGCGACAGTTACCAAGAGATCAAGGACCAAGTTTAACCAGCGCTGAATGGAGAGAAGCAGATAGTGTGGGCGCTGAGAACGATCTAGCAATCCGAGAGATGACTTGGTCATAGCAAATTGCCAATGAAACGCGCGTATGGTTGATAGTCCTTCAATGGTCTCCAGAAGCTGCGTGTTCAGTGGCGATTTGGCTTGGAGGTCAAGCACACGGAGTTGGCGCGAGGTTCGGAGATAGAATTTTTGCAGCGCGTAGAGCACTAGGATTGCTACTGGTAGTGTTGCCGCAAGGTATTTCGCACCGACAATGATGATGATTGCATCTCCAATGCATGATAGAAGGCCTGTGAAAAGAAGTTAAAATGAGATCCTGCATTTAAAGACTTTCATGATGGATATACCAAATGTCGTTGTATAAACTGCTGTAGGCAATTCTCGATCAACAAGAGACATGTCTTGGCTAAATCTGTGATTCATGTTTAGCACAGTCTGTTTGCCGTATGCCATTTGCGATACCAACCTATTAATCAAGTCGCCAGTGTCGACATAATTGAAGAAAGCCATCGGTGCCCTAGTTATGTTAAATTCCCGCTTTACTGAGTGGCCGGCAACTTGACTTACTTCATTGTCGCTTCCAACAACTGCCAATGGAGCCATTCTGCAGATCGTGGAATTAAAACGACAAACATGAACCTGTACGCAATAATTGATGAGAATGGTCTTAATGAGTGGAGGATGGGTTATACGGACCAGCAATCAACCCCAATGGCTGCAACTCCAAGACAGAGAAACATGGCGTATACACCGTAGTACATGCCTGTGTTTGTATCAGAGTGGCCCTCATTCGCCTCTGTCCACCATTTAAGCCAAATTTCTCCATTAACCGTTAGTGAAGACCCTCAACAGTGAATGACCCTAAGTTTACTCACGAGAGAATTGAGCAAGGAATTGTTCCGTAGTGGAAAAGAACAGTGATCCTAGAGCTAATTTCCAACCTATTGATCTGAAGTAGTAAGCATAAAGAGACGAATCTCCCATTCGTTGAGTCAGGTTTTCGGTTTCTTCGGCCTCAGTTTCTTGTCTTTGTATATTGGGTAGCTTTGGTTCAATTTCGTCTGACGAATTCTCAGATGTCGAATCATCTCCCTTGCCTTGTTGACTCTTAAGAATGGCTACTGAATCGCAAAGCTCACCGAAAGTGCCTTGGTGTTCAATGCGCCCATTCTCCAGAATGATGATGTGATCTGCGTCTTGAATAAATTCCACTGATGGATGACAAAAAACGTCAGCCAGTACTCAAAGCGATAATCTCGCCTACAATTTCAGTATCCTAACTTACGTGTATGTGTTGCAAGTATCACGGTGACCTTTTGACGACGGAGAATTCCCAATGGACCAAATACTTGAGTCCAAATGTGACGTCTGCTTTCTGGGTCTAAACCTGAAAAGATATCGTCCGCTATGAGTACTTGCTTTCTCGAGTAAATTGCTCGCGCGAGCGCCTGTGTACCTTTGTCAGAAGAGAATCACGAAGGGAATGGTATATGCTTACAACACGTTGCTTCTGACCACCACTGAGCGTAAGTCCTTTACTCCCGACGATGGATTCATCGCCGTCTCGAAGTTGCTGAAAGTCCCTCTCTAATGCACAGACTCGGATTACGGTTTCATACCACTCAGGGTCGATTTCTTGGTCCTCCGGTCCAGTGATATTCCTCTTGATGGTAGTGTTGACTAACCAAGTTGCTTGGGAGCAGAATGCAATCCCAGATGAGGGAAGCTTCAAATCGCCACTTGCATGAAGCTCGCCTATGAGCCCGAGTAGAAGCATTGACTTTCCTGATCCAATCTTTCCAGTCACTAGTGTTAAAGTCGACGGTCGGATGCTAATGTTTAGACCTTGCAGCACGGGAGTTTCTTCACGCTTCACATTGAATGAGACATCATCGGCCACTATTATGGCCGACCCTCGCTTAGGGAGATGGTTCAGTTCAATATTGGAGGCCATATCGCTCTCATTTTGGACTGATGCATCACCGTGTATAGCAATTGGTATAGACGGCGCATTTTGGCTTTCATTAACAAATGCCTCGATTCTCTCAAAGCTGCCAATACAGCTCACGAAAGACGGAACAGACGAGAGAAGCTTCGCCAGAGGATTCGTAATCAGTGCGATGATTGATAGCGAGGTGAAGGCGGTCGAGATGGAGAGCTGATTCTGCGCTCCATTGCGACTCACAGCAATGGCAATGCCAAATGTGAGAATGGGAGCCAAAGCAGATGGAGTATTGCCTAGGATTCCATCAATAACAGCACATGGTAAATGGGAAATTACTCACCCAAGATGTTCATATATGTGATGAATCTACGAAACATTTTCGAGCGCTCAAGTTCTGCTACTCTAAGCAGTTGAATGCTATCTGTCCATGAGCTGGCTCTGCCTAGCATCTTGACCTCTTTTATCGAGCCAATTACACTGGATGTTGTCGTAATACGTTTCTGGATGGCTTCATTCCAGGCTTTCATGGCAGGCCCCATGAAGTTGGAGAGCCTCGTCATAGCAATGGTGCACACTATTGATCGCCGTTAACAAGTTTCAAATCTTTGTAGGGAACGAAGATCTACTCACCAATAACAGCGACGGCGGGACCAATACATCCCAGACCTAGTTCTCTCGCCAATAGCCATATGGCCAACGCAATTTCTATAGGATTTGCCCATATTTCATGAAAGCTCTCAAACGCTCTCGTAATTGAGGTAACATCGGGGCCAGATAGTGTAATAGCCGCAGTGTCTGAAGACATGGCGCTCACTTCAAGAGTGCGGATATAGACCAAGGACGTCAAAGCACCTCGGATCATGGTGAGAGAACGGAAGAGTTTGTGCTGATAGAACCCATTGGAAATCTAAACATCAAAATATGAGTAGTGGTTTAGGAGGGAGTAAGATGGTGATACGTGCAGCAGAACCAAGGTAGACCAATCCAGTTGCTCCAACAAGCGCATAACCGACATCTTTTCTAGCCCCATCACCATCATTCTTTTCCTGAATGTATGTAATCACACGATTTATGAGAAAAGGTTGAGAAAACTTGAAGCCGATCAAAAATAGACGAGGCAGAATTGTGACGGCCAATGGCTTTCGGAGGGAATCGCACGTAGCAAACAACAGACGATATCGATGGGGTACCCGCGAGCTGAACCATTTTTGACGCGCATCCTGTAATTTATGGAAGAGTCTCTCCGATTTCATGCTGTCGTCAATCTCGTAAAGCGTATCAGTAGACAAAGGCGTACGGAATCCGCGAAGCAAAAGGTCGTTTAACCACCAAAAGAGGCTTCTATTTATGATGCTGCTTGTCGTTTCTGGTGTTAGATTATTCCAGGGATGCAGAAGAATGTGGCGCTTCTCTCCAAGTTCAAGAAGAAAGACGACGAGTTTGCACGCCAGTGTAGCCGTAGAGACTGGAGCCAAGACATTTGTTTTGAGAAGCCAGAGAGTTCGGCACTGGACTGCATCGAAAGCAATTGAGAACACGAGATAGACGAGAATGATGCTTGAAGGCCGAATTGATCGTCGATGCTCCAAATAGCTCAAAACACTGAGTGCTATTCCATCGGCAAGGCTGAGCGTCGCTGCTGCCAGAGAGGCACGGGTGAGAGCCTCATGATGGACGGACCAAACCACCAGTAGTGATAGCTGCAGAGAAATGAGAGCAGCGTAGGCGACCTATATGTTCTCGTATCAATGGTTAATATTGCTTCGGTCAGAGGTGACGGACAGGAATGGAGCAACATTCACCAATTTCGGAATACCGATTCGACTGCGCAGAACCTTGGGCTTGCTGCGAAACAGATAGAGAGTTCGCGGCAGCGAAAAGATTAGAAGCAACGCACATGGCGCAATGTTCAAGATGGACTGTTCAAAGAGGAGCGTAAAGTCGAAACGAGGTGTCTCACAGCTGCTAGCGGTTGGGCCGAAAGAATCGTCACAGCCGAGAGCTGCGTCCGTGGTCCAGTTGCTTGCAATATCCATCATGACGGCATGTGCCGCTCTTCAGGCAGCGACATTGAAGATAAGAAAAAGAGAGAAAAGGATGAGATTTGACTATTTATCAGCTCTGGGATGGAGGTGCAAGTTGCGAATGTTGCGGGTAGATGAACCGCTAGCCGCTCTTTCAAAAGTTCCCACCTACCGGATGCAGACGCCGCGAGGCTCGGTGTGACTGTTTGTTGGTAAGATGGGAGGATCGGCTTGGATCCCTGAATCCACCGATTAGGGATAGAAAGGCACATTGCGGGTATTTGGAGATGGTCTAAGCCAATTGGGTAGTGGAGGTTGAAGCTATCTCAGCAACATGCAAATGCTAAATTCGGAGGGTGTAGTGGCACCACCACTGAATAGACGTAGACATATCGCTGTTTAGGCATGATAAGCATAACGGAGACCTTGTTATGAGACTTGACATCTGTTACTCGGGCTTGACACGGAGCATGTCTGCCAATCAGAAGGCAAAGTAAGACCCGATGAATATTTGGTTGAGGTATATGCTATATACCGGAATGTGCCACTCAAGAGGGATATCCTCCATCTAATTCATACCTGTTATTCTCGAATCTACTAATTTAAGCCACGATCATATGGCGTTTGCTACTGGAGCTGCTGGATTGATGGATTCCGTGTGTGGGTTGCTTTGGTGGGGGGTTTGCGGGGTATGAAGAGACGGGAGACAGTCAAACAATCATAGCTTGAACACGTGGATCATGAGATACAATTGTTGACGGAAGCTGATTGAGAAAAGAATAACGAGATTCTACTCTCTATTTTATTCAGGTTCAGTAATACAAAGGGAGAACGGGCCATGGGAAGAGACCAGTCATGCTTGATAGAGCGAAAGGCTAGCAGAAAGTGAAATACAAGTCTGAAGTCAATGTGTTTGAGTCTGATTCGATTTCAAGTTATGAGAAGATTTAATACGTAGTTTTCGCCTATAGTAAGAACATATCTAATATTGGAAATAGACATCTAGTTTTGATAGAAGTTTTGGCACCGCTTGCCATTGAACTAACTGTACTTCTATACCCAACTTATAGCGTCGGGTATAGCTTCAGATTTGGGGCAAAACAGCTACAACTGTGAGTCACCTATCCAAATCTCAACTAATTCGTAAACCAGCGCCTTCTAGTCAAGGATTTATAATTACCACCGGCCCCTTGATGCATGGCCATGATGAGGCACACAAGCCCCTCTGCCATTATTACTCAAGAATGACAACGGTGAAACTACCACCAGAACAACTTGTAGACAGCGACATCCAACTTCGCCGCTGGCACAGAGACGATGTCGATACATTACACGCCCTAGTTAACCGATCACTACTTGAACTCTCGCTGTGGATCCCATGGGCGGCAAATGGTTATTCGAAAGAAGACGCAGCGGAGGCTCTACGTTTGGGCAGCGAAGGCTGGGGGGCCGGCGAAGAGTTTGACTACGCCATAGTTGTCAATTACCAGATTCGCGGTTCGTGTAGAATCGTCAAAAGAGGTGGTCCTGGTGTCTTTGAGCTGGGATACTGGCTGGGGAGCGGAGAGACAGGTCGTGGATTGGCCACAAGGGCTTCGGCTCTCCTCGTTGGGGTCGCTTTCGACCTAGGAGCGGATTTTGTAGGGGTTCGGAACCACGAATGCAATACCAGGAGCGGCCTGATCCCGCTTCGACTTGGTTTCGATTGCTTAGGGCCTCGAGAAATACCTGCGTGGGAACAACAGCTCTGGGATCAGCAATCGCAACCGGCGAGCAGATTCGACATAGTGTGGCGGACGAGTCGAGATATTTATCACAAAATTCGACAAGTTGACTTGTTGAAGCACGAGTAGTAGATTCTGGTAGCTGGAGGATGTTGGAGGCTGATTTTTAATACACTTCGAATGGACGCTTCTGTATGTACGTAAGCTATTCCCACTGGAATCACAAAGGCGCCTGATTACAAAACAATGCCTCTCCGACATTCTTTTCATACCTAGCATAACATCAAAGCGTCTTTCGTCTCAAATAACGAAACCTTTGTGAGTATATCTTCTCAATAAAATGCATCCCCCCCAATTAGCGTTCTAAACAGCCCTGTGCTCTTATATGGCATAGCAGCGTACCGATATAAAAGACACGGGCTCCGATACGATGGGACGATACGACGCTGGTAGGCTGACACACTGATACGATGCCGCCCAATATCCACCGCCCCTCATCATCACGACCCGATATAAATAGCCAATGGGAGTTCGGGTGCTCGACAGGAAGCCTGCTCTCGTGAAAGGGGTTCAACAAAATGTCACTTACCTGTCCATTACTCTGTCCGAAACTCCTGCCTTGGCTTCTCCTATCCATTCAACTATGTGTCGTATCCTCATAACCACTACGACTTATGCCGGATGTCCAGACACCTGCAATACACACAGTGGTCCTGTCATCACCGAAAACTGCCAGAAATTCACCGAAACTGGGGTTGAGTGCGCCGAGGCCGATTGCACGGTGGAATATGCTGGTCAATCAAAAAGTAAAGGCCAGTGCGACAAACACAAAGACAAAGCTACAGTGACGACAGCACTCGTTGAAGGGGCATAAAAGGTGGAAGTTTCAGGTTATTGCGATGGTGGCGGTGAAGGAACAAGGTCCTGTAAACTCTTTCAGCATGCTCTGCAGGACAAGGGTTGCAATTGTTAGGGTAAATGCTAACATGTCCATGATGTTGGTAATGTCAATTCATTATACTCAACCCGAATATTACCACCTGAGAAATTGACTAAATCGACTCAGTTAAAGTCTCTAGTGATCAAATACAAACACTCCTTCCGGTGCCCCCACATCGTTCTTTGCGTGTAGAGATCGCGCAAGGCGACTCCAACTCGGCGCGGGCTTCTGAGGGAGTCTCTTGGCATCCCGGCATTACATTTCATAGGCCAACTTTAATATTAAGGTGGTTACCTATCTTTCCGTTCCTGTAAAAGGTTGTTTTTAGAAGAACTAGCGTCTAGTGTATGGATGATCACTCTGGCCTATCGTTTAGCCGCCCTCCTAAACTGGGGTTGCTCATTTGCTATCTTAGCCTCTCAAGGATTACAAATGATTCAATCAAAGAGTTGACTCTGACGCTTCACGTTCTATCACAGACTCGTACTCGGTATCTGTTGGGATTGCCTTCAATGACCCATGTTTCTACCGTTTCTATCACGGGAGACGGATTCCTCGTCGAAGTGGTAATTTTTGGAAAGATTCTGGCCCAGATTTCATATATGGTCTGATGCTATATTGAGCGCAACCTTTTTTCTGAGTATGTTCGAAGTTTTTACGTGGAGAAACATGCTTATTTCCCTAATAACACTGATAAGCTCACTTGTTCTATTTGACTTCTCTATCGCTGCTCGTCTAGCTCTTTCCTGGATAACTTAATGAGTTGCTGCTGATCCTTCGTCGTCTGAATGGCAATAGGAGAGATATTTACCCATATCTCTGTAAATTTCAACATCTCCATTCAGGCATTCCATCTTGAACAGTCAATAGTGACTGTCACGAGTATAACATCTTATGGGGTACACGCCAAGAGAGTCTGCGCCTTTTTGAACAGCTGTTAGCTGCCGATTCCAGGTCTCTTTAAGTTATGTAAACAAACTTTTCCTGCATCATTAGATAACTAGAGGTTGATGAGTCATTCGTGATCATCATACTCCAATACTAAACCAGGGGACCATCTCCAGGAAACGTGAAAACTCATCCTCCCTCACACCCATTACAACTCTCATCGCCTGTTATGGATGCATCAAGCACGCCCACGGGGCAACACCCAAACCCGGCAACGCCCAACTCGGGGCACCACCAGGTTCGTCTTCCCCAGACATCTCACGCCCAAGCACAGGCTCACTGCCCCCTCTCAGGCCTCCACAACCGACTTGGTCCCCGGCCGGTACATCGTCCAGCTCCAGCCCGGCGTCGACTTCGTCGCGCACCTACAGAAAGTTCAGCGCCTCCTCGAGTCGTCTGGCGCACTGGGCGGTATCCTTCCAGACGCGCCCCTCGCAGCAATGGGCATATACATCGTTAACATTCCCTCAAACGTTGCCATTATCCTCAAGGCCGATAGGGACGTCAAACATATGCAACAAGACAAATATCTTCCTTTGGACAGTTCGTAATATCGGTTATCATGCTCTATTGTTAAAGCAAGAGGTGCCTTAACATGATAATACACCCATTAGAAGCCGTTGGGTTGCGGTTGCGCCTCAGAGATGCATTAGGAAGATGACGGAGAAGGTTAATTGCTAGTTCCTCTTTCTAGTTGTGCTTGGATGCCACGTCGTCGAAAGTCTGCCGTACCCTTAAAGATAGTCGAATCACTCGAGTTGTTTTCCAGGTATTCCTGGATATCAGAAGAAATAGAATTGGGCCCGAGTGGGAGCTCAAAGACCTTATCATACTCTTTCATTAGGTCAAGACAGAGAGCATAATATAATGAAAATACTAATTACAGCACTACCAGGCCGCCACATTAAAATTCCAAGAGGCTCAGTTGTCTAAGCACATGCAATTACATGCACGCAGAGCACCCGGCCTCCAAGTGATGAAGAGTACCTGTAGCAGAGCCGCAGAGCAACGGTCGCCAGAACGTCAAGCCACAACAGTTTGTCTTTTAATTCTCATACGACATGATCAATAGATGCTATCGGCGAGTCTTATCTTTGTTATAAGAATAAACGCCATACCAGAAGATATGAGTTTCCATTTTATTATGATAATGAAGACTATTTACATTTTGCGTCTAATCAAAAGACTCAACAAAGAATGGCTGCTTTACGTATCTACAAGCCCAACATTGTCTGGGAGAAAGAGGTCATACCGAACTGAAGTTGAGATGAGAAATCTACTACAGACCTAGTTCAACGGTTATCACTCGCTAGAGCTTAGAGTGCCCGCAGCAGGAATTTGCCATACAGACAATACCGTCATGACGTAACGCTTGGGTATAAGAGGCTGCATGTGCATATGTAAGGGTTGCAAGAAATATTAGTCTAGAAAACAGGAAACAGGAATAAAAGCCGAGCGAGTAAGTCGCAAGCATAAAAGATGGCTCCGAGTCATTGCACAAGGATATTGGACGCAGGAAGAAAATATACATACGTATATATGTTTGAAGAATGCTGCTTCAAGATATCATATGGGATCATTCTTCAGACTTATGAGCTTACATCATATTTACACTTCGTATCTAAATAGAACACACATTACACAGTTAAGGCTTGCAAGTTAGAAAACCTCTAGTCCTTCCACGATAAATACGAGACATCCCAAGAAAATTCATCTTCAAGACTACCTTTCAGTCTCCTAAGAGTTTCATTTTTGTCGAAACACGGCAATCACTTTGCCTACGTATCACTACATCCTTGCGAATGTGGCAGCGTTTCTGACTGGGGGCAAGAGCCTCATGCCATTTGGCTCAGTGAAGTTTGGTCAAGAAAATATTCAAGGCAATAAGTTCAGGTAGCCGACACGGTGAGAGTGGGTTAATCAGAGTTGTCTGGACCGTCAAGAACATCATCATCATGGGAATCGTTTAGACGTCCGAGGATGAATCTGCCTCTGACCGTTTCCTTTTGCGAGCCGGACGACTTGCTTGACCGGCTGCTGTGGGTGGCCGCGGCAGGCCTCGAAAGAACATGTCTGGGGTCTTAGCCCAGACGAAAGTTGGGTTAAGCCCAGTTTCCAGCTTCAACAGGGTTCGTATCTCCAAGTTGTCGAACCCAACGCCTCCAAGATGACCCATGCTCAGAAAGGACATCCACTCAGTGCCGAACATAAACTCGAGTCCTTCCAATCCCCACTTTGCCACTTGCTTGGTCGCGTGATGTCGTCGATTTCCCCATTGTCTGAGAGCCTGCGTAAAAAGGGACTGAGACTTGAGCACAGACATAGTTATAGCACTGGCATCCGCTGCTAGAGCGAGCTTGAAATCGACATTTGCTTCCAACAGTTCGTCATAAACATGCTTGACCCTAATCCGATCTCCTCTGAATCGGCCAGCCCTTAGTAAAGGATCAGCTAAAAAGACATTCATCCCTTTACAGTCAGAACACGAGCAACGAACTCCAGGGCGCGCCTGGCCAGGGCGCTCCGGGCATTGGCCCACCCATGTGTCGACATATACCTTCAAGATTGCAGAGAGCAATCTTGCCATCAACTGCTCTCTGTATTCTTCCAATATCAGTTCAAAACGTCTCCTTGATGGTATAAATTCCTTCACCAGGGGTATCCATAGAGTCTCGAATTCGGTATACGGTATCTGCGGCGCAGCTTCGACAATTTTAGAGACCACTAGTTCAAGAACCCCGTCAAATTGGTCTTCTGGGCTGAGGAGTTGATCGATGAAACAGTAAAGGGTTCTGAAATGGACTCCTGTTCCTTCTGCTCCAGGCCGAGGAAAGGGCAAAGGTTTAGCTTTGCCGTACTGATGCTCATATCGAGTCTTATCAAGCCTGCGTATGGAGCCCGCATCCTCCTCATCATGATAGCGATAGGTGCGACAGAAATCCGCATAACGGTATTCCATCCCGTCGTATGCATCGTGTATAACCTGTTGATCATTTTCCTCGATGTACTGCTCGTAGTCATCCCACTCCTTCTGGCCATCAAGGGTATCGGGATTAATATTATCCCGATCATCGAGATTATCAAGATCCATATTATCCCGATCGTCGAGATTATCAAGATCCATATAATCCTGCTCGTCGAGAATATCCTGATCACTATCATCGTGATTGTCATAATCATAATCGTTGTCGCTCATCATGCCGTCGACTGCAAAATTCTTGAACCTATCAAAGTAAGGACCACTGGTTATGCCACGCCATTGTTCGAAGTTGGTCGACACGATCAGAGACTTGGCTACCTCCCGAGTAAACTTCAGGCAATCCAACTTGAGCAAATATGAATACATGCCATAATGATGCACTTTGTGTATCAGGCCGAGTATTGCCGCTGTTTGACGCTCCAGGCCGATCTTATCTATGCTAACCAATTCTCAGTTTTGTATCTCTGCATGTAGGGAGAAGGACATGATGAGACGACTTACACTAGATGTAGAAACTCAAATGGATCGTCAAAATAAAGAGCAAATTCGGCTAATGCTCGCCCGTCTTGCACCACCAACTGTTTGTCTTTACAGGCCTCAACGCATGTGTTTAGAACGCGGCGAGCAAAATGAAGCATTCGTGTTGGGATCCCGTTAGATCTCGGCCTTGGTATTCCTTCGAATGTTGTTTGTTGTTTCTGGTCAATAGCTGTTTTGAGTGCTCTGAGTTGCTGTGCAGGTCGAGGATATGCGATTATCACATCCACTAATCTGTAGGTCAAATTGTTAACACGCCAAGTCTCTGACGTCGACCCGATTTCGCAATACTTACGCCTTTTCGATGGCTTCCAATTGTTCTTCCTCAGTGTATTCCGCAATGGAAAGCCACTTACAGAATCGAGGGAGGAAAGATTTAGGCAAATCGATGGCGTTTTGAACATAATGGCTGAACCAAGAATAGAACCCGAATTTGAGCAATGCATTTAAGACATCAAGAAGATCAATGTCGATCGGTGGAATCCTAAACCAGGACCCCTCCATCTGATCGGGCGTAGGAGCCATCATAAAGTTGCAAATTTCCTTAAAAATGATCGCTGAGCTTGGAGGAGCATCTATCTTTAAACAGGCTCTAGCATAGATCCCGAACAATGCCCAGGCGCCATCTTCAGAATGGGGGCGACCATATTGGTTATACCCATAGAAAAAAGAGATAACATTAGCATGGGGGATAAGAACAATAGCCTAAGCATGGTTAGTTTGGAGGTGAGATAAAGAAGCGAAACAACCCACCACTCGGGGAGAGCTAGCATCCAACAGGCTGAGTACTCCCTTTGTAATAAGGCCATCATTAGTGGCTTTGCAGCCAGCCAGGCTATATATCTGCGCATTGTATTGTTTGGACCGATCGGCTTTACGGTAAGGAGCTGCGTCGCAACTCACCCTCTCTTTCTTGACGACTGCGAGAAAAATCTCAAAGCAAAGTTCGTCTGAGAGGCTCTTAACATGCTGAAGCAGAATATGATCTTCTGGTACAAGATTATTTATCGAAATCGCACATGGTTCATATTCTTCTTGAAATGGATAATACATTGCTGTTTGGCGGCGCGATCCGGAGGTTTTGGTAATCCACTGCTTCAGAGTGTGGCGGAGAGGCTGCAACTCACGTCTCGGCAGCTCAAGTTTCGCCGTGTCAAGCTTCGTATCGGCATTAACACTAAAAGTTAAAAGCCATAGATAGCCTGACTGTATCGGAAGCGATTCAGTCTTGTAGTGCCAAGTTGTAAACGATTGCGCCGCTCGATTCGGTGCAAAAACAACCGTTTCCGTCTCCCCGTCCTTGAACGCGATCTCGCCGCCTTCGTGTTTAGACGGCAGAAACACAACCAGGCTACCTATGGAGTCGGGTTCCGGGGGCCTATTTTGCCAATGTTAATTAAAATGATGATAGATGTTCAAAAGCAGACTTCAACCAACAGAAGATGTTCACCATATCTCAATCCAGACTTCATCAAAATCATCGTAGAAGGTGTCGCTCGGAGCTGTGTAGTCACGCCGAGATTGCGCGAAGCCTGATTCAAAAAGCCTTGAATAGTATCTGTCCATATAGATTCATCCAAAGCGAAATCTGTCGCCTCAAGAGTCGCGATATATGCGGTGTCACGGGCGTGGGCACTGATTTGCTGAGCTTGCTTCTCGTCAAGAGGCATGGCAATGTTGCCAACTCCTTTGACAGACACACCGCCAAGAGACTCTGGTAGTGTATGAAGAGAAAGAAGGCTCCCAGCCTTCCCCAGGCGCCCCATGGCGTCCCGAAGTTCGGCCTCGATGTTTTCATCGTATTCATCTGTGCTCAGGTCACCCAAACCGCTTTTCGCATCATCAACAACAACATCAACATCATCAAGAGTATCGTGCTTCGGGTCTAAGGTGGCGATCATTGGTTCTGCAAATTGATCATCCATCAAAGATAGTACATATCTATCAAAACAGCGATTTGGTGAGAGTTGGGACGCAAGAGACGGTGTCGGCTGGTGTAGAGGCCCATTAGTGGGGAGTCAGCTAGCGTTACATAACATTGAGGCTGTCCATTGATTGGATGCTTGTAAGCACCAGTTTATCAGCCAAGGTGCCGATATATTCAGGGGTAGCAGAGAGATCTAGCTGAAGCTCCACTCTTTGTGTCACTGCTACTCTTGGAACACTGTTTGGTATCTATTTCGGATTTTCACGTTAAGAAATACTAATATGGGGCTAATATCAAGAATTTATGAACCTGCGTCACTCCTCTTTTGCATCCATATAAGCGTAGGTACTAATAAAACCATCTATGTGCTATAATCGCGTTCTCCATCCCTGCAGGCTTCTTGGCAAGATGAGTGTGAGCATTGGAAACCAAATATAACCCGCATCACAGCGCACACATTAACCTGAAACCTTGACTTTCATACTCATTGATGGGATCATTCCAACGTTGTGCCGTTACGGGATCTTCATTACCTTCCGTAAGCAAGCAATCTGGGTATCCCCCAACGATATCATACTGAGCTTTACCAGGTAGCTAACATCGGATTCCTTCCTCATCCTATACGGCCCCAGAGCCACCAGAGTCCCGTCGTCAAATCCGGGGCTTATACAAAATACAATAAAGATCGTGATCCATTGGACGCTCCTTTGTCTATTGAACTGCTTGACATCCTTTCCAGTCACGTTCTGCGCATTTCTACGAGTTTGTTGCGCAAATTTCTAGGCGCATTCTTCACTCCCGTCGATAATTGCAAGAAAGTCATGAAGTACTAGTTCATTTACGAGTGTTTCAAGAATCGATGTATGAAACAAGTCCTGCTTCTTGAATAGCACTCGAGGAACCCCCCCTCGCACACAGTCATAGCAAACGAGATGATAAAAGAGGCTCATGTAAGTCATGGTTCCAGAGCTTCGTGAGCTTGTTGCTGCAAACGACCAGACCTCTAATAAACAGACTGAGATTGGGCCAACCTGTCGAAGATTCAAATTGGCCCTCTCAATTTGAGGTCAACATGCACCTTAGCCAATGTGCATCTGTTACGGGTCTAAAGTTCTTGCACACGCTCATAAGCGTACAGTGTTGTAGGGTTTCATGGCCACGGTGTAGCTTTATCACTGTGTTTGAAGGACAAAGACGCTTATTATGAGAATGAAAGAGTATCCCGCCAAAATCTGAGCTCAAATCGCCTTCTTTCCTGGAAGCTTCTTTCTCAATTTGGCTGCGATTTGGTTAAAAAATCACATTCTTAAGTGGAGGTGAAAGAAGCGACGAACCCGCGATAGTGCATCTTAGAACTCCATCTTGAACAGGTAGGAAGTAAGGCTGGGAAGAGTAAGAGGTAGTGTCCCAAACTCGTTGCCATGCCATATTCTTTGCTACTATAATCTCATAATGGTTGGTTTCCCTGTTCTTTTCTTTCGTTTTGTTTCTTTTTACCCGTTCCTGACTTCTTCCCGCCGGTTGTCATCGCCGATCTCCAGTGCTACCACACCACAGTAGCACGCGCTTACACGGACAACTACCCGCAATTCTGTAACATTTTCATGCAGGCACTCATCCAATCCCATCCGTTTAATCAAATTTCTTCAGTATTTATTATAATTCTTCTCGTCTCTCCCTTTTGCAGTATCATTTCCCTCCAAACATACAAACCTCTTGCCACGCGTCAGACGCCGCCCCCAAACCGGCAACTGATCAGCAATGACGCTCTCAGCGTGTCATCTACAGTGGGGAACTTTTGAGCGCCTTGCTCCTCCAAAGCCACTATTTCCAGGTTTTCCAAGGTACCAGCCCGCGCCGCCGTGAGTTTACCTGTACTTGCACTCATTGATCCTCTCACAAGCAAGAAAGGACATGCCATCCCTGTCGGCGAGAGCCTGAGAAGGAGGTCAGCTAATTTACATAATGCGAGAGCACATGCGAATAGTACATGCAGCTTGTACTTTATGCTAGTAGATGGAGGCTGAGACCATTTAAACAATGAGAGCATCAAACGTCATTGTTCGGCGCCATACTCGTGACGTCACAAGATGGCATTCTTAATGCATGAGTTGATCACCATTGAAGTAGTCGATGGATGAGAATTTATTTCGTGATGGCTTCTTTTTCTCTCTCTTTTTGTCAACACTCTTCATCTCTAACTGACTACCACTACTACTAATCAGCTGCTCTGTAACAATCCGTCCCCATCAATCAACGTAAGTATCGTAGAAACCCTCCTCACAACACCACTAACACGAACACCACCAGCCAACTCTCACCACCACCACCCAAAAAAAAATCCATCAAAATGCCGGCAATGAACGATTGGCTCCGCGACGACCTCTTCGGCAAAGAGCACGACCTCTGCACCGCAATCACCTCCGCCAACCCCGCCCCCGCCGTGCTCAAGCTGTGCGCCCCCGACGCCGCCCTCATGTTCCCCAAGATGGACATCATCACGCCCGAGGACGAGGACGACTTCAAGGACGCCATGAAGGCGCCCTTCCACCGCTTCGACGACTACGAGATTGAGGACATGCGCGCCCACTTCATCGGCCTCATGGGCGGCGTCGTCACGTACAAGATCCGCGCGACCAGGGGCAAGGAGAAGTACAACGCCACGGCCTCGTCGACTTGGAACCAGGGCGCTGATGGGGAGTGGCTGCTTGTCTCGCATTCTGAGACGTTGATGTAAATGGGGGAGGGATTGGGATATTACATGTACCAGCCGGTTGTTTGATGGCGCAATGGCTGTGCTCTTTTTTTTTTTTTAATAATCATTTGGAACGAAATAATCTGATTTACGACCCTTCATCTGTTCTTTTTTTTCTGTAATATGAGCTGCTCTCATCGAGTCAAAATACGAGAGTTATTCATGTACTGTACATGTGCAAATATACATCAACTATCTTCTATCACACAAGATGAGTCTCTCTCTATCTGTGAATCCTTCTAATAAAGAGCCTCCATTCGCATCTTTATATAATCCATACAATTCACCGGCTCGTACTTCTTCGACCTCTCAGGCCCCCAACATCCAGGCACACAATCCACCGTCTTCTCCATATCCGCAACTACGAAATACACAATCGAATATCTCTCCTTCGTCGTCTTATCCTTCGGAATCTCTCCCTCGCCCACCAACGGCGGAGCCTTGACCCGATGCATCGTCGACTTCAGCACATCATTACTCCACCGCATCAAAAAGTCCCCAATGTTCACCACCGCCGTGCCAGGTATATACGGCGCCGGAATATATTTCCCCTTCTCACTGACATCCTCCACCTCCAGCCCCCCAACATCATCCTGGAACAGCATCGTCATGGTTCCGAAATCCGTATGCGCGGCTATCCTCTCCGCTTTCCCCTGCCGCAGAAGATTCTCTTCGATGGCCGGATAATGCAGCAGCCGGATCTGGTTATCCTTCTTCACATGGTACCCCACGAAATACTCCTTCTCAAGCCCCATCCCCAGCGCAATGAGCCTCAGCAGCCCCGTTTCAGCAGCATAACAAATCTCATAAAACTTGTGAAAGAACTCCCGAAACCCTGGAAGAACGTCTCGCGGTATCCACACGTTTGCCATTCGTGCTTCGTCGTCGTCACGTCCCATATCAAACGATTCTTTCACATCGGGTACGCTCCGTGCGGCGGCGAGCGACGCCTCGTCAAAGATCATCTGTGACACCTTTTCTTGGCCCACGCTTGAGTAGCCGCGGTGATGCCATGCCTCTGGTGGATGAGGAGCCAGATCTTTGTCGCTTTGCGGGAGACTAAAGAACTTGCGATTCTTGGTGATTAACGTTAGTCGAGATTCGTTGCCTTCTTGAACAGTTTTTGTTTATGAGGCATATAGGCACCATAGGCACAGTTTATTATGAGAATCGAGGTTGATACGACATACCCATTTAAACGCCTCATTAACAACATCCTCAGGCACGCCGTGATTCTTCACATATGCAAAACCAACATTTTTGAAAGCCTCATATAACTTTTTAGCCACAATTTGGACATCCTCATCTGAACCAGATCGAGCTGGTGCAAGATCGATTACGGGGATGCTCGAGTACTGATCAACGCTGCTTGGCATCTTTCGATTCTCAGATACTCTCTCACAAGCGCAAACAATAAAACTGTAGAAACAAGCATGTCATCAAATCGAATGTATTACAGCATATTCTTAGAGGTGACAATTCGCGCAATCATCTCACGTCGCATTTATGAGCACGAGGCTGTGACGTACCACAATGAGGGGATACCACGTGCCGATGTGACAACCAAAAATCCTCCAGCATTCCTCATCATACATAACACATGTACTTTATTCTCACTACGCTCAAAGATTCATAATGCATCCGTACCAACAGAAATTAATTCTATTAAACATATAGTATTCGAATACGTGCATTCTTGGTATCTGAGAGAAGTAGAAAAGAAAAGAGAACAATAAGGAAATCCAGGTATCCATCAAATATAACCAATCCATGCCCAAGTCATCGTTCCAGCGACAACAATCTTGCGTCTATATGCTTCCAAACATTTCCTTCTACAAAGTTCGTTGATGAAAGTCGAATCATAAATCATACTCCCAGCGGCTCCTTCGCCTCTGGTGGTAGAATTAACGTGTCCGGATACGTGTTCAATGCCTGTCGCACTCCTAATTCTCGTCCAATATAGAAGAGGAGGCCCTCTGCAGCGAGTCGCTGCTCCGATCGGCAAATGTCCATTACGTACACGGAAATAAGTGGCCATATGACTCGCAGGGCATCAAACACCGTTTTGGGGGATTTGTCTTTTCCACTGGAGAGGGGTCCGATTACACGTGGGACGCCCTCTAGAATCCCTTGCGCCGCATTCTGGGCTGTTTTGACGCTGTACTCTCGATCCTCCTTGAGCTGCTCGAGAGGAATCGGGCACGGGGGGTAATGTGTGAGAAAATTGATGAGGAGCCGCATAACGTGATACCCTTTGACGATGGCGGAATGGTATAGGCTTATTGCATAAATCTCCAACACGTGGCTCCCGACATAGTTCTTTTCTATCCACTCTTCGAATTCCCGTTCGGCAGCCTTCATCTGAGCAAAGAGATCAGGATATTCTTTGGATGCCCCTGGAAAGTCACGACGTCGGAGGAGATTGAAGATACGAGCTTGAACGCTACAAATCTTGATGATAAAGTAAGAGATAGCCAGCCCTAGGCCCTCGCCCGGATATAGCGATAGTGACCGTTCTATTGTTGCGAGCCATTCCTTGGATTCCGGAGGACACTCTGTATTGGTGACGAGAGCTTGAATTTGCTACATGTTGGGTCAGCACATGGAACAAGCCTTACTACGAGATGCATTATACCTACCACCATGCTATAGGCTGGCCAGAAAGATTTGCGACCATCAGTTTTTAGTAGAGAGGCGCAACCCCTTGCCTTGAGGATGCTGTATAACCCACGGGCGTGTAAATGCCATGGGCTGAGGACCTCAGTGCGAGAAAGGGAGCCAATGAGCAACTGTTGGCTGGTGAGATTCTGCTCCTGGGAATTGTCCGATTTAAATGCATGATATCAAAATCTTACTTACCTCGTAATTCGTAAGAATCCATACCGTGGCGAGAATATCATCTCGTTGAGCACCTTCAGGCGTCTTGAGTGCCTCGCTGACTAGATTCAGGGTCTTGCCTAGGTAACCGCCCAACTCGCGCTGCGTCTCAGCATCGGAGTCCCTGCTCAAAGCCGTCGAGTACTGCATGTTAGTCACGTAGGTGCGAGAAAAGAGATGGGCAGCCCAGATGAGGGGCCCGTCATCTGTGTAGTCGCGATACATGTCTTTGATGAAGTCAAGGTTGGAGTAAACATCGAGGATGATGGGAATGGAGTGCGACGTCCAGTGTTCATACACTGGCCGGAGGAGCGGAGGCCGCGCATTGTAGTTGGCGCCGTTGACCAAGACGAGGTCCGTTGAAGAGGTGAAGACAAAGTCTCCGTTCGGGGAGAGATTCGGCGCCGAGAGCACTCCTCCATCGGATGACGAAGACGAAGACGAAGACGACGATGACTGGCTGCTAGGGGACTGCGGCAGTGGCGCGCGCTTCTTGCGCTTCTTGACAACGGTAGGGTCGGCGTTGCGGAAGACCAGCTCCTGCTGATCCCGATATCCCGGGCACTGGGCGCCGTATTTGATGCATCTCTGACAGGCGGGACGGGCAAGGTCGCACTACATGAGACGGATGTGTAAGTAGGTAGAGCAAGGAGCAAACGCAATACGGCACGGAAGCTGATGGGACAATCCCCGATCCGAGCCAACGCAAGCAAGCAAGCTGATGGCGGCTGCCAAGCACCAGTCATGAGCCAACGAGCAAGTGACACACATCGACAGCCTTGCAGGCCGCAGACCCACCCGAATGCGATTTACATATATATCCCTGCCTCTCTCTCCCCTTGGATTCGCATCATCCATACATTGACACCACATATAAACCACTGACCTTGACTCGCCGCTGGCGGCACAGGTGACAATCCCGGCTAGGTCTGCCTGTGTTGGGCATGGCGGCACGGCGTTTCGCTCTCGCTCTCTTCAGTCGCACTCACTTCACAAGAGAGACGGCCAGCGCGGTTTTAGGCATGTCGCCTGGGAGGCCTCGTCTGGAATTCTGCAATGTCTGCGATGCGATGAGACAAAGAGGAAATGCCATTCGAGGTGGGGGAGCTGCGTCCTTGGCGGCCCGCTGCGGCATTGGGCCAATCAACGGCGTCGGCGGACATGAGAAACGCCGGCTCCGCTTGGGGGGAACCACGTGAGGGGCTGTTTGGAGGAGCTCAGCCTCTGGAGTTGACGTTTGGAACGACGTGGGAGAGGGTACGCTATCCTGCAGACTGGGGTGAAGTTGTACGTGTAATTGTGGCGCGTTGACAGTGTTTCGTTACATGGCTTTAGAAGTTGCTGAAACACCAACACCGCCATTATCTAAGCTACAGTATTGTATATCCATTCTAGTGCTCATCATGGTTGAATAACTGCTTCCACTCCAAAACACACAGCCGTCACAGTAGAACCCCCCCAGCCTCGGTACCCTCGCCCCCTCGGCAGAATCCATTCCGTGATTTTGTAATCATCTTGGAGACCTGGAAAAATATCCCCAAAATTCACAAACCCAAAACTCTCAACATTTCCCCATTCAGCCACACCCGGAAACCTGCCACCCCATGCTCTACTCCCAGCCACGGCAGTTAGAATAAAACAGCCCCCATCCACAGAAACGTTCCGCCATCAGAAAAAAACTCCGGATAGGCAACGACTCGTTAACTTGCCTGGTCCGCCACCAATTTCCTGATTCGGCCATCCCCTCGCATCTGAATGGCTGCAAGCTACCCCACCTTCGTTTAACAAGACCTCGGATAGACCAATTCGTTTTCCCCTCTCGTTCTCCCCCTCCTCCGTCACTTACACCCCTTTCACAAACCACAAAGCCCATTGTCTAGATTGCTTCATTCCACCCCATCTTGAACATATCATCGCCGTGACCATCCTCGCCATGCCGCACTACGCAGACCGAAAAGACCTCTTCCCCATGCAAGGCGGCTGTCCCTGCGGCCACATCCGCTACCAAGTCAACCTCCCACCCCTCATCGTCCAGACCTGCCACTGCACCCTCTGCCAGCGCCAAATAGGCAGCGCCTTCGCCATCAACGCCATCATCGAATCCTCCGCCATCACCCTCCTCCCGTCCGCCCCCCTCACCACCCCGCCCAGCAAGGCCGACGCGCAAGCCTCGTCTTCTCCAGCCTCAGGCACTGTATGCGGCGTCCTCCCCGCCTTTGCCGACTTCACCAACGCAGCAACCACAGCGACTGTTCCCCAATCCACTGCTGCTGCGCCAAGCTCTCCCATCCTAGTGACAATTCCAACCCAATCAAAAGTCGGCCAAACCGTCGCCCAGTGCCCCCTCTGCCGCGGCAGCCTGTGGAACTACTACGCAGACGGCGGCCTCTTCATGACCTACCTCATCACCAGCACCCTCGACCACCCCTGGGAGCTCGAGCCCGACGTGCACATCTTCACCCGCAGCCGCAGGGATTTCGTCACCATCAACGACGGCAAGCCCCAGTTCGAGGGCCAGTACCCGGACAGGTCCGCCTTCTTCAGGCCCGACTGCAAGGCCAGAGTCGACGCCCTCTTGGAAAAGCAAGGCGCGTGGAGGAAGCAGCTCAAGGCTGCTTACAAGGCTCAGTTTGCCAAAATTTAAACATCTCGAATCGCTAGGTATAGGGAAATGATCATTGCATGCACAAGCAGGGAACAACGGACCTCGTTTTTGCTCATGATTTTGTGTATTTAAATCGAAATCTTAACGCCCACCACAACCTCAGTTTCAAGTCAGGGGTATTTATCCATATATTCGTCCACATTTCCGTGCCTCCCTTCTTATTGGGGTCCCTACATCGATAGGTCCCGCAAGCGAAATGAACATATAAAGTCCCAAAAAGTACCAAAGAAATTCCCAACATGAATAAAACAGGCCGCAGCAACATAGCCAAGTGCCAAGTCAGCCATGACACCAGAGCCATGTCTCCCGATGGGGGGTATACCGGTAATGTCTCTTTGCTTTATCCAGATCGAAACCTCTCTTTTTTTTGAATGATAATTATGATTGTTCCTGCCGTGGAGCAGATACGTGTAAAAAAAAACGTGCCAAAAGTAATTTCTGCTATCTTTCTTTTTCATATACCGTCTTGAAATTTCGACCAAATTAACCAGTGCATAAATAGTCCCGTGTTTCAAAATCATGCCAATTACCGAAAAAAAAGAAGAAGAAGATACGCTGTATCAAGATGTCGAGCCTCGCCAACGCCAGTTGAGTTTAGGTCATATAAAAGGTAAATAGCACGCCATATATGCCGCTCGTAAAGAAATCCAAATATGAAGAAGAGGTCGGTGGGGAGAGAATGTGTTTGAGAAGAAGATGAGATATAAAAGGGAACTAGGGAGTTGCCGTTACTTGAACGTGATAATAAATGAGTTTTGCATCGTTTGTTGCTGTTTTTTTCTTCTTTGGCTTGAAACTGCCCCAAGGACTAGCCACCCATCTTGCGGAATCCCTCGACGCCAAGCAGCGGCACTTCAACTTCACTCAGCGAGCCAATGCCCTCGTCGCGGCGGCGCTCAACAAAGTTGTTGCACTCCGCTATCACGAGACTCCACTCGGACAACGCACGTCCCGAGTAGACCAAGTTCTTGACAAACGCGCCAGCGGGCTTTACAGCCTCTGGCTTGGACTCTCCCTGCCTTTCTTCGTTCGGCGTCAGGTGGACGATGGGGGAAGGAAGAAGCCTGGATTCACTGGGCGTTGAGGCGCCGCTATTTGTCTCGGAGCCGCCGCTAGTAGGCGGAAATTCTTCTGGTATTACCCCGCCGCTGAGAGATAACTTGCGACGAGATTCTGTGACTGGCGAACTAAGCGGGCTTGCATTCCTTGCTGCTTGCACCAAGCCACCCTGTGAACTGCCAGAAAACTTCCTCGTGGGTATCATGAGTGGGGGGAGGGTCGGGCCACCCCCACGTTTTGCCTGGAAGCCAAGCCTGGCCTGGGCCGGTGTAGGGAGTCTGGGGCGTGCGAGAATGCGGTCTATCGGAGACGGCTGCTGGTTGGGCTGCGGCCAGCCCAGAACAAACTTGAAGGTAAACTTGGGCTCTTCAAAGACCGGGTTCGAGCCATCAGAGTCCACGCTCTTGTCGGATTTGGCCGTCCTGGGTGGGCTGGCAGAAGCGTTCTGTCGCGCCCGAGAGTTTGCAACCTCGCGGCGGGCATTCTGAAGTCCGTCGTCTGTAGATGGTGAGTCCGTGGTGGTTTTGGTGGTAGGAGAGGCCGTTGAGCCGAATGTTAGTAGCTTGAAAAAAGACCACTTTTTCTTGGGGTCATTCTTAGCCAGAAGGCTTGCGTCGGCGCTGCTGTCGCTGGTAGGCGAAACTATGCTTGACGCCTTGGTGAAGGTATCAAATGTCACAAATAGGCCCGGCTGGGGTACACTGATTTCCTGACGTATGATGATGAATCGCTTTCCCAGCGTAGGCGACATTGGTTCCGTGGCGGGACCTGGTTGGCCAGCTTCCTCGGCAGCCTGCTGAAGATATAGATAATGCGACCAAACGCTCTTGAGCCTCTTTGAAACCAGCGCGAATATTTCCCTATACATACTAATTAGCCCTTGATTCTGTTGCAAAATATTTACTGGTAGGATTCTTTCGACTTGCATGTCTGTGTCATTCTGGCTACCCTGGTCGCGACAGATTCTCCAGCAGAGAAGACGCATGTAATACGCTCGCACCATCGGGCACCAGTTGTTGAAGAAAGCGTTAAAGGTTTCTTCAGTCAACAGCCAGTCGCGGCACACCATCATCTTCTGCTCGGGGTCTTTGGCGATGGCATCCCATATCGTAAAAATGAAGGAAATCATTCGAATTTCTGAAAGAGTGTTGAGCGATGTCAAGGCCAGTTTGCAAACCTCGACCCAAAAAGGCCAGTCAATATAACATGTTGGGTGTTCAGCCGTCTCAGCCCGATGGTAGATGAGGATAACCTCCTCCAATAAGTCACACAGCGTCGAGCACGCGGTGCTGTTGTATCTAGAAGTCCTGCTCGCAGCAGCTTTCAACAGCGCAGAGAAGGCTTCGGCGAATGTATGTCTCGCCCCCGGATACAGAGAGGCACTATCTGACAAAATGTCTTTTAACAACACGACCAGTCTATTTTCCGCCATGCTCTTCATCATGTTGTTTGGTGGCATAGGCATTTGCAAGGCTGCTGCTTCAGCTCCCCGAGCCGAGTTAGCCAAGGCAGAGCCTTGAGGCTCAAAGGTAGCCTGGCGGTGGATGGTGCCATCCAGAATCGACAAGAGTTGTGCGTGAACAAGAACGAATGCAGGCGAGTGTGCCTTTTCAGTCAAAGAGAGGCCCTCAGGCATAAATTGGTCGGACAATATGTGAAAGTGTCTGCAAAAGATGAAGAGAAGATCAGTATCGCGACCTTTCCACCGCATCACCCAGGGTCCCGTCCATGGCACTCTCGCCACAAGCAAAGGCATCTTTGGGATGCGTTTCAGAGTGCTCCACATTCCTCGAGGCGAAGACCAAGCCAAGGAACTCAACCTCGGTGGGAATGAGGCTGTAATTTCCCCGTCAACCGGCGCACTGCTGCTGCTGCGACCCAGGCCCATGCTTTCGGCGACACGGCGAATCAGGTCAGGCGTCAGCCCCCAAAGCCTCACCAAGATATCAGACACGCCAGGTGCGAAGAAGAAGGCGTATGCGCACGTCTTGCCGGCGAACTCGATCAAGCTTGGGGGCACGTGGCGGAGAGACATCTTTTCGACGACAAAGGCCATCTGCCTCACCAAGTTGGACACAAACATGGTCCTAATGTTGTGCTCAGCCGACTCTGCCAGCATGGCGGATTGGTTTGAGCTCTGCGACGAGTTGGATGAGTTGGTGGACGACCTCGGCCGCGTCCGGTCTTGAGGGGACCGCTCCGACAAGGGCATAAAGTAAGACGTCGCCTGGCGCCACTCCAGCCGCATCATGATGGTGGTTGCCGTCTCGAAGAGCAGCTGCCGGTCAAGGCCCGGGACCGGCTGTTGGTGTTGCACCTCGAGCATGTCGAGGACGCCGCCCCACCACTTGTTGAGGATGGAAGCCCTGCAGTCGACATCTTCGGGCCGCAGACCGCCAAGTGACTGCTGGCTGGTGGTGCTCTTGAGAAAGGGCAGAAACAGGGACTGGATCAGAGCGCACTGCTGGGCAACGGCCTTTGAGGCGAAGCCGCGAAACTCGACGTCCAAATTCTTGAACTGCGACCACAGGGGATCGGGCATGCGCGCTGGCATTTCGCTCGACGACTCATCGGTGGTGAGCGCCGTGGAGTTGGTCTCTGCAGAAGAGGTGGACTGCGAGACATGCGTGTCGATGCTGCTGGAGCCCGGCTGAGCCAAGCTGGTGGCAGACGAGGCGCAGCTAAAATCGGAGCCAATGCTGTCACTTGTTTTAGACAACGTGGACGCGGGTTTTTGCTTGATCCTGGAGAAGTAGCTGGTGGCACGAGCGAAACCCTTTGTCGCGGGCTTAGCACCCGAGTCAACTAAGCGGGTTTGGCTCGTCTGATTGGTCGTAACATCCTGGATGCTGGCCGTCACAGCCCGTTTCAGCTGGTAGCGGTTCGACTTCGCTTCCTGCTTCACGCTCGTCGCGGCTGGGGCGTCTGGTTGGGTTTTGGGCAGCGAGCGCGACGACGGAATCCACGACCTCTTGGTGAAGCTGGCAAAGCTCGCAGACGTGGATTGGGAGCGGTCGCGGGCCGCCCGGCGAGCTGCCTCGTCGCTGTCCATGGGCACTTCGTTTGCTGTAGCGGGCCGCCGTGGTTCGTCGAACGGGGGAGCGGTGTCCTCGTCGTCCTCGTACTGGGTATCGCGGATGGTGGTCAAGCTGCGCAGCCACGAGCGAGGCCCATCGTTGGAGGAGGCCGCAGATTTTGTGCGTAGATGTTGCAAGGTTGTCGGTGGAGAAGGGGGTTTGGGGTCGACATATTCGGAGGAGAGAGTAGAAGGGGGCAGCTTGGCCTCTAGAGCGAGCGGAAGAGAGATGTCGAGCTTGAGGTCCAAGTCGGAGCTGAAGGAGGGTATTTCAAATGTCGCGATCTCGGCCAGGCCCTTCATATCCAAGGCTGTATGGTCGGTCGAGATGGGTTGGCCAAGTGAGGGCGACTTGGCTCGCGATGGCAGTGACGGAAGATCGGGAGAAGAGTGGGATCGTCGAGAGAAAGAGAGGGAGGAGATTTCGACGGCCGGGGCCATGATTGCCGTTCCACTCATTGCATGACCAGCACCTTGGCGGTTTCTGGTCCTGATGCTGGTTCAGATGTTGGCCGCAGGATCCGACGAGTTCCGCAAGACGCTGTCGCCTTCCAAAGCGCCTGTATCGACCCGTAAAATCTGCCCGAATTAATTCAACATTCCTTTTGAGCGAGTGTCTGGATGGAAGCAGCGGTTTGGAGCGCAGAATGGGAGAGAGAGTGCCAGACTCAAGGCCGCATGAGAAGCGAGGGGGGGGCCTGCAGGGTTGTGATGCAACGAGATTGAAAGCCGGTGCTAAGGAGGCGAAAAAAAAATACTGCAAATCACGATAACGATAGACAAGCAAGGCTTCCTGGAACGGTCTGCAACCGCATCGAGAGAATTGCCACGGCAGCCTGGCCGATTGGGAAAAGAAAATGCCGAGTCGTCGATATACAAGGCCAAGGCACAAAGGGAGCTGCACAGAAGGCCTGCCGATTGCGCCCAGGGGAGCGGAATGACGGAGACGGGCAGATTGGATGCGGCTGCCGGTGGCGTCGGCTAGTGAGCAAATCCCTACAGCGCCAATGGGGGAGTTTTTTTTCTTCTTGTTGTTTTTGGCGAGATGCCCGGACGTGGAATTGGATTAATTAATTAAATACAGTAGGTGTGCGAACTCCATTCAGGGGATCGGGCCTTGCACTAGAGCTCTTTTGAGTCTCTTTGCCAGCGCCAGCACCAGCGCTAAGCTTGACGACTTTTGAATCAATAGTTGAGATCATCACGCTTCCAAGGACAAAGCTGCCCTGGGCGCTTACAGGGACGTGAAGCATTCAATCGTGTACAGTACAGTAGCACGCAGGTTACTTGAACAGGAAGCGCCACGGCGAATCGATGCGTCCAAGGCGCTCAATGCTCCGTCTTGGCCGTTTTCGCGCCAATTCCGGGCTGCATTGACGACGAATCCGGGCGAAGCGAGGCCTGATTTCTCTACATACTGTACTTCCCTGTCGCCCGCTCTCGATCAACACAACGCAGCCAGCGACAAAATGGTAAAAAGGATAAAGGAAATAGGAAACAGGTAGGGGGGAAAAGGAGAATTCTACATTCGTTCGCAAGACGTTCCAAACGGTGGCTTCGTCTATTAGCGTAACTACCTAGCTGCCGTCCGCCAAGTCCATCCAAGCCATCAAATTTTAAGTCGCATCGCGAGTCTCCGGCCGTTGCCCACCTTGGTAAGTATCGAGAGCTAAGACAGCGGGTGAGCCGTGTCGCGATGGGCTGAGCTGGACAGATGTCGAGAAACGTAGACAAAGATGGAGACAGTTTGATCTTCAATGACTTCGGTTTCATGGACAAAGGCCATCCCGATGCGATACACTGTTGCATCGTCTTGACTGTCTCTCCGAGGTGCAGGGCAGACGGACGGCATCCGCGCCATGTCTTGGTTCACTGACTGCGCTCGTCCATATCCTGAGACATGGACGGTGAACAAGTGAACAACAATAACAACATCCAATATCCTCGTAGCATAACTTCCCCGCAAAAAAAGTGGCGCGACGGCCACGAATCACCAGTTCCGTCTGCGATGCAAAGGCATCATACGGTTGTCCGACTCCGACGACTCACATCAAACGCCCTACTGTTGCATGTTGCATCCTCCTGTAGGTGTGCCGTCATCCCAAGCATCAGCACTGCAGATCTCAACAGTACGTGTCTCTCCGCAACTTCATTCGCCACAGCCCCTATGAAAAAAGCGCAGATCAATTTCGTCACCTTGTTTAGCCAAAGGCATGTTGAATTCGCCCCTTATGAATGAATGCTACTGCGGCATGTGAGAAGACGCCGCAGATGCCGGGCATAAGATGAAAGATGAGACGAAAGAACAAAGATAGGTACCTTCTGTCCGCGGAATGGGCTACTGCACGGAGTACTCCGTACCTTGATACAGGTACGTGACTCGCACAGGCATGAGCTTTCGGAAGAAAAGAAGAGAAAAGACGGGAAACGGTTCCACAGCTATCGTGCCATAATTAGGGATGATTGAGTGTAATTAAATGCCCCATTAAAGGTACATGCAGTGAGATGCGTGAATGCGCCGCCCTGCAGTCGTCATAAATAGGTGCTCGATGAACTGTTTGGAACCCACGTGCATGTAGGTACTAACCCATGGTACTGTAATAAATGATTGAAGTTGACCACTTGGATTGTACGGAATACTCGTATGAGTGAGTGCTCCATTAGTAGGTAGGCCTACCGAGGGAGTAAGAGTTTAGAGTCAACATTCAATTGCGTTCATCTGCATAAACATGGAAGCTTTATCGCACTCGCATCACGGCATTACTCTGTGTGTGCGCCGTGCAACGCTCATTACTGTTATCAATCAAAATCACGCCGCATGCAAGCCCTGTTTCAGATCTCTGTTGTCTCACAGCTCAGCTCTCTTCCGCGCAGTTACGTCAATACGTATTGGCCATTGCTTCACAGCACATGAAATGAAAGACAGAGAGATAAGCAGGGCAGACACGGATCAAACTAGACACCCAAACTACCTGTGCTCGCACTTCGGACTTCAAACTATGGGGTACAAGAAACCAAGCTGAACCGCAAGAGGGGCTTGACCTGGAACAAGTGCGTCCGAAGAGTCCAGTCCGCGGAGTGGCCCAAACCTTTTGGCGATGGGGCTTGGTCGCAATAGCTGGGAGTAGTAGCTCTTGGCAAGCACAGGCGCGGCCTCTAAGATGACTATGGTTCAGAGGTTGCTTCCATGAGGTAGCATTAGGTGGCAAGGACTCGGACGAGCACTCGTAGTAGCGATGGAGCACGGAATAGGGTCGACGCCGCGCCGCTCTGGTATGGGGTTTCAGCGTGGTGAGGTGGCTGAAGACTTCGAACGATAGATCCGGCTTCAACTGGCTGCAGCACCACGGCTTTTCAGGAACTTCGGCCTTGTTTTTAGACCAGCATCAGGTAGCACCCGAGAGACCCATGCATCACAAACCATCAAGGTGTACAGCGTATGCACCGGGAGACTTCACAAGGCTCGCCGATTGTGCCTGTGAGTTGAGAATACGATACCCTCGACAGGAGAGCGACGATCTCTATCCTTGGCAGTGGTTCTGTGACCCTCGCACAAAGCAGCCAGCTGAAAGTAACTCGACGCACAATGCCACTACATCACAAAAATAAGATTTAAAATTTAAAAAAAGGAAAAGGGTAAAAAGCTGTCTCCCTAACGTCATGCACCATGCCCTTGGGGTTATCAAGACATCGGTGTTTGGTAATAGCAGGGAGAAAATTGATCTTGGCACGTTGAAAACATCCTTCAGCGATTCGAGCACCTGAAAAAGCTCGCTGCTGTACACACATATGCCGTCGTCTTATCAAAAGGTATCACAGTTCACGTTGACCTACCGTTGCTCCGCAAGGGCCATTTCAGCGCAGATTTGCATTGGGATGCTTCATCCCTGAGCAAGGCTCTACACGGCCCAGGTGGTAGACATGCACAGCAAGGGTGCATCCATGACAACAAGGTGAGCCCCCTAATGAGGGTTTTCGTCAATGGCGACGGGCGTAGCCCGCTTTTGCTTGTCGCTTCCTCGAGACGCAAAATGCATGTCGAGCTGAAAACAAAACGAGGTTTGGGCCAGCACGAAAAAAAATTCTTCTCGGGAGTTTATGGAGGGGCATTGTGATTACATAATGCGCTGGGGCCCGGCAATACTCCATCGGAAACTGACAGGAAATGTTTCCCATCTTGGTATACAAGGTATACGAGTACCTACAAGGAAGCCTGTAGATGTGTGTATTGGCGAGGATTCTCCTAGCTGTGCTGTCGTTTTATCCATTCTCTTTTCATACAGGCAGCAATTCCCATCTAACACGCCATTGAAGTCTCAACTTCTTATCCCAGAAAAGAATCTATGATCTGGAGGCTTTCCAGAAGCGCTGATCGGCACTACATATTTCCGAACAACGTAAGCAGATCAGCTTCTGCAGTCTCGATCTACAAACCACGGCGCCCCACCGCAATCTCGCTGAAGCTCAATTTCATCGTCGTCCCTTTGACTTCTTAACATGTGCTTGCATCGCCCGTCTCCGAGATTTCAATGCGAATCGATCCATTCAAATCGCCTCGAGGTCCCCGAGAGTCTCGGCATTTGACTTTTATCCAATCAGCCAATCAGCTCACCTCCATTTGGCGCGTTTCCTTTGGCTGCTGCTACCCCTGATCACCAGATGTCACCGGCACTTCCTCAGGATGTGGGCGTGACTTGCGCGTGAGAAGCTGAGGTCACTCTGGCAACCTTGAAGGGGGGGCAATCCAGGCGCAGTTTTTGCTTGGCATGACCGTGTCATCTCTGGCGCTCCCTAAAGTACTTGAAATCGGCCCATACTGTCCTGTGCCGCCTGGGAAGTGTGAGTGCAGTGCAGTGCAGCCCTAATGGGATCATATGGACGAAAAAGCAACACTGAAGCGAAACGTGCTGTAGAAACAACATGTCATTTGAAGCCGGCCAGGTACGACAGTAAGTCACCAGGCCACGATGGCCGCTGCACGGCTTCATGTACGGCATCCCTCCGCCAGGCGAGCAATCTTCAAAAGAAACAAGCCGCCTGTCGTCATTGGCGACGCCGGTCCACACTAGCTGCCCCCTTAGTGCCCCTTCCGGCCTGTTTGCGCCTGTGCAAACCGCTGCGATCCCTGCGATCCTGCCCCCCCAGCCCAGTAAAGTCGCCAGATCCCCGTTCTAGCACTCGCTGTAGCGTCAAGGTAGCTCCCCCAAGCTCCCGCAGCTCCACAGGCCGAATAATTTCAAGGTTGCTGAACTGTCGCCGTTCGTACAGTAGCCAAAGTTTTTGTTGCTGAAGCTCAACTCCCCAGAAGCACGAGGCGGCGCTTGGAATTTGCATCCGTCAAGGACAAGTCGGAAATCGCCGCTTGAAGCTGTTTCTGCGCATCTAATCCATCCGGGTGCGCGACCAGAGACCGACGGCTGATTCTTTGTTCAAGACGGGCGTCGTCGGTAAGCTGCAGGAATCGCAGAGGCCGCCAACTGGGGGACTCGGGAGTCGCAATCCAAACAAGCAATTTAACGCTGCCGACGGGGTAGAACTGCATTATCATTGCATTTCTCATTCGAACATTTATCCGTTCATCGCACATATCAGCACAATAACACAGCAGCACAAGCATGGCATCGCAACACGACAGCGATCTGGGCGATATCGACCCTCAAAACCCATACGCGTCGAGTAGCAAATGGCGTCACCAAGAGTCGACCAAATACGCCCGCCACGAGGCGCAACTCCAGGCGCGCGACGCTACGACAACTGACACGACCAATGCTCTGGCCAATTATCTCAATTCCACCCGGATTGAGCCTCAGGGCGACGGGCACTCGTCGGGAAACTACCAGCCCATCCACCTGGCGGCCAACAATGGCGAAGAGCCGGCCGTCGACCACCAACAGCATGAGGCGTCAGATGGCAGGGAGATTGTGTGCGGCCCTCTTCTCAACTATCGTCGAATGGACCAGGGCTACTGGTATGGCAGCGTTCTCGTTGTGACCAAGGGTGGCGGCAAGGAGGTGCTCTACCACCCCTCACTATCTTTGCGACAAGTTGGCGGACAAGGAGGAGAGGCCCGGATCGATGGTGAGCGTCTGTATTCCGACAAACGAAACACCTTTTGGGCATTCAGCATCTGCGTGCCGCTCGGGCCCAATGAGGCGAGTTACGAATATCAAGTGCCGCGGCTGCGGTTCTCCAGCAGCCACAAGCCGCAAATCAACCGCTTCTTCATCCCCGCCATAAACGAGTCGATGCGCATCATGTTCTACTCTTGCAATGGCTTCAGCGTCGGCACCGACGAGGAGGCCTGGAGCGGTCCGGCTTTGTGGAACGATGTCATGCGCAAGCATGAAGCTGCGCCTCTCCACGTCATGGTGGGAGGTGGTGACCAGATCTACAACGACGGCATCAGGGTCCACGGTCCCTTGCGCACTTGGACGGGCATCGGCAACCCCAAGAAGCGTCAAGAGTACCCTTTCCCAGAGAAGCTTCGTGCCGAGTGTGATGATTACTATCTCCAAAACTACCTCCGCTGGTATAATACGGAGCCTTTTTCGACGGCCAACGGCCAGATTCCCCAGATCAATATCTGGGATGACCACGATGTATGTGCCGTCGTGGATACCCCTCGGATAGAGCCCCAGGCTAATGCTTCGTACAGATCATTGACGGTTTCGGGTCATACGTTGATAAGTTCATGCAATGCGACGTTTTCCGCGGCATTGGTGGCACTGCCCACAAGTACTACATGCTCTTCCAGCACCATCTCCCTCCTCCGCCCTCCACGTACACATCCGGTAAGCTTCACTGCATGGTTTCAGATACACGGGAAATGTATAAATAAGCTGATGCTAATCAACTAATGCGTCGACAGATTTTGCCGATAACGACATCGATGGTACTCAAGGCATTGATCCAAATCAGCTGATTGACACGTATGTCGCACCTGGAAAGACCGAGCCGCAGTACATCGTCGGAACCAAGCCTGGACCCTATGTTGCGGAACATTCGTTTAACATCTACACCCGATTGGGTGCTCGTATTGCTCTTCTTGGCATCGATGCCCGAACTGAGGTGAGCAGTTACCTTTCGTGTGGATTCTATAGTGTCTACAGCGGCTAACCAGACTTTCAGCGCACTCGACACCAAGTCAATTATCCTGAAACCTATGACTTGATTTTCCAAAGAGCGCGCGAGGAGCTGAGCGCCGCCGCCAGATCTGGCCAGCCTATCAAGCATTTGATTCTGCTTCTCGGTATCCCGATTGCTTATCCTGTACGTCCGCTTCGTCCCTGTGCTTTACCACGGAGAACACGGTTGCTAATCAATTACATCACAGCGCTTGACCTGGCTAGAGAACATTCTTCGAAGCCCCCTTATCGGCCCCGTCAAGCTCCTCAACCGACGATTTGGTGTCGGCGGTGGCTTTTTCAACCACTTTGACGGAAGCGTAGATTTACTTGATGATCTCGATGATCACTACACGGCCAAGACACACAAGGTTGAGCGAGCCCAGCTGATTGTGGAGCTTCAAAAGCTCTCGGCCGAGTTCTCGGTGCGAACCACCATCCTAGGAGGCGACGTTCATCTGGCTGCGCTGGGTCGCTTCTACTCCAACCCCAAGCTCAAGGTCCCCGCCGAGGAAGACAGCAGGTACATGGTCAACGTCGTCTCGTCGGCCATTGTCAACAAGCCCCCGCCTCAAGCCGTGGCCAATCTCCTTGCACGACGAAACAAGATTCATCACATGAACTCTAAGACCGACGAAACGCTGCTGGATCTGTTTGACAAGGACCCGGGCAACTCCACAAAGACTGCCAGTCACAACAATTGCACGATGCCCAGCCGCAACTTTGCCATTCTGACAGAGAATTCCCCCGCTAATCAGACCAACGGATTTGTGCCCGAGGTGAACGGCGAGGCGCAGTCGTTCGTGGGACTCGACGGCCATTCGGAACTACACAAGGGAGAAGTCGGTTCTGGTTCGAAGCACAAGGCAGCCTCTGATGAGGCACACGGCCGAGGTCACGATGGTGGTCTGGACATTCGCATCAGCGTCGAGATTGATCAGCATGACCCCGAGGGTCGAACAGAGGGCTACGGCTTGACTGTGCCAGTGCTGACGTATCGCCCCAGGACCCAAGCGTCCTCGAGGGCCGTGTCTACTGCCACAAGCGTTCCAAGCCAGCAGTGAGGTCTACAATGGAGAGTCCAATTTTGTTGGCGTACGATGCATGGTACGCATTGTAGCGTTGATGATACGATACCCCGGGGCTTTCTGGCGAAGGAATGGGTCATGAGTTGATGAGCAGTCAAGAGTCGGGCATGACGCAATGATGGAAGATACCACCAAATTTGGTCTCGAGGGAATGTTTTGTTTTCGTGTCTTGTTCTTTTATTTTATTTTTCCAGGCTGGGGGTTGTATAGATACCTAATACTGTTCTGTTCGTTGCGAGTGTATGTTAGTCATTCGCTACTAAGGGGGCGAAGGACCTGAGTATGGTGTAAGTTATAGGTAGTGTTCAACTGAGATTGTTTTACCCCACGGCTAAGCGCAGATTGCGTGACAAATAGCTGCTCTTTCATGTGATGTTACTGTTACCAAACCCCAGCCGTTCCCAGCAGCGTATGAGTCGTGGAAACTCCAGTCCCTACTTACCATCAAATACAAGACGATGAACTCCCACATGCAGTCTAGCTCTACAAAAAAAAATGATTAAGCATGCTTCTTTTCTCTTTTTTTTTCTCCTTCTTTTTCTTCATAACGGCTCTCGACGGGATCCATTGGCCGACTTCGGTGCCCCAATCGTCCAATCCCCAAGAGGCTCGATACTTGGGCGAAGCCGTCACAAGTTGGCCGCCCCCACTGCCCCTCATCTCCAATCGCCTTTAACCCGCGATAAGCCGAGCCTCCAATACGCGATAGCCCAAAGATAAAAAGAAAGTTGGGGTAACAACGTCTTTGGATTCCCTTTCCGGGGTGAAACTCGACTTGTCGATTTACATCTTCTTTATTCTCTTGTTTGGAGTTTTTATCATTGCCTTTGTCGAGGTTTTGCTAAAAAAAAATTAAAAAAAAGAAAGAAGAGTCGTTCAAAGATGCAGTCTGCTGTGCTGAGACGAGCGGGGGCAAAGGGCCTGCGCAGTTGCGGGTGCAGAGTCCCGAGAGCTTCGTTGGCGACGCTGGCGACGTTTCGACCTCCTACAATCAAGAATGAGCCCAACGTGAGTAAAGAGTGGCTTTGAAAGACCAGAGTAGAACGCATCGATGCTAATATATATGGTCTGATATAGCAACACTATGCCAAGGGCAGCCAGCAGCGAGAGGGTTTGACGGCTGCCGTTGAGAAGCTGCAGAGCAAGCTGCCTCTCGAGGTCCCCGTTGTTGTGGGAGGCCAGCAGGTATGTTGAATCTCTTTGGAAAGCCCAATCTCGGGCATCGGCAAGCTAACTGAACGAATCTCACTCAGATCAAAACCTCGTCTCTCTCCAGACAGCTCAACCCCTCGGACCATTCCAAGACGGTCGCCTCATACCATACCGCCACGCCCGCCGACGTCTCCAAGGCCATTGACGCCGCGCTGGCCGCAAAGCCGGCGTGGGAGTCGCTCCCCTTTGCGGACCGCGCCGCCGTCTTCCTCAAGGCCGCCGACCTGGTGTCGGGCAAGTACCGCTACGACATCATGGCCGCCACGATGCTGGGCCAGGGCAAAAACGCCTGGCAGGCCGAGATCGACGCCGCCGCCGAGCTGGCAGACTTCTTCCGCTTCAACGTGCAGTACGCCCAGGAGCTGTACAGCCAGCAGCCCGAGCACCACTCGCCCGGCGTGTGGAACCGCCTCGAGTACCGCCCGCTCGAGGGCTTCGTCTACGCCGTCAGCCCGTTCAACTTCACGGCCATTGCCGGCAACCTGCCCGGCGCCCCGGCCCTCATGGGCAACGTGGTTGTCTGGAAGCCCAGCGACTTTGCCATTGCCTCCAACTGGCTGGTCTACAACATCCTTCTCGAGGCCGGCCTGCCCAAGGACGTGATTCAGTTCGTGCCCGGCAACCCCGTCGAGATTACCAAGACGGTCCTGGAGCACAAGGAGTTTGCGGCCCTGCACTACACCGGCAGCACCGCCGTGTTCCGGAAGCTCTACGGCGCCATTGGCGAGGGCGTTGCCGAGGGCAGATACAGGTCGTACCCCCGGATCGTGGGCGAGACGGGTGGCAAGAACTTTCACCTGATTCACCCATCTGCCGACGTCGAGAACGCCGCCATCCAGACTGTCCGCGGTGCCTTTGAGTACCAGGGCCAAAAGTGCAGCGCCACGTCTCGCATCTACGTTGCCAAGTCTGTCTGGCCCGAATTCAAGGAGCGGCTGGTCTCCGAGACGAAGAAGCTCACTCAGGGCGTCCCCTGGGACCACTCCCACTTCATGGGGCCCGTGATTCACGAGGCCTCCTTCAAGAAGCTCTCGGGTGCCATTGACGAGGCCAAGAGCGACAAGGACCTCGAGCTCGTCTTTGGCGGCACCTACGACTCGTCCAAGGGCTACTTTGTCCAGCCCACCATCTACCAAGCCACCACCCCTTCTCACAAGTTCCTCTCCACCGAGTTCTTCGGCCCCATCCTCACCGCGCACGTCTACGACGACGCCGCGCCGGATGCCTTTGCCAAGGTCTGCGAGCTGGTCGATGGCACGTCCGAGTATGGCCTCACCGGATCCGTCTTTGCCAACGACCGCGAGGCCGTGCGCTTCGCCGAAGAGAAGCTGCGCAACGCCGCTGGCAACTTTTACATCAACTGCAAGAGCACCGGCGCCGTCGTCGGACAGCAGCCGTTTGGCGGTGCCAGGGCCAGCGGCACGGACGACAAGGCCGGCAGCCCCAACCTGCTGACGAGATTCGTCAACATCCGGTCCATCAAGGAGGAGTTTGCGGCCACCACACAGGTGTCATATCCTAGCAACGAGGTGTAAACCAATCCCGCCGACATTTGCACGACGGATCGGAGCACTGTGTAGGAGGGGTGCAGGCTTGAAGTATGGCGTTGACGTTTCTCTATTTATTCTTTCACTCTGCAATTTCTTTGCATCTAGGGTAGGATGCTGGCGTTGAGCGACGAGAACCGTCGACATGCATAATCTCCTGTATGGGGAGAAACCCATCAAAACCACATTGATGATGTTGAATTGAAACCAATTGAAGCCAATTGAGAATGATGGACTATGCGATGTGACGAAATGTGTGCGTGCCGTATTACCTACTCGGGTTCTGATATCTATGTAGCCTAATCTAAATGCTTCTCAGCACGCAATCCTGCTAGTACTCTGTCACGACGCAAGGACCGAACACGGCGATAGTTGATCCAATGCAAAAAGTTTATACAACTCGGATCCCTTGGCTGAAACCTTGGCAATTGAATCAGCCAACTTGCCCATCCACTTCGTATACACGAGGCCAGCTCCGAGACGCTGCTGACAGCCGGGGGGTTCACACAAAGGGCAGTAGTATTACAAACAACCTGGACGTCATTAGCCATCGGCTCTTTCGTCTTTTTTTTTCTTGAATAGGCTTAAATGTACGCCCCCCCCCCCATGAGCAATAAGGCAACGGGCTGAGCGGAATTGAGTCTTCTTGGGGGGGAGGCGCAGCTGCATGAGAGTCGAGCCGTGAGTGGACGTTTGTGCTTCATCCCACCGGGATCTTGGGCTTGCCGGATTGCCGTGTGGAGAGTTGCTACTGTACGGTTGGATATGCCGGTACCTGGACAAGAAGTACAACGTGTTTTGGTTAATCGGGTAGTTTATTTATTTATTTCTGATCTGGGGAGCCGGGCATGGTATGTGATTATATGGAATACGGAGCAACCAACACTCGGGAATGGGGGCGACACTGTGCGTCTCGGGATGTCAAGCAATTGCAGCTCTCCCCTGGGCAAGGCTGCTCAAAACCCCCCCAATCTCTCTCTCTCTTCTAGAAATGCCCATCTTCCCTCCTCTCTCCTCACCCGCTAGCGCAGCGTGGCGCAACCCACCTTTGCAAGGCGATCCAAGCGAGTTGCTTGGACTATTTGCCACAGGACACGCGAGCTTGTCCAACGTGGTTATCGAAAGACGAGGCCCTGGAAGGACGAAGGTCCGTGCAGAAGCTGTCATCCGCAAGCAATAGAGGTTCGTATCGGAAAAGGGACCCCAGATGGCGCGTGCTTATGTGCGGGATTCCTGGGGCACGGCGGGTTGAGGAGCGGGAAGAGGGAAGAGGGACGCAATCTCAAGTCAATGCCTCGGCTGGGCACGAGATCACTATGGAATGGGGATGAACGCGAGATAAAGCGATCCAATGCAAAGAAGAGAATAAAAATAATAATAATAATACATGTGATGACAGAGAACGAAAAAAAAAACCATCTGAAAACGGGCTTCCGGAGCGCAAACCATCTCGCCTCGCCCTCTTACCACTTCCGTCCCGGCCGCCCCCTTGTCCTTGTTCTCTCTCTCTCCGACTTTGGGCCCAGCCGAGCACGAGACTGTCTGAGAGGATGAGACGGACCGTGTCAACGGCAAGTGGAGGAAAAAAGCAAAGAAGAAGAAGAAAAAAAGCTGGAGAGAGGCGCCATGAGAGCTTGCAGGGCAGGCCAAGGGTCCAAGGGGCTCGCCACATGGGCTGGTCCGGGCTGCTGATTCGTCGACTCGCCGGCGACACCATGGGGAGCACGCGACACTTTTCTCGATGATGCTTGGTCAATTGGCAGAGGCACGTTTTTTCGGCCTTGTTTTTTCTGCCTCGAGTTACTTTCTGGTCGCCAGGAGGAGGAGGGAGAGGGAGGGGGTTCCAGGTCTCTTCATGTGTTGATTCTTGCTTGTGCCGTAGCTTATCAGGAACAAGGAGGTTGCTTGTTGCCGTACATACATAGTGAAATAGCTGAGGCCTGCCATGGCCGCCGTCCTTCTCTATCTCGACCTCTCCCCTTTTCTCCGTCCTCTTTCTTCTTTGCTTTTCACTTGAATTCCTCAGATAAACGCTTCCCCTTCCGTCTTCCTAGGGTGCATAAGTGGTCTCGTGCCCGCCATTTGCCTGCCGTGATACCTCGCGCCGCTCACCGGTTCTGCAAAACGGAGCCCTATCGCCAGACCATCTCTCTCCCTTGCCCCCGACACACGACATCTGGGATTGAATTCCCCATCTTCTTCTTCTTTTTCCCTTTATACTTATTATCATCCCCTGGTTAGACAAGAGATACAAGGGCCCTTGCGTACACAACATAATCGATCGGAAAGCGGACCACGTACGTCCCTTACAAGAAAAAAAGAGAGACACACACCAAAACCAAACCCGCTGCAACACCAACGGCCGTGGCTCAGAAGCCGTCTCCGAGCTTATCTCGGCCAACCACGAGTGGAATCCCCGAGCCACAAACAACCCTTGCATCAGAACACCAAAACTTCCTCGGTTAAGCAGCGTTTCCGTGGCCCGCCTATTTCTCTCTGGAGTCGAAACAGTTTCCGGGGGGAGGAGGGTAGTGCCGCTGTCGTCACCAAGTGCCATTCTCTCCTGCAACTTTTTGCAAACAGCGGGCGAATAGGATAGGTTTCGACTGCGCCTCGCGCCCCCTGCCGCGTAACTCCCTGGACGAGGAAACAGCAGTTTTTTCAGTGCTAACGTGCGGTCCCGGTCCCTGTTTTTGTGTGTGGTTGCGTCGTGTTGCGAATAGTTCAAGACCTGCGGCTCCGCGATCCGCGGAGCGTGGCCGAGAAGCCTAGACGGCAGATCCAGTAACCTGAGGGGAAAACACACACCCCCGTTTTGCTTACAGAGGAGATTCGTCATCTAAATCGGAGGGGAAAGACGAAAAAAAAAATAGCTGCCTCTAGTCCAAAGCGGCCATGCCTCGTCCTGCGCTGCCGCCGACGCCCGGGTCCTCGTCCGATATCAGGGGCAAGGATGGCGTGCAGCAGCTTTCGTCTCTGCAACTCGCCTTTGAGCTGCCTCCGCCGGCCATCCACGATGCAGCAGATGCGTCTTCTCGCATCTCGCCCGTCGACTCTACCAAGCAGCAGCAGCAGCTCTCGCCCCTCTCCACGCCGTCGCTAGGCCTGGACGCTGCCACGTCGCCAAAGACAGTACAGGTGCAGGTGGTGTATCCCATGCAAGCGGCCGAGACGGTCAAGTCCCGAAGACGCTCGTCCGCCGCCGCCGCCAAGGAGCCCAGGGGAAACGCCTTTGCCCTGCCGCCGCCGCCCACGCGCTCCAGGAAGATTATCCAGATGAAGCCGCGCACCCAGGACACGGCCGCGGCCTCGGCCTCGGCTTCCACCAAGGAATCGTCTGCCCGGGCCGCCGGCAAGGCTGCCGCCGCCAAGACCGCCGCCGCTCCGGGGCCCGACGCCGGGGCCGGGGCCGGAGGTGCTTCGGCCAAGGGCGAGTCCAAGAAGAAGCAGCCCAGCGCAACTAGCGCTGCCGGCAGGAAAATCGCTCGCAAGACTGCCCACAGCTTGATTGAGCGGAGGAGACGGAGCAAGATGAACGAGGAGTTTGCGCTGCTCAAGAGCATGATTCCCGCGTGCACGGGCGAGATGCACAAGCTGGCCATTCTACAGGTTCGTTCTGTTCTCACCACCCCCCCTGAATCCCAAAACAAGACGCAAATCCAACCCAAACCCTCACTAACACGCAATAGGCCTCCATTGAATATGTCCGCTATCTGGAAGACTGCGTTGCCAAGCTCAAGGCCCAGCAAGAGCAATCCCAGAGCAGCAGGCCCGAGGCCTCACACAGCCCCTTACCACCCATCCGCGAATTCCACCCAACCTTCCACGAGGACCCGGCAGAAGACGTCGAAATGACCGACTCCGAGGCCGCCGCCGCTGCTGCGTCCCCCGTCTTCGCGCCCCAGCGGCCGTCCTCGGTCTCGCCGGCGCTGCACGCCCAGGACTCGCGCCATCGCCATCGCCAGCACTCGTACTCGTCCGTGTCGACGGACCAGCGGCACTACAGCTACAGCGCCTCGACGACGACGTCGCCCGCCTTTGGGCCGCAGATGTTTGCTCACAACGGCGGCGGCGGCGGTACCGGCTACACGCACAGCAGCACTTCGGCGTCTGGGTCGACGCTGACGAGCCCTGCGCTGCTGCCGCAGACGGATCTTGATCACGAGGCCACGGCGGCGTTGCTGATGCTGAATAGCGATAGGAGGGGGACGGCGGTGAATAACAACCGCGCCTTGTCTGTACGCGATTTGCTGAGCTCTTGATTTTCGTTGTTGCTTGTTCCTCCTCGTTATACCCTAAGCTGCAATGATGCGATGATTTTATTTTGCAAGTTTATATTCCTTGTTTTCTCTTGACATGAGTGCTCTGTGTGAGCACAAAGTACAGGATGGCCTTATTTTTTTTCTTTCCTTTTCCCGCATCTTGAAACACTGAGAATCCAAAATTCAGAAGCAAACCCATGGGGCGGGAGCAGAACGCGAAAAAAAACTGGGAGTCTGTAATGGGATTTGAGGAGTTCTGAGGGTAATGGGTTCTGGGGATCCCAGAAGAAAACATACATTTACCAAAACACCTTTTTTTTTTGTTTCTCTATTTCCTTCTTCTTCTTTTTACTTGTTTTAGTTTCAACTTTGGCTGGGCAAACAACTGTGCGAACGGGAACAGGACCGCACTGGAATCGGCACCGGGAGGAAATACCAATGGCAAAAAAGACGGCCCTTGAGATGCGTGACTACTGATTTTTAATACCACGAGGAGGGAGCCGCGATTTCTGGAATATAATTGTTCTTGCTATTTTTTTTTTATTCAATGCAAGTAGTAGAATTCAAATCAATGATAATTCTTCACATCCAACGCCGTTAATGTGTGTCTAATGCATATTCATTATTTGGAGTCTTTCCCCCTTTTTTGTAATCGTTCACTCTCACTTCCTTCTTGCTTTGCTTTTCTTCTATCTTAGGCCTTTAATCTCTCGCTTCCAGCAATATCATCGTTGGCGTCCTTGACAAGAAAACTATTGCATTTCGTCAGCAAAGGAAACGTCCGCATCTAATCTCATGCCATCTCTAAACTCACTTGTACCAGAGAATAGTCGGCCCAATCGTCATCAGGTGCCACAAGCTGTGAGCGTCGATGCAGCCCAGCCAAGGCGGAAAGTCAAACAGCTCCATGCTCATGGCAAACATGACCCAGGCCACAGCCAGACCGGGCCACATGGCCCAGACGCGGCGGGACTTGCGGTAGCGGTCGAAACTGAACCAGCTCCACAGGGCGTTCTGGATGACGCCGAGCACCACGTTGGCGGCCATGTTGTACGTGTAGTCCCAGCTCACGCCCTTTAGATATCCGACGTGGCAAGCGTACAGCACAAAGCAGAGCAGCGTCCACGCCCGCAGGACGGAGCGTCTTCGCGGGGTCGGGCGGTCCAGGCGGAAGATGCGCACAAACGTATAGTACATGCCATACAGCACGCTGGCGCCGGCGGCGAAGTAGTCGAGCTGCTCGGTGACGGCAAAGTCGCGGGTGTGGAAGACGGAGCTAAACACCCACGAGGCGAGCCCGAAGTAGGAGAAGAGCTCATAGTAGGGCCGCAGCGAGTAGTCGGCCGGGATGAGGGCGCGCACTTTCTTGAGGCCCTGCCAGTGCGCCCAGAAGTTGCCGAGCGAGAAGAGCACGGAGAAGGGCTCCTGCATGCCGACGAAGCGGTAAAAGGGCCATTTGCCGTGGAACTGGACGACGGGGAGGTCGGAGGCGACGCGCGCGCCGGTGATGATGTGCTGGCAGGTGTAGTCGCATTCGGAGGCGCAGTTCCAGAGGAGGAGGCGGCGGGACAAGGCTGGCAGATTCTCGTTAGCGGCTGGCCTGCTCGATCATGTCTGTTCTTGTTCGTCTTTGGAGGGGCGAGAGAGAGTTACGGATGGGGGTGGCAGCCTTGCCGGGAGCGCAGTTTTCGGCTTGGCAGATCTGGAGCAAGGACATTTGTCAGTAACGATTGCGCATGGCATTGGGACGGTGAGGGCGAGCATACGTCAAGACATTGCCGGAATTCGGGCAGCTGGTCGCCTGTAGAAGCAAGACTAGCACCGGCAAAGAATGCTACAACGAGCAAGATCAGGGAGATGGCGCGAAAGCCTGGCTTCCCGCCATATGAAGCGATCATGTTGCCAGCATGGACGGAGGGGGGTGGACGGTCCAAGTTATAAGAAGAAAAGAGAAGAAGAATTGGTGAGACAAATGTCAAAATTGTTGAGCGCTGCCGACAAGAAAGAGGGGACGTGGATCAAAAGGCCACGGTAGAATCAATTATGACTGAGGTACGTAAGTGGTGGTTGATTCTGGGCATGAGTGTGGATATGGATATGGATATGGATATGCTGGCTCTTTGGAGGTTTGGGGAATAAGATTGAAGATTAGAGGCGGATTCTGGGGCGGGTCGTTTGGCGGGTAATTCGGGGGCCATTCGGAGAGACGATTGGGCATCGGGGTACCGGTACAGAGGGGAGGTAAATGTACGAGTACTCCATCCTGCACCACAAAGACCTGCGAGTATCAGGTACCTTATGCTAGAAGTCTTGCTGCCAGTACTGCTGACGAGCACCTCCTCTCTACTAATATTCAGTAAGCATTGGTGTTTTACATAAACCGAGACCCAGACGTGAGATGTGTTTAATTGCAAACCTGCCGTGGATGGCGCTTGTTTTGATGGCAAGGGAGAGCTCGATTGGTTCCTGTTGGTGAGCTACGAGTACCAGCTCCGGGCTGTGGTTGAACGTGGTGAATGCGGTATTTCAACGAGACGGGCTTGTACCGTTACATGCAGACTCCATGTCACATGCAGTCCCCTCAAGTACAGTACATGTACTCTGCGCTGTTCTCTTGCCAGACCAAACGAATCCGTCTCTCTGCATCATCACCACCGCCGCCAGTTCAGCGAATTGATGCACCGCTGGCCTTTTGCCGTGCAATTGCTGCTTACTCGCCTGTCTTTATCCCGCCATTGAACCAGCGCCATTCCAGTCTGTTACTTAGGTTTCTTGTCATTTTCTGCCCTGCACAACATCACTCAGACCGCTAGCGCCGGTTCCAGCGCCGTGCCTGGATCCCGTCGTTGCCCACGGCAACCGGGCGGGCGTTGATTGGCCGCGTTGTTTCGCAAACACCACCAGGCAAAAATAATCCTGGGTCTAGCTCCAGCTCTCTCCGCTCTTCATCCTTGATCATGCACCCCTTCGCTACGGAGCTCCCAGTTTGTTAATCGCTTGCTGCCTCCGGATCACGGGGAGGCTGCACACACAACATATTTTATCGATTTGACTCGGCAATCAACCAGATGCCAATCGCTGGCCGCCCACGACCTATTTCGCTTGACCGCTAACCCGCAAATCAAAACATGGCGACGGCTGCTTCGCCAACTCCCATGGGAGGAGCCGGTCCTATCCGCCGGACGTCGCAGCGACAGCAGGTCTTGCGCCAACCTCCCTCACGATCGGCCGTGGCCAGGAGCGAGAGCCAGCAGGCGTCTTCGTTCCACGCCCGAAACAACCCGAAGCAATTCAACGACGACAGCTCCGAAGACGAGATTCCCGTGCCTATGAAGCTCAGCGCCCTCACCAAGGCGCTTCTCAACGACGGCCAGCCCGAGTCCTCTCAGCCATCAGAGCGACCGCCCTCACCACCGCGAACACGAAGACGGATCAGCCAATTGAACGCATCGACATCGTCCGTTTCTGAGAGGGGGCGGCATTTGACATCTACCAGCGGGCAACCCGAGGACAAAAACTCGAGAGCCTCGAGTCCCGCCAGGGATCGTGGTGCGAGCCCCGTCACAAGGAAGAGGGTAGTGAGGCTCAGCAACACTCCGCAGAGCCTGAGCCAGATCCAGCCTTCCAAGAGACGCTCAAGCTCCTTCTCTCGATCGACGCAGCGCCATCAGCAGACCAGTCGACCGTCCAGTAGGGAAAAGTCGGCCGATGAAAAGCCAGAGCCACAGGCGGACATCAACACACCCGCTCATGGCAACCGTATCGTGAGAATATCTACAAACTCTTCTGGCAATCGCAGTAGAATGGGATCAACAGGCCTGTCCTCGGGGCGCTCATTTGATCGATCTGTTGTGGACAAGTCTGCCGGTGAAATGGACTATGAGCAAGAAGAGATCCCTCAAACCGTTGCGCGAGACACAGCGCTGGCCGCTAGCTATGGCAGTGTATCACGATATAACTCAGCGGTAAGAGGCCGACTGGATGATAATGCCAATCCGCAAAGCTCGATGCGCGTCAAGCGCGTTGGGAAGATCCCTGGAACGTTTCTTAGTGGACCAGCACGGCGTGGCAGGCGGAGGCAAAGTGATGAGGATGCTGGAGATGAGGGAGAGATGGATCAGTACAATCCCCAACAGGAACAAGATAACAACGTCGTGGACGACATGCCGGATGTTGCCTACTATCCCGATGGAATTCGGGACTTCAATTCTGGAAGTCCTGTCAGTGCCAGTGCTTCGGCTAGGGCCCTCCACAGGAGACACCTCTCTAGCATGGACTCCCGGGGGTCTGGGTCTGGGTCTGGACGTCCCTCGCCGCGGGGCATTGAGCTCGAATCGGAGCCCCAGCGGTATCAGCCAATGCAGAGGGATAACGAGGAGGCGGAAGAGGAGGAAGAGATACCGTATAGGAAATCAGTGCTGCGCGCCGAACTGCCTTCAGCCCATGATCAAGAAAACGACGCTCACCGGAGCTATAAGAGGCCCAAGTCGTCCTTTGATGATGGGATGGACAAGGCTCCGCCACGACCCATGAGCGTCGACCCTATTCCAGCCCGGCCTACCTCACCAGAGCGAAAGCCCCTGGCGCCTGTTGCCAACAACACACCTCAACGACCAGCTCCCCCACCTCCTCCCAAGATGTCCGTCATGGAGGCAGCTACATCAACGACTGGCGCTGCAGCCGCGGCCGCCTCAACGAAGCACCGGAGGAACGTGTTGCGGGTGAATGGAAAGACTTATACTAGGCTTGATTGCCTTGGCCGTGGTGGCAGTGCCAAGGTGTATCGTGTAACCGCCGAGAATGGACAAATGTTTGCTCTCAAGCGCGTGGCGTTGGAAAACGCCGATGAGCTCACCATCAAAGGGTACAAGGGCGAGATAGACCTCCTTGGAAGACTCGAAGGGGTGGATCGGGTTATTAACCTGCATGCCTACGAGATGAATACAGAGAAGCAGGTGCTCAGTTTGGTAAGTAACGGCAACCTTTGCTTTACAACAAACTTGGGTGCGAGTTGAACGAGACTTGCTAATCGGTCAATATTGTTGTAGGTTATGGAAATGGGTGAAAGGGATTTGAACGCCCTCCTTGCTAGTCGCCAGAGCCCCGAGACTTCCAGGTTCGACCCCGTATTCGTTCGCTTCTACTGGAAGGAGATGCTCGAGTGCCTGGCCGCCGTTCACCAGTATGACATTGTTCACTCGGACCTGAAGCCCGCCAACTTTGTTCTCGTCAAGGGCAGACTCAAACTCATTGATTTCGGCATTGCCAACGCCATCCAGACGGACGAAACCGTGAATGTGCATCGCGAAACCCAAGTCGGCACACCCAACTACATGTCCCCCGAGTCCCTGCTAGACTCCAACAACCCGCGCGGCGGTCGTCTCCCCGGCCGCCCAAAGCTGATGAAACTCGGAAAATCCAGCGACGTCTGGTCACTGGGCTGTATCCTCTACCAAATGGTCTACGGCATGCCGCCCTTTGGCCACATTGCGAACCAGATGGCGAGATGCCAGGCCATCATAAACTGGGATCATCACATTGAGTTCCCCTCTCGTGGCATGGGCGGTGCTCCCGTTCCACCTTCGCTTATTAGGACCCTGAGGCGATGCCTCAACCGAGACCACCACATGCGACCGACGTGCGAGGAACTCCTTTATGATAGCGATCCGTTCCTGTACCCTGCAGAAATAAACAGCGACAAAGCTCTTCCCATCGACGAGGAACTCTTGGGTAGAATCATCCAGAGCGTTGTCTCAAGGTGCCGAGAGCGCATGCCGACAGAATCAGAGGGTGCGACCGTCTGGCCGCAGGCATACTGGAACAGCATACGGAAATCAATGGCAAACAGGCAACAATAATACTAATGTCAAATAGACGGAATGTGTCTATACGAAATCATGAGCAGGATAAAAACAGGACCACCAAAGCCGTCAAGGAGCAGGCGTTTTTTATCTTCGTTTTTTACAAATTTTTTATCTTTCTTCATTCAATGAAAGACTAGGGAAAAGGGAGAAGAGAACCAAAAGAAAAGACGGTTCTCATTACGTTTCACGAAGGCCTCACCAAACTACCCAGGTGTTGAGGAGTTTTATATCTTTTCTCCTTTTGTTTTTGTCTTCCTCTTGTGTATATACACGCTGTCTTGTGTCAAAGCGGGTTATTTTTTATGAATTGGGTAGGAAGGACGATAGGATAGAATAGCTGTTTTTTGGAGACATGGCCTTGCGATATGGCGTGAAATGAATGTCACATATCATGACGGTTTTTTTTGCATCATCTTCTTTGGATCAGCTGTTTGATTCTGATTGGTGTTTTTGTGCTGCTGCCTTTGTTGTTTTTTATATCCTTTTTTTTCTTCTTCTTCTTGGTATTGTACAGCCAGCCATATACGTGTATGCTGGGCGCTAGATGATACATTTTGCCTGTGAGCGTCGTAACATTGTTCATCAAAACTTTCGCTTTGGCTTTTCCTTCCTCGCCTCATTTCATTTTCTTTCTCCAAAAAACCGTTATCCCACGAGACTTCATCTTCATGATGAAGCCTCAACCTCATCCAGATTCTTAATGTTCAGCTCAGAGATGCGCAAGATGGTATATCGATGCTTGCTCTTGGCCTGACGCTTTCTCCTCTGCCTCCGCTTCGTCTTGATCTTGATCCGCAGCGGCTCCGACTCGGTCCCCAGGACAGTCGCACGGCACTCAAACACCCTCTCGTCGACGTGCGGAGCGCCCTTCAAAGTGTAATCTCTGCTGCCGATGACGCTGGCGCGGTTCAGGCGCAGCACGTCGCCGGGAAGAACGCCAGGCATCTTGAATGGCAGACGAATCTGGTCGCCCTCCTGGACCAGATACGGGAAGCCGTGGATGTGGATGGTGATGTAGTGGCCGGGCTGGGCGGCGAGGAGGGGCAGAAGCGTCTTGACGGAGTCGGTGATGGGCGTGGGAGGCTCGACGGGGTGGCTCTTTTTGAAGGCCAGAGGTCGGACCTGGTCGTCGGTGGGATTGGGGGCATTGTTGACGTGAGGCTGCGCAAGAGGCTCGACAATTGGTGCCGTAGAGTTGAAGCTTCGAGGCTGGATGTGACGAAAGGATGCGAATAGAGGGGCGATGCGCGAGCTGGGAGCCCTAAGCTCCAGCACGGAGCGAAGGAGTGCTCTGCTCATGTTGGGGAGATGCGAGATAGCAACCGCAATGCCCGGATTTTGGAGCGGTTGGTAACTATTTTCTCAGCTTGTAGGCGGATTGCATACAAAAAAACCGAGAGCCTGGTATGGTGTTTTCAATGGCTCGATGGAAGCTTTGCGGTTTGCGGGCCGGATTAGTGTGGCGCCGGGGTCCGAGAAATCTGGCTGACCAGCCAATGTATTTTTCTTTTTTCTTTTTTCGACGCTGGGAATTTTTGCACCGTACTGGGTTTCAGTCTCCACTGGGTTTTATACATACAAGCAAAGTCCAGGAAACAACACCGCCAACATGGTATGTTTCTTTTTCCTTTTGCAGAGAAAAGATGCTCTGATTTGAGGATGGAAATGGTTGTGCTAACCCCCCGCAGCCTCAGAACGAGTATATGGAACGGTGGCGCAAGCTGCACGGCCGCCGTCTCGACCACGAAGAACGAACCCGCAAGCGCATCGCCCGTGAAGGCCACAAGGCCTCGCAAGACGCCCAGAACCTGCGCGGCCTGCGAGCCAAGCTGTACCAGAAGAAGCGTCACAATGAGAAGATCCAGATGAAGAAGGCCATCAAGGCGCACGAGGAGCGCAACGTCAAGACGGCCGACGAGAAGGAGCCGTCGCAGCCTCTGCCCTCGTACCTGCTCGACCGATCCAACCCGTCGACGGCAAAGGCCCTCAGCAGCGCCATCAAGAACAAGCGCGCGGAGAAGGCGGCCAAGTTCAGCGTGCCCCTGCCCAAGGTGCGCGGCATCAGCGAGGAGGAGATGTTCAAGGTGGTCAAGACGGGCAAGAAGACGCACAAGCGGGCGTGGAAGCGCGTCATCACGAAGCCGACGTTTGTGGGACCCGATTTCACGCGGCGAAACCCCAAATACGAGCGCTTCATCCGCCCCATGGGTCTGCGTTACAAAAAGGCAAACGTCACGCACCCGGAGCTGGGCGTCACCGTGCAGCTGCCCATCATCAGCGTCAAGAAGAACCCGCAGAACCCGCTGTACACGCAGCTGGGCGTCTTGACCAAGGGTACCATCCTCGAGGTCAACGTCAGCGAGCTGGGGTTGGTGACTGCGGGAGGAAAGGTCGTTTGGGGCCGATATGCGCAGGTCACCAACGAGCCCGAGAACGAGGGATGTGTGAACAGCGTGCTGTTGGTGTGAGGTTGTGAATGAACAAGGGAGATTTCTGGAATGGGGTTTCTTTGACACTGGACCGTGGCTGTCAAGGTGCATGTATTGGCGTTTTGGGCGTTTGGTACATACGAGTGCTTGATGCGAGAGAGAAAGAGACACAAGGTCACTAGATGGGGCAGATTAGGAAGCATGGAGTCTTCCGAGGATATCAGTGTGCTCGTCGTCGTCGTCGTCGTCTGCGAGAAAAAACAAAGTGTTCAATTGAGTATAAAAGCTGCAAATAGAAGCAAGTCAATAATACGAGGCCGATTCTCAACCTGATGGTTCGTTTCTTTCTAATTTTTTATGATGTGCTGTTCCTCTTGTTGGCCAGATTGGGCATGCAATACATATCCGATCAAATCTGATTAGTTTCATCATCTGCTTCTGCTATTTTGTCTAACCGCAACTATAATTACAATATTACCTATAGTATGAGAATTGTCAATACTATCCATCAACCTCGTCATCTTCGAGATATTTCACATGAATCCTTATCAGTATATCGCCCAACTCTTCTAGTTCCAACAAAGGCTCTGATTTTTCAGTGGCTCTGCCGCCACCCCCCAAAAGTGGATAGCGGGGACCCTGTCAAGGCGGTGACAGCGATAAATTAATTTTCTGCCCGACCGAAAGCCTGCATTTCGCCGCTCCGACTCGAGTCCCTTCTCGCAAGCCAAAAAAAAATCCCATAAACCAGACAAAACAAGGCGCCTCCGTCCTTGTCTTTTCTCTTCGTTCTACTTTATCTCGTCTATTCAGGCTAATTTTGTTTCTCTTGTGTCTGTTGCGCCCCCTCGAAAAGAAAGAATAATAGATCACGTTGGTGAAATAGACCCGGCATTGTTTCAGTTTTCAAGCTTTTTTTTTCTTCTACTTCTCTCAAAATGAGCGGCGACAAGATGGAAGTTGAGTTGGCGGAGCAGAAGCTCAAGACGATGGAGCACAGCGAGCAGCACTACTTTAAGAGGTACGTTGACGAGCCCTGGGAGGGAAGGAAGAGGCGAAGAGTATTATAATCTTCCCGTCGTTCTTTGGTTGTCTTAGTTGGGCAGTTTTGACGAATTTGGAGAATCCGTGGCTGACTTATACCCTGCGTCCAGCTACGATCATCACGGTACGAACAAACGAAAATGAATCACATGTTGGCTTTTATAGGAGAATGCATTGTCTGACTTTTATTTTTCTTTTTGACACGAGCAGGAATCCACGAGGAGATGCTGGTGAGCGCTTCTTCCCCTCCCCTCCCCCTCCTTCGTTTGCGATGGTTGCCCCTCTTCAGCTGCGAAACGCATAGCGCATCCTGCAGTTAATTCCGTATCTGCAGGCTGAGGAGCACCAAAACGACTCAAAAAGACACGCAGGCTGACGTTTGATGGTTGAAATGTAGAAAGATGAAGTGCGCACGAGGTCGTACATGAACGCTATCGTCCAGAACAAGCACATTTTCAAGGACAAGGTTGTTCTCGATGTTGGCTGCGGCACTGGTATCCTTTCCATGTATGTCCGCAAAACCAACCCTTCCCCCTCTTCCGCGATTGCACTGCATCGCTCAGACCTGCTTTGCGGGTAATCTGCCGAAACGGCTCGGCGTATGAGGAGTGGGAAAATATCACAGGAAGAGCAAATAAGGATGATATTGATGCGGTTTCTGATGTAGGTTCGCTGCCAAGTCCGGCGCCAAGCATGTCATCGGTGTCGACATGTCCACCATCATCTTCAAGGCCCGAGAAATCGTCAAGGTCAACGGCCTATCAGACAAAATCACCCTGATCCAGGGCAAGATGGAGGAGATTGAGCTTCCCTTCCCCCAGGTCGACATCATCATCTCCGAGTGGATGGGCTACTTCCTCCTCTACGAAAGCATGCTCGACACCGTCCTGTACGCGCGAGACAAGTACCTCGTCAAGGATGGCCTCATCTTCCCCGACAAGGCCACCATCTTCTTCGCCGGTATTGAGGATGGCGACTACAAGGAGGAGAAGATTGGATGCAAGTTTCCCCCCCAAACTTTACCTTTTCTGTTACACCAAGTCTAACAAAATTCAAAACTCAGTCTGGAACAACGTCTACGGCTTTGACTACTCTCCCCTCAAGGCCACTGCCCTGTCAGAGCCTTTGGTCGATACCGTCGACCTCAAGGCGGTCGTCACCGATCCCGTCCCCGTGCTCACCCTCGACCTCTACACCTGCACCACCGCCGACCTCGCCTTCAACACCCCCTTTACCCTCACCGCTAAGCGCGATGACTTCATCCACGCCCTCGTTTCCTGGTTCGACATCGACTTCACCGCCTGCCACAAGCCCATCCGCTTCTCCACCGGCCCTCACACCAAGTACACCCACTGGAAACAGACCGTCTTCTACATCGAGGACGTCCTCACCGTCCAGAACGGCGAGGAGGTCCAGTGCAAGCTCGACGTCAAGCCCAACGACAAGAACCGCCGCGACCTGGACATTGAGGTTGACTACGCCTTCCAGGTCAACGATGCGACCAGGAGCGCGTCCGGCCGCAGCGCGTACAAGATGTGCTAAGTGTGTATATTTTCCAGTCTCTGTTTACGGACCGGAGCAACAGATGAATCAAGGGGGAAAAAATGTAAGCGGGATTTCCAAAGAGCTGGTATGTTAGGGCGATGGAAAGATGGACAAGGGAGCTCTTGGCGGCGTATATATATGACTCTTTTTTTTTTTCGTGTGCAGGCTGGGGGGGAATTAAAAAAAAAGTAGATAGACAGACCATAGGGAGCGAGTAATACGACTCGGAATGAGAGAAACAATGAACCATATACCAGTGTCTACTACCTAAGCATTCTACAAGATTATAAGAAAGATAGTGACTTGATTTGCCTAGGCATAATTCTTGCTTTCAGTTACTACCTCTAAGCTTTGGTATATAGGTATTTCTCCTTCCCTTCTCCCCTCAAGACTAAGAACTAAGTAGGCATCTATGTTGTTGAGTTGCGAATGTCTATAGATCGCTTTTCAGTTTGTAAAATTTGGACTTGTGATATTCCAGCATTTCGTTGCCGTCCCAGAGTTTTCATAACCATCATTCAAATTCGTCAACTATTTTTACCCCCCTTCTTTCTTTCTTTTGTTTTTTTCCAAATGTCGTCGCAAGTCAAAAAACTGCGTGACTCGGGGTTCTCTCTCTCCTCCACGTTCTCTCTCCTCCCCCTTTTTTGGTGCTTTTATTCATTTTTACTGTTTTTCATTGTCGAGATAATCAAGTCAATTCATCATCAGACTTAGGAGCCGTATTGTTTGATGATGCTGGCCACCTTGGTAGCCAGCTCATCAGCCTCGTGTCTCGTAGCAGCCTCGGCGTACACACGGCACGCATTCTCGGTGCCGCTAGCACGGGCAAAGGAACGAGCCGTGGTGTATTTCCTAACGCACTGGTCAATCTCGTCCTGCGCGCCGGGAGGGTGGCTGAGGCGGCGCTCGGCGTCGGTCGTCTCGAAGATGTCCTTGTTGGCCACTTCGACGCGGACGAGGCGGTTGGGCAGGTCGGTGTAGGTAGTGGCCCAATCCTTAAGGGACCACGCCTTGTGGGCCAGAATCACCTCCACCATGAGCATGTCTGAGATGGCATCGCCGACGGTCTGGTTGATGAGGTCACCGACAGCGGCCAGCGTCTCCAGAGCGTCCTTCTGGGCCGGAGACTGGGGCTTCTTTTCCCGGAAGACGCGCAGGGCCTCCTGGGAGAAGACGACGGTGCCGTGGCCATTGGCCTCAAAGTAGACGCCAACGTCAAACTGGCAGGCGGCGTGGTGCAGGTGCTTGACGCCCGTGGGAGTGAAGACAACGGGAAGCTGCAAGTTCTTCTCAATGTATGTGGTGCTAGCGCCGTTGGCGTAGGCGGTCTGGACGACTCCGATTCGAAGCTCCTCCTCTAGGCCAGCGGAACGGACAAGGTCGCCGATGAAAGAGGCATTGAGGGAAGAGATGCGGTCTCCGTCCAGCATGAAGAAGCCAGAGTCGGGGTCGGCCCAGTAGTAGATCAGACGGTCTGCGTCACCATCGAGCGAGCAGCATCGGGCTTCGGGGGTAGGCTTGAAGTTGGGAGGGGCTCGCTGCTTGGTCTTGACAAAGTCGGCACCGCACTGAGAACGTTGGATGTTAGCTTTTGAATCCAGCATATGAAGTGATTCCCACTTACGTCGAGGTTGAGCACCTCAGGTCGCAGCACATCATCGTTGACGACCTTGACGTTGAACCCAGTCACATCCTTGGGGATGACCTTGAGAAGCTCCGTAAGCTTGGGACCTCCAACGCCGTTGGCGCAGTCGACAATCAGCTGGCCCTGGACCTTTCTGCCCCGCAGCGCGCGGACAAAGGCCTCGGACAGCTTGTTGTAGTAGCCAGCCTCGCTGACCTCGCCGTACGCCTTGGGGGTGCCCTCGGTGTTGACGCAGCGAGTCAGGTAGTGCAGCTGGGGGGTGGTGAGGATCTTGTAGTCGGTGTACTCGATGCCGGTGGCCTCGAGAGCATCAGCCAGGGCGGTAACCAGGCTGTGGCCCGAGGGGCGGGTATCGCGGCCGTAGACGACGCGGCCGGGGGTGTTGAGGTCGATCTTGAGCTGCGAGGCCAGCTTCTTGTACGTCTCGAGGAGCTCCTCGTGGGTGGGGGCGTTGACCAGCAGCGTTGCGTGGGCCTCCCAGTCCTGCTCGAGCATCTCGCCCATGGGATCGACAATCTTGACGCCGTTGTCGGGAGCAGGGTTGTGGCTGGCGGTGATCATAACACCAATTGCCTGGCCGTTGAGCTTGCGGCTTCGCAGACCAGCAATCAGACCGACGCGGAACGAGACGCCGGGCAGAAGGTCGGCCTTCATGCGGAAGCCGGCGGTGCCATACTTGTAGACGTGGCCCTCGACGATGGGGTGCTTGGCGGACGCCTCGAGGAATTTGGAGTCATCCATTCTGACGGTGAGGATAGGTGTCGAGGCGGGATGGCTGTCCGTAAGGCTGCGTGGGTGGTTGAGCTTGGAGAGAGAGGTCAAGGCGGGAGGGAAGAGTTTGATGAGGGGTGGAAAAAAAGAGAAGAGAGGAGGAGGAAAAGGGTCAAGAGCCCAGGAGAGGTTTTAAAAAAACAATAAGAGAAAAAAAAGGAGAAGAGCAGCACAAGATTGTACAGGCGCAGGGCTGGCAGGTCAGAGAAGGCGGTGCGAGGGCTTAGAGAGAGGCCTTTATTTAGACCTCGCGGGTGGAGTCAATTGTGGCAGACCCCGTGGCGGTTCCACGCTTTTGATTGCCTCGAATGGCCTGTGGCTTGTGTGCTGAAGGGTTGTAAGCCTCGATTCAAGTTGCATTGAAGTCAATGAATGCAGTGCAGTGTAATTCCTTCAGCCTGCCGATCCATCTATATATAGGTGGCAGTACGAGTGAGCATACACTATTGCTATGGACCGTACAGTATACTCTAAGAGCAACAATTCACCCTCTACCTCTCCGTACTATGTGTTGACTGGAGTCTAGTATAATCCCTCAGGAAAACAGCTTCCCCCCGTCTCGTCTCGTCTCGTCTCGTCTCGTCTCGTGTCATCGTCATCATTCTCAGCCGTCACAATCAATTCCAGGTCACGTTGCCCATCCTATGAGCTGTCACCCCTCGGCCGTGCCAATCAATCAAATGCTTTTGCTGCTACTCTATCGCTCACCTCCTCTCCAGCTGCTTCTCAACAGTAGGGGGCCAGACGCAGACCCCGCGTTGCTGCAACAGTAACATTGCTTGATCCATGTCTTCAACCCCACCCTCGCCAGTATGAATAGGGTGATTTATGATTTCATGTCAATTCGATTCGATTCGGGGCTGGGCACGGAGTACATGGCAGTGGCATGTATTTTCTCTGCAGGGCTCATGTAGCTGGAGGCCGCTCTTTTTGGATTCCCGTTTCTTCCAGCCGTTTCCACAATGGAACTGGTGACTGCAGATTGCGGTTCAAACGTGTACCTTGTCGGCCATCAGTACCTAGTAGTACTAAAACAACACCGTACCTGATCTGGGCTTGTACAGGTACAGACAGACCGACTGACAGGAGTTCTGCAGCGCTGCTACTAGCACCAACACGCTCCAACGTGCAGAAGATCGGCCACGTCGAGAGGCATTAATGCCGAGTCTTTGGTACTAATCTCCTTGGGCACAAAGCACGACGCAAAAGTACTGTCGAGCGAGTACTCCATACTCCATACGTGGGCATGCAAATACGAAGCCATCTGTACTCCGTACCCCCATCGCAGGTACCCCTGTCTTTTGCCGCTGCACGTTTGCTGCACAATGATGCAAGTCGCTCACGTGACCTCGCGCCTGGGACGAGCTTCTGCTTTCTTTTGTCTGACGCGTGAATGAAAGCCGTTGCTTGGACCACCCTGTAATAGAACAGCAGAAATGACGAGACGAGACGCCTTTTTCTTTTGTCTTTTCTTTCTTATTCCTCTTTACGAACGCTCAACTCTGATTTACTCGTACGAACGGCACTTCTCGTATAATTCCTGCCGTCTCCCTGTCATTGCTCAGCATGGACGACTCTGAATGTGCAAACCCCCAATTTCTAGCTTGGGTCAAGGAGTGGCTAGACTTTGCTAGAGAACGGAATACCAAAGGCTTCACGGCGTATCGGAATGCTTACGAATCTCTCAAAGCGTGTCCCATTCCGTTTGAGCATCCCGCGTCGCTTCAGCAGCTCAAAGGTTTTGGACCCAAGCTTTGCGAGCGCCTCCAAGACAAGCTGAAGCATCACTGCCAACAAAATGGATTGCCCATGCCTGAGCATCCCCAGGTGAAAAGGGCCAATGAAAGAGCTCTCAACGAACAAACGGGAAATGACGACGACGCAGAGTCAAGGCCCAAGAAGAAACCAAGGCAGCCCAAGGCCTATGTCCCTGCCTTTCGATCAGGAGCCTACGCCCTGATATTAGGACTCTCCAATCTTCCCGAGGATGCATCTTCCAGCTTAACCAAAGCAGAACTTATAGAGACCTCCCAGCCACACTGTGACGCCTCGTTCACTGCCCCGAGTGACCCAACAAAGTTTTACACTGCTTGGAGCTCAATGAAGACGTTGATTCAGAAGGAGCTCGTTTATGAGAGAGGGCGGCCTCTGCGTCGGTATGCATTGACAGACGAAGGGTGGGCCGTGGTGAAGCGAATCAAGGAGACGGCCCAGTGGCAAGAAGAAAACAGTGCCAGCGAACAGCAGGGGTCGGGACGCCGTCCACAGCTGTCAGGCACGGCAGCAAATCAGCCCTCGACCCTGGACGCGAGGGACGCTCAGCCGGCGATTGACGAACCATCGTTCTATCAGAATGTTGTCTCAGATGGCCCTGTCGTTTTGGAGGATGACGATCTACCGAGCTTCACCCCAATTAGGATCCCGCCTGGGTCCTTCACCGTCCACTTGCTCCTAGATGTTCGAGAGGTCAGAGCAAAAACAGATCGCGACTATATGCAGGAGGAATTGGTCAAGCAGGGTGTAAAACCAATCATGAGAAGCTTGGAGATTGGCGACGTTCAATGGGTTGCCAAATGTCACGACTCGACGCTGCTATCGAGACTCGGCGCAGAAGGAGACGAGATTGTCCTGGACTGGATCGTTGAGAGAAAGCGACTAGATGATTTAATCGGAAGTATAAAGGACGGCCGATTCCATGAGCAGAAATTCCGGCTGAACAAGGCTGGCGTGAAAAAAGTCGTCTATCTCATTGAAGAAATCTCAATGGATGCTGCCGTACACCAGCGATACGAAGAAGCGGTGCAATCGGCCATTGCGTCGACACAAGTAGTTAATGGCTACTTTGTGAAGCGAACACAAAAGATTGACGATACAATCAAGTATCTAGCCAGGCTGACTACAATGCTTAAGCGCACGTATGAGAGTAAACAGCTAAACGTCATCCCGACAAGGGTGATTACTGCGCATAATTACTCCCGCCTAGTCCACCATCTCCGCGAGAACGAACCTACGGTGGCATATCACGTCACTTACCCGGCTTTTGCGTCCTTGGCCTCCAAATCAGAGACGATGACGCTCAGAGACGTCTTTCTCAAGATGCTCATGACCACCAAAGGGCTCACGGGAGAGCGTGCGCTCGAGATTCAGCGCAAGTGGAAGACGCCGTATGACTTTGTAAAAGCGTTTGACGCCTGTGGTACAGATGAACAAGGCAAGAAACGCAAGAGAGAACTCGTGGCCAGCGAATTGAGCCACCTGGTTGGACGCAAGAAAATGTCCAAGCCTCTCAGCCACAAGATCGCTGAGGTATGGGGGGACGCCTAGAGTTGATATCAAAGTTTGAATTCGCTTCAAAATGCTTAGCCTTTCTATGGATACCCCCAGCTTTTACCGTCAACGCCCTATGGCTTCGCCCCTTGGCTTTTAGCAACTACACGCTCAACAATCTTCTCAAGGAGAGGGATTGAAGCCGCGGCTCCGTCCCCGCCCAGGATACCGGCCAGAGACTTTTCAGCGTACTTGGCCATCATGTCCACCTCGATGTTGACGGTATCTCCCTTGCCCTTTTTGGCCATGACAACCCTTTCCTGAGAGTATGTGATCAGCATGATTTCCCACCAGCCTTCAGCATCGTTGACCTGAGTGACGGTCAAGCTGGTCCCGTCAATGGCGATGAATCCCTTGTACACAATGTAGCGCAGAAACTCGGGCTTCTTGGGCTGGAAGCGGAAAGTGAGAGCATTGCCATCAGGCGTCACGGAGAGGATGTCGGCGGTTGTGTCGACATGGCCCTGGACAAAGTGGCCACCCATACGAGTGTCGGCGCGGACGGCCCGCTCCAAGTTGACTCTGCTCGATTCCACCAGGGTACCGAGGTTGGTGATGCGCAGCGTCTCGGGTGCGACGCCAATGGTGAAGGTATCGTTTGAGAAAGAAGTCACGGTGAGGCAGCAGCCATTGACGGCGATGGAGTCGCCCTCGTGGCAGTCTGTGAGGAGGTTGGATCCAGAGGGGATGGTGATTGTCATGACGGAGCTGCCGGTGGCGGCATCATTCACGAGCTTGGAGATGACTCGGAATTGTTAGCTGCGACGTTGTTGTAGGTTCACCCGGCTTTATAGACTCACCTCCAATCTCTTCGACAATTCCGGTGAACATGATGTCTTGTTGTGACGGTGACTTTGAGTTCTGCTTGGTCTGTTAGAGATGTGACAGAGGCTTTCAGCGGGCTGTAAAGTGAACTCACTCACTGAAAGTTGTTGGACAATGTCCGGGCGTGAATAAGCCGAGGAGGATTCAATGCTGGTGAAGAAATAGTGGGACTACTTTGTTATACGTTCCACAACGAGAGTTGCGAGATGAAGAGGATGGACGGCTTTATTGTTTTATGTGAAAAGGACAGGAAAGCGATTGAGTCACTCTGCTTCACTTCAACTACAAAGCAGAGTCCAATCTTACCAATCTTTAGCCCGACAAGTTGGTTTGATGCCAAAGCAGAGCCCCGCATCCATGGTGGGCGAACGGGCTTATCGATAACGGTCCCGCCAAAATTTCAAGTTTTCAGTTGAATCGGCATGCGGTGCGACTGAGCGGCCACAAGTTCAGCCAACGCTGTTGAGTTGAGAATCTCTCTATCAAACTCACCGACTTTGCAACAAAATTCCTTGTTCCATTTCTTGGAACTTTAAACCCCATCACTCAAATATCTCTCATCACTATTTATCGGTTTTCATAGACCATCACATCTCGGAAATCTCAGCATGGCGCCTCGGGCCGGCGACAAGAAGGATGCACCAAATCTAAGCAAGCTGATTGCCGACGCAGAGACGCAGTATGAAGTGGGCAATCTAGACGAGGCCATTGCCCTTGCGTCAAAAGCGCTGGATCTGACGGGAGAGGGCGGTGATTTCGAACTCAAAGCCTTGAACTTGCTGGGAGTCTTGCATGTCGAGGATGGCGAGGTCGAAGAGGCGCGGGACTACTTCCTGCGAGCGATAAAGCTGGACGAGGAGGGCACCCTGGATGAGAAGATTGGCGGCGGACCTGAAAAGTTTTTGTTTCTGGCTCAGCTGAGCGAGGAGGGCGGCCAGGACAGTGTTCAGTGGTTTGAGAAGGGTGCTTCTGCGCTGCGAAAACAGATTCAGACTTTGAACGACGTCGCCAACAAAACACTGGAGCAGCAGGCTGCTCTTGAGGAGATGCAGAGCAAACTTGGCGGCGTCTTGTGTGCTGTTGCCGAGGTGTACATGACGGATCTGTCGTGGGAGACGGACGCTGAGCAGCGATGCGAGGCTCTCATCACCGAGGCCATGCTCATCGCGCCCAACTACCCCGAGACTTGGCAGACAGTGGCCAACGTGCGCATCTCACAGGAGAGATTGGACGAGGCCCGTACAGCGCTGAAGCGAAGCCTGGAGCTCTGGCAGGACTTGCCCCCGGAGCACCCCTCGGTGCCAGAGTTCCCCACCAGAGTCAGCCTGGCGCGATTGCTCATGGAGACGGAGATGGAGGAGCAGGCTCTCGGCGTGCTGGAGCGCCTGGTCACAGATGACGATTCCAGCGTCGAGGTCTGGTATCTCGGAGGCTGGTGCCTGTATGTTGCGGGCGAGAAGCTGCGCGAGGCGAAGCCCCAGCAGAACGGCACCGAGGGCGCCAGCGAGGAGTGGAAAGCGACGTGGGGGTACGCGAGGAAGTGGCTCAGCCAGTCTCTGAAGCTGTACGAGCTGCAGGAATACGAGGACGACAGGTTGGGCGAGCACGCGGTGGAGCTTTTGCAGAGCATCAACAAGGAGCTTGGCGAGCCTCCGGAGGGAGAAGACGAGGAGGAGTGGTCTGGCATTAGCGATGATGAGGATGATGATGATGACGAGGAGATGCAGGATTAGAAGGGGACTACGAAAAAAGGGTTTGGCGACATTGAATGAATGGACGGCGTTGGAATGGATGCTTTACAAAAGAAGACTTGGTTTTTCAGTGTTGAGATGTGGGTAATGGAAAATAGTGCGTGAGAGCCTTTAGGGAATATACTAGATGTGACGATTTCAAATTCAAAACTGATATCAACAGGTACTCATTATTCGGTTGTGTCAAGTTCGCTTTTTGTTTCGTCAAACAGATACGTCAGGGTTTATTGCTTGATTTGCAATGTGTTTATTCCGCCATTCGTCCCTCTTTTATTGAAACCATGAAAACGATACAAGATTCCCAAGATGTAGAAATTCATAACTCCCACCGGAAAAGAACAAAAAAAAACTCCATATATGTCGTATCCCAAAAAGATATATATACGCTCGCTCACCTCCCCCTTCATCTAAACAGCCTCCACCCTGAGCTGCTCAACACCATCCACCAGCCCCTCCTCCTCCTCCTCCTCCTCACCTTTACCAGCCAAGCCCTTCTCCCAGAGCTGTCTCCCCGACAACTTGACAGGCTCCTTGACCCTGGCCTTCTTCAGCTCCGCCAGCCGCTCCTCTTCCTCCCGCACGCGCTGCTCCTCCATCTCGCGCAAGAAACCCTCGCGCCACTTGAGGAACGTCTCCGGCGTAACGGGTGTGCCGTGGAACTTCTTATTCTCCTCACGTTCCGCGGCGAGCTTCTCCTCGTCAACGATCTTCTGGGCGGCGGCCTTGCGGTCCTGGACGAGCTGCTCAGCAGCCTCCTTGAGGGTCGAGTACAGCGTGAAGACCATGGCCATGCCGAGGTTCTCCTGGATGGTGTCGGCGACGTCGGCGAGCAGCTGGTCGCGGTCGTCGCCGACGCTGAAGTGCAGGTGGGACGGGCTGTTGCTGGAGGCGAGGATGTCGAGGTGAGGCGCCTCGTCCGGGTACTCGTCCGGGTAGCGCACGGAGAGGAGGAAGCTGGGGGGTTCTTCGTCTTCGGGGGTTTCTTCGTCGGGGATGTCGAGGACGACTTTTATCCGGAACTCTGTCTCGGAGATGTCTAGAAAACAATGTTAGCCAGAGAAATGCCCAACTTTTTTTCTTTCTTCTTCCTGGTGATTTCAAGATGCCGGGAGAGGCGTCGCTTTTTACCTGTGATTTCTTCAGGAAAGATGGATTCGAGCACCTCACGCTCTTCGACCTGCTCTTCGCGACCCATTGCGGCGGTTGTCTTTGTTTCTGCTGTGTGGGAGTTGTTGCTGGATGTCGATGATGGGAGCTTTTTTGGGTTGGCTGTTTACTGTGTTTAGGTGGGGTTGGGAGGAAAGGCTTTGGCGGGGTTCAATCGTGGAGACGGACGTTCTCTTTTGGGGGCTGCGGATTTGAGGTTAATTAAGTGCAGATTTGATGGCGGGATTAGACAGATGATGCCGGGGTGGTGATTTTATTTTCATCTTATTTTATATTTAATCCTGTATTAACATGTGTAAAGGAATATTGAAAGTCGCAAGGTTCAAAGGCATTGACATCTTACAACGGGTACCTACGAGTAGGTAGATATCATGTGCATATACTTGTACATCAGTGCACCGCATAACATGGCCTCCATGTAAATGCATCAATCGCTCATTATGAATCCAATGCAGTGTCGTACCGCTTCCCATCGCAGTACTGCACAAAGCCGTCCAGGTCCATCTTCTTCAGCACCGTGCTGAAATTCCCAGTCCCGGCCCCAATGCCTCGATGCGAGCACAGATCGGCAGCACGCGCGGCATCGATTGCAGGGGCGCCCTTGGGATACTCGATGTGGAAGACGGGCTTGCCAGCCTCGATAAAGGGGGCAAACGTCTCGCACTCGGAGAACTCGGCGCACTGCTCGTTGACGGAGAAATTGACAAAGTCGAGCACCTTGGGGATGATGCCGCCGGCGTTTTTCAGGCCAACGGCCATGTGGTGCGAGCTGGCCTCTTGATGCAGGAACTGGAGGTAGTTGATGGAGTCTTGGGCCGTGAGATTGAGCCCATTGTCGTTTTGCTGCCCATGGCAATGACACGACACGAATTAGCACTGTTGCATCATGTGTTTGCAATGCGTTGAGAAGGAAAAAAAAAAAAAAAAAAAGGAGGCTTACATAACCGTCGACGTTGTCGGGGTCAATGGCATCGCATCCCTTGGACGAGGCGAGCTTGATGCGGTCCCTCATGATGCTGCGAACATTGCCGCTGTTGAGGTCCAGCCAGCGCTCGTTGGGCCATCCGTCAAGGGGCTTGCCCAGATCCGACTCGTTGAACCATCCCTTATCCGGCCGGAAGTCCTCGTACGAGCCGGCGCTGAAGTAGCAAATGACCCTTTTCCCGTGGCCCTGCAGTGCCTTGAACGTCTCGGCGTCGTTGTCAAAGAGGTCCAGGTCCCAGATGGCGACATCCGGGCTGGCGGATCCGTCTGTGAGCTTGATGGCGCCCTGGAGCACGATTTGCCACGTCGCGTTGACGCCGGGCTGCCATGTGCTCGTGCGGTTGCGATTGTCTGAGTCGGGGTCTGAGTTTGAGCCTGAGTCTGAGCCTGAGTTGTCGTCGTCGTTGTCTTGGGCAGAGTCGTCGTGACCGCCTCTGTGCGTCAGTCCGACGCCCAGGCCGACGCCGAGCCCGATGGCGACGATAAGAAGAAGCGCGCCTGCGATGGCGAGTATTTTCCAGCGACGCCGTGAGGGATTGGATTTGCCGGCATGGTGCCGTTCTGTGCTAGAGTCGGTGGGCTTCATCCCTCCCTACCTTTAACACCAATGGCCGAATCGAAGCTGGTGAGACAACCAAGTGTAGCAAGGACTGAGTTACACATTGCAAGCGTTTTACTGCCAATTCTTGCTTGGCAATCAACATCCAAGTAATGCCGTTACAATCATGGCGCAGTCTCTAGCTTATCCTGCGCGCGGCATCGTGGCTACATGCTGTACAGACTCCAATTCAGTGCTTCCCGCGTCATGTCTTTCGTGATGCCGTCAATCCACCAAAGGATCAAATGCGGCGCAGCAAAGGGGGCCACAAGGGTCCTCGAGTGTGGCTCAAGGGAGGACAAGCCCAAATAGCTGGGCGCCACAGCAGGCTAGCCGCAATCCATCTGATTCCATTGCGTGCTACCAAAAACAATGAGCCATCCGTTGATTGAGCTTGAAATTTTGACAGCCCAGTACGGGCACTGTCTACATGCGAAAGTACTTCGACTCCGAGGGGAACCGGTAAGCAAAACCCACCACCTAAAATAGAGAACCTTGGAAGAGATTGGCGGCACTTTTTGTGCGAGAACAGGGAGTCGGTAATTACGGGGGACGGGCTCCGTTGCAATCAATCACAGAGATTTTCGAATCTGCATCCATGTATCCCCAAGGTACTTGTACCTACCCGTGCCTGACGAAGAGGACGACGAAAAACTTCAAGACCGCCAGTTCGCGTGCGCATGTGAAAGTTTCAACACCTGCAGCATTTCCCATGTGATTGGCTTACGTCGAAAAGTACACTGACACGTATGGAGTACAAAGGACTGCATCTGATATGATATCCCAACAATTGGCTAGAAGATCCCGTCTGAAGGCCCCCCTGACGTTTTGCATCGGCAGGCACCGGACCTGCCTGCTGCTGCTTATGTATCTTCAGAAACGAATGGAATCCCAGCACGGAAGAAGAGGCGAGTAAGAGAAAAGAAAAATCCAGACGTGTAGGCGTCGCCGGTCCAATCTGCTCGTGCCTTGATTATGCAAGGCCGCATGCGAGATAGTGCGATGCAATGCGACGCTGATGCAACGGTGCAGCGAGCAGGGGCCGTTAGTGGCCCTTCAGGGCTCGCAGCAGCTGTTTAGCGGCCTCTGTGGTGGTCCGACCGCCCACTGTGGGCACTGGGAGCAGCACGATAGGCTGCGGCCCCCCGTGTTAACGCCTGCAGCTTCCAAGGCATGCAGCTGGTATGGGTCCGATTGAAGCTGTGCAGCCTCGCGACATGGCACGATTGAGCTTGAGCTCCGTCGATGGCTTCCAGCGCGCGTCGAGCGTCTGCTTCCGGGCGTTGCATTTGATGTTCATAGGTATCGATACTGCACCGCGACCTGTGCACCGCTAACATGCTAACATTGAATCAAGGTGCCCTGCCTTGCCTAAAAATAACATGCACTGTGCGCCATAAGTACGGCTGGAGCCATGCCTGCCGTGTCCAGGTGCTTATCGCATCGTATCTGCTTGCAGAGCTGCAAAAAGCCCCCACCGCCTCGCCGGCCACATTTAATTTCGCACGATTTCAACACTAGCAACTCTTCGCACCTCAATACTCATACTGTCCTCGACGCCGCTGGTTCTTCCATCCCGGGCTGTGGCGACCCTCGAAGCTTCTTTCGTCGTCATCGTCGTCTTCCTTCATCTCCCGGTTCATCGTTCTCTGTTCCAACATCCCGCCATCCCTTTCTTATATCCTCCCTCTCCCTCTCCCTCCCCCTCGAGCCACGCCGACGACCTCATCAACATCTCTAATTCTTGATCGCGACCATGGGCAGCTACACTTTCAAGTGGTGAGTTTTGCGCTTTCCCAAGGCGAAGCTTTGCGCCGCCAACCCCCAGTCCAAAAAAAAAATCCGGCACTCGCGCCGCCGCTTCGAGGTTTGCGAGACCACGAGGGCACAAAAGAGCCTCCACCCGGTTGGCGCGAAAAAAAATCCAATCCCAGCTGGAATCACATTAGCCGATGGAAGCTGACGTTTGGGGGTTTTCCTCTCTAGGGAGCATCCCGCCGAAGAAGTGTTCGTCACGGGCACCTTTGACAACTGGACGAAGAGCGAGCAGTTGGCCAAGGAGGGTGACGTCTTCCAGAAGACGGTGGCCCTGAAAGATGCATCGCAGAAAATATACTTCAAGGTAGGTCGAGAGCTTGCTGTCGTGCTGCGGCCGCCCACCATCCGCTGCTTCTGCCGCTGCGTTTTTGATGCTTTGCTATATGCTGCCCTTTTTCTTCTCTCCCTTTCGCATATGCCATTGGCCATGGCCTTGTTCAGCTCCAGCCTCAATGCGCTGTTCAGCCCATCGCTCGATATGATCTACCTGGGGGTTAGTGCCTCTTCCCACGTCATGTCATGTTCACCATGAAGCGCAGCAGTAAAGGCCCGCCCAATAAAGCTGCATCGGTTCGTCCACCCTCACAAACCCCACGAGATGCAATTCCATCTTTAGCACGAACCATTCGAGGCGGATCAGATCAGCGTGGCAGAGCTCGGCTGAGTCAGATTGCATCCGTCAATGGCCGGTGATGGAATCTCGTCGCTGGACTGGCTCAGCGTTGGCTTCGCACAGGTCGCTGAAACCCCCCACGGCGCTTCCTCTGTCGTCTGCGCCGGGGGCTGTGACGCAACCCAGCGCGACGCAAATGCCCGCGGGGTTGGAATGTTGGTGCTGATAGCAAGCGCTGGTCATCCGACTCGCCATCCTTTTTCCCCCTTCGAGCCCTCTAGCGCACCCCGAGTGTGGTGTAGCGGTGAGAACGAGGGAGCTTGCGCCACAGCCGCAAGACATTGGTGATCTATCCAAGTTTGGTTGTCCGTCCCTGTTGGCGCTGTCAAAATCCGCTGCCGTCAAGGGGCCTTAATCTACTTATTTCGACCTACCTAATCCAACTCAACCATGATTCCCGCTAGGCCACCACTTAATTGGGGGATTCGGCCATACCCCCTTGTCGCCGTGCCAAAGCGGCCCCCGCACCGGCCTGGCCAACCCCCTTCCAAGGCCGTTGTCGTGCATATATCACGTCACACGCACCTGGATAGTGGATTCAGCCTGTTTCGCGCTGCATCATAGTACATAAATTTCGATCCTCTCCAGCGAGGGGTCTTTGCTTTTCTTCCTTGACAAGCTGTTGCTGACCCTTTACTCTTTTTTTCGCATCATCTAGTACGTCGTCGACGGAAACTGGACGGTAAACGAGTCTTCTCCCAAGGAGGCCGATCACGAGGGCAACGTCAACAACTTCATTACTCCTGAGGACATACTCAAGTCCGACCCCGCAGCTGCCTTCATCAGCACCGTTACTCCCCAGTCCACTACCGCTAAAATGGCGAGTGAGCAGCCCGTTGAGAAGCCCGAGGGTGTCGCTACCCCTTCTGACGTTCCCGGCGGCTTCCCGGCGACCCCCCAAACCGAGTTGGACAAGCCGATCAGCGTCAATCCTCTGCCCGCTGCTGCTGGCGCTGTCAACCCCATCACGCTCGCGCCTGGCGAGGAGGTTCCCAGTGTCGGCATTGAGAGCACCAATGAGCACATCAAGCTCGACAAGGAGTCTTATGAGAAGAGCGACGCCCTTCCCGGCGTTGTCGCCGCCGACCTACCCCCTGTCACCAGCAACCTGATTCCCGAATCCAGCCTTCCCGTGACTGCTGCCTCCGAGGACGTCCACATCAACACTGTTGGTGGTGATGGCGCCACCACCGTTGGCCTGGCTGCTCAAGTCCCCCTCGAGGCCAAGGTTCCCCAAGTCGTCAAGGAGAGCCAGGAGAAGGCCAACGCCGAGCCTGAAGCCGCCGCCGTCCCCGAAGAAGTCGAGGCCAAGGCCAAGGTTGAGGAGGAGCTCAAGGAGAAGGTCTCCGAAGCTCCCGTCACCTCTGAGGACAAGCCTATCGTCGACACCGAGGCCATTGCTGCCGCCGCCGCCACCACTGGCGCTGCTGTTGTGGCCGCTGTCATTGCCGCCAAGGACAGCCTTGTCGAGACCGCCGGACCTGTCGCCAACGACGCTGTTGCTGCTGCTGTTGACGCCGCCAACAAGAACCTCCCTGAGTCCGTCAAGGAGCAGCTGCCTGAGCCCGTCAAGGAGACACTGGCGCAGCATGAAACTGCCGCCAAGGAGGAGACCCGAGAGGAGGTTTCTCCCGAAGTCCCCGCCGAGGTCAAGGAGTCCATCACCGAGGCCGGTAAGAGCCCCGAAGCTGCCGCCAACACTGTCGCCGTCGAGGAGAAGAAGGAGGTCGAGGCCGAGCTGCTGAAAGAAGTCAAGCCGGTCGCGGCTGTCGATGAGCCCAAGGTTGAGGAGACCAAGGCCCCGGTTGAGGTGCCCGTCACCTCTGCGACCATTACCGACGTGGCAGCCATTGACAGCCCGGTGACCGAGGTCAGCAATGTCCAGGTCACCAAGACGGAGGTCCCCGTCGAGGAGCTCACCAAGGACGCCCCCGCAACTGAGGAGCCCAAGGCTGTTGTGGAGCCAAAGGTCGAAGAGCCCAAGACTGAGGTGGCCAAGACCGAGGCCCCGGCTCCCATTGACACGACAGTTGCCTCGGAAGCCCCCAAGGCCGACGCCGACGCCGCCGTCGATACCCCCGTCACCGAGACTGACAAGACAGAGGTGCCTCCGGTCGACGCGGCTACTGAGGAGCCCGCCAAGGGCGATGCTGCCAACGGCGCCCATAGCGATAAGGCGTCTGAGAAGAAAAAGAATCGTATCAGCGCCTTCTTCAGCCGGTTCAGCAGGCACAAGTCCTCGGACAAAAACTAGGGGTCATGGTGGTGACAGGACAGAGCATCATCATCGTTGAGATGCCTGGTTTACGTTTTACAGTGTCGGTTTTCTTGGGCTGCTGGAGTGGCTTTGTTTATATGTCTATGATTCCCCACTTTGGCAGAGAAGTGTGACTTGGGTCGAATAACGTCGGATACCTGGATCACCATTTCATATACCTAAATTCATTCCGTTTTATTTTTCTTTACAGTCTTGTTCGTTCTCTCTTCCCCTTCGGTCTTGTCATGTGCTATTTGGCTTCTTCAATGGGTGCCTTGTCTTGATGGGTATGCTGCGTGTGCGAATGCGTGTGCTTTCTGAGAGAGAGGGCAAGCCTGGGGAGTCTTGATTTGTTTTAATTTCCTATGTGGCATGGAACGGCACCCCCTCCCATGTAAATACATTTTTGCCTAATTAATGTCTATCTTTATACTTTATCCTTGACTGCTCGTTGTCTCCAATCTGGGTAGCAATTGAAATGTGCAAAACCTGGAATCCAACGGACAAGACTACCAGCCAGTCCAGACCTTGTCGATTCCTTTTGCGGGGATGGCTGGGTGCTTACGAGCCTCGTACTCGTACTGGTGACTCATTTGCCGGGATGTCTGTTCATATCTATGCAGGATTACAGGTCAATGCAAAGCTCAACAGTATAGATACCTGTTTACCGCATTCGGCGCAAAGCAATTGGCCTCAATTTGCACAGCATCTCACAGTCCCTTCCTCGTAATAGTAATAGTTGATACAGGTGAGACACTGATAAGGACGAGAGCAGCGCCAAACAGTCACATGCTCAATCACGTGCCGCAGCGCCAGCTTCTCCGATCAAACAGCGGCCATGATTCCCGTGCCATTTGCCCCGCCGCTGACTCGCCCGTTTTACGTGCTGCCAGCATCCCGAACCTAGACTCTTCTACTCTGCCTACCCTATCCTCCAGTGCCGGGGCCAACCGGGTCCCTTTTGGAGCTCCATCCGTCATCCTCTTTCTTCCTCTGTTTGCATCATTCATTTGCTCTTGCTTCTCCTCATTGTCCAGCATCTCTTCCAGTCCCCCGTCCTACCTATCCATCATCCCGCGATAGACTTGACGGCAACACGAGCTGCGACTTAACTGCAGTTCGTGGGCATGCTGGACTTGACGCCACCCGCTTCCGACGACGTGGGCGGCTGAGCAGCCAATCTGCAAACCGTCGGCCCTGGCTGCTTCCATCACCGTCTTGGCCGTCGCATCATGAACCCTTCGAACCCGAGCGCGGGCAAGTCCCTTCAGATCCAGTCGAACTATCCCGTGCCCGTCCAGCCGGCACCGGCACCACCGAGCTTCGAAGCGTCTCGTCGTGCGAATCCAACCGTCGGAGCCTCGTCGCCGCAGCCCACGCCCCGAAAGGGACAGAGCTCTCGCAGACAGCACCGGACGCAGCGTCGGCCCAGCATGGGACACAGGCCCGTTGACGAGTATGACGCCATGGCCGAGCTCAGAGCGCTCAGAAACCCGACGAGTCGGCGCGGACAGACTTCCATCACGCATCTGCTGAATTACTCAGCGCCACTGCACCACCAAGACCTCGGTCACCACCACCACCACTCCAACCCCAGGTCGTACCGGCGGAATCCCACCTGGGGCCCAGGCTCGGGGTACCATGCGGTCGATAAGTCCAGATATGTTCACGCCAACTATCGCTTCGTCGTCTCTCCCGAGGGAGACTACTCCAAGCATGCCGCGGACGCCGACCTCTTCTTGGACTGGTCCAATGTCATGCAAGTCATTGCTTCATCGGAATCACAGGCGTCGTCGTGTCCCATCTGCTTGTCGGAGCCCGTTGCCCCCCGAATGGCAAAGTGCGGGCACATCTTTTGTCTTACATGTTTGCTTCGCTTCATGAACTCGATACTGAGCGAGGATGAGGCGAAGCCGGGCAAGGCCGCCAAATGGAGGAAGTGTCCCATCTGCGAAGACAGCATCTACCTTCCCGAGGTGCGGCCAGTGCGGTTCTACGCCGGTCAAGAGAGCCCGCTCCCCCGAGTTGGGGATGACGTTGTCCTGAGGCTCATGGCGAGGAACGCAGACTCAACTCTTGCGCTACCACGAGCAAGCGGAGCTGAAGTTCTCAATTCAGAAGATGGCATTCCGTGGCACTTTGCCGCCAACGTTTTGGACTACGCCCGGGTCATGAAAGGAACGGGACAGTACATGGCTGCCCAATACGATGAAGAAATTGAGACAATGCTACAGCAGGCCATGGAAGACGAGGCCCTGTTTGGACAGGACGGCGAGTGGACTCAAAAGGCCGTCAAGGCTGTCAACGCCGCCAAAGAAAAAGTTGTTACCCTTGGTGGTGCTGATGAAGCAAGTCCAAGCTCACTACCTGGCTCGGCGAAGCAATCGTCCGAGCCCGACTTTTACTTTTATAGCGCTCTGCCTCACTTGTATCTTTCCCCTTTAGACATTCGGATTCTGAAAACCAAATACGGTTCCTTCTCGGCTTTCCCCTCCACGCTGCTACCAAGAGTCGAGCACATTACCACGGGTCACGTCGTGGATGACGCATTACGGAGACGAGCAAAATACCTGGGTCATCTTCCTTATGGCTGTGTCATTAGCTTTCTAGAGTGTGACTGGACAGACATCGTCCCTGCTGAGACGCTCGAGTCGTTTGCTTCGGATATTGAGCGAAGACGCAATCGCAATCGCGAAAAGGCTGCACAGGAAGAGCGGGAGCGCCTTCAATCTGAGAGGATCGAGGCGGCTGCTCTCCGAAACCTCACCGGATCTCGACGGCCTCACTCTCCGCCCATCGAAGATGATTCGCCTCCCTTTATGGATATGTCCGAATTTCAGCCCCTGGCGGCGCCGTCTGGCACAACTCCTCCCGACCCAAGGCTAGGATTCTCCACCCTAGCTTCCATGTCGACAAGTCCCTCAACTCAGAAGACGGTTTGGGGCACTCGGGCCATCTCGACAACTCCTGGGATGGAAGACGTCCCAGTGCCCACCAACGCTGATGATGGATGGCTCAAGGATGAGGACCTCTTCCTCAGCCCCAGTGAGCTCGCCAGGCAAATGGAGGCACTGAACACCATTGAGAAAGAAGAGAATGGACAAAGCAGCAGTGCCCGCGGTGGCGGCGGCGGCGGTGGTGGCGGCGGTAAGAAGAAGAAGAAGCAGAAGATTACCCTTATGAGCACTGGTGGGCGGCGTGGCCTCTAGCGAAGAGATTCGAGAAAGTCGCAAATGCCAACATAGATGATTGTGTGTCTTTTCACGGCGTTTACATATGTTTTATCCAGGCTGGAGTCTTTTTTGGGGGGTTGAGGAGGAAGTGCTGTAATCATCTCAGACATATAAATACTTATACAACCAACTAAGCGACCAGCGAGCGACCTTGCAATGGAGGCAGCGAGGTGGAATCGCTGGTATAAGAGAATTGCAGGATTATTCTCTTACTGCTTAGATTGCGTAGCATGACGCAAGCGCTGTTTTCAATGATGTACCGACCACGTAACAAAGCTATCATTATCTTGTAGTTGCTTTCCAAGTCCAATTCGTGAAGCCTTTCGTTGCAAGGTGAAAGCGATGCATTCAAGTCCTTATCGCGATAAGACGTCAGTTCGAATTGTTAGCAGCAAAATTACAGCGGCTCGGGCACTACAGCGCAACGCTGGCGGGGCTAGTTTTCCGCCTAGTTCGCTTTTATCGGACTGCAATCGATAGCCTAAAATTTTTTCCCACTGCCAGCCGCGTTATCGCTCTAGCTTCAACGATCCGGAGCAACCAAAGAGAAAGAAAAAAACCATCCCGGGAAGAAAATATCCCTTCGTTCGCGGGAAAAGAGCATGGCGGCCAACACATCGCCATCTCTGACAAACTCGTCTCACACAATGACGGCCCTGCCGCTCGTCTCGGTGCCGCCGAATTCGTCCACGGGCATCAATGGCGAGAACAACAAGGTGCTGCTGGCTTTGCTAGAGAGCCTGCGGCCGGACAAGAGGCACGTCTTTCTGCAGCCGAGCGACACCCTGCCGACGGGATCGCTCAATGTGGTCAAGGAGACGCTGGAAGGATTTGCGGCCGAGGTTGGCGAGGAGCAGGAGGTCCGGCTGAAGGAGAGCCGGAAGAGGAAGAGGAAGAAGAGGAGGGGGGAGATTGATGTGCTGAAGCTGAGGAGAGTGTATGTGGATGGCTTCGAGACGGAGCAGGTGTGGCAGCAGGCGAGGAGGATAATTGGTAGCGTGTTGGAGTTTTCCGAGGGGCTACTGGATGAATTGGAGGAAGAGGGTGAGGTGGTTGCGGCCGACCAGGTGAATGGCCAGGATGAGGATGAGAAAGAAGAGGAAGAGATCGAGGACGATGAAGACATTGAAGAAGAAGAAGACGATGAAGAAGAGCTTGATGTGGAATTGGATGAAGACCAATTGGAGGATGGTCTAGAAGGCGAGGACGATGAGGATCTTGACGAACTGGAAGACGGTCTCGAAGACGAACTGAATGAGAATGAGGACGAAGAGGACGAAGAAGAGCAAGACGTCGAAGAATACGTTGAGGATCCTGATGGCCTCAACGACGGCTTCTTCAACCTCGAAGAGTTCAACCGACAGTCGCAGTACTTTGAAGAACAAGACGCAAGGGGTGACCCCAACACCGACCGAGCCAGCGATGACGAAGACGTTGATTGGGACGCAGATCCAATGGCAGAGCCCAACGCTGGTTCTAAAAAGTCATCCAACCGCAAATCACAAGACGATGACGAAGACCCGCTACAAGATGAGGACGACGACGAAGAGGATGGCCCAACCTTTGGCGACATGGCTCTTGACGCACCAGAAGGCGAGAGCGACGATGAAGCCCTCAATGATGAGGCCGCAGATGACGAAGGCATGGATTTTAACGCAAACGAGGTCTACTTCAAGGACTTCTTTGCACCACCGCCCCGGAAGAGCAAAGGTGGCAAGCCAAAGAAGAGCGTTCGCTTCCAGCCGGAAGAGCCCACCAAGGAGGATGTCGACAGAGCCATGGCCGATGTGCGCCGAGACCTCTTTGACGATGAGTCGGACATTGGTGACTCTGAAGATGCTCTGTCCGATGTCTCAGCCGGTGACCCCAAGTCGCGCCGGTCAGCTCACGAGCGGAGACAGGCCAAGCTGGCCGAGGAGATGCGCAAGCTGGAGGCCGCCTCCGTTGCCAAGCGCGAGTGGACTCTCGCCGGAGAAGCCGCTGCCGTCGACCGACCCGTCAACTCTCTCCTGGAAGAGGACCTCGACTTTGAGCACGTCGGCAAGCCCGTGCCCGTCATCACCCCGGAGGTGACGGAGGGCATCGAGGACATGATCAAGCGGCGCATCCTGGCCCAGCAGTTCGACGAGGTCCTGCGCCGGAGACCGGACGCCGAGGCCGTGCCCAGCGGGACGCGCCGCGGCATGGTTGAGGTCGACGACAGCAAGCCCAGCAAGGGCCTGGCCGAGGTGTACGAGGAGGAACACGTCAAGAACGCCAACCCGGGCACGTACGTCAGCCAGTCGGACGAGAAGCTGCAGCGCGAGGAGAGGGAGATTGAGGCCATGTGGAAGGACGTCTCGTCCCGCCTCGACGCCCTCAGCAGCTGGAACTACCGGCCCAAGCCCAGCGCGGCAACCGTCTCCGTCGTCTCCGACGTCGCCACCGTCGCCATGGAAGACGCCCAGCCCACGACCGCAGCCGCCATCTCCGGCGAGAGCAGCCGCCTGGCGCCCCAGGAGGTGTACAAGGCCGGTGCCGCCAACGCCGCCCAGGGCGAGGTCGTCACCAGCGGCGGCATGCCCCTCGCGCGACAGGAGCTCTCGCGCGAAGACAAGGCGCGCCGTCGTCGTCGCGACAAGGAGCGCATGCGCAAGGCCGGCGGCGCGGACGCCGCGGGTAGTACGACGACGACGACGAATGGCGCTGGCGGAGCGAAGAAGACGCTTTCGGCCAAGGCCAAGATGCAGCGCGAGACGATTGCCGAGCTGAAGAAGGGAGGCGTCAAGGTGATTAACCGCAAGGGCGAGATCACCGACGTCGAGGGCAAGAAGACCAAGGTGGCGGCCAAGATTGTGTCGGGAGGAAGCTATAAGCTGTAAAAAAAAAATTGCAAAGCTATAAGGGGTTATTTTTATATACAAAGGCTGAATGACGGAAAGATGAAAGATGGGGTATTGTTGAAACAACTGTATATATATATATATGTTGAGAAAGGGGCAGTTTGGTTAGGTTCGGCATTTCTTGGTTTCTGTGTGGCCCGGCTGTAATGAATGGATTTGATTGACGTTTCTTTACATATAAAAGTTCCATCAAGACAAAGCAGAGAGTATTCAGAGATGGAAACTAGAAAGAAGGAGAAATATTGCATTTTATACAAGGCGCGAGTTGTTTTTTTCTTTCTTCAATCATGCATTTCTGCGCCCCTTTGAAGAACCAAAAAAAAGGGGGGGTGGCATCAATTGCTCTTTGGTATTCCAATCTCATACAAATTAATTCGTCATGTAGCAAAATCGCATCCATTCATCCTTGCTTGCCTCATCTCATCTCCCTCATAAGCTCTCCCCTCATCGCAAGAACCACAAAGGATATGGCCTTTTCCAGTATCAAGCTCGATTCATCTTCTTACCCCCCTATCCCATCCCTCCTAAGACGCCCTAAACTCCCCGACTAAAAACGCAGTATTCATTCCCAGAATCTCCTCTCGTCGAACAAAAAAAATTCAAACCGGGCAGAATCAAGTAAAAAGTAGGGTGTGTGAGTGGTTAAGCAGGCCTAGTTATCAGCTTCGGCGGTCTGCTCCTCCTCCTCCACCTTGGACCTCTTCGTTTCAAGCTCAGTAGACTCCTCGTCGGCCTTGCGCTTAGTATTGCCGCTGCCGTTGACGGCGTCGTCGTCCTTGGCCATCTTCTTGCGAACAAGACTCGTCAGGTCCACGGCGTTTTTGCTGGCCTCTTCGACGCGCGCCTGTACTTCGGCAGCAGATTGGCCAAAGGCAGCGCCGAGGATGCCGCCCAGAGGGTTGGCTCCGTCACCCAGCAGTTCAGTCACGCTGAGAGGATCCTTTTTCAGGTCGACGAGCTGTAGTTTATTAGTTAATAAGAAGAAGAAGAGAGGAAAACATGCTGTGATACTAGTGGGGTAGAATTCAAAGGGCTTCAGAATCAAAATCAACATACCCTTTGCTCCAATTCGGCGATTACTTCCTTCATCTCTTCAACAGCCTTGCGAGACAATTCATTGTCCTCTGGGGATGCCGAACTAGCAATCTCGACTTCGATGGCCTGCATCTTCAGCTTAAAGCTCTTGATGGCAAGCTCCATCTCGGCAACAGCCTCGTCGCGCAGGCCCTGATCAATCTCCTCGCGCTTGGTGTTCTTGCCCTCATCATCGGCAACTGTGAGCGAAGCAAACTCTAGCGCCAGGGAAAGCTTGTAGTGTGCCTCGGCAATGATTTCAGATTCTTCAGGGTAGAGCTCTACCTTGTAGTTGAGAGATGTACGGCCGTCTTCGATCGCATTAGGATACCTGTGCTCACAAAGCCGGTTCAATTAGTTACGCCTCGCTCCATCTCGGGAATGGACGAAAGAGAAGTGAGGTTATGGCGTACCGCTCGTTCTCGAGAGAGATTTCAGCAAGACAGTCGTGGGTCTCTGCAAGACGCTCTTTGATGTGTCTGACGGCCGAGGAGTCTTCTTTGGTGACTTCTTTGCCCTTGCCCTTGCCCTCGTCTTCGCCCTGCGCTTCCTCCTCTCTCAGCTGATCCAGCTGCTTCTGGTAGCAAACGCGCGCGAGTTCGAGAATCTCAAAGGCAGTGGCAAGATCGTCGTCTTCTTCTTCGTCTTGGTCTCCTTCTTCCTGGCCCTATTTGTTTTGCACGATGGGTAATTAGACAGCGAACACAAGCCGGTCAAGCTGGCATATTACCCACCTCGTCTTCGTCAGACTCGTCAAAGTTCTCATCGCCCGTAAATTGGAAGAAGAGCTTCTTTCCTTCGGGAACGTCGTCCTTGTCCTCGTTCTTCTTGTCCTTTCCTTGTTCGGCCCCGCCTTCCTGAGCTCCCTCTCCCTCGTCCGCTTTGTTAGCTTTCTTGGAGGACGCACCGCCGCTTGATTTTGTCTTCTTCTCCGCGGGTGCGGGAGCAGAGCCACCGAGGACGTCACTCTTGCTCTGGCCAACCTTGAACAAGCTGCGACCGTAGTGGAAGAGGATCTCGGCGTTCTCCGGCGCCAGCTCGCCATTGATTTCCGCTTGGAGGATGCTCGCTCTCGAGAAGACGTCGGCGGCTGCTTCGTACTTCTTGTGGGCATAGAGCGCGGTGCCCTTTGCGCTCAGATCGGCGAGGGTGACCTTTTTTGACTTGATGTCATCGTCCACCTCGGACTCCAGGTCGGCTTGAGCCGCAGCTGCGGTGTCTGTCTCTGTCTCTACATCTGCTTTGGTTTCTGTCTCTGCCTCTGCCTCTACGTCTGCTTCTTCAGCAGCAGAGGTTTTGATCATCTCGTCGACAGTCGCCTCTTCGGCAGGCGCAGCCTCCTCGACTGGTCGCGTCTCGGCGATGGGTTCTGTCATTGCGAAAGAGCTGAGAGCTGAGAGCTGCAGACACACGCGACAGAGTAAGCGGTGGGATGGGGCGCAAACAAGACAGATTCGGGCTGTTTTGGTCCAATTGCAGTTGGAGAAGCTCACCAAAGATGAATTGATGATGCCAGGCCTGTGAGATGGAAGAAAATGCAGAGGCAAAGGGGAGCTGCTGTGAGTGAGCACAAACAGCTGATCTCTGTGACCTTGTGGAAGGTTTGCTGCAGTCGTGACGTGCGTTTCGGAGCGGCGCGTCTGATTGGCCGAGAGGGAGCTTTTATGGGGCGGCACTTGACACGGTGTGGCTGAGTGGGGCTGGAGCAGAGAGAAGCTGGATTAGGTAATCTCTCCAACTCTCCAGGTGATCAACAGCTTACCCTGCGACTAATCATCAGATTACAGTTTGGCCATTGGTTGCAGGCAAGACATGGCTATGACGATTGGCATTGGTCTAGTTTTATTTGTCCCTTCGGTGTTCCACGGAACTGATGGATGGGCTTCCAGACGAGCCTCGGAGAAGCCGCTTCGAGACTTGAGTCTGTCTAATATGATGGATCTGGTTGCAAGCTAACGATACGCCGCTGATGAGGCTCGCCCAACGAGCTGAGACGCCAATGGCAGTTCACGGCATCCGTTCGAATGGGCAATTCGGCTTCACGGCCATCGTGAGAGTCCGGGCTCTTGCGCCGTAGTCTTGCGCCACCTGGGCGTTCATTGGAAGAGGACCGCTCATCATTGCCAGGCAGGTCACCAACGATTCAAAACAGGAATTCTATTGCCCCCGGATATAAATATGTGTGAGCCCATAAGGTCGTCTATGTATGTAAACCTCATCTTGCCCCATCGCTGCGTACTCGTGCTCGAGAATCCTGGCTCTGTATTCCGTAGATCTGTCTGATAACTCGATAACTTATTACCTTTGCTGTACCATTGTTGCTATTATAGCTCTCCAACCATGTCGGAGTCTACCGAGGTAACCATGGGCTGAAATACATTCATCCATGTGTCAAATCACGACCCTTAAACTTACTCATGTTACAATAGGAACTCTACGGCCAATTGTGCTGGCTCGCCATCCCAGTCACAGACATTGAAAGGGCCAAGGCCTTTTATGCAGAAGTCTTCTCCTGGGAGATCAGCCCCAACGGCGTTCCTCACGGGCGGCCCGGCGTCAAGGAACTCTACTTTTTCAACCGTGACAAGGCCCTCAACGGCGCCTTTTACGTGATGGAGGATGGATACCACGTCATCAACCACTCGATAGGCTCTCACGATGCCTTTTCCGTTCACCCGAGCTTCAACGTCAAGAATTGTAAGGAAACGCTTGAGCTGGTAACCAAGCTCGGCGGAAAGACGCAGCTGTAAGTTGTCCCGCTTTTCCGTGTAGCCGGCTTGGAGAAATGTACAGAGTGAAAAGGGATAGATGGAAGAGCAAAAACCATGGAAGAGAAGAACCGGAAATGCAAGCTGACTGACCGTTGTCCAGACACAAGACGGAGCTTGGCGAGAACATGGGGCACTATGCCCGGTTCATCGACACTGAGGATAATTTAATCGGGATCTGGTCCAAAATCTGACTCGGGTGGAAATGGCAGATGCTTGTTGGGTTTCTTATCCATGAACTAGCTGACTAGTGTTTCTGATGCTCTTTTTATTCCGCCGAGCAGAGCCAATGCTATCTCTCGTTGATGGAAAAATAGCATCACATGTCCTTGAAAGATATTCCAGCCCTTCTTTCGTTTCTCAGGCTTGTTCAAAATATGCCCGCAATCGTCACAGCTTGTTCCTCCACTCTTATCATTTCCCGTGGCGCAATTTATACCTGGTCATCAGCTGTGTATGCTTTTCCCCATCATGCCGGGCCGTCCAAGCAGGGGCGGATAAGATGACCGGAAGCGAACTCCATCTCGAATTTGACAGCGGCCGCTCCCATGGCGCCAATTTCTCCAGCCACGGAGTTTCATCCCACGTTGCATCTAGGAAGAACCATCTTCCACCGGTATATCGAGCTTCATCGAGGACGAGTCGTGGTCTCGGCCGGTAGTGGTGATGCTTGATTCCGGTGCTTGTTTCCGGCAGGCTGTCAAAACTTGTTCAGACGTATGACTGTTATCTGTACTGTATCGTGTTTGCACATGTCTACACATGGTTCAACCTCACGGCTCTTGAAATATCTTAAAGCTACATCCATGTCATGTCGGTACTACATGCAGTAGTTGGGCAGCGCCTCTGCTGACAAAGCGGCCTCTCTCGTGGTGTTTTTCGATGTCGACATCAGAGGCTCGTTGCTTATTGGACGTTGATTTTCCCACGATCGGAAATATTTGTGCAATCAGGTGCGAGCGTTTCTTGTTGCCATCCGGTGATTGCTAATTCGTGGAATTTTATTCCCATATTGCTTGTGCTTGTGACGGCATAGTACTCGTACAATGATAACGGACGACGCCCGTACATATGCTCGCGTGTTATCGTCAACTCCTCGCCCCAATACTCGTACATACATGACCAGCTGTACGCTACAAAACCGAAAACAAGATGAAACAGCGGCATCACTTCTTACATGCAGATCGTACGGAGTAGGCACATACAGGCGCGGGTAACGTATTTAGCAAGCGGCCGCGGTACTGCCACCTTGGGATTACCTTCTCACATGCCCTCCCCCGTGCATGAATTTGTTCCACGATGTTGGGTCCTGTTCTCGGCGATACAAGGCATCCCGCGGGGGTCAAGAGCTTTCGACCCACGATACTAACTAAATCTTATGCAGGCTCGGGTGGATTACCCAAGGGAGCCAACGTCTCACTCTTGTTTGCTCTACTGTACTTCTCGGGCGAGTAGCATCCGGTGCTCCGTTTTTACGCTCCCTAGTGGGCGTAAAGCTTCCCCCACAAGATCGGGAGTCGTTTCGGTCTTACTCTTCTTAGTCGGCTGCGGGGGGGAAGTGATTGTTCACAATGAGTGTGTTTTGTCTTGAGTCGAAAGCAGCGTCGTCTCCGTGCTCGAAGGATCAACTACCAAGGTACCTAGGTAGGTAGGTAGGTCCAGATACTGTAGCATGAGACCACAAGCCCATCCATTGTTTCCGGGTACTTGCCATCGAGGTAGCAGTACTCGTACGAACAGGAGACAGATCTTCTGCGGCCGGCTGACATACCCCCCGGTGACCTTGATGACATTTGCACCCTTCCAAGGAGAAGTCAGGGAGGCTCCGATGGACATTGGGTGTCAGCATCTGCTCAACCCTTTTAGCACGAGTACCCCCAAGCAGATCAGCTACCTAGATACAAGACACATGTCTATCGCCTAGGCAAGGTACCAGCACGGGCATGAACTCGGCGTGTCTGGGATTAGATCTTGTCCATTTGGTTACGACGGTTGGGGCCACGAATACAAGCAAGCACTGACAAATGAAGCGTCAATGCGCGCTAGTACGAGTAGTATTGAAATTGGAAAACCGAGGCGCCTACTGGGTAGTAGTAGTAGTAGTAGTAGTAGTAGTAGTAGCAGAAAAAAATAAAAGAACAGCCTCGGCATTGTCTTTTTTCCGCAGAATATGATAGGAAGGATTACGATTCTCCTGATGGAGCAACGAGCTTTTGCCCGTTGCGTGTTAAGGGGAAGAGCCAGAGGCGAAGATTCTCCGCAATAATACGTGGTGCTTGCCAGGAGATTCCGTGCGTGGCTAAGAATTCCTCCGTCTTTGCAGAGGTCGAGTCAAATTGGATTCCGGGACGGCACTTGGGCAGCAGCAACAGCAACAACAACTGTTTTGGGGCCACTGCGAGAACAAAGAAAGTGTCCGGCGGAAGTGGCTGATATTTGAGAAAAACGCTGGAGAGAGCGACAAGACACGAATAGTTGTCGTATCGTACGAGCTTCCTTGGAACTGCCCCATCAATAGTCTCCAGTCCCGTAGGAGTAGGATTGAGGATCAAAGTACAATGTAATTACCCCGTACTTGTTGTACTAATTGCTGCCCTAGCTTCAACGTATGAGTACAGTAACCTGCTCCCGGGATCAACCAAAGAGGCAACCTCGGGTACCTGTACTCGTACGCATCCTACCAAGACTACCGCGTGTACATATGGAGATTAAATTCCAAGTCCATGCCGTCTTCTGGTTCAAAGGATCACAGCAAGTCGCAGCAGCCGTCTTCGGATGGTCTCATTGGGGGGTTAATCTCGCGGCAGCAATGCGGGGCATGGCCCTATGATTGGCGGAGAATTGTAGCATCCCCCCAGCGTGGCCGGCAAATAGGGAGAATTTGCGCGCTGCACAGGCCTGGTCGCAGTGGGCCGTGCTAATCGCGACAGCAAGGCTGACTGGCTGCTGAGGAAATACAGGCAAACAAGTCCGACTCGGTAGCGCTACATTAGCATCCAGTTCAGTTCCAGCGACCTCCAGCGGCTCCCGCGCCGGGGTTCAATGGCAGCCTCCCCACCAAAGCTGGCGCCGCTGCGGCGGAAACCACTGAACCCCACGCTACCTTGCATGTACCAGGGCCGTGCTGGTACTTCTGTCACTGTCTGTATACCGGCTGGGGTCCTCCATGTGCTGTGCTGTGCTGTGCTGTTTTTCAACATCAACCCGACATCACAAATCAATTCGTCCTCCCGATACTTGCGCCTCCGTTTCCAGCTGTTGCGCGAGTCCCTCGCCATTCCAAAAGCTGCTCTCCGGCCTGTCCTTTTTGGCGCATCCCCTCGGAACCGTTGCCAAGCAGCGCCAAGGCTTCTGGACACCTCTAGCCACCTCATATCTTTTCCATTGTATTGATCGCATCCTCTCTCACCACCACCAAAGAGACATTTGCCTCCAGCCGAGCTTTGTTTTGGGTTTGCTTTGCTATTCCCAACCCGGATCCTTCGCCTCCTTTTCACGCCCGTCTGCTTGGTGCTGGGGCGCGCAGAAAGGGAACTTGGCCACTCTTGCGGGAATCCAATTTGGGATCGGAGCGAGATCCGCGGCGAGAAGAAAAAAAGAGAGACAGGAAAGGCGAAAACCGCCACGAGGTCTGACGAGAAGAATTATGGTTTGGTCCTGATTTCTGCCTTCAACTCTCATCTCGAGCCACTCACCGCTGGGCCGAGATTCTGCAATTCCCTGGATCGACTAGAATCACACCCATTCCGATACGGCTGCCGCCACCACGCATCTGCCTTGCCCGCAAATCCCTCCAACGAACGACCGGCGCTTCTGACCTATAGGATCAATATTAACTAAACGCCTCCGCTTCGTGTAAGTCTTTGGCCAAGGAGGAGCCGGGGCCTAAGCTGCTTTTCAGGCAAAAAAAAAAAAAAAAAGAGAGAAGGGATAGGGGAGCTACTATTGCTATCTATCCGCATACATAACCACTTCTACTGGCTTCATAAGCGCAGCGTGTTGCCGTCTTGTTTCGCAAACGGTACATCGACTCCCCGTCATCGCTAGCTTTTGTCGGGGCGTCTTTTACGGTAACTTGGACGACTGTTCTCTCTTGACAATATATTTGTCTTCTGTATCACTGCTTTCGGAAGCTATCCGACTCATCTGCCACTAACCGGCTTACGGGGGAAAACAGCGAGAGTGTGCATAGGCCGCAGTCTCTCGATAGTCGTGGCCACCTTGTTGCATTGCATTGCGCTGCCTCCCCTCGTTACGACCTGCCCTAATCGGGGGCTTCACCAGGGGGGCTTCTCCAGGCACTCGTTTGCAGCTTGAGGATATACCTTTGGCGACAGATCGCTCGGAGTATCCGCCCACGCGAACCTGAGCTCATCGCTCCCGATCACAGCTGGGTGGGAGGTGCATTTCGGCATCGTCAAGGCTGATCAGAATCCTTTCGCCAATCGTCAGCGCGTCTTGGTCGAACGAAGGTCTGGGGCCATCTATTTTCCGATTTCGCACTTGGCATGCAGCGCCGAGTTGGTGGAGGGTGCTACAAAGACTCAGAGCCATAAATTCCATACCCACGGCAGCGTCGCTTTTTGCCGAAGCGGCTGCCTGGACGATCCTTCGGTCTCGACCTCGCAGCAAAGTGTGCCGTCCGGACCAAACTAACCCGGAACAAAATCACGATGGCTGCTGTCCAGCAGTTGCTGGCGAGCCCATCGCCCGCTCCAGCGCCAGTATCGTCACAGCGCATCAGCGACACCTCAGCCTCAGCCTCAGCCTCTGCCGACATGGAGCTTGACAGCACCAGCAATGACCCGGTTATGATTGACAGCGGGCTGATGAAGGGTGCGCCACAAACGGGGGATTCCCGAATAGCTGTCATTGTGTATGGGCAGGGACAAGAAGATGTTGTGTCGGTGTTCGCAGAGGTGCTGGGCAAACCGGTTAAATTGAAGCGACGATTCAAGGACGTCGACCACGAGGATGAAGGTTTCGTGATTGGCCTTGCTCTGCAGGAGGCCAAGCAGGATGTGGAGGATCGGGACCAACGGCTGCTCGTAGCCATCAATGCTCACTGCGTCAACCTAGGAATGCCTCCGGACCTGCATCTGTCGATCCACTGCGACTATGAGTTTCTCTACACCGAAACCCCCTTTTGCAGACGCGACCTCGCTCGATTCGTCTCATTCACGCTCGGCCAGACCAGCCCGCACAGCCAATTGATGGCCAAGCCGAGGACGTTTTTCATTTCCACCACGTTTCCCGATGTCCACGCGGCTCTTCCCAACTTGGACATTCTCACGGTAGGAGCTGATGCGGTTGAGATCCGCGTGGACCTTTTGCGCGAACCCCGGGGCGACGGGGCCTTTTCTGATATCCCAAGCCTGAGTTATGTCGGGCAGCAGGTCATGCTGCTGCGGCAGAGAACCGAGCTGCCCATCATCTTCACCACTAGATGCACCAGGGAGAATGGAAAGTTTCCCATGGACAATCCCGATCTATACTATGAATATCTATTCCGAGCGGTCCAGTGGGGAGTAGAGTACATCGACGTCGAGCTGTGGCTGCCGGAGCACATTCGAAAGAAGCTGTACGAAAAGAGAGGCAACTCTCGCATCATGTCTGCCTTTCACGACTTCTCAGGCACCTTCAAATGGCCGTCCCAATACGCACAGGACGTCTTTGTAAAGTCCAGGCAGTACGCCGACATTGTCAAGATGATTGCGATCATCAACGATCACAACGAAAACTTTGAGCTCGAGTACTTTCGCTCCAAGATACGGGCACAGTATCCAGATGCGCCACCGCTGTCGGCTGTCAACATGGGCGAGATTGGTCAGTTTTCGCGAACGCTCAACACGGTCTTTTCGCCCATCACTCACCCTCTCCTGCCCATCATCGCCGCCCCTGGCCAGATGAGCACGGCCGAGATCAACGGCGCCCTGGCATTGCTAGGCCAGCTCCCAAAGAAGTACTTTTACGGCATCAGCAGCGCTGCTGCTCGAAGCATCGCGCCGAGAGCGCCTTTTTACGAGAAGTGCTTCAACGAGTTGGGATTGCCGCATCAGTTCGCCGTGGTGGAGCGCCAGCACAATAACCCGGCAGGCATTCAATCGTGGTGCAACCAGAGGGACTTTGGAGGTGCCTATCTCGACCCGGGGCTGTCATACCAGACCATCCTGAAGCACAACCCGTGGTTCTCGACCCTGAACAACGGCCAAGGCCCAACACTGTCCGAGGCGGCCCGGGGGATCGGTATCATCGACACAATTGTTGTGAAGCCCTCAGGGTCAGGATCAGGATCGAACTCGACACCACCGTCTCAATATGGCGGCACTATGCCACCCGGAGGACAGCCGGGTCTCGCCCCCAACACGTCATTGATCTTCGACAATGCCAGCTGGAGAGGCATCCTGTCCACACTGACCCGCGATCTAGCCCCCTCTGCTTATTTCGGCCGAACCGCGGTGGTGCTGGCTTTGACGGCCGACGACGCTGCGCCCGTCTTCTTCGCCTTGAAGGCGCTCAAAATGTCAAAGATATACACAGTCGGATTCAGGACACCATCCGGACTGGCCCGCAACGCTCCTCCGATCGAACAGTTTATCAGCATGGAGAGCCTTCAACGAGCCCGGTCCGTGGCGGACAACCGAGCGCCCTTTGTCATCATCTCAGCACTGGGCCGGGGTAAGAGCAACATTGTCGGCATGATGCTGCGAGTCTTTGGAGAGGCCGGCCCCCCTGGATCGTCGAACACGAAGAAGGTCTTTTTGAACCTTGCCGAGGCGGCATCGCAGCAGAAGAACGATCCCGTAGTAGTCGCGGAACAGAGCGGGTTCACCGCATATGACGCTGCAGACGTTGCGGCCTTTACAACGGTCGAGAGCCTACGGCTGCTAGTCGGGCAAAACGTACCGTACAGCTTCGTCCGGCTGGCAAGCGGACGAAATTTATTCTGAGAGGCTAAATCTATTTTTACTTTGAAAGGATTCAGCTGATATAATAATACCCACTGCGAGCTGGCCTAGACCATAATTTCTTTTCGGCTCGATCGATGCTGGCAAGGAGGGATATTTTTTTTGTTTATCTATCGAGCTGCCTTTTTGCTCTTCGGCGCACCGATTTTGGAATACGGCCCGGAATCCTTTTTCGTTTGTTTGCATCTGTGGCGTTGGAAGCGAGGCCAGCACAGAGGGCATGCGTTTTTTTATGCCCACGGCGCATTGTCGTGGGGGTGACCTTTTTTTTTTTCTCTTCTTTCTCTTTTCTAGTTTCTCGGGTTTCTATATATACATGTATATATAGGTAGGTATGTATATGAGGAGTTTATACACGCTGTACATAGGTAGTCGCTGTTATTGGATGGGAGCGCGGTTAGGGCTGGGGGGACTGAGTTGATTGGAACAACCACTCTCTCATGTACGGAGTACGGAGAAGGGGGGGATCGTCGAGATGTATGGCCAGATGGAAAATAGCATCTCCATTACCTTTATCACGGAGCTCGAGTTGACTATGCATTGCTGCCATGACGAAAGCGCATCGGACAATCGGCGACCCAGTTGTCGGCATATTTGATCAATTCCCACTCCCCCTTGCCGCGACCTAAGTGGTAAGCCGAACCGAAGTCAGCTTACCTCTACATTACTGTGCAGCCGGGCGGCAAGATTGGCTGGGGGAGGTCGGGATCTGATATGTGAGAGGGGCGTGGTCCGCATAATGTACAGAGTACAGCAGTACGAAAGCGCAAAATACCAAGACAGGATTCCATGGAAGCGATGACGAAGGAATCCCGATGAATGATGGTAATTTCCTATTGAGGCTATTCTTCGCGCCCCTTGCGATACTGCTAGTAGTAGTAGTGGTATCTTTCCCGTACATGTGAGAGCTACTCGTACGCGGATGCGAGGAAAATCCCCGAGTCATGAGCAAACCGCTGGGAACAAGACCACTTCCCTTGCTCGTACGAGGAGGTCTGCAGATAGCGACGGAGACTCGTATTTGAAAATATTCGGCATATATAACGGCCAATTCGACTAACCCGTTAGCTATATAGCTTCTGTTTTTTTCTTTCTTCTCCTTGAGTCGGCGGTATCCGCAGCAGCTATCGGATCCATTAACCTTTTATGCCACCCCCGGACTCGCTACAGCAATTCTGGCTTACAAGGGAGAGACGAGAATTTTCTACGTAGCTGGCAGGGGGGGGAGGACAGCCGAATCTAGGGGTTTTTCGAAATCAGGTGCTTGCAGTTATCTAGAGGCCAACAGGCATGGCGTAGGTACATACCCTTGCTGCTGCTGCATACGTACTAACGTTTGCGGTAAATAATAAGGATAAGGCTTTTGCCGCTTCGTCTTGAGGAGACAAGACTGTTTTGCGTGAAGGGATCGGAATCGCCACTACTTCTGTAGTAAGACACGGCACTCGCGCTGGGCACTTGTAGATGGATTTAAGCTCCGACGAAATGATCTTCTGCGATGGCATAACCTTGACGGGATTATTGATCCATGGTCGAAAACAATCGACTTTCGTTGGCAATCAATGCCTTGTACTGCAGCATTGGATTCCTGATTGAGGCCAAGGGGCCCTTTTTCGCGGCTCTCGCTCATCGAGATCCTGAGCCAAGGCCACCAAGGCCGATGGGCACGATGGGCCAAGGCAGAAGGCGGTATGAAAGGCATCCATTGATGGGCCCCAATTGCGAACTCAGCTCGGATCACTCGAAACTGAAACCCGGTCACCAATCCAAGGCTCTTCGAAAAGAGAGGGGTGGCCCAGCATGCCAAGTATCGCCGAGAAAGGGCTCCAAGTGGAGTGCGAGCGCCCATCCCAAGGCCCCTTTGTTAGTACATACAGTAGTGTTTGGCTGCCTTTCTCGCAGAATCCACAGGGCAGCCTTTTTCTTCTCACTGTCGAAGCTTTGATGCCGCGCCGAGACGCTTGCTCGATCGATTAGATTGATCCAATTCGCCCGCCGGCTCTTTTTTTTGCCCTTGGAGTGTGTGTGTGTGTGTGTGTGTGTGTGTGTGTGTCTGCGTGGCGTCGTCTGACCTCGGCCGCGCGTGGGGGATTCGGCTGAGGTTTGCGGTAACTTGATCTATTTTTTCTGTCATGTGGCTCACTCTCTCTTCTCTCGACTTGAGGTTGTAAGGTTCTCGTACTGTAAGATTGCAAAGGCGCATGTACTCCGTACGAGCACATGCAAAAGCGCGACTAGTTCAAGACTCGTGCCTGAGCTAGAAACAAACCCCTGAGAGACACAGAGAGAGAGAATGGGAACAAGAGACCAGACTTCAAACACAAGTAGCCCTCTTTGCCGGGAACTTGGCTGGGCTAATGGCTGAAAGAGGCCCCCCCCCCTTACTGTACGGGGTATTTGCAACAAGATTGCCATGCCGGGTTGCTGGACGCGGCACGAAACCCCGGCACAACCTCCCCACAAAACAGCCCAAACGTCCATGCGAAACGAAGAACGGGAGTGGCACCAGGGCAGTACCTAGTATTACGGTAGCAGTGGCCACAGGTACAGTAGCATTCATGTTGTTGTTTTTCTCCTTTGAACGGCTAACGGCGCTGTGGCTTCTGGCAAGGGGGATGATGCGTCAAGCAAATGGAAGAGAGAGGAGGAGGGGGAGTCGTTTCGTTGGGTGACAAGTGAGCGAGGCGTCAGAAAGCGGTGCGACTCAACTCTCACTTACATCAATCACATCAATCAATATCCAACGCGCATATTTTAGTGGTCGGTTTAGAGGTGCGGTCGTCGGCTTTTTGGCGGCATATCACCGCCCACCGGCTGTGCCTGTTTTTTTTCTGTTTTTTTTTTTTTCCCCTCGGCAGTTGGGGGCGTCATCACAAAGGAGACAGACAAGCGCGGAAGAGAGCCAGTCAGATTGATGGAGAGAGAGAGAGAGCAGGAGGAGGAAGAGAGAAGAGAATTGACAAACAGAACCCAAAGCTTTGGGCTGATTTCGCGCCTTGCAGAAACCGGTGGGTTTCGCCGCGCCTTTTTGCGGGATCGATGCCCCTTGCCTCAGTGCGACCCTGGGCTATTCGGGTTTTGAATTGGCGTTGAGAATTAAGGAAGACAGAGTGACATTGTTGGAACCAAGCCGAAAAGGACCCCTGGTCCCTGGCCACCTACATTGGACTTGACACGGAGAGGATGTGGTAAGCAGCCACAGGGATTTTCGGCCGTGTTAGCTGGTTGGGTTCTTGGTGGAAGATGACGTGAGTGGTTTGACGAATAGAACTCGTACGAGAACTACCTAGTTTTAGTTTTGGAGTTGAGCTCTATCTTGGTGCTTAGTTGCCAAGTGTTGTGCTGTGTTAATACGAGCTACCGTTTACGCCGTTTGGAATCAATGGCTGCCAATAGTTTATGCGGCTATGGGTCATGTTGTCGCTTGGGACGATAGGGCTAAGGAGATGGATGTTGATGATTCTGGGACGGATTGATTACATTGCTTGCCTAGATCTGGCAATTTTAAGCGGTTGGCGTTTGGGTTGAAGATGGACTGGAACCATGCAAACAGTACTATCTGTACGAGTAGAGACAAAGAGTCGGGGCAATGTATGTAGACTATTCATGTTGGCTTATGACAGCCTATTCGCCTGGGCGGATCTCGGCGTTGAATCGAGCATGCCGGTTCTCTCACTGCATGAAGAGAGAAGCAAGAATCGCCACATTTTGTCTTTGCCTAGGGATGCATGTGTGCATGTACAAGTACATGCATCAGATGCTCGACTCGTCTCCGTCTCCATGCAAAGGGACAGACAGCCGAGAGGGTGGATTGGATGCGTCGGCTGCCTCGCTGTTGCGCCCCTCCCTCGGATGTTCCTGGAAGGCTTTCTGGTGAGCATCAGATGGAGTTGATGTCATACTTTTATTTGACAGACATGAATAATCCAGCAGACTCGGAGAAGGTACGTGATTTGTCCTCGTAAATACTACTATACCTTGCCTTGTGCTGTAGGGGGTTCGTGCTCTGCCGGATACCTGTACCTTGAATCCTTACCTCGAGTTACAACCCGTCTGGTCCGTACTAAGCCAAGGTGCTATTTCGTACCTCCTTCAAATACGAGTCCCCGTAGTCTCCGTTCAACGGATGACATATCCAGCACCGCGGATCAATGGAATACTATCAATGAATGGATATGGCGCTCCGGCAACTACCTTGCAGATATCTATTCGCGCTGCCTGGCCTCGATCAACTCAACTCGCAAGGATCAAAGCTCGCGGGTGGGGGGGACTCAGCAAGCATAGCACAGTGGAGCACTGGGCCCTTGAGGGCGAGCTCCAGCGCTCCCAAACGGCTCGAGTAGGGCTACCAGGCACTAGCCGCTAGTGGGCCTTGGTGGAATGGGGTAGCCGCTACTACTGTATACATGTACTGTAGCATCCATAGCGTGGCGATGGGCTCTTCGCTCTTCCTGGCTGCTGCAGTCCATGGTCCAGCCGGATACTAATGCGACGAGGGCCCAGCGCCTGGTTCCGCCCCAGCGCCAAAAGGACGGAATACGGGCGGGCAGCGGAAGCGGAGCAGCTGCAGCAGTTGGAGGTATGGGCTATGCGAGGAAGGTACATGTACGAGTACCTCAGGAATGTGGGCACGTTACCAAGGTACCTACTGTAAGGTATTGAGGTCTGGTCTGGTCTGGTCTGGTACATGTATCTGTACGGAGTTCCGTGGTTTGGGGTCAGAGTCAGACGCTGCAGACTGACTGGGCTTTTCCCCAAGCTGCACTAAACTAACTTGAACCAGGAACTGCCCTCTTCATTTCCACCTCCAGGTCCATCCAGCCTTGGGGTCGGGCATTCCATTGCCTTTGCCGGTTCCGCGACTTCAGTTCCAGCTCCAGCTCCAGCAAAGCAGCGCAACTGCTCAGTGTTTCAGTGTTTCTTGTGCTTTTGCTTTGTCATTCTTCTTTTCTCTTGTCCTGGCGCGCACAACAAACGACGACGACGACGACGAGACGCAGCTGCTTCTTTGCTCTCGACAGACAGACAGACAGACAGACAGACAGGACGGACTCTCGGTGGGTCTCGCCGCCGCAAGTCGTTCAATCCATCCCTCTCGACACCGAGACCGAACCTCAACCAAGCCTGCAGCAGCACAACGCGACAATCCAGCCCAGGACGGCGTCCATCGTCGGCGACAGGGTCCTCGGCCATGAATGAGCTGCAGAGCAACCCGCCCTCTCGTATTCAATAACCACTAACACCGAATTGCCTGCGCGGCAAACCATCGCCCGGCTATCTCGTCTCTTTTGCGTCCCTCATCGCGCTTCTTCTGCAAGCCACGCCACCTTTCGCCTTCCAAGGGCCTTGTCCTGCCTCTCAACCTCTTGCTTGCGCTTCTTTGCCCCTTCGAACCTCTTTGGCGCCTGCTGGCGCCGGCTGGCTCCGCGCATTGCTCCCCCCCGATTAGCCAACCTCGCCGGGAGCTCGTCTTTCAAACTGGCGCCCGCGCATTCTCGGCCACCACGTCCCATATGAACGCTCCGCATCGTCCTCCGGCCCAGCCTGTGGCCTTGCCGCCCCAGCGGCCGCAGGTTGGCATTGAGCGCCTGCCGACTCGGAATGTCACCACGGAGCCCCGTGAATCCATGAATTGCAAGTCGTGCCGGAAGCGAAAGGTGAGTTTCTGCCCGGCCGTCTCCTTGCGACGCCCCTCTGTAGACCCCCCCCTTCAGGTGTGAATGTTCTGCGCGGCATCTAACCCGTCTTTGCCTGTTGAATTAGATCAAGTGTAATCGCCTTCGCCCATCTTGCGAGGCGTGCCTCGTGTTTCAATGCCCTTGTATATACGGTAAGCTCAGCGCATCCTAGAAGCGGGCAGTCGAGTGTGCCTCAAGCCCTCGCCCCCCGGTGACGGTGACTCTCTTGGAGACATGTCACCACCGCTACGTCACGGAAATTTTTCTTTGGTACCGGAAATGCTCATACCTGCTGGTGTTATAGATGCCGTTCCGAAGAAGCGTGGGCCAAAGACGGATGTCTTGGAGGCCCTCTTGAAGAGAGTGGATGGGCTCGAGGCCAAGCTCAAGGAGAAGAATGCCGAAGGCGAGCAGGCTTCCTCATCATCAGCCACGGAAAATCAAGAGACACCAACGACTGAGTCGTCGACAAAGAGGCAGCCCGCCGAGCGAGATATCGTGGAGCCTGTTGCCAAGCGACGGGCGACCGAAGAAAAGACGACGCCCAATGTCACGGAGCTGCCGCTCTACTCTCCGCAGACCTCGACGACTGGGTAGGTTGCTTCCGTCTGTCGTTACTGTCAAGTGTACTCGGTATTGATACAAGCTGCAGGGAACCCGCCACACCTTCTGTACAGACAGACGCTCTTCTGGATACATACTTTACCCGCTTCCACAATAAGCCGTTCCACATCTTTGACGAGTCCTTGATCCGAAAACGCATCAACCAAAACCAGCTCCCTCCCTTCTTATTCGACGCCATTGCCGCAGTCGCTGCTAGGTATGTCTCACCCTTCCATCGAAGCATCGGGCAATGTGGGTGTCCGGTTGTCTCACATACTATACAGACATACACCACATCCTCTCGGTTTCCGTGCGGCTGTCAAGTTGGGCGACGAATATGCCTCTCGCGCGAGGAGTGCCATTGACATCGACGAGCCTTCCATCGACAACCTCCAGGCAATTGTCTTACTGGCAATTGCATTCACGGCCTCGGGCAAAGGGAGAAAGTCCTTCATGTTAATATGTACGTGTATCCGTCCTTCTCGCGCTACCTCCTCGATGATGGGAGACAACATCTGACTTGGTGTGTAGCTAATGCCATTGGCATGATCATGGCACTTGAATTGCACCGTGAGGTGGACCAACAGGCACAGGTAACCTCGACGGAACGGGAAATGCGGAGGCAGCTCTTCTGGTCATGCTATCTCCTAGATCGCTTTGCGGCTTGCGGTTCCAAGCGCCCATCGCTCATCAGCGACGACTCCATCGCATTACGACTCCCGTCATGGTATTCGGCGGCTTCCAATCTTCACGTGGACGGCGATTTCTTCCTCTGCGGATCTAATCTACAGTACTTTCAGGGCAGTGGCAAAAAATCCCAGGGCACTTCAGGGATGCTCATCGACATAACGCGCATTCTCGGGGTGACGAATCGATATCTGGCGGCTGGCGGCGTCAAGGGTGATTCGCATTTCCCTTGGCACTCGCTGTCAAATCTATCCAAGATTAGGCAGGATCTAGACGTGTGGGCATCTGGCACAGATGGCATATTCGCATCGATGGACGTTCTCTTCGGCCAGCAAGACTCGACTACCCTCGTCTTATGCAAGCTCATATATCACCTCATCCACTGTTTGATCTACCGACCGTTCCTCCCAATTAGCCTAGCCGAACTGGCGGGAAATGGACAGCACCAGTCGTGGCAGATTGAGGCGACCAACATGTGCTTCTTCCATGCAAATGCCATTACGGAGCTCGCCGAGATGGGCAGGCAGATGCAGACTATTGAGTGGCCATCGTTTGTCGGTTACTGCATCTGCACCGCCGGTACCGTTCACATCCACGGCGCGCACTACGGCAAGCAGGGCACCAGCGGCGAAATCAGTGTCTTTAGCTCTTCTTCGGATTTCTTGTCCCGCGAGATGCAGCTGTTGAGCGACCTGCGGTTTACGTGGGCCATTGTCCAGCACCAGCGGGATATGCTCCAGCGGCTCTACGAAGCCCACAGAGAGCTGGTAAAGACGATTACCGGCAACGCGATGCGCTACACGCCCGGCTTCCAGCTCGAAGATTTCTTCGATCGATATTCCAACATTGGTGGACTCGGCGGGCCGACTTTCCATTTCGATACCGCAAACCTCAGCCTAGCAGACGAATTGGTCGACTACTCCAACGAGCCCACGCCTTTGCCTGACATTCAATCGCCCTGGCCTACGGAAAACAGGCCGAATCTCAAGCGGAAGAACACGTCACAGTCTTCCGTTCAAAGCATCCCTCTGCCCCTCACGCCTACAATGACGGTGACGAGCTATCCCCGCCAATCCGTATCCATGCAGCCTGGTCTGATGCCGGCACCCTCAACGCCCGGCGTTGGTGCTATGGCGGAGATGTTGCCCGCTCACATGGAAGCCCAACGGCAGCAGCACCACATGGGTACCATGCGCAACACCGTGGATGTCACATCGGCCGCCCATCCAGCCATGGCCGGCTTTGGACTTGGGCACCCTGCTCACGCCGGCGTAGGAGGCATGGCCCCCATGGGTGGTATGACGTTCAGTCCCGCTTTCAACTACAACATGGGACCTTCACACGCAGCGGGCGGCGTCCCTCAACAGCAAGTAATCAACGACGCGAGCGGAGGCTTCGATGCCATGTTCGGACCCAGCGCTTTCAATAGCCCAGCCCAATGGCAACCAGCAGTCGGCCAGGCGACACCGGGCGCCACGGCTCCCAGCCCGAGCACGAAGAGCAACACAGGCAGCACAGGTACAACGGGAGGCGAGGAGAAGGACCCATTCATGAGCCTCTTGGAACAGCTTGCCAACGATGAGCAGCGGCAGAATAGCGGGTTGAAGAGCGAGCTTGATTTCTTCTTGGCGGGCGGCACTGCTTCATGAAGTCTTTTCATTAATATTTTCCCCTCGTTGTTCTTACGTTTCACTTTCCTCCTTACGATTTCGAGACATATAGATGGATGGATGGATGGGCGAGCCCTCCCTGTCCCTGTACTGGACATTAAAATTTATTAAAAACCCCCCCACACGGAAGGAGGCGGTATGTATATGCTTACAAACATCTTACAAAGAGCTTTGATCACTTTCAACGGGGGCCTTGTATAAAACTGGATGTAGGGGAACTACATGTATGATATGATGAAACGAAACGCGTGGATACCTTGGACATGCTTTTCTTTTACATAGCGTGGGCATGAAGGGTCGAGGGCGGATGTTGGATAGGTAGCTTGGGGAAACCATGCTTTTTGAGGAGACCGATTTATAGTATTTAATGTTAAAAACAGTAATGAAAAAAGAGAATATATTGTGCCTGCTTAGCTTGGAATTGGAATGCCTGAATGGCTCTTTTTATGTGCGTTACATTACGGATAGATCAACATGGACTAGGGAGTCGGACTCGACATCAATTGACACATGGGTATATAGTGTAAACAAGATTTTCACAGCATAGCATATATACATCACTCTTGGTCTTGGTGAAGCCTCCTTTCTGCCTCCTCTCTTGGCGACGTCCACCCAGCTGCGGCCTGCACCGCAATCACGACCAATGCCAAGACGGCAGCGGCTTGCCAGACGCCCTTGATGGCGGTTGCGTATCCGTCGACGGCTACGTGCCTCTCCGGCGGCGCCAGCACGTCGCCGTACCACACGAGATCGGGCGAGCCGAGCAGCCGGTCGACGAGGTTCCGGCGGGCCGGGCCGAGGTCGGGGGTGCCGTCGAGGGCGAGGAAGCCGGTGACGAGGCGGGCGCGCAGGAGGCGGTAGAAGATGCCGCCGGCGAGGGAGGTGCCGAAGCTGCCGCCGAAGCCGCGGAAGGTGGCGAGCAGGCTGGTGGTGACGTATTCGGTGCTGGGGTGGCTTAGGTGGAGGACGTGGACGAGGGCGTAGTTGAGGGCGATGCCGGTGGCGACGCCGTTGAGGCAGACGATGGCGATGAAGACGAGGGACGGGGTGGTTGGGTGGGAGACGATGGATAGAGAGGTGATTGTGATGAAGGCGAAGGCGAGGGAGAGTAGTTGGGCGATGTAGTAGGAGCCGGCGCGGCGGATGTGTAGATGGCCGATGGCGAGGCCGCCGAGGGAGAAGCCCAGGTTGGTGAAGATGAGGACGGCGCCGGCGGCGGCGGCGGGGGAGGCGCGGACGGCGAGCATGAAGACGGGGGTGTAGAAGAGGATGCTCCAGCGGGCGGTGATGAGGCCGAGCTGGGCGAGGCAGGAGAGCAGGACGCCGCGGGAGGAGAGGACGGATAGGGGGATGATGGGGTTGGCGGCGAGGCGGAACTCTGTGAGGGTGAAGGCGATGAGGGAGAAGACGGAGAGGATGAGGGGGGTTGGGTGGATGTCGCCGGCGAGGGAGTAGAGGAAGAGGATGATTGTGAGGGTCTGGATTGGGAGGTGATTGTGTTAGTTTGTGTTTGTGTTGAGGGATGGAGGGGGGAGAGACTTACGAGGAGGATTGCGCCGAGGTAGTCTATGCTGGCGAGTTTGCGGCTTAGGGGGTTAGATTTGTTGTTTTGCTGTGTTGGAGGGGATGACATGGAGGGTGGGAGGCTGAGGTAGAGGGCGATGCCGGCGATGATTGTGATGGGGGTTTGGAACCAGAAGAGTGGTCTCTATATCAACGACAGTCAGTTCATGATATATAGGTAAGATGCGGTGATTCACGGTTCATGACAACTCACCCATCCAACAACGGGGTGCAACACGCCGTACACCGCCGCGCCCACAGACACGCCCATGGTAAACGCCGCATTGACAAACCCAATCATGACGCCCCTCGTCTTCTTATCGGTGAGCTCAATCACGAACACCACGGCCATGACGACGATGCCCGCCCCTCCGCCGCCCATGACGATCCTGCCGGCCACAAAGGCCGCGAAGGAGCGCGCCTGGGAGGCGAAGAGGCTGCCGAATGCGAAGAGGGTGATGCAGGGCAGGACGACGGCGCGCGGGGAGAAGATTGCGGCGAGGCGGCCGATGAGGGGGAGGAGGGAGGAGGCAGAGATGAAGTAGCTGGTGGTGAACCACATGGCGAGGGTGGGGGCGTGGAGGTCGATGGCGAGGGGGCCTTGGATCATGGTGAGGCCGGACATGTTTGTTGCTTTTTGATGTTTGAGAGTTGCGTGTCAGTTTAAGATGAATTATTGATGGGGGATAAAGGCGTACAGTGGATGAAGATGAGCACGAATAAGCTGGTGCCGATGGCCACGCCCCGAGCAAAGCTGACCTCGTGGTTCGGTCCATAGAGAGCTGATTCCTCTGCCGTCTGTTGCTGCGAGGCTCCTTGTCCATCTACCGGCACGTTGGTGTCCGTCCATCTTCCGGGCGAAGCATCGCCGAGGAGCGGCTCGTGGCCGGCGAGCAGCGCCGTTTGCTCCGGCGGTAGTTCGGCGCCGGTGTCGCGAGGGGTGGGCATGGTTGGGTGGAGGTTTGTTGTAGAATGGCTATCTATAGTGGAATGCGTGGATCATTTGAGAGGGGGGGGGGGGTTGGATGATGAAAGGAAAGACGATGGTTTTGGTTGTTGTTTTTTGTGTTGTTGGATGACGTGATTGATGTCTTTTTGAGTGTTGTTCGTCAGAAGTGGATAAGATGGGTGGGGGAGGACGGGATATCGGGATCTGAGATCTTGAGTCGATTATTTGAGATTTCCAGCACTAAGCATCTTTTATTTGTCAAGCTTTTGAAATTTGTATGTCGCTGTGTGATTGATTACGGTAGTTTGGTTTAGATATATATACGAGGACTGAAAATGGGAAGAGACCGATGCCAGCGCCTCGAGGCTACATATAGTCGCCGTTTTTGTTGCACTTTTTTTTTGGTGAGACGTTTTGTTTGTGCTTAGTTTGGTTACGGAGGCTTTTAAAGATACGTTTATTTTCTTTTAGATGGTCATTTTTCTTCCTCTAATGTCTCGTTACACTCTTGTTGGACTATCTCCAGCTTTATAGATCAACGTCGACCAGTCTGCTACAACGGCAGTTCCCCAAGAATCATAAAGTTATTTGGCAACTACAAACATTTATCAGGTATTACTCGAGTAACGGAAGGCCCATCATGTTTTCATGGCTTCTTCTCATGCTTCAAGACAATCTCCACTCAGAGGCAAGTCATTCTTGCATCTGTCGTACAACGCATAGTCAGCTAGACGTCCCAGAGATCCGTGCGCGTGAAACCCTCGACGCTCTCCGCACGGCTAGATTACATACATGATGCACGAAAAGACGCGCCATTATGCATTATTACCGTACATGTGGCTTTCCTGATCTGGCCGCACACGGGACCTTGCAGGTGATGTGCATACAAACACAGTTACAGCGCAATCATGCAAGGAGTTGGGCATGGCCTCACCTCGGCGATTCACATGTTAGAGGTAAGAATATGAAGCAGTGTGGCTCCCATAGAGAAACACCATGATGCGAATACGCCAAAAGAACCATCCATCATGTTAGTTGGCTCTTTTCAGGGATCATGTCGTTTGCCCAGATCGGATCAGCGCTTTCGAGATGCCTCATCGGCAACGCCGTCACGCCATGCGTAAGCCAAACGCTCTTCCTATTCGATAAAAACATGTGCAAAAAGCTGCGACACAGCCGACGGAGCAACTCCTTCCCCAAGCGGCTTAAACGGGAAATCCAGACGCCTCCCCATGTGAAAAGAACCGTTGCGGTGGCGCTTTTTAGACGCTGCCGACACGTGCGGACTCCCTGGCTCTAAGGGGTGTTTGAAACGCAACGGCCGGGCTTTGTTTTGTTTGGGATGGTTGGCCGGCAATCTATCGAGCATGAACAAAAAGGGTGCTCGGTGAAAGTGTTCGCCTATTTGTCTGCTTTTGGTTTGGGATGTTTGTTGCTTTTGTTGTGTTGTAATTCCGATGGCATCTCGGAACGCTCGTTATGAAGGAGGATGTCGATAGGGGAAGATGCTGGTAGGGGAGGGATTATGGAGTGAATGAAGCGAAAGCAGAATCTATAATGCAAGCAACTTTGTAACACGGGATGCATCATGCAAGCCATGTATTCGTCGACACCACGACGATTTTGAATAATCAACAGCCAATAGTAAAGCGACGCCACTGCTTCACCATGTCATTAATTTTAGATCACAAATCATAGCCGTATAGGGTATGTGTACGATCCTCGAGGGATATCTCGTTTCACTTGCTCGTACAAGCAAGCTATGTAATCTAAAGCACCACCTTTCACACCTCTACCCTAAAAAGGGAAAACGGAACACCGTTACCGACGGCAGTTGCTCTCAGGGGAGCCAGAGAAAAAAAGAAAAGAAAGGAAAAGAAAAGATAACGCCATTTCCACCTCATGACTTGTGCCCGCGAATGAAGACGCCGGCCGAGTAGGTAATATTTTAGGCCGAGACTCTCGTCTCAGGAGAGCATCGCATCGTGGCTTATTTCCTGCCTCGTGCGGCTGGTGTGTGGCCCCAGCATCCACTTCGGGCGCCGATCCGATGTTGGCGTAGAGAGAGATGGAGAGGAGAGAGGCTGATGGTGATATCGCTATGGGTCGGACTTTGCGGTGGTCTCACAGCTGATGGTGGGCATCTGATTCAGTGTCGACGCGGAGATCTAAATGGGGGACCAGGTTGATCATCACAGCACAGCACAGCACAGCACAGCACAGCACAGCACAGCACGGCGTTTGCGGGGAATTCGCGGGCTTCTCTGGTGGACTTTTTGCTATGGAGTGGAGCGGCGGGACGTTAGAGTAGTAGAGTAGACGATTTCATTTACCGTCTGGTGGAATCAATCATCAATCACGAAATGTCTGGTCCCAAATTTGGCCCAACCCTGTCTGTCCCGTCGCAAAGGGGATCAAATCTCTAATGCTGGGAAGGGCAGGGGGGAAACGAAGCGCGATGCTAAGAGATCGATGCCGGGCCAACGGCCGGGCTAGTGGAAACTCCAGGTCGCACCCCGGATGCATGTCTCAGAGCTGGCATGAGGAATGAGACATCTGACGGGCTGGAGATTGAGGCGTGGGCAATGAAGATTCGATTCCTTGGCCGGTGCAGCGTACTGTAGGTACATGCATAGTTGGCTCACTGCTTGTCTCTGCTGCCGCCTTTGCAGATGACGTTTTTGTACCGGTACTTGCGTGATTGATGATATGTACATGTGTGCTAACTCTTGACCCCGAGCAGATTGCGCGGTTGCTGTACCAGTACAGAGTAGAGTATGAGGTTCCAAAGTGCGAATATCAAGCTGGGAGCACCTTGCGGTCCGATGTTGATGTTTTGGGTGTGTTGGACGGAGACGGAGCATCTGCCGGACCACCGGGGGCCTCCAGTTGATCCCAGCTCGCTCTTCGATTTAGCTGCTCCGAGTTCCGATTCGCAACCCCAGACTGGGGAGGGTTGGTTTTTTTTTCCTCATCCAGAAAGCAATCGAGAAAATAGCTTGACAACGCCGTCTCACAGGGGGACATGGGGCGAGGATTGATGCAATTGCCGGAAACTATCGTTCGGGGCGTGGGCGCGCTTACAGCATGTGTGGCCAGGCAGCCGCATTACTGCTCTGGAAGCTCATTATCCGTGGAGGTCGTCACTCTGCGTCTTTGGTGGTGTGGTCGTTGGCGTAAGGGGTCCGGCTAAAGCAAGTCCTCTGCTGGATACTGAGTCGGGTAGCTCAGGTCAGAGTCTGTTGGTTGAATCGTTGGAGTTGGACCTTTTGAAATCTTGTTGATGGCGATGGGCAGCCCGACTGGGATTGTCGCCAAGATCCAATACATTGATTGCATGTACCCAGCCAGACCCGAAGACGCGGAACCGTGAATGCGACATGATGGCTAAATTACATGTACATGTGCTTGCCGTAGAGTGGTAACTACATGTCTTACAAATAATCCTGGGGAGCGTCCCCACGAGAGGTGGCACGTTGAATTTGAGCACGACTCGCGAGGCTGCCAACTACGGAATGTGTGTGTTGCAAAGACTCAAGATGGGGGCAACACCATCTCTAGGTACGAGTATAGTACAAGCACTGGTATAAGCATCCCGCGTTATGCCTCTTTCCGCGGCAGATGCAGCTCTGGCCTGAAGCCGACGCTTGGATCTGAATCCGGCGTTGCACTTTTGGAGAGTAGACAAGGGCCACGATTGGGTCCCGAGGCGATGGGATTTGGGGGGGCTGAATATTATTGATATTGTTGATACTATAATCATCCCACGAGCGAGAGGATACGAGCATGTATCCCGTGCATATTTCGTATATTTCGTACTACCTGACCTTGACTTGCCCAGCGCCGTACTTCGTATTTTCAAACAGCACAAGGCACAGGGCGGGCGCCGTTGAACTAGTTGCAAGTGGCACCAAAGAGACGGGCTCGTTGTGTAATTAAATCGCGAGGTTAGTTTGGTTGTAGGTTAGACCCGACTCCATCCGGGCTGGGGATCCGACCAGCACAATTTAAAGTCGGTGATGGCAAGCGGGGCGCGGCAGCTTCAGCCGCGGGTGGGGGATTGAAGATTGTGGAGTTTGAAAAAAGAAACATGCATTTCAAACCGAGACGAGGGCAAAAGTACCGGTGCCGTATCCGAGGATGATGAAGCTGTACACGTATTCTAGGTTGGTTGCTTAGGTACTGGATACAGCCGTGAAAGAAGTCTGTACAGTTTCCTTGTACTTCCATGTAGTTACATCAATAGTACAGGTAAGTACCTAATGCTTTTGAATCAGACCACCAGAAGAAACGCAAAATGGCGGAGAAGAAAAGAGGCGAAATCGTTGACCGTTTTTTCAAAAGCTGCACGTTGCTTCATGGCTCCATTCAGGTATGTGGGCTGCGAGAAAAATGTGCGCATCGGACTGCTGTTCGCAGGATGGGGCAGCCCCGAGCGCATGTACCGGTACCGAGCCGGCAGACACTTGGGCGCATCCGATGTAACATGTACATGTACGAGTGACTGCAACATTGCCTGAGTAGGTACATGTAGGCTGTCATTTGCATATTGGTCATTTTTGCTGCAGTTCAGACGCACGCATAAGGCAATCTATCTACCCAACCAAGCATTTTGCATTGTCCAGCAGCGAAGAAAAGGAGATTTTAGAGAGACACGCAGAAACGAGAAACCGTTCAGCCCGTTGGTGGGAAGCTTTGCCGTGGCCCCGGTGTTGCGCCACCACGACACAGGCTCGCAACTATAGGATGCTGGGAGGTTGGCCGAGGAGGTGCTCTGTGCTATATTACTAGTCTCATTGTCTTTGCTTTGCTTTTATGACAATGGGCTTTAGCTGGTGACATTGGCTCGGTGAAGAGTGTTGGATAGTTTGTACAGAGCCCCGATGACGAGGAATAAAGGAGCATGCGTTGCTGTCTAATAGGGTGATAAAAGTATCTCTCAGAGGCCGCTGCATCCCAAAGACGATGAAGGATTTCCAGGAATATTCGGCAAAACCCGAAGACCATGGATGTAAATCGACAAGGCGGTAACTCTTTGCGCGCAGATCCCTGACGTTTTTTCTTCTTCTCCATCTCGAAAACAAGGTCACACTTACGGACCCAAGGGCGCGAGCACTGAGCAGGGGGCTGATGCAGCTCTATCTGCACAAAACTCACCGCCGAGATGCCGTGATTTAAAGGGCCCTGCTTCAATCTCTTTCTTTCTGTCACACTTGCGTGCCGGGTTTGAATGAATGGAAGATTTGCGTTTCTGCTCTGTGGTTTGATTGGATTCAACGTTGGCCGATGGGCGCCTCCTTGCCTTCTTATGCCCAATATATCGTCATGACGGTCTACACAAGTTGATAACCCCCCCAGCACAGCAAAGCAGCAGCTACTCGCTGCCACCTCAAAAAACGAGCAAATAAAGCAAACCTTGCGATAAGGCAAGCTCTTCTGCCAACGTCTCTTGGCTTCTGTCATTGGGGCACACACAGTGAGCTGTTGGCAATCTCTTCGCACCGTTGAGGTGATTTATGGTTTTTTGTTTTTGGATCGTTGCATGTTTTGGTGTGACTGTGTCTGAGCAGCAGGTAGCGGTACTTGCGCCTGTAGGCGGGCTAACCCACCATTTCGGTGCCCGTAGCCTCCACCCCCTGTGAGACCTCCAGCTGGTGCCACTGCCGCCTGGCTGTCTGAGAGCGCGGGACGAGCCCCGTGCGTGACTCGCCAATGACGGTCCGGCGCGTTGGTACAGGTACCTGGGCAGTTACTCTGGGGAGCCGCCGCCGTTGCAGAGGTACTGTACTTTCAGCTGTCTCAGGTCGTCCATCCACATCATGTACTCGTATCCCGGCAAGATACAGCAGTCGCCCGTCTTTGACAGCTCCACGGATCACTGATGTCTCTTTAGGGACTTGACTAGATGCTACAATTCAAGCCTGAAGCCGCATACCATCAAATATTCCGTCATCACTGTATTTTGCCTCTAATTTAGTACATATGTTGACCCTCTACACCTGGCATGCGGCTACAATGTGCTCCGTTTCCCCATTAATACTATCTGCGCGCGTGCTTGAACACGATGTACATGTGTACTAAGATTAGTAGATGATGCCTTACCGTCAACAGCGTCAATCCAAAGCAACCAAATGGAACCAACCCCGGAATCAGGCACAACTGCTGTTAGGCCGGTGCTAGCAACAGCCTCAAGCATCGCCATCGCCATCGCCATCGCCATATGCCGTTGCCGCATTCAGCCGTCGGTTCTGCCTCTTCTTCCTACGTAGCCGGTATAGGCACCCAATGGCTCTATTCTCGGCCCGTTGACATGCCCGGAGTGTGTGCGAGGTGTTCCCATTTGCTCGCTTTGCGCGCCTTGGTGACATGTTTCAACATGAGGATGCAATGACGACCGAGTCAATCTGCATACCGCTCTTCTCCCGACTGCTATAAAGCCTCAAACGACGACTTGTGTTGTATCGTCTATTGCTGGCCTGGCGGCTAGCGCTGCTCGTCTGCAATTCAATGTCTGGTGTTCAATTACAGCCCTCGATTCGACGTTCAAACCTTGCAAGCCCCCCCCCCGGCGATCCGCCATTTCACCAATGTCATGTGCCTGCTCTGCTCTGCTCCGTCTCCTTGTTCTTGTTGGCTGAGCTGCCATGTTCCATGTCCGGCCAGAGCCCCATCCGTTACGCGAGAGATGCTACTTGCACTCACGATGGCTTCAGGACAGCACGAGTTGAAACCCGGCGTCTGGATGCGCCTCGCAGGGGGATCCGCTCCCATACCGCCATCCAAGGCCCTTTGCCAGCCCCTCTTTGCTGCCGCCGCCCTTTTGCCCTATGTCTGCGCGGGTTTGAGTGGCGTATGTCGTTGAACTGGCGGAGGAGCTGTTAGTGATTTCCCACACTAAGGCTGCTTTTGCATCCCATCCGCTGTCGAGATTTTCCTCTCCCACGGCTGCAGGATGCGCATGTTTGCATTGCACATACTGCAACCATTTGCGCCTGTGCCCTGTGGCATATTGGGGTAGCATTCAGTGCCCGTACGAGCACTCGATATGCAAGTCAAGTGCCAGTGTGTGCCAGTAGCGTCATAAGGGCTCGGTGTCCAAACTGGATATGGATTCATGTGTGTGGTGATGTCGCTCTTCCGGCATACGGATTGGGGGAAGAATAGGCACGAGTATCCCGATCCTGATTGCCTGAGCGCCAGCTGAGAAGCAACCATGAAGCTTGCCCTTCTTACCTTACTTGGTCTCTCGTAGCAAGCAGCATTAGCACTGCGACGGAGTAATGCTAGCGGTGGTAGACCGTAGATCAAATACAACTCATCGTGTTAGTCAAAAAACATGATGCAACAAAATGGCTCCAGAGCTTGCCCTGTATGTTGCATGGGAGTACCTTGCCCGGACTTGCTGAGAATTGGACCCGTCCACCCTTCGCCAAAAAGGCTTGGGACGGGTACTTTAATGTACAGCCAAGGGCAGGCTCGGCACGGCTGTTGCCTGGGTGCTATCCAGGTACCGGCCATCCGCTAGCTGGCCCTTGTACTGTACAAGGCCCGGAGAACCAGCACCCCCCAAGTACCCCCCAGGTACCCTGCAGCGCCCTGCAGGAATCAGAGGCTTTCAGCGCAGACTCGAGGGCCAGCGCAAGTCCGCCACCTGCGTCTTGGCTCATCGTCCCCCCAAGTGCCTGTACAGGTACACTTAGTACCGCCTCTCTCCGGTAAGCGTCACTTTGTCTTTTTGCCGGACATCGTTCGTCTCTTCCATTCTCTTCTCTTCCTCGCATCTTCGGCGTGTCGTGACCAAGATGCGATGCCCTCGCGTCTGACAATGACAAAGCACCACCGCAGCTCACACGCCCCCAATCCCCATCACATCTCACTGCCTGCGCTATAATTATTCTCCTTATACTAGCCCTGGTCAGCAGCCTTGCGCTGCGGTCAAGCAGCGATTCGGCCCTGGCCGACTGGCCCTTTTCGCGTATATCCTCGCCCAGCTCCCGGCTGCCGCACCGCTCAGTCTCCGTCTGGCACGATTCTGCATATCACTTGTCACTGCTTGCTCTGTTCTGCGGCCTGTAACCTGCTGGTTTTGTCCTGGCAGCACTCAGATCCTATCCAAGAACGGCACCCAGCAATCCCATTATAGCTGGCACCGCTGGACCGAATCTCCCTCCCAGCCAGACGACAGCCGAGATCTAGATTCGAACCCTCCCCCCCTGGGGCGCGAGGCAATGGCACACTCCGCATCAGGGCCAGATACCTAGCTTGACAAATCTTGCTCTCCTTTCCTGGGTCTGCCAGATGCTCGACTCTTATTAGCCTCTCAACTACACCCGCGAGGCTTCTCTCTTCCATCTCTCTCGTCCAACTCTCTCTCTCTCTCTCTCTCTCTCCCCCTCTCTCTGCTCCGCTGGACTCGGATATTGAATCCCGACCAAGACTTTGATTCCATCGCGCATATTCTACCTTCTCCAATGTCCATGCTCTCGAAACGGTTGTCATGGATCCAGATTCAGATATAGAACCTGGTGGTTCGACGGCAAATCGCGGGCCTGCCGTCCTGGCCGTCACAACAGCAACTCTGGTCCTTGCCTCGGTCTTCGTCTTCGCGCGCATGATCTCTCGCTACTTCATCGTCAAGAGATTCACTTGGGACGATAGAACCATCCTCTTAGCGTGGCTCATCTCCTTCTTCTTGTCCTTTACCATCTGCTTCGGCGTCGCCAATGGACTCGGCAAACACGACGCCGACATCCCTCCATCGCAAATACCCACTCTTCGCCGCTGCGAATATGTCTTCTCTATTCTTTATGTAAGCCCCCCCTTTCCTCCTCACTTGCGAGGCCGAGTTGCTAAAGATGCTAGAATCCGGCCTTGATGGCTACGAAAACGAGCATCCTCATCTTCTACTTACGCTTGGCTAGAAACACCCAAATGGTCCTGCGGTTCGCTTCGTGGCTCACCCTCGTCATTGTCAACATTGCAGGGGTTGTCCTCACGTTCATGAATATCTTTCAGTGTACGCCTGTGCAAGCTGCTTGGAACGCAAACTACCAGGGCTCGACGAAATGCATCCCCCTACTCACCGAATTCATCTGTTCTTCTCCCGTCAACATTGTCACCGACCTTGCTATTCTTGCGCTGCCGATCCCTGTCTTGACTGGCATGCGGCTACCCTCGCGGCAAAAGACCATCCTCGTATTTACCTTTACGCTTGGTATCTTTGTTGCCGTCGTGGATGTTGTCCGAATCTACTACCTTCAGCAGGCCATCGCTGACGTTCCTACTGGAATCACCTCTGATCCTACCTCGAGGTTTGGCGGCCAATCCGACTTTGCCTACAATGCGTCGCTGGCGCTCATGTGGAGCGCCGTTGAGGTCAATGTGGGTACAACCTGCGCCTGCATTCCTACCTTGAAACCTCTCGTTCTGCGACTTCTGCCCTCCATGCTCTACAACCCCAAGAACAAGAATGAGACTAGAACCAGCCCGGGCACTACCAGTGATAAGAGCCAGAGCCAGCGGCCCTCTGACAACCAGTCGCTGGCTAACAATAACGCATCGGGAGTGATCAAGCCAGAACCCGTTGCCCACGGTGCCCTTGGGGGCCGACAGCACGCCAGCCCTGGTCCGGATGCGCCCATGAGTGCCATGGAATTTCTGACCACTCCCGATATGACGACGCTTGGCGACCGTCTCGCCCCCCCGGCTAGTTCTTCACCCAACCGCTCTGCTAACCGGTCTCGCACCACTAATACGGTCTCGACCGATCATTCCTACGAGAATGGCATATACTTTGGGTTCGTCAACATGACCAAGCCCAAGAGCATGCTTCGAGCCAACAAGAAGGAGTCCTGGAAGTACTGCACCATTGTGGCCATTCTCTTCTTCCTGTGGGGTATTTCGTACGGATTGCTCAACACGCTCAACAATGCGATTGCTGCGGTGAACCACATGAGCACAGCTCAGACGATTGGCCTGACGAGTGCTTATTTTGGCGGCGGCTACTTCTTTGGTCCCCTGCTTGTTGGCGAGTGGATTCTGCGACGAGACGAACATAGCCGATCCAAGCGCCATCGCGGAAATGACGAAAACATTGGGGGCTACAAAGCGACATTCATCACTGGCTTGTGCATTTACGGCACTGGCACCATCATCTTTTGGCCTTCTGCCGTGACCAATTCTTTTGGTGGCTTCATGCTCAGCAACTTTGTCGTTGGCTTCGGACTTTCGGTGCTCGAAGTCGCTGCCAACTCCTTCATGGTACTCTGCGGGCCTCCGCAATACGGCGAGACTCGCCTTATGCTGGCGCAAGCCGTACAGGGCGTCGGCAGCGTGCTCAGCGGCCTCTTGGCACAAAAGGTCTTCTTCACGTCGCTGAGCAGTGCCGATCCGAGCGGCCGAAACAGCAGCACCACGCTGATCAATGTCCAGTGGACATACCTTGGCATCACTCTGCTGTGCGTCGTGCTCGCCCTTTTCTTCTACTACATGCCGTTGCCCGAGGTGAGCGATAGCGAGCTTGAGGATTCTGCGAAGCTGCTGCCCGTTGATCCGTGTAAGAAGAGCATTGGCGGTCTGCAGCTGCGAACCATCAGTCTCGTTCTAGCCGTCATGGCCCAGTACATGTATGTGGGTGGCCAAGAAAGCAACAGCACCTTTTTCAATAGTCTGCTCGTTTCTGTTATACCTGGTCAGGCCAAGTCTGGCATGCAGGCTACCACCGGCACCGTCACTGGGGCTGCGGTTGATCCTGATCATCCTATGGGGTTCACCCTTTCTCTCTCTGATTACCTGACGGTTGGACACACGGTTTTCGCCGTCTCGCGGTTTGCTGCAGCATATTTCATTTACTTGTCTGTTAACAATTCTCGGCTGCCTCAGCCACGGACTGTCCTCAGCTTCAGCATCATTCTCTGTTTCATATCGGCTCTCCTGTGTGTCCTCCTGCAGCCCTCCAACCCAAATCTTCTATTCATTCCTGCTTGTTTGTTTTTCTTTGGCGAAGGCCCCATTTGGCCCCTTATTTTCGCCATTGGCATGCGTGGCCAAGGCAGGAGAACCAAACGGGCGGCCGCCTTTATTACCATGGGCGCTTCCGGTCCTCTGTTTTCCCCCTTTATCATGTACGGCATTATTGTACGGGGCGGCACTGTGCAGACGGCTTTTATACTCATTGTAGCCATGCAAGTGGCAATGATGGCTCTGCCGATTTTCCTCACCTACGTCAGGGATGCCCGCCTGATGGTGGACCCGCGTCCATCACGCCGTGTGATGCGGAAGGACGGAGAGCGTCCCATGGACGAGGTGCTTGCTGACGTGGTGGTTGCCGAACCGGAGCCTCGCGGTACCGATTCTGCTACCATTACTGTTGATTTTTTCAGAGAAACTGGAGCTGCGGAAAAATCTCACCGCGGATTCCTGGACATTGTTTCTAAAGGGTTGGGCGCAAAGCTAAACGGGGCTCGACGCAAGTCTTCGCCTACACTCGAGGTAGAACATAGCGAAGGCAGCATCGAAGCTTAGAGACGACTATGGCGGACACGGAAAGTCCTTTTTACATTTTTTTTCCCCTTTCCCATCTTTTCCTTGCTTGGATATATCGCTTTTCTTGGTTGTATATATGATGTGGCAACAAATGTCGCCTATTGGCCGGAGTTTGGTGTTTGCTGGTGGCTTGGATGACTAAAATTATACCCCATATCTCAAACGGAGGCTTGGTTTTATGGATGACGTCTGTGAGAATACAGACTTGGAGGCATAAAAATAACTGTACAATTTTATACAATAGCTTGGCGTGGGTATAGATGAAGATGGTGTAGATGGTGTTTATATCACACCCGTATCTATCTACTTGGCGTTGAAACCCTCGATGGTGACTGTGTAGCTCTCGCTTTTGATGTCTATGTATCTCTCATCCATACTTGTAACAACATTCCGTCCTACCAGGTAGAGTGAATGTCTGTCTCAATTGAGGCGAAGACGCCCACGCCCTGCCTCCCCAAGGCCGTTGCGATTCCCACGGCCACGGCTCCGACGCGGCGCATTCTCTTATACCCCTGGCCGTCATAGACTCCTCCCGCTCCAATGATGTCCAAGTGTGCCAGCCGTGGATCGGCATCAAACCTTCGCCGCAGCGTTGCCACGTTACCCAGGGCGAGGGGATGCAGAGGAGGTCCGGCCATGCCTCCGATGCCGCCTCCCGGAAGCAGCGCGTCGTCTGAAGAAGAGTCTGGGTCGAGTAGGAGGCATGAGCCTAGGGTGTTTGTTGCGGTGAGGAAGCTGAGCTTGGAGGCTGGCGGATGGTTTGGTTCAGAGCTGATGAGGCAGGATACGAGGTCGTCGAATTGGCCGGCGTGAGTGTATGGAGGGATCTTGATGCCGATGGGGATGGCGGATTCGGACGGCAGGATGTCGAGGTAGGAGGATAGTGAGGAGGGGGAGTATGCTGGCGGAGGGAGGTTGGGGATGTTGGGGCAGGAGAGGTTGATCTCCATGGCCAGGGGGAAGGGGACTGAGGGTGCGTGGGAGGAGATGAGGGTGTGGCAGGTGAGGATCTCGGCGGGCGAGCCCGTGACACTGATGATGATTGTTTTGGGAGGGGTCGAAGATGCGAGGGAAGATATGATGGAGAGGTATTCCGAGAGCGGGAGAGGGCTGTAGCCGAGCGTGTTGAGCGATGCGAGCGGCATCTTGTCGGCGCGCAGGTCAGGACGGCCGGCTTCGTTGTCGTTGGAGTCCTCCGGCGGGCCGGAAAAGGTGGCCGATGCGGCGCCGGTGGCGGGATCGAAGAGGGCGTAGCGGTGGGTGTCCGGGGCGTGCGGGAAGCCGGCGACGAGGCTCGTGCGGGTGGTGACGGCGCCGACGGAGGGGCAGCGCAGGAGGGCGGCGAGGTGGGCGCGGGATGTTGCCCAGGGGGAGGCGGTGTTGAGGAGGGGCGGGTGGAGGGAGAGTTTGGGGGGCATGTTTTTCAGTTGTATATATAGGTATCTATGGGTGGGGTTGTTTATGCGAGATGACTTGTGTTGAATCTTTTGTGGTTGTTGTAACACGATATCTGTGTTACCGTGGTGGTGATGCTGAAGCTGATAACACAGGTGGGGAATCAGATAAGATGCAGAATCTACGGTACATACTACTCGTACACATGTACTACCCCACATTCAACATCGAACACGGTCCGTCCCGCTTAAGCGAAGCCGAGGTCAAACAAAGAAAAATCTCGACCCAAAAAGTACAGAGTACGCCAAGAAGTACCTCTTCCTGCATCTCTAATAATACACAACGTACGTAAGAGAAAACAAACACGAGTATAAAAAAAGAACCAAACCTCACATTCATTCGAGAGCAAATTAAACAAGCAAAACACGCTTCTGACAACCCAAAATACAATACCGCAACGGACCCCCATTTAACAGACACCAGCCGAACCCCAGATTCGAACCAGTTTTTTTTTTTACCCACATTTACCACTCCTGGCAATGCGAGACACACCACCCGACGTGTCGATTTTCACCTCCCCCCTTGGCGTTTCCGCTTCCCACACACCACAAGACTTTCTAGGGGAACAAAAACGAGTCCCGGGAGCTTGCGGGCCGGAGAGGGGGCCCCAGCAACCTTGTAAGTCAGCATTTATAATCCCCATTTGGCGACGGAGCATTCGTTGGCTTTTAACCCCCCCCCCCCAAGGTTCGCTTGGCAAAAGCCCGAGCTTGTATCATTTGTATTATTGTTTTTTGCATGCCGTTGGAATGTGGAAGAGGGGAAATCCGGATTTAATTTGGGGTTCTGTAAGTCCGTGCTTCTTTATATACTTGGGTGCATGGGCCCCCCGCCTTCTTCCCCAGAGTATGTTGCTTGTTTTTTGTTTTCTCGCGGGGTGTTTTATTGCGTTTTGCTTGAGGACTCTTGAAATGGCCATTTTGCATCATTTGTGCGATATATTCTCTTATTTGTGTGAAATGTTTGTTCAGTCGGATTGAGTCTGGAGAGAAATACTCACCAAGGAGCAACAAAGGGCCTGCTCTCGACGACTTGGTTTGAGACTTCGGTCTGGTGTTGACCGGTTCGGAGAGTCAGCAACGATAGGAAATACTACCCGATCCATACGACCAACGTTGTTTTCACCAACTAGTTCAAAAGAACATTTGTGTTAAAAGGCACAATATATTTCATGGCGATATGTACATGCTTCGCCTATATGCGAAGCAGAAAGACCTATATACAAGGCATAATGCATGACCCATTTCCTCCAAAAAAAAAAAGTCTGATAAAGAAGACATCAGTGGTATCCCTATCTCATTCTCAAATGCAACAAACAAACGACCAAACTCCAGAAAGCTATGAGCACAATGAAACCGGAAAATGCCGGTGAATGTGACGGGAAAAAAAGAAATCAACCAGAAAAACTTTTTACAGGTCCAAAGGAAAAGATGAGACAGCGGAAAGGAAAAGACGCGATATCCCCGTGACCGCATTTACCAACCAAATTGCTCGCAGTGCAGCTCTACGCCCGGACCGTCAGACCGAATGCATGCCGCCGTGGTGTTGCGAACTGTTGCCATGAGGCCGTCCGGCCCGCACCCCAATACCAGCACACGCTTCTCTACCGGGGTCTCGCCAATTATGGTCTGGATCAAAACTGCAACGTCTGGTTTGCCGCGCTTGATGGAGCTCTGATAGACATGTGGCTGCACTTCGATTACTTCGACAGGACCGGCGTTTTGTGTTGAATCTGTTTCCTCTGCAACGGACTCTTCAGATGAGGATTGAAGGGGCTGAGCCGTCACAATATCGACAGCTTTCTCGAGATCGGCTTCGGAGGATGGTGTAACGGGCATCGATTCGGGGCTTGTCTCGCCATCTTCCTTCTCTTCTGACGATCGGGTGACGTAAAGCTCGAGGTTTACACGGGAGTCCTTTGCGAGAGTGTCGAGATGAGAGGCAAACCACTTAAGATGACCTGGTTACATTTTCGTTAGCCCATGTCGTCGCTTTTCAAGATCACGATTTGCTTACTCTCATATTTGACCATCCAGATAAAGGTAATCTTCTTCTCCAGCTGCGTGCTAGCCACGTTCTTGAGCATGTTGAGTGCCATACCAAATGTAAAGGTTGAGCCACTTCCGCCGGCGACAAGGACGACTCTGTCATATTCCGAAGCGTCGGGCAGGGTACCATATGATCCCTCAACCGAGGCTTTGACCGTTGCTCCTGGGTGCTTCAGGGCATATTGATGCAGGTCCTGCGTGAAGCCATCGTGAGAAGACACAACGAACTCGAGAGGATCCATGGCTGCAATCGTAAAGGGGTGTGTCTCGCACGTCCGAATCGAAGGAATCCAAAGAAAGCAATGCTGCCCCGACACAGCGCCCAAGGGAGCCTTCTTAAGGGTCACTCGGGTACCGCCGTTTGGCAGAGGTGTAAGAACGGCAGAGTTGTTGGTGCTGTATATCAGAAGGCGGGTAACGCGAACCAGACGGTCGAGCACCCAGATGCCAGCGGTAACAATCACCACATAGACAATCTTCTCGCCAAAGTTGGGTTGGTGGAGACCGACCATGACGATGGCAAGGATCCAGAAGCTGATGTGGACATAGTAAAAGAGCTCGTACCACCACCGACGAATGACAACTCCCGCAAAGCCGACGATGAAAAAGGAGGCGCCAGCAATCTCGCCGTATATCACGCTCTCTTCCCGGAGGATCGAGATTCTTCCCGCAAAGCCAAAGTAGGACGAGTAGCAGCTGGCATGGATGATGACAAAGATGATGCACATGGAACCGGCGATTTGATGGAGGATATTGAGGCGCTCATACGACCAAGCTGTGAGGAACGCCAACGGAGTGTTCTTTAAAGCCAAGAAGATGAGAACAACCAAGTTTGCGACCGCCATCCTATTCCGGAATCAGCCTATTAGAGCCAAGAAGCAAAGCAAAATCGTGTTGGAGATGGTTACATACCAAGCAGCTCGTGCGGCCAAGTTGGAATTCATCGTGATGACAGAATTGTCGATGTCGGTAAAGGTAACAATGATGTTGATGGCGAGGTAAAAGAAGACGAGGATGGCATGCCCTCGCGAAGGCAGACCAGGCGCTGTACGGAGAAGAACATTTCGCGGTTTCCTGTTTCCCTTTCTTAGCTTCCTTACAACAACATTTGATGCTGACTTTTTGCGTCTCATAACTCGCAAACTGTCGTCACAGGTCGGACACGATGATGGGTCTAGACATCCAGTTATGGTGCGCAGACTTACCGAGAAAAGGCAGCCAAAGCTGAAACCCCCTTTTTTCCAATATTCGACTTCTGGGCAAGGCGTCGTCCTAGATGGAAGAAGATGAAGATCGCCGCGAGTCCCACTATCGCACCGATAAATGCGTACATCTGCCGGTGGTTAAGCTCCTCACGGTGTGCGAATGCGGCGCTGCCAGCCATGTTGGGCGACTTCGATGTAAACCGTTTCGAAACAGGATAAGGTCCACGTCAAAGCAGGCGGCTATTGCCGAAAGGGTGACCTATGCTTTCACTATTAAACCCCTGGAGCCAGCAGTGATTGTGGGCTATAGTACAACAGGGAGGAAGAGAAAGAGGAAAAGAAGATGATATGTGATGAGGCAAGGTTGAGACTTGCTGTGAAGGAGAGTAGTTGAGTTGGTGAAGACAACAAGTGTATCGTGCACCAAGAGGGGGTATATGTCCTTTTGCAGCAATCATCTATCAGCCAGCGATCGGACAAGGACACAAGACGCAAACCTTGCTGCCACGCAATGCCGGTCGATGATTACATGCAAGTACATCGGTGCCTTTTGGAGATGGTACTATATTTACCTTCGAGTGGATGCCGAGAGTGGCTCTGGACCGGCCCGTGCGGCAACTCAGCCAGGCTTTTTGCTCTGATATCGATGCCCTTGTAGAAGAGGCAAAGTCGGCAAGGCCTGTTCAGGCAATGCTGGGCAGAGATTGCGAAATTCGACCTGATATCGACGTTTCAAAGGGGAAGGTGAGAGCCCTTTTCGATGCTCCCTTCACTGTGGTTCCTACTTGATAATGCTTGTCAGACATGTGTTACCCCGGCCCCGACGGCACGGGCGAATAAGCTATCTGTAAGTGAATACTTTTGTATGAGGACGAGCTTACGTGGTGTCTCAAGGAGTCTGTTATCAGTCCACAGCCTATCTTGTTGATAAAGTTCTGATGGGGAGGGAGGCCTCAAGTGAGTTGAAAGCTGGTCGCTGAGGCTTCACACCAAACTCAACCCTGGAGCGTATCTGTCAACTCGGATAGTTTATGCAGGCAGTATATGCTCTACAACACCAGACGAGCGGAATGCATAAATGTTTTGGCCAAGGGGCGAAAGAGTACCCATGGCGCCAGGGCGTCTGCCTTTATGTTTCTTTGCCTAGGGCCATCTTCCCCCAGCCTTTTCTCGCAACTTCCCTTTGCAACCACCTTCTGCCAGGCGCCAGATTGCAGATTCGGCCCTTGATACATCATCCATGAGCAACGGCCGGCCGAAATCCATGTCAGTCGCGTGTAAGGAGCCCACAACGCTGGTGCAGGGGGGGCAATGCGCTGATCTTTTCGTTCTTGGGGGGGGGGGCCCCAACGGCCTGTTCCAGAGCCTGGTGGACTCGAAAGAAATCTGATAATGCAGCCCTCCTCCACTCTGGAGAGATCATGATGATATGAACATATCGACATGGTAAAATCCCTCCCTCCCTTCTCGTTGCTAGCCTTTCTTGGCTGGCCATCCACGATGCAACTATTGGGTCCATCTTCGCAGTTGAGTTTAATTTCTCCCCCTCCCTGCCGTCATGCCCTACAAATCATGCTCCATGAAGCCATAGGACTGTCTCTCCTATGTACTTGTGTAGCGATATTTTTGGGATTTATGATGCAATGCCACCATTGCGAGAACGGGCAGGAGCTTGAACCGAGTGTGATACGGCGTTTCACCCAAGACAGACTTGTAAGACGGTGGCCCAAGTCTTGACATGCTACACCAAGGAACCCCCTTGCTTACACCTTCCAATACATCGAGTCAAGCAATGTATGCTCTCAACCAAGATTATCGTCGGCAGACAGAGCCCAGCCATGCATCTTTGATATCCCGAAGGAAGAGAATGCGGGGGAGAGATTCAGCTAACCAAGTTCTACCTTGATTCATTGCGTTCGTGTTGAGTCCCCGGGGACGGGCCGACTACGAGATCGCCAAATAGGGCCGTCCACGGACAGAGTACGCAGGACAGAGTACGCAAGTAGCAGGCATCGTCCAGACGAAGGAACCGGAAATATGTTGAGACACAACACGGCGGCCTTGGTCCCGTTTGAGTAAGGACGATTAGTTTGTTCTTCCTCTTGCGAGGATCATGACAAGGTTTGACTCGAGATAAACAGAAAAAAAAGTTTTAGACGTCGCATGAATTTAGCCCTTGGCTAAAAGAGGCAGGCAAATAGGCCATATTCTGCTAGCACGCAAAGCTTATGGAGACAAGGTTTTGTCCCGAGGCTTGTATTTGAGATTTCTACAGAGAATTGCTGAAGTTCTGTCATAAACTTTCTGTGATGCGCATCTGGGCCTGATTAGCGTTTGGCTATTTTGACTCTGCCACGACGAAATTGCCGGGAGGTGGTGTTGATGTGAATTTAGCCACGGGCCGGCACGCTGCTTGGATGCTTGCTCCATTCGTATTCCTTGGCAGTAGCAGCAATAGCAGCAGCGCAGCAGAAGCAGCGGGTAGCTCGCCTGCCATGTCGACTCTGCCGTGGATATTCCATGGCTACCGTTGTTGACGGCGATGATGATTAATGAGTGATTGACCCTACGGAAGGAGTTTGCGCCGCCGCCAGTCCATGTCGGCTTTCATACTATTTTGAGGGCGTCGGCTGAAAGAAAAGCACCGATGGCATCTGCAAACCTGTCGTGACCGGGGGTAGTGCCCGTTTTCCTTTCCAGGACTCCATTGTATCTGCGCCTGGCGCAGTGATTCGTGACTCAAACAATCAGATGCCGTCTGCGGTGCGATTTCAAATACCTCGGGCGCGATAGTCGAGTTAGGATGAGTGGTCATTCGTCGGAGGAACTGAAATTCGTTGTCGCCGGTCACAACGCCGCTTGGCGCTGACCGTGTGGATCTAGCGGAAGAGCGTACAGGGGAAGGCCAGTATTATTGGCTGTGGGTTTGAGAGAAACAAGCAAGTGGCCCGTCGGCAATAGATGCAGATCTGACAGGAACAGGGCTAGCCATAGTAGCCATATATAGATGTCGGCACCAGGCATTGCGGAATCTAGATTGTGTCTGACCAGCACGGCCGTTGTTAGTCGGGATAATTGCTCCGTTTGCCCTACCAACCTGACGATAAGGTCGTGGAAGATAGGAGCCATGCTCACATAGAGTAGGTGCGTGGAAACAGGTGGCCCGCTGGCCACGGCACTTGGACAGCCGAATCTTAAAGAAGCAATGCAATCCCGTTGACGGAGCACGGTGCAGCAGCACGCAATATGGCAATGCCGAGTTCGACCCGTACAAGGACATGCAAGCACAGGCCAGGACCCGTGTGAGAAATCTCCATGGCCCATGTCGAAAGTCCCATACGCGTACCAGCAGGATGGCCTGGGCGAGCTCCCGCGAAGCAACCCCAGCCGCCGCCTCTGGGTTGCAGCGCAGACGAAGCCCGATGCTCAATGATGTCGATACAGCAGCCACATGATAGATGCGCAGCGTGAGGGATACGTGAATGCCCGAACCTAGGACCCAAGTTATTAGAGAGCCAGGCTCAATGAGCGTTTTGACAGGCGTGGCTCACCAATCAGAGGGTCGCCCACAACCTGCGGGTTACATTGGATTCGGCCCTGTCGACAGAATGTGGGCTAGAGGAGGCTCGAGACGGGGGCGTGAGAGTGTCAGGAGTGTTGTGAAGGGGGGGAAGTTGCATAAGTGCAGGTTTGTTTCGTTTTCCCGGGCAGAAGAAGGAGGGCAGGCGGAGAAACTGCTGACTGAGCTGCTGGCGGCAGAATACATAAATACTCCGGACTTGTACGCTACGACTCGGATAAAAACACAAAGAAAACCTGTCATTTCCTCTAGTAGAATTAGAACCGCAAGCAAAAGAAAAAAATGGTTCGATTCTTTCTTGTGTGGATGGCTTCAAACCTGCTCAACGGCCTTGTGGAGTGCGACCAAGTACATGCAATCTAAGAGTACCAGAACAGAACAGGGAGCCCGCCGGTAACCCATCCAGGTTTTAGGTAGACGCTAGATGGTAGTGACCTACCTATTGGAGCTACATTAGCCATGGATCGTTTGTCTGCTTGCTGCTGCCACCCTACAGTAGGACATATCTAAGCTGATCACATGAAAATAACAGTTCGTCCGGGTAGACGATCAACCTTTGGTGGATAGATTAGGTACCAAGATAGAACGTATCGTTAATTCGCCTTTTGGTTTATAGTGGACAGTTTGCTTGCCTCGCATCACAAGCCCCCTTGGCCTAATGGTTAAGGCGCAAGACTTCTATTAGCACTAGCCTGCAAAAAGGTTGGCGTCTGTTAGAGCGTATCTTGAGATTGCCAGTTCGAGTCTGGCAGGGGGCTTAGCTTTTTAAGGGTTCCGTCTTCTTGGACTTTTTTTGCGAGTCAGCCCATGCATCTTCCTTTTTTAGTACTGCGCAACCTCTTTATTCATTGTTGCATTTGTGTTTTCTTTTTTTTCTTTATTTGGGAGTACTACGGAATATATCATATCTTTGATCCAGGCCCATGGCAAGCCCGCTTCTCCACCAGACTAAAGCAGATCACAACCCACCCAGTCAGTTTATCAAGCCTATCTCTCGCACACGATCGAGGAACCAAGAACAACATTTCTCAGAATATGGTTATCTAATAAATCATAAGCCATCGTTGCGCCAAACCAAAGAAAAATCCGTGATTCCAATTTGTACTAGTCTATTGACGATATCGTCGCTGTTAAGAAGAAGCCAGTACCTTGAATCCTATATAACATTTCAACAGTCTACTAGCCAAAATACGACGACTTTAGTGGTAACCTATAATGAAACACCCTTTCTCTTTTGATATTACAAAAGACAGAGTAACCAATGTGTCGTTCTAGTCCCACGCGAGATGTATACCTATCCCCATGATTACTGCCTGCTTAAAACACTTGAATGAACTGGGTGAAAGGATATGCAACAGCCCCTTATCTGATCAAGAGAAAAAAGGACCTTACGACAGAAGATACCAATCATGGCTCCGATGGATTATAAAAAGAAGTGCTCTATGTAGTTGCCGCTTACAGTAGGTACTCTGTCTTACGTGAAAACAGAGATCATGCCATGAGTGTTCATAGCATAAGCCCTAGAGCTACCGACTTCCTAATCAGCGGTCAGACACTTGAGTAAGCTCAGGTCTGTCTTATTGTGTACTTGGCAGCGACCCTTGAATCTCAAATAGAATGTAAACTGTCATCTGCAACTTCCATAAGCATCATTTCCTAATACGTTACATGTGGAAGGCGTCTATCTTGGCGTTTTATACCATCAGGCGTGCGCGTTCTAAGCCTCCACTTCAGCTATGCATGCATGCAGGCAGGCTTATTGGTTACCATTAATCAATATTACCACCCTGCATTGTCACGTTGCCCCTTCATGGGAATCGCCGCGTTGGCAAGGCTGTGTAGAGCTGAATCTTCCCTTAGATTGCCATGATGCAACCTACAACGTCGTGTAAGTGGTACTATCAGAAGACATTACCCTGCCAAAGAGTGAAATCAATTGATGCCACTCACAAATGTATCGTACTTCTATTCAGATACCACGGATAATCCGCAACCTTGTCTATCCTAGCTTTGTCGTGTCACTATAAGCCATGCGCAAATCGCCAGAGCCTCTTACCCGCCTGAGCTCCAGATCCCCCTCTCCCTCCATTTTCTGCCTGCTGAGTGATTGCAGCCCCTGCAACCAGTGAATGTCCCGAGTATCGACGGTGCTCTCCATGTAAAACTTGTGGGCTTCACGCCACATGCCCATCCCCTTGTAACAGTGGGCTATGTAAAAGTTGATCTTGGAGTCGATGCTAGTCATGCCCTCGGCAAATGCGATCGTAGAAGCCTCGTTGGCCTCGTGCAGAGCTTCCTTCCACCGAGGTGGCCTCTCGCTTGCATATCTTTTGCAGGCTGCAATGTGACGGTCGATGCGTCGCTTGATCCAACCAACATCCTCCTCGTCAAGCTGGAACAGCCGATCAAAAATCTCTGCTTCCTTACTCAGAGCCTCTGAGCTCATTGAAGTCGACGTGCTGACCATTTTTGACTGTAGAACTGCGGGTTTCTTTTCAAAGATTCGGGGTAAAATTGGCTTCTCGTGGTCGATTCCTGATAACCAAGGCGGCGAGTCATCCAGGAATTTATAGATTCACAAGGTTCGTTTCTATTCACAGGTATATGAACGTGATGACGATTCACCGCCATGATGCTTTTTGTTTGCTTTGCACCCAGCAGCAGTTCAGCTACTAATGTTGACGTTCAAGTGACACAGCATGCGGCAGGCGGTCGATACAAAGGCCAGAGGGAACCATTGAGGGAAACACCTTCAAAATCAAGGGAAAATATCATCTTGAAATCACCCTTTGTTCAGCTCGAGATCACAGTGCGTTGTTCGCAAGCCGTCACCAAACAAAGGCGTGGTGATTGTACGACAATGGCGACGCTGGCACTGGTCACATGGGATGACAGTTCAACCAGCTCAAAGCCAGGTTGTGTTAACCGTGTTCTATTTCATTTCTAGCCCTTGAGCATGTGATAAAGACCTCTACTTCAAAGCCCAAATTTCCACCGCACCTGAACCATCACGGTCGCTTTGCGCTCATTTTCGGGCTGCAATGGCCCTGGTCGTCGTCTTTGAAGCCGTGATCCAGCTTTTATTCGCTGATTCGTGAACATCCTATAAATGCCAAGGCGGTCTCTTCATCAAGGCAACGAGTCTAGCTGAATGGAAAAAAAAAAACACAAAAAGTCTTGAAAGTAAAAAGTGCAAAAAAAGAATTCCAAATTGCGGATAACGCATCTGGGGCATTTTTGCTCCCGGCAGGGCTTGAACCTGCGACCTTCGCATTACCAAGGCTAGATTATGACGTCTAGTATTAGTACGAAGCTCTAACCAACTGAGCTACGGAAGCGCATCCGAATTTGGAATTTAGCGGGTTCGAAGCCAGAGAATGGCTCCGAATTGTTGAACGAGGCTGAATTATTATTGTCTATACAGGATAAACCATTTCAGAAGTACGTTGTATTATCCATCACCACCCAAGTCGGTACTCAAGCCTTTTATTTTGCTCCAGGCAAAATGGCCCAAATCTATTTGGAAGAGTATGAAAATTTTGGAGTAGTTAGCAATTTTGTCCAATTTAGCCGTCAAGGAGTGGTTAGAGTAGGCGAGAGTGATGCTTCGACGTTGGAACCCCTCGAGTACAATGCAAGACAAACAGAGTCACAGCGGCATCGTTTGGCTTGTAAAGAGGGCCCCCAAAGAGTTGGAATCTCTCAGTTTCTTTGCGTAGTCGATGGCCGACTTTCCATTGTCATCTTCTGTGTCCGCCGTGATGCCCAAATCCAATCGATCATCCAGCGTCTGCTTTATAGATGCGACATTACCAATCTCAGCAATTGATCTAGCCTAACTTAATCTTTACATAAAGTACCAGAGCCGTCCTTTTAATCTCATTTTGTGCGTTTACGTTAATCTTTCCTGAGTTAGCTAATATTTTTAAATGTGTGAACTAGCTGTCACCACCCATAGCGATGTGTGATGCACTACAGCTTATAGAATCTGTGCGTTATGTCAATTTGCGAGGTTGTGGTGAGAAGACTACAGGCTATGTGCCGGTATTTTGGAAAGCATATTCGGGAAAGGGGGGAAACGTCCATCTAGCACCTAACCGTCAACACGGGTAGATAATGGGCAAATCAGCAATAATCGGTCAGCCATAATAGGAGTACAGCTCTTGCAGCATTGGGTAAGATAATGGAGGGAGGATAAGCAACTTGGATATAGATGGGGCGTTTAATGTGAATACTTGTAGACAGAAAGAAGCAGGGCTCCATTCATATAGATGGTAGTAGACCACGCTTCTGCGCGATCATGATATGTCGTCTTATTTGTACAATGAGGTTGAGTTTTTAATGTCGAATAGCACCTCGGACCTACGCATATGGTGACATGGATAGATAACTTTTAGCTATTACTTATCATCGAAATGCCTATATATATTCCAGAACCAGATGCGACCTAATGGATTGTATTGGATAAGCTATTTGTCCACTCAACAGGAAGAACCAAACTCTGAAAGTCGCAGCAGTCCAGTAGCTGGCCTTCCCTTGAAAAGGGTGCGGTTACCCTCTGCAAGCAGGTGGATTATCGATCAGCCTTCGTTTAACCACGGGGGAATACGCAGGGCATTTACACTACGACTGAGTTCAGCCATTTTCCATTGTGGGTGAAACAATGGATGGAGTCGCCTCCAGGCGGGTGGGTTGGGCCACGGTAAGGAAGCTTAGTGATATGAACGAATGTCAATGAAATATGAGCTGAAAGTTCAGTCTAATTTACCGTTGCTGGTGGCGTTCCTTCACTCGTAAACCGAAAATGGAATACGACGACCCATAAAGTATTGCGTTTCTGATCGGCACTAGTACCACGAGGCGCTAGATCTTACACGACGGCAATACGTTATACACCAGGTAAAGTTCATCAAAACATACAGAGTAGTTGCTATGGATCAGCAGTTGTAGTATATAAGTTACTTGGTAGATACCCGTCCTAATTGCCTGCGTAAAGCCTTTGCTTGTCACGAGTCGGCATCTTATCAAATGAAAACCATGATTGCTCGCCTTATTATTTTCTCTGTCCTGGCAACTGCTAGCTTGGGCATCGAAACACGCCTTCATCGTCGGATAGATAGCAGCACACAGTCTGATGCATCTGGAACATTCATTGAAGGCGTGGTAAATGCTACGATTGCCATCATACCCATCCCGTTCTCCCTCGCCAGAAAAATTGTGCCATCGAAATATGGCATCATTCAGACTTATTTGGATTATCTGCCAGACTTTCATGGGAAATACCCTGTGAGTAGATTTACCATTTATAACCCTATGACCATGCCTGCAGGGCGACTAAAACTTAGCTATTTATGTCTAGTTGGTACTGGAATTTGCAGTAAACACCAATGTCGTTATTTCTGGGACAGCGTCCTCCAACTTTTCGTCTATGCGATTCACCTATCCGTTTATTGACCTATTAGGCAATGGGTATAGCACGTTCCGTTACGAAACGGACTGGATAGTAACGCCTCAGCCCGATATTATTGACGCCAGTACCTCATTCGGATTGAGAGTTACGGCTGCCGACTTTCGGCCAGATACCCCACAAGCTTATGAGCTTGTGTCCGACCCTGAGTGCAGAGGGGAGACATCCTACGATGCGTATGCTCATAACGGTACTGGTCCTTACGTCACATCACGACACTGCCCGCGAAATCCAAGTCACGAAAATAACTCCAGTCGTCAAGTCGCATTTTACAGGAATGCGACCACCCAACCAATCTTCGTCGACAGCAGCATCTGTGCGAATGTCACCAGATCTTTTGATGCTGAAATGGCACAGGATCATCGTTTCGTTGAGAGCGAGGTCATTATTTATGGCGATTTCCCAGCTCACGGTAAATGGGAGAAAGTCCGTGGTCTACAAGTTGCAACGCCGTTTACAGAAACTTATACAGACTGTTCCCTGCTGTATAATCTATAACTATCCGAGAGGCTTTCAACTGTGCTGGGAATTTGATACAACATATAAAGGCCCCAACTATATTTATTTAGACACTGTGTAAACTGCCCCTGTGAGATATACCGTTGCATAATACAGTTAATGTTGATAGTATTATTCTTGAAATAATGTCTTTAATCTCGGATATATTCTTGACCAGATTAGTAATTATGAATCGTGCTATGATATTCGCCAGCGTGATTGATAGTCTCTCGCAAACTACTCACTAACACATTCCACAGTTATTAAATCATAACTCTATGTAGCGATAAACCCTCTACCAAGACAACAACAATTTCTAATAGAAATCCAAAACTGTCAGTGACCTAATTTAGCCCGTTTATCGGAACGAATATAAATCAAACTTGTGCTCATTGTTTCCACATTGGAACCATATGTGGCTATCACCACTGCACGGAAGGCCCGAATCAATGGCCATTCAGTCAGTTCCACAACCTTTATCGCATCATGTCTTTATAATATGACGTCAAAGTACGGGGATGCCGAAGCAAATTGCGGATAGTCAAATTGTTACAACCATAACCTGCTATCGCAAGGCTTGGCAATAGCCACCGTATTCCTTTTTCGACATACGAGATGTGCCATTCGGTGTACTGCTGTAGGCTCCCAAAACCCACTTGAAAAAGCACATTATATGCCCGGTGATAATTCTTTTGAGCCGTTAAATCCGTCTGTAATGTCTAGAATGCTGGCCAGCGTATTTTTTGTTCCTGGACAGTCAAGGAGTAAAAGAAAAGTATATAGGACTGGCGACGGCTGTCCCAAAGCAAAAGGCCCAAGGGCATTCAAGTTTATACACGTCCAACTTTCCTCCTTCACAATTATTCGAGTATCGTCTGGTTTTCAAACATCTAGCTATGGCTGATACACTGCTTGTTACTGGAGCAAACGGCTATGTGGCTCTTCACTTTATCAAGGAAGCCATTGCCCTGGGATACAAAGTTGTAGGAACAGTTCGCTCTGTTGCGGCAGCCGACAAAATCAGGGCAATATTTCCCGATGTATCCTCACAGCTACAAATCGTCGAAGTTCACGATATTACCAAAGAGAACGACTTCGAAAAGGTCTTTGAGAAGTTCAAAATCGATGCTGTCATCAACACAGCGTCACCGCTAGTGAACAACCCGAAAGACGTCAAGGCCGACGTCCTGGATCCTGCGATCAAGAGTGGCGTGGCACTTCTTGAGGCTTCAGCCAAATATGCCGGGCCACAGCTGAGACGTGTCATCCATGTTGGATCCTTTGCGTCAACTCTCAACATATCGTTGGGCCTCGCTCCGGGGAAAACATATTCTCCTAGTGACTGGAATCCACTTACCTATGAGGAGGCTGCAAACGGTGGACAAACAACTGCGTACATGGGATCAAAGGCTTTGGCTGAAAAGCGTATGTGGGATTGGATGAAAGAAAATACACCCGCCTTCGATATGGTATCGGTGGATCCAGCGGCAATCTTTGGACCGCACGTCGGACCAGTTGATCTTGATCATTTGAACATATCAACCCAGATGATATGGGAGCTCGTCGCCCCATCGCCGCATCCGCCGCCGTACAATTCTGGCCACCTTGGAGTGTGGGTTGATGTCCGCGACGTCTCAGCGGCTTTGCTTGCGGCTGTGAAAATTCCAGAGGCAGGCGGTGAACGTTTCTTGGCTGCACAAAGATGCCACTGGCAACTTGTGAGGGATGAAGCAAGAAGGGTATTACCTGAGTTACAGAACCGGATTGATGCAGGCGAGCCAGGTGCTTGGAAAGCTGCGCAAGCTACCACATACAATGTTGATGGGAGTAAGGTGGAGAAAATTTTGGGAGTGCGATATAGGTCTCTGGGAGATTGTTTGAAGGATTCTTTTGAACAGCTTCTAGAAGTTGAGAAACTGAATAGCCGTGTATAATAATCCTTGTATCTAGATATTAGTAAAGGTATATTATACATTCTACTTTTTCATGTGTTAATTTCCTTGTTACTCTTCTTAGCCTGTGGCATTTCACTAGTTTTAATAATATTTCTATACTACAGGTAATAATACTCTGAGCCTCTTGTTATTTTATATGCTATCCTTAGTTTAATAACGCATCTGGGGATGCATTTTGTTCCCGGCAGGGCTTAAATCTACAACCTCCGCATTACTAAGGCCAGATTATGATATCTAGTATTATGTAGTGCAAATCTCTAACTAACTGAGCTACGGAAGCGCATCCGAGTTTTGGAAATTAGCGGACTCGAAGTCAGAGAAAGCTCCGGATTGTTAAATGGGGATAGTGTATCATCATCTATACGGGATATCAACCAAAATACTAGTCCAGAAGAGTGCTGCCTTCAATCATTGCAACAGTGACCGCCAAGTATGTCGCTCTGCTTTAAATAACATGACTAAAATCCCCTGAGAAGCGCTGTAAGTGCGGAGGATGTTGTTAATGCAGTCTTGTTAGTCGTCAAGAAGTGGTTGGAATTGGCGAGGGTGATGCCTTCACGCTTCAGCCCTTCAGGTCCCATGCAAGGCAGATAGAGCTACAGCAGAAACTTTTGGCTTATACAAGGAGTCTCCCCCAATAATGTAGATATCTCATTCTGTTTGCTAATGCCTATTGATACTATCAAGGAAGTATCTAAAACCTTTTTGAGAACCTGCCCAGTCCTGTCTTCTTCAACATACCTTTAACACCCTGTGCTGACTCGCTTGGATATTTCGGCTCTAAATTCGGACTTTGGGTCGACATCTCAGGATGTTTGAGAACCGAGTCCAGCTTCTCAATGGCCCAGGTTAGTCCTGCTTGCTTTGCGTAATCGATAGCCGACTTTCCAGCCTGATCCTTCGTGTCTGTAACGATACCCGAATCCAACAGATCATCCAGCGTCTTCTTCAAAGCACTGAGGTCACCGATCTCGGACAACGATTGCGCTTGGCTCAGCCTTTGCATATAGAGCACCAGAGCCGTCCTTCCAGCCTCGTCTTGTGCGTTTATATCAATCCTTTTCGATTCAACCAAAAGCTTTACATGCGTGAAGCAGCTGTTACCGTCCACAGCGGAGTGCAATGCCGTATAACCCATGGAATCTTTGCTTTTCGCCATTTCCCCGTTATCTGCGTACCACTTCAGCAGCTTCTTGACCGTCTCTTCTGTTCCCTTGACTCCCACCGCTATGTGAAGCGCGGTTTTATTTGTCGCAACTCCATGAAGGGTATCCGTAACGGATTTCCACATGCTAGCAGGTTTCATGATTGTGACGGCCTTGATAGCGGACACAACACTGGCATCTTTTACCCCGCGAACTACCGCCACCTTGTCGAGTGACGATGTTTCTTCGGGATCGCCCTTGTGTTGTAACAATACCTCCACTATTGCTTCGCCATTTGGAATTGCAACTGCCTTGTGGAGCGCCGATATACCGGAAAAGTTGGAAAAGTTTGGTTGTGCAGGCTTCTTGTGCGTCAACAACGCCTTCAAAATCTCCACGGATCCTCCTTGGACCGCATAGTGTAACGGAGTGTTTCCTCCAAATATCGTAGGCTCCCCTGGGTTCGCTCCTTTCTTCAGAAGGGCCTGAACAATGCGAAAGGAAGCGTTGCTAGACTTTGATGCAGCAAAATGTAAAGCAGTGCGCCCGGGTCGAATGATCCCAATCGTGTTAGAGTCCACTGCAGCACCATTATTGAGAAGCCACTCTACCACTTTCTCAGCTTCAGAGTCTGCAGCGATATGTAGAGCGCGCCACCCTTTGATGTCAGGCAGGTCGACGAGCTGTGAGCGGACCATTTCAAAAGATGATGCTCCAGCGGCAAGTACTCTCATGCCTGGAAGATTTATGAGTGATGTGATGGCACCCCCAGTGGAAATGAACTGTTCCGCCAGCGAGGTGAGATTGAGTCGAGCAGAAATGAAAAGCAGGCTGAGACTGTTTGAGCCGCCGGTGTCTGATGATCATTGAGAGAAAGGTTAGCCATCAATATATAGCCAGTGGTATAGATTCAAGGTGACCATACATTTACCTGCTGTGCAGCGTACCAGTAAATCATAACCTCGTACCCAATGCTGCATGGCTTGAGATTTAACCCCAAAGAACTCATCCCTTCCTTCTACGACTTGGGCGTCGTTACCAGCCTCTTCGCTCTCCCTAAGGTGAAGACCGAGAAACGTGATCGAATATTCGAGGAATTGATATTTCCCCAAGTATTGCTTTATTTCCTCCTCACGTTTCACTCTATCGATCATACCATTTTCATCAACTGGGGGTTCTGGTACAACAAGTGTACGGATTTCCTCCAAACTTAAATAAGCGAGACACGCTTCTGCTAATTGCTTATGCGTCTTAGCTATGCTGAGTTGCTCTTGTCCTTCTGAACTGTTGATTAATTGTTGGGTGAAGTCATTGACGGATGGGTGAGCAAAGTGAATTGTACTGTCATCATGAAGGACAAGTAGCGCTTTCAAGTTGCTGTCAAAAGACCTGCGGACGGCATCAGGGCTAAGAGATTTTCTCTTAATTGCTTCGATGGACTTTCCACCGTCTTGTAGCGCCCACGTCACCAAGACCTCGCTCAGTTGTAATGAGCGACCTGCCACATGTACCCATAGGAGCAGAGTTTGCATCCTCTTATCTAGATGTTCATAAATTGTTCCATAAATGGCCTGAACGTTGTATGGGATGCTTTGAAGCTTCTCTTTGATCTCATTGATATCCCATATGGTGCTGTTCCCTAAAGACTTTAACGCTAGAGAAAGCCATAAAAACATGCCCTCGGCACGTGTTGTCATGATCTCGACAACGTCAGAAATGAAGGATTCAGAGATTGCGTTGTTGAGACGTTGGAGGTGTTTCATGCGAGCCTGAGCCACAAGACGAATATCCTGTCTGTTTCTTTCGAAGAGATCCACCACTCGTGCGTCTTGCATCAGGCGGTTCAAGTCATTGGGTCTTGTGGAGAAGATCCAGCGAGGGGTGGCTTTTTTCCCACAGTAGCTTGAAACTCGGTTGACCAAGTACTCTAGATCCATAGCATCTTCTTGTTGCTGATACTGGCCATCAACAACCAAGTATAACTCGTTAACATTCGCATGGTCCGTAATCTGGCCCAAAAGCTTTGCTAGAGAGTCTATGGACTCGAACAAATCGAGGTTCAGAATCGGCTGGCCTTTGTTTCCCGATTCCTGCCAAAAGTCTGGATCTTTGGTATCGATTAAATCGCAGTTCTGTTTGAAGATTTCGTATAATAGAGTCCTCAAAATCCAGATGGGTTTCTGCCGACTTGGGTTTCTATCACAGAAACTGCCTGCAACAATGATCTTTCCACTTTTTTCCTCGGAAGTGATCCATTTGTTCTTCTCTCTGAGGATGAACCAAGACATAACACTTTTGCCACATCCAGAGCTTCCACTGATCCACAAGGGATGATTGGGAGATTCTTTAAGCCAGGCATGAAGTTCATTAATTATCCATGAACATGTTCCTGACTCAGGAGGCTCAATTGGAACTCCAATACTGGTATCACCCGCAACCAGAGCGTCGAGGAACTGCTCTTCGGGACTTTGGATCGACGAGCCGCCTGTGACTAACCTGTTAGACAAGTCATTGTATTGGACTGACAGAGATACTTTTCGTGACTTACCCATATAAACGGTGACTCCGTCGCCAAAAGTATTATTCATCGTGCTATTCACTGTTCCCATATTTTGACCCATTTGGAGGCCAGAATTGCGAGACTCGGAGAAATCGATCTGTGCGTGCATCTTTACTTCTGCCATTATGTACAATGTACGTAGCGGTATTGCTGAGGTCTAGGAATGAACTTGGAGTCAATTTGTGGGCTGAAAGCATGACATCCTTATTGTTTTTTCGTCTTGAATTTCCAGGGGCAGTTCGTGGGGCTACTCACCTGTGTGGCTGTGTGGAACAAGAAATTGTTATGTTTGTTGTCTGTATCTTTTGAGTTCTTGAGATATCCCAACAGTCTTAAGCATTGCAGTATTCGATTAAATACTTGAACTTGGGAGGGTATGTGAATATCAGCCTCTGAGTCGAAGAGCAGACTAGGTCCACTCTTCAGCCAGGACAAAAGCAATGAACCAGCTGAGATGCGGCTGTGAAGATACGTTGCACAGTGGGGGCCTGAACATGGATATTGGATGAATAAACCTGTCGTTTTATGACACGTTAAAGGCAATACCGAACCTCAATTTAACTTGCTGCAACCTAGATTAGGAGTAATTTCCTATACTAGAACCCCCAACAATGTTTCTACCTTTGAGAATGATGGAATCATCTCTGTATGGCTAGTCAATAATTCCGAGCCTTATTTTGACGTCATTTTATTGTTTTATTTGACGCCTTTTCAAAGCCTTGAAACATTGTGGCTTTTGCCAATAACATATCCAAGAGGACCAAGACACCAGCTGACCACATACATGCTTGCCTGATATCTTTACTAGGCCGTTTACTTTGTATTCCGGTACGTTGTTTCGTAGAGCTCTTGACTCAAGAAGTGAAAGAGTTCTATGGCGCTTCATATAGAGTTTTGGCAAATCAATATAGCATGATGCGTTGACAAATATTTCGTACAGTTTATTCAGGATATCAATGGTGTTACATCCCAGGCTTCAGATATTAACAGAACATAAAAAAATACACGTACACTAAACAACACGCGTAGCGAGTGGTCTAGTATTGTGGACGGCCAATGGCGAAGTGATCCCATTACATCGCGGTTGCCTACCTACCAACGGATCACCGAGCTGAACGTCGTCCAGAAATAGATATCGTGAGGCCTGCTGAGACAAGTGTGCGTGGGGTTGTCTCAGCCGTGCGTGGGGGGCGAACAGCTCAACGTCGAGAACAGCACCCAATAGGCCGACTCTACTGTATGAATGTAGGCCTGGATACCGATTGATCACCGAACTAGACATCTATTGGATAGATATGTCGCAAGGCACGGTAGCCTAGATGTCTATGCATGGGGTTCCTGGCCCTGGACATCAGTTTGTACAGGATTGGGTAGAGGCGAGCAAGAGGCGAGCAATGGCAACTAGATTTTGCAAGGGATCCTCAGCCGCACACATCCTGGTTAGACCACATCCGTACAGGCATAATCACAGCAACTGATCCTTCGTGTATCTCGCAATGAATGCCTTTTTTTGTTGTTGGTGAACCCCGCATGACCACCGTATCAGGCTCGGACACATTGTTCCTAGGGATGTTAACTCAGTAGTGCAACCAAAGAAGCGGAATAATGTCATAGTCGTACAACGAATACATGTAAGTATACCGACGGGCACTTATCAGAACTGTTTTTCATCGTATCGCAATTCTTTTATATACCTAGATCTCGCACTTTTCTACCAGCCACTCTCTATATCATCTTTCTCTGTACGCTTTTTACTCTACAACAGCACTTGATTATTGACCTTTAGCTGTCTCAACTTCATTTAAGCTGCAAAAATGTCTAACAATCCCTACATCGCTCAAAAGGACGCCGCCCAGTCCATAATCGCTCAGAAGGACACTACCCAGTCCTTCATTGCTCAGAAAAATGCTACCGAGCCCATTCAAGACGACGATACCGAGGACACTAGGATCATTCAAAACCCTGGAGAGGCCAAAATTGAGTAAGACAGGTCTCTCATCTTCTATGTCACATTTATAACTACATACACTAAGCTTGAACGCTTCAGCATCGTGTTTGTCCATGGCCTAATTGTCAAAGAAGCTTGGACATCCGACGGACGTGTTTTCTGGCCTGACAGACTCCTCGCATCAAAAGTCCCAGAAGCCCGTATCCTATCCTTTGAATATTCGGAGAAGATTAGTCCTATTTTCGAAGAGGGAACTCAGATTCCAGTCATTTCCGACCGGTTGCTCTCCGACTTAGTGGATCTCCGAAAGGGGACTGTAGGTACATATTCCATAAACGATCATATTATCATATTGACAAAAGAGACAGCAAACTCGACCTATAATTTTTGTTGCGCATTGTCTAGGCGGGGTGATTTTGGAGGACGTACGTATCTGACTGAATTATAATTCAGCTTTTGATACATCCGCTAACCTACTTATCTAGGCCATCGTGAGAGCATCTACTAGTCATGACCAAAGAGAAAAAGGGCTTGTTCCTTGTATTCGCGGCATTTTATTATTAGGTACACCGCACTTCAAAGAAGGGTTAGAAGAGGATGCCAAGAAATATTTCGAATATGCTAGAAGCCCGGAAAGTCCAGCCTTCAATGAACAATTACAGCCTCTAAAGCTGATTTGCCAGAACTTTGTCGATCTTCAAAAGACTAGTCAGGCCAAGTTCGAGATGGCGAGTTTCCGTGCTGGCAGAGGGAACGCGGTCAGCGAGGCGTTGGCTCAATGGTCGCAAAACTCACGGTCACGGGTGCTGGATCGCGACCAGCTACAATTGAGTCAGTACGAAAACGAAAAGAGTCGTGACTTTAAGCAGGTGGTGCGGACTATTACCTCTTGGTCGGAAGATGTCCAAGAGTCAGAGACTCGCCTTGCTGGGTCAGAATATGTGTCCCATGCGACTTTTGCTGGGTCGAAGAGTACTGGAATGCAAGTTGGGCAGAATACTTCTTCTATTTCGGGGCTCACCTTCAATGGTACGATTTCTTGACCTTAAAGGCGAACGAGGCTGCGGCCTGGAGTGAGAGGCCGAAGTTTTTCTAAAGCTAGGTTATCACAAACCTACAAGATACATATCGATTCATCGCCTACTTATACATCTAAATTCCAAAATATAGGTCCTCGCACGTAATTCCGTTTGTTTTTCTGCTAATATTTATTTGCCCGTACATAAGAAAAGTCGCAGCTGGTTTACCGAATACCAGTCTTCGGGTTACATACGTCTAGGTTAACAGTCTTTTCGGATGTTGGCTGGTACCAGTTGGGTATCCATTTGTAGAATAATTCTCCATTTCTTGCACTTTGAAGTAAATAATGTACCGAGTAGATTGAAAACATGCAGAGCCACCACACAAGGCCATCACTTGAATCGTTTTATTGCTTTAGGTCTCAGTGTTGCGTGATAAACTCTCCTCTTTCGGGTGCGTCGCATGTGTGCCAAAATTGGACTGCCAAAGGGACCACGTTTTCGACTCTCAAGTGCATAAACACGACAGTTGCATGCAGTTACCAAATCTAATAAGTTCCCCGCGCGGCGAGAGGCAAGGTTGGCAGTGGAAGTAGAACCGCAGCGTTGAAGCTCGTATTGGCAAGTACAAGAGCTCCTTCGATGTCACTGTTCTACATATCCCTTGCATGCCAAGAGACGAGGCTAGATGTGGGGTATAAAAATCGGAGTGAATATGAATGGACTACGATGTGCCTTATTACCGAGTCATACTCTGTATGCCTAAGTGTCCAAATAGCGGAATGCCTCCTTTCTTGTGGAGGAGAGTGTATTTCATGCCGGGCTAGGATGCTCTACTCCGTATCAAGACCAAGGGACGAAGCTAGACAAATCCCGTTCCATTCTCCTCCACAAGAAAGGCAATTTTAGGCGATGCAAAATCGAAGCTAAATACGGAAGTTACCCGTGCGGATGTTAGTATGACAACTAGTATTGAGTTGGGTAAAGGCGCAATATGCAGCCGGTGCTCCTTGCATGAATATTGAGACCACTTCTGGCGGCTTGTACATACTCGGTGGGAGCTTCTTTCTGGGATATTCAGCCTAACTTCAGCGACTTGCCGCTTTTTGGATAGGTACTTCAATAGGAATCTCCTTGGATAATGGTAGAAGTTAGACAGACATCACACGCTTTGAGAGTGTTCTTGTCTCCTGATGTCACACCCCCCATAGCTGATCGTTTATTGATGAGGAAAGCAGAGGAGACTCGACATTACAGTACATGATCTCTGACCTCGTCAATTAATTTTATCTCCATCATGATCTCAAACTCAGTCACTACCAATATGGTGAATAGTTTGCAGAAATTTGAATCATCCAAAAGATCAGTTTTACTCCTTCAAGCGGGCGTAATTACCAGCGGTTAAAATTGATACCGCTAATACTGCCCGAATTGTTCCCTATCTGTAAGCCACTGTTGTGGCTACCTGAGAATACCACACTGTTGGTATAGGTGGTGGTAGGCTTGATGGCTTTGGCAGCCGTGTCGCTCAGTAATTCGTCCTGGCCAGCCGCAATATCTCTTAATAGCAAAAGCATGCCTTTGTTCATATTCATCTCAGACACTTCTTCCTCGCATAGCCTGCGTTGTTCCTCTTGGATTCCCGGAAAGAGGTCAATCAGATCGTCCACCAGCTCGCTGATATCCTCAATCAGCCGCGAGAATTTTTTTTCCTCGTGAAGAGTCCATTCACTCTGCTCCAACTCCAGCTTGCCCTGCCGCTTCTCAACGAGATCTTGCATCTTCTGGTGAAGTAACGCCGAGACGCTGTCTAGCTCTTCAGCTGGATCCAGAGCTGGCGTAGCGGAAATTCCATTGCGTTTCTCAAACTTTTTTGAAGCCACTTTAGCATCTGCAAACAATTCTAAAATCTGATCTAGAAGACTGTGAACCTGCTCTCTATTTTTGAAGGCTAATTTTGTAGCCTGGAATGATTCCAAGCCGTCTGAGCTTACCAGTCCTGCAGAATGGCCCCAACGCGCCAATCTGAGGCGCACCACGTCGAATTTCAGCAAACTAACTCGAAAAGTCCTCCCAAAATTGGCTCCCATATGGACATATCCGAAACTTTGAACCGTGGTGCTGAATAATTGAGACTGTTCATTCAATTTTTCCAGCAAACCTCGTTGCATTTCTATCATGGCGTCTTGTTTTGATTTCAGCTCCGCGTTTTGTTCGATGATAGTTTCTGTGTCTAGCTTGATGGCCCTCATCCGCTCGTCGATGCTTTCATTCATGTGTTGGATAGAATCACTCAACATCTTCGCGCTCTGAAAAGTTGCGAGACCGACTGTCTGGTTCAGCTCATTCACAGCATCTTCCATGTCTCTAACTGCCGCCGAGAGATTTCTGTCAGATCCATCGATCAGATTACTGAACCATTTTTCTAGATGAAGCGTGGTCAGCCATCAAGCTCTCTACACAAGAAAGCGTCACCAGGGGAACCATTTACTGAGCCTTTTCTTCTCTGTATATTCCTGGGCAATGGAGCATATAGTCAGCATGCCAGAGAAGACACGAGCGACACAGAACTGTAGCGATTTTTGCTGCGGGATTCTATCTTCAATCATTGAGAGTTTGTCGAGAAATCGATAAGTAAAATCGAAAAACCTTATAATCTTATCATAATCGGCAGACATTGAGGTAAAAGACTAAGAAAGTTAACGAGATGTTTAGATGATTGTTTTCATGTTGGGCGTTGTACCTGCATAACCTGTCCAAAAGCCGTGGAAACCATGTTGGCTGGCATTGTAGAAGAAAAAGTCTGGAGAAGGTCAGCTTCTTTCGGATTAGATAGGAAATGCCCTATGTCCAAACCATACCGACGTGACACTTCCAGCCTCTTCGACAGTATTAGCCACCTTCTGAATTAGACTCAGATTGTCCTTGAATACATTTCGCACTCTATCTAGTTTCGATCTATCGTGTCGGAATTCTTGAAATCCATTTTCCATATCCTTCATCATTAACTGTATATTATTAGTAGGTTGTGTCCCTTGAAGACTCTTCCTGGTCTTTTTCTCGTAATCTGCAACTGCATTCCGCCATAGTTGAGTTAGGTTTGAAGCATGCTCTGTACCATTCCTGGTACTAGTAGCCATGCCTGTTAATGGAATGAGCTTGGAGCGAACGTGGTGTAAGTACCAAGCGCGGATATATGAATCGAGATTAGTGATGTACGTTTACCATTGAAGTGAAACACGTGTTGTCATTCTCGTAGCCGACCAATGCAATTTGGAGAGGGGACAAGCTGGGCCCAATTTTCGAATCAGGCTCCAACAATATGCAGGGCTGCGGCAACCCAACATCTCACAGCCTGTGAAACAGCACGAGCGGGGAAACTACATATAAACCACATAGTAGCTAATGAGAAAACAGCGAGTGCTTGACCTTAAAGGAACGACTCATGGCTGATAAAAATATAGCATGATTGATGAGAATGTAACACCAGATGTCTTGACAAATATAAGCAATGGGGGTCGAATATTCCTCACATATATCATGTGTCGACCTCGCGGTACGATCAATCGCCTGATATTTACATAGAATATATTTTACATTCTACTTTTATTATGTATCAATTTCCTTATTACTCTTCTTGGTCTGTAACATTTTACCAGTTTTTAGTAGTATATCTATGATGAAGATTACCATACCCTGAGCCTCTTGCTATTGTTATATTTAGCGTTAGCCCTAGCTTCACTGACAGCTAGTATTGGGAGAGGATGAAACATTGCTATAACAAGTTAATTACAAATGTTGAGCTGAAGAGCTGGAGCCGGAGTCTGCATTGAGTAGAGATAGGATGTTAATACCTGGATTGACGGTGACCTATACCACAGTCTAGCTCTTGACAGAAAAGCCAGACGCCTCCGCAATCCTATATAGAAGTCTATGAACCTTCAATGCTTCTTCAAAATTAGCAACCGCTGTTGTCTTGTTTGCAAAGCCCTCGAAAAGCCTAGCGGTATTGGTGCCCGGTGGTGCTACATCTCCAGTATATTTAGGTTCATCTAGGTCATCGTAATCTATATCTTGTGCCTCTCCCTCGCGTCCAATGACTATCCGAAGATGCTTTTTCTCCAGATCTATTTGCAGCATAGGTCCGTCCAAGGATAATTCAACCTCCCATTTGGTACCAGAGATAAGCCACTTGAGACCCTTCCCGTCTACGGTCTTATCCACCTTTCGAAAGGCGACGTTGGCAATGGCGCCAGTTTCGAGCTTGCCTTGGACGAAGAAGTGATCCGAGGTGGTCTTTTTACGTGCGGGATTAACAATAGTGCCAGAACTCGAGTCGATAGTTTTGACAGTGGGGTGCTGAATATCCAAGAGAGACTGGAGATTGGCAAAATCGCCTAGAACATAGGTGAAAGCATCCATGACTTGCCGCCTATCAGCTCTAAAGCCGCGAATTATCAGTTGAATCGCCGACTCACAGTGAGCAAACGCAATATGATACTCATTAGCGCCGCCATCAAAGTCCAGGTAAAAGTCTGCCTTTGCCATCCAGCTATCGATCGGGGCAAAGTTGAAACAACCCAAGGCTATGGTACTCGTCACTCGGCCAATAACTCCGGCTTCGATGAACTGTTTGACCTTCTTAATGATCGGGTCAGCTCGAAGTTGCAGACCAACAGCAGTCTTCACGTTCTCCTTCTCAGCCAGCTTGACCATCTCCTCGGCCTGCACAGAATTAACCGCAAGCGGCCATACGTATGCTTTAGTGGAGGGTGCTAACTTGTGGTGCTTGATAGACTTCTCTGCAGCCTCGACAGACGAATTGCAGAGTGCAACGATTTCATAGTGTGGTGAAAGGACGAAAGTAGGCAGGGCAGCAGAGACACCCCATGAACCTGGACCCAGTGCAATAATTAGAATAGCATAGTGAAGTATGAACTTGCAAATTTCCCTTGCCTTTCAGAACACCTTGTCATACGATGTGTGATAAATGTTTTTGTGCTTTAGAAGGCATACCGATATGCTTCGTTGAATCCGTTAAATGACGTCTGCCTGTCCGTGTTATACCCTTCCGATAATACATGTAGCCTCTATACCTATTACGACAGAGCTAGAAAACGTTGTAAACTCCGCATATCTAATAGTAACTATTATACACAATTACGCAAAGATATTACTTTTATGCTTCTTCAGCCTTCGTGTGATAGATGGGGCAAAACAAAAGGAACTGATAAGTCCATAGTTCTGGTCCACTTTTTACATTTAACTGCCCTATATAAATAGTTCCACTACCCCCCCAGATTTTGCTAACTCAACGTTTGCGCTCCCCATCATTGTCAAATCCGTCCATCAGTTGGCCGAGTGTCGCGACTATTGCGCCATGGAAGCTTCGGCTACCACGCGGTCACAGAAAAGCTCGACCAGAAACAAACAGGGGCGTTCCAGGCCACCTTTGTGTCCATATTGTCAGCGGTCCTTCTCACGTCTCGAGCACTTGCAGCGACACATCAGAAGCCGTAGGCCATTTTCTTGTGAAATATGCTCAAGATCCTTTGGTAGAAAGTTGGTTTACTTATCAACACCTTGTATTTAACCTAGTACTAATCATTATTTGACAGTGATCTGGTGATTCGTCATAAGCGACTTGTGCACACAACACAGTCTCTTCAAGAACAGGGGCAGTACGGGACTGGAGGCGACCCGAGACATATCTCATCAGAAAATGCCCTGATCCCAGATGAGAATACAAGAACTTCTGCTGGTGATCAGCCCTTGGCCACCTGGATGAATGGGACCTACGCGACGCCCAACAGCGCGCGAGAAGAAACTCTGAATGCAAGTGTAAATGTAAAACAGCTAGACTCTATTGCAGATGCTCTTATTCTGAAAGAGTTCACCTCCACAATCTCATGCAGCATGTGCTGAATAGTATTCTATCTAGGAGCCCGCATCTCTCCCATTGATGATCCAAGAGGGTGACCTAATGCAAAATTTCGCCACTTTCTTGGAAAGTATTGGGCTGTCTGAACAATGGGAATCTGAGGGACTTCCGTCTATGGAACAATGGATTTTCCCAACCGATTCTGTAGTCGCTCCCCAAGCAGGGTTAAAGGATGCAATGCCGAACGAATTCGATTCAGAAGACCACTCTCTTCAAAGCCATACTACTGAGGAAGCGCTATTCTCCAACTTTGGATCTCGCTTACCGTCTCTGCAGCTTGATGGAGGTGAGGTCGAAAACCGGCTTCAGAGTTCAGCAAACACAGTCAAATTTCACTCAATACACAACATAAGCGAGTCCCAGTATCGTTCCTTTTTGAACACTATTGACGGCTTTCACCGAGTTTTACCCAAGGGGTTCACATCTCCGTCTAAATATGCCTTATCTCGGTTCCTTCATGGTTTCATTGATGGTTTGAATGAGCATCTTCCGTTCATACATTCTCCGACGTTACACATAGAAAGTTGTAACCCGGCTCTTGTTCTGGCGATTGCTGCCTGTGGCTCTCAATACCGTTTCGAGACCAGTCAAGGCGTGCAACTGTTTTATGCAGCACGAGCCATTGTTTCGGAGACCATGAAACAAAAAGGCATCTGAATACAGGCTGGCTATACGACAGATTCAGCACAGTGTAACTCTCCTACGGCTACTTTCTTGTCAAGCTTTCCAGCCAGCGCTGCCGCTGAGGATAATTTTGACGAGACAATAGAGATAATGCAGACTCTTCTGTTGCTTATTATTTATGCAACTTGGGGAAACAACGGGAAAATAGCCCAAGAACTTGGATTCTTGGATAATATCCTCGCGTCTTTGGTTCGCGCGCACGGCCTCGACGAACCAACTCAGAGTTTTGACTTCATGGATGATTCAAATGACGTGAACTGGCATACATGGGTCAGCAGAGAGCTTAATCGGCGCACCAAATTTATTGCCTACTGTTCTCTGAACCTCCACTGCCTAATGTACAACACGCCTCCATTACTCTTAAACGCTGATCTTGGGCTTGATATGCCTTGCTCTTCTTCCCTCTGGTCGGCACAAAATGCGAATGGATGGCGTTCAGCATACGAATCGGTGGGGAGGAAATCCAATATCGCTTTCCAAAAGTCATTTGCTTCCCTTTTTAGCAAGGGAGACGTTTCTGCTACTGACGAGACACCATCGACTGCTCTTGGAAACCATATTCTTTTACATGCCTTATTCCAGCAGCTTTACTTCGCCCGTCAACTGTGTCTATTTCCATTAGATCGCGATCTTCAGGCATGCGGTATAACAGGATTAGATGCAGTCCTTCGCACCTGGAAGTCTCGCTGGAAAGACACCCCAGAGTCGAGTACCGACCCGCGTAACCCAGCTGGTCCAATCGCATTCACTTCGGCCGCTTTGCTCGGTCAGATTTACGTGCGCATACAAATTGATCTGGGACCCCATTGCGCTCTTATGACAAGAGATCCTTCAGCAATTGCCCGAGCGCTGGTTAATGCACCACAAACTATTGTACGAGGCCCGGGGCTCATTACCGCACTTCTCCACGCGGTTCACGCCCTATCCATTCCCGTACAGCTCGGTATTGACTTTGTGGCGAGGACTCATTCATTTTATTGGAGTGTACAACACTGTTTGGCCGCTGTAGAGTATGCCCATCTGCTGACAAGGTGGCTCTTCCTGGACCGACAGAGCCGTCTCAGCATGAAAGAATGCTATTTTGTGGATCACACGATCATTGGACGAAACTGAACCTGGTATGAGAGTTCCCATGGAAAATCGGCTGAATTCGATACAGGATCTTGACACTGGAAGGCGTTTGAGCATCTCCATCATCCGGGTTTGGGCTAAAATCTTTAATGGTAATACATCGTGGGAAATCGTGGATGTCGTCAGTGCGAGCTTGAAAACATATGCTGATCTGCTGGAACAAAGCTGGAGCCCAATATTACATTTGCGGGGCCAGATCGCGGTTCATGGTTGTCGTGATACAATGATGAAATATTCAGCTTTGACCGAAATCACCTTAAGCATTATTTCATGCTTGATGGACTAACTAAGTAGCAATACATAAATTCGGTGACTTAATAGACTGTAAGACACGTTATTTGTCATATAGATCTCGTCAGATCTAATAACAGCAGTAGTAGAGTCATTCAATAGCTATCTTTTGAGGCTGATATCCGTCTTACTCCATAATCTGTAAGTCTAATCACTTGTTTAAGAGAGGGATCTTTCTCCAGAGATACTCAGAGGTGATCCGGTCTTTCTTCCTGGACCCTACTCCTGCACCCCGCCTCCACTTATATATCCCTGTAATATTCATTACCATCAGCTTTCAAGAACCCCTCACCATAAGCAACCGTTCTCGAACAATCTACGCTCATTCCCTCGTCATCAGCGTGAGACTTCCCCTCATCGTTCTTCACTGCCGTGATGCGGGGGGAAGGCAGGTGACATGTATGAGAAGTTGGGGGTGCGGGGCAATAAGAATGACACGGCTGTAAGATATACCGTCCAAATCATTTTCTTTTCATAAAAGTGATGAAGAGTGCGTTTAATAGCCAACGGCCGACATACAATACTTGAGTTCCGTGGGTTCACAGTTTCGGAATATAAGCCAATCACTAACTCGGATTACGTACAACGACATCAATCACCATGTCTACAATGAAAGCATTGAACTATGTCGGACCCTACACGGTCAAGGTGGAAGATGTTGAGAAACCCAGACTAGAACACCCCGACGATATTATTGTCAAGGTTACCACTGTTAGTGATCAATTCACACCAAACCACCCCGCATCATCAATGTGCTTAATAACTTCCAGGCAGCAATCTGTGGCTCGGATCTCCAGTGAGTACATGGAGGGAGTCTATAATGCCCAAAGAAAGAGACAAGCTCATAATTTCATAGCATGTACGAAGGTCGGACGTCTGCTGAGCCAGGGATTACATTTGGTAGGAAGACATTATATTGCGGCGTGGATGAGGAAAAATAAAACGATGGAAGCTAAAGCGAAAAGGTCACGAAAACATGGGAATCGTCGAAGAGCTAGGCAAAGGTGTCACATTGCTCAAGAAAGGAGATCGTGTTGTGATGCCATTCAATGTCGCTGATGGCCGTTGCCGCAACTGCGAGGAGGGAAAGACGGCGTTTTGCACTGGAGTCAACCCCGGATTTGCCGGTGGCGCATACGGTAGGATGTTGAAGATTATATTATGGCTTCTTCTACTAAACTTGCCGCAGGTTATGTCGCCATGGGCCCTTATCCTGGGGGTAAGTGTTTCTGAAATGCTATATGGGCGTAGCAATGAAGGTTCTGACGATGTTATCAAGGCCAGGCACAGTACATTCGCATTCCATACGCAGACTTTAATGCTCTCAAACTGCCCCCAGGCAAAGAGCACGAAGCCGACTTTGTGCTTCTTGCAGGTAGCTAAGGAATCTAGCAGTCTTTTGACGGCGATTGATGCTAACAAGTTGACACAGACATCTTTCCCACCGGTATGTCATTGTATTATTCCCGTTCAGCAAACCTATTTATCTAATGTTCTGCATCCAGGCTGGCACGGCGTCGAAATATCCGGATTCCAGCCAGGTGAAAGCATCGCCATATTCGGTGCCGGTCCTGTCGGTTTGATGGCTGCTTATTCGGCTACTCTGCGCGGAGCCTCCAATGTTTACGTTGTAGACCGAGTCCCTGAACGTCTAGCGGTCGCCAAAAGCATCAACTGTATTCCCATCGACTTTACCGCGGGAGATGCAGTTGACCAGGTTATTGCCCACAATGGAGGGATGGTGGACCGATCAGTCGACGCTGTTGGATACCAAGCTGTTGACCCGAATGGATCCTCAGAAAGACCAAACATCATTATTGAGAATATGATTCGAGTGACACGAGCATGTGGCGGGCTCGGAATTCCAGGGCTTTACGTCCCCAGGTATGAGATCCATTCTTGCAATTGTATTCAATGCGCCGACTAATTATTGGTATTCCCTGCCGATAGCGACCCTGGCGCGCCTGATTCGAACTCGGCAAAGGGTATCATCAGCCTCAGCTTTGGAAAATTGTTTGAGAAGGTAAGGAAGAGTTCTTTATAAGTGCATAGTACGCACTCTTCACACAGTATCCTAACTGCTTGCTTCAGGGCCTGTCGCTTAGCACTGGCCAGTGCAATGTGAAGAAATATAACCGGTACCTACGAGACATGATTATCGCCGGCAAAGCAAAGCCTAGTTTTGTCATCTCGCACGAGATTGACCTCGGTGATGCGGAGGTTGCATACGAAAAATTTGATCGGAGGGAAGGGGGATACACCAAAGTGATTATTCACCCAAACGGAGGCTTTTGATGGCTCAGTGTAAAGCAAATCGTACGCCTTCTGAGAATACATGTAGCTTTTGAAGAAAATTGGCAGTTCTATATCAAGTAAGTCGAAATGTGATATACAGACTATTATTTTACGTCTCTGCATTACAGAGGGGCAGAGTTCATTATTAGCCACCGGATAAAAATACATCAGAGTCTAATACTAGCAAACATTCCTCTCCATCATACAGGTTGTTCAATTGATTGCCGCATCTATTATATATATTCTTACTAGAGTAACGTCGAATGTGATTTGGCGAATAACTTTTTCATAGTACCAAGGCATGATCAAGGCCTGAATCCGCGATTTTACTCTTGGGTAGAAATACCCAATGCTCAAAGACGACAATAAGATGTCAGCGAACAGCACGACTACAATCTACGCTAAGAGGGCTTGAGCCTGAGACGACACCGATGGAGACATCTAGTCTTTTCGATACTGATATAGCATAAATCACATTTGCTCGGTCTGAATAAGTCAAGTTAGCAAACTCAACATCCAGGACTTTGAACATTGTACTACCGTAGATCATGCATAACCGACCAGCACCCGAGAGGCCATCTCAACGACCTCTTAGTGCTACGGGCTATTGGAAGCGGCGGCGGGACGGTGAGGGGGATTGAGAAAAGCGGCGGCGGACCTCCGCAGTCCGTTGCCACTTGTAATTGATGATTTCTTCTCGGCTCCGGCTACCATCATAGGTAGATTGGTATGAGAACGCGCCTAGCGAGAACCTTGCTGTTGTCACGTTTAGTCGCAGATGCTTAGCCTCGGTTAAGAGTCAATTGAATCGTGGTAATGACGTCCATATGTAAAGAAAACAATATGCTCTTATTATAGGCCTTTCACCCTGCTTTTCGTAGTAAATGGCTACATGTATCTGAAATTCTCCACGCGCATGGAGTAAGCCTTGTTACCCTCAAGACGTCTAGCTCTTGTCAACCCTCCTATTGAATATTTCTCCGGTATCCAGATAAAGCCTATTTCTATCGCCTTTTAAGCTGTCCAAATTGAGAAATTGAATATTAGCCATCTATTTTTATACGAAGCCACCTGATCGATACAACAAGCAGCCGTTTCTTGAAAGGAGCATCAAAGCTAAGCGAGAACGAACATGAACTCTTCTAGGTTATTCCTTCGGAGTAGAGCCCCAGCCAGCTTCTTACATCGGAGTTTAGTCTACAGTCAAACAATATCAAGGGCTATCCATCAGACAAACATCTCACCTTCTGGTAAGAGCGAGAAGGTGGAATCTTCATCAAGCTCACATCATGGCTCTTCAAAGTTTGTCAAAGTAGCAGCTTGCTTTGCGATTGTCGGAGCTGGTGTGGGTGCATATAGCGTCTTTGCCAAATCTAATACCCCGGAGAAGCCCACATACGGATCCAATGAAGATTTCAAAAAGGTACCAACTCGTTTGCCTTCATTTCTTCGTCTTACGGCTACTAAATTTCTTCTCTTAGGCAGTGAGGGAGATTCAAGAAAAACTCGGTGATGATCAGATCAGCACGGATGAAAGTGATTTGCAGCAGCATGGCTATTCAGAGTGGTCCTCTGTCAACGCCGAACGTCTTCCAATGGCGATCGCATATCCAAGATCTACTGAAGACGTCTCTGAGATTGCTAAGATTTGCCACAAGTATAGGCTTCCTATGAATCCATATTCTGGCGGATCAAGTCTTGAAGCCAATTTTTCGGCTCCCCACGGCGGAGTAACAATTGACTTCTTGGCTATGGATCAGGTCATTGCGTTGCACGAAAAGGACATGGATGTTGTTGTTCAGCCGTCCATTCAATGGACAGAACTCAACCAGAGACTTCAGCATACGAATCTTTTCTTCCCAGTTGATCCTGGCCCGTCAGCCAAGATTGGAGGCATGGTGGGAACAAATTGCAGCGGGACAAATGCGATGCACTACGGTACTATGAAGGATTGGGTCATCAACCTGACGGTCGTCCTTGCAGATGGCCGCATAATCAAGACACGCCGCCGCCCACGAAAGACGTCTGCAGGTTATAATCTAACAGGATTGTTCGTTGGATCCGAGGGCACATTGGGTATGGTGACTGAGATTACATTGAAACTGTGCCCCATACCCGAAAATACACGAGTTGGAGTGGTCACATTCAGTGACATAGGAAAGGCTGCCACCGCGGCATCGAAGATTATTCGACGAGGAATTCCAGTGCAGTGCATGGAGCTTATGGATGACGTGCAAATGAGCGTCGTAAATCGTGCAGGGGGGACTTCGAGGGTTTGGAAAGAATTGCCGACGCTCTTCTTTAAATTCTCAGGCACAAAGGGACAGGTTGCGGACAGCATCAACCAGACAAAAGAGACAATTCAGCCGTTTGCAGAAACATTTGAGTTTGCAAAAGACGAAGATGAGGCTCATACACTGTGGTCGGCACGCAAGGAAGCCCTGTGGAGCATGATTGCCCTGGGCGATGAAGGCTCGAGTGTATGGACCACAGATGTTGCAGTACCCATATCAAGTTTAAGGGAAATAATCGGTGAGTCGGAGTTTATTGCACTTTTTTCTGGCGCCAAGGTAGAAGATACTAATAAGCATAGAAACGTCAAAGAAAGAGATTGATGACCTGGGGGTTTTCGCCGGGGTTATCGGTCATATTGGCGATGGAAACTTCCATGGCTTCATTCTACATAACAGAAATGATGCGGATGAACAGAAAAGGGTTGAGCAGTGCGTTCATAACATGGTAGAGCGTGCTCTGGAAATGGATGGATCATGCACAGTAAGTTTCCACGCTGTATAGCTCTGAGAGACTACTAATATGATACGGCAATCTAGGGCGAGCATGGAATTGGCTTGGGTAAAAAAGATTTCCTGCTTCGAGAACTGGGTTATGATACCGTAGAGGTAATGCGGAATATCAAGCTTGCGCTTGATCCGCATTGGTTGTTAAACCCCGGAAAGATTTTCGACTTCAAGAATTAAACATATTCCGCTGCATAAAACGTTGTAATAATTAGACGCTTCCCCATGGTATTTATATCTTTACCAGGGTATTAATTAAAGGATTTTGAATATAGTAAAAGTCGTCTAGTCCTGGTACGCATTCATGTAACAAGTTGGGCTCCAATGATAATGTTTTTAAAGAATAAAGCAACGTCGCTCAGAAAATTGCAACCCAGTGGCAAAAAAAGGAAGGTTTCTAAATTGTATCATTTATACTTTAAGAAAATCCTGGGATAGTGATATATGCTGAGCTAACTTTATCAAGTATTAAGTCTTGTACTTCCCCCATCTCCTCAGAAATCTTTTCCTCAATTGTTTCCGTTAAAGTATCCGTCAAAGTGTCCTTCAAATCATACAATTGGCGTTGAACCTCTTGTTTATGAGTCAATAGCATCTCTTCAACCTCTCGTTTAATCTCTTGTTTAAAAGTAGATTCCTTCTCATCGAGCGTGCACAAGAAGGCGGAAAGCATCTCTTCTGGCTTGCGTTTATCATCAGCAACGAACTTCGCGCCCGAACCATCTCCAAAGAGTGTTTGATTAGCAGCATCATCCTGGAGACTTTGTCCAATGGTAGAGCTGTCCTCAGATTTTCTTCTCTTAGCTAAAAAGAAATAATTAACGACTGAATCGACACGGGGGGAAACCCATGTGAACTACGACTTACTTGACTGTGCAAGAGGAACATCTAATTCTCTCGCTTTTCTCTTGGCTAAAGTAACTGCTTAGCACCTAAATAGGTCTGAATAAACAGACACTCGAGATGTTTTACTTACTAGAACATGAAAGAGGAACACTTGGGTCTCTCTCTTCATAAGCTGGGGGCCGTAAACTAGCAGCGTCTTCCTCATGAATAACAGATTCAAGCAAGCTTTCGCCTTCAATCATTACCGCCTTCTCTCCAGAGCCTTGGTATAGATTTCTCCAGTTTGAGAGTGACGCAATAGAGCTGAGCTTGTGATGTGTGATCATTGTACAAATTTCCCCCAATAGCCTTGGTGAAAGTTTGCTCCGTGGTAAATCTGTATCAATAGTGAAGGATAATTGCTGGACGAGACTGCGAAGAGAACTAATTACGCCCTCCGCTTGCTGTGTAAAGCCGAATTGAGGTTCAGGGAGAATGAGAGCTGATGGTCTATTAAGGGAGAATGTCAAGGATATAGGGGAATGAAAGTTTCCATAGGTAGGTTTCGCTTTAAAAACAAGCTTCTGTATTCGTTCTGGATAAATGAGAATATAGGCCTTCCGATTAGTAACTGGTTCACCGGCAGCTTGGTTAAGGGATATGCGTGTGTAGAGTTTAAACAATGCTTTCTGCTTGTCCCAATGTATATCCAAGTTCATACGAGACATTTTCAGCTCAGAGTGCCAGCAGGCATCTGCAGGTATTTTCGTCACATTGACATTGGTGGTCCATGTCGGTTGGAAATCATAATATCGCTGTTCGGATGCTCCTCCGCTCTCGTCTGAAACGCTTCTGTCATCTGATCTCCAATTGTTCACATCCAGGTCATAACCTTCCTGTATGGATAAGTTTGATGACAGAGGAGCATTAACTGTTTCAGTTTTATTTGAGACGCCGTTGTCATCCTGTTCCAAATCGCCAACGTCCAAGTCATAATATTCCTGTGCGGATGAGTTTGGCGACAAATTGAGGGCATTAGCTGGGGCCGAAACGCTCTTTTTGTCATCTGACCGCGAAATATTAAAATCCAATTCGTCTGGGTATTGAGTATTTGGGTTTGTTGCAGTCACTGATTCTACCGAGGCAGATGAGCGGGATAGAGAGTCAGACATATCGACATATAACGGATACCACTATGGAGTAATATTCATACTATAGAGACACAAGGAATGATGACCTTGAGAGCCCAGTGCCCACCCGCCCAGGCTTTTACACAGAGCAGCCTTGGCTCTTATATCGTACGCGGAGATTCGAGGTGGTGTTAGGACAAACTACTAAGTAGGCTGCTACTACAGTCGTAGCGTGTCTTTGTGATCCTATCCAGTCACGTTACGACCCGATTCCAACATAGCCTGAAGCCGACACCCAAGTCTTTCGCCGGCTTACATCCGACGAGAAGAACCTGTATAGCGTGGCGCCGGTCGGCCAAGTCGGTCGTGTCGTCGTGACTGTGAACAAGTGCCACAAAGACACTCCAATGAGATGCAGCAGGCTACTTTTGAGTAGAGAGATGAATAGACGGCGCAAAAAGCAGGGAAATGGATGATGGATGGATGGATAACGTAGGAAAGAAGGGGACTGAAACACTCGGGGGGCCAGCAGGAGGTTCTCCGTACGCTCCATGGAAATGCCGCACTACTGCCTAGAATGCTAGAGCAGGGCTACAGTACATACATATATAGCGATTGGCTTTAGTAGTGATTTAGGCTAAAGGGGAAGAGGCGGGGCTTAGGTACCCTTGTCGAGAGTACCGTAATTGATCACATCCCCCAACTGCGACTCGGAGACAACGGTATCCTCATCTCTGAATCTGTCTGACAAAGAATGACGTTCTCTTCCATTTATGTAGAGTCATGTCTATAGAACTAACCAAACACCAGAAAATATAATACATAAACGCTTAACAAGATATGGGCTCCGACGCCGGCCCACCACAAAAAGCAAAATCTATCAGTTACATGTAGTATTGCTGTCGTGCGTTCCTTTTGACTATTCGCAGCCAAAGTCGAGAGTTAGCCGAGGATGTCGTTAGGCTTAACAATATGCGTGAAATCCGGGTCATGGTTTGGCATAAAGACGCTTGCCATGCCCTCCTCAAGAATTTCTTAGTATGTATACTTTCTGGTAACTATCATGTTCAGTTTCAAAGAATTGAGGTCGGAACAGTTTCCTACCACGAGACTCTTTTCGAAACCTAGGAGAGTCCGATTGGCCGTCTTTGAGCCCTTACGTAGAACTTAATCGGTAACTGGCTCAGGCTGCCCATTGAAGGGTACTAATATACAAGTTTAAGAGGTCTTAAAATTCAATATGCCGCCGATCTTGTATGCGCTTACCCGCTGCAAGAGAAAAGGCCACCTCGCATTAGTCGTCAATAGCTTAAGGCAGCCGTTAAAGAAGGCTGCTTTTGATGTTTCGTAAAAGATTCAGGAACGATGACGGTCAGATTGTTGAAAAGCAACAAGGTTAAGTGCCCAGGGGCTATTGAGGTTTAAATTTCAACACAGATAAATTGTGAAACAAACTGTATGATATGCTAGAGACTTGACAAGCCACAGTCATGATTATCGATGCACTAGACTCATAGCTACCAAGGGAAGAGTTGTCTGTCAATATGTGACGGCAGATGCCTTCCTACATAACCGATTGATGGAAACCAATATAAGAACAACTACAATACAAATGACATCAATTTTTTACATAGAATATGGACATCTCCTCACAGCCCACAGTAGTCGTACTGACCTTGTATAGAGCGTGCGACTCGGCTGCATGCGTCGGTAACAAAGAGCCCACCAGATTCTCCATTCCAGTCCTCGGCCGAAGACGTACAGAGAAGCGGTTGAAGCACTTTGGGTGAATTAACGCGGAGATCAATTCCCAACAACACCTTCAGTATTCACTCTGGCATTCGCCCTTAGGTTGTCTTGGGAAGCCTACAACCCGCTTTAACACGCCAGCATCCATGTGAAAGCCACATCGATTGTGCAATTTAATTCCAGTTATAAATCGATATCCGGCATTCGAAACGTCCAGAATAAAACACAGAGCCACACCCCCGGCAGCATCAACTTCCACTTGTCAAAAGTCTTTTCACCTTCAATCCGCCGCTTACAAGCTTTACCGACTCCTACACATCACTCATAATGAGCTACTGCTCAAGTGACACAACCGAGGCGACTTCTTCGATGGCATACACCCCGAGAGGCGACTCCAGCGCGATCGGAGATCTCAGTCTCCGGGATAACCCCTCAGACGCAGCTCCCTGGCCCGGCAATACGTATATTATTCAGCACAGAGATTCCAAGCAATCAATTACGCCGTGTAATGGAATCCCTGTATGTAAGGCTAGCAGTACCGACAGAAGTACCCACTGGCTCTGCGTCGAATCCGGTGGCTATTTCGGATTCCTCAATAAAAAACAGAACATATATCTAAGTTTTCAGAATGGTATCATACAGGCGGCATCTGACTTCGGCTCCAGGGAACTTTTTCTGCCCATAAGGCATCCAAGGGGAGGATATATATTGATGGTGCCATATGGCAGCGACAAGCTGAAGCAGGTGGCGATTCTCAGTGGTTCTACAGCACTTATTGCTCGGCAGCATGGTGGAAGCATTTGGGAGCTTGTTCAAGTTTCAGAATCGGATTGAGATAGTACACCATCAATGTTTGTATTCCAGGAGCATTTTCTCATCTAATAGGTGCGGGGAAAATGAATTCTATAAACAGCTAGTTTGAGCAAAACGTCAGTTCAGTCACTTCTGTTGAGTTTCAACACCATGCTACCGTCTTATTCCTCATTGTAAATCTAATAGTATCAATCTTCGTGTTATCATCTCCTATATGCCCTCCAAGAGGGGCAGTATTTGTCAAGTAACATACTCTGCGGCTGGCAAACTCATAGGTCCTCTAACTTGTTGAACGTCGTCGTCAACTGCCTCCTTACAACTCCATTACTCTTCCAGTGGGTTTTATATACACACATATACGTAATAGAAAGTGTCACCTATGAAGTCCAACAACTTAATGCCTATCGTCAAGACAGATCATACATCGTCACTTGTCAGGCACACTCTTACTCTAAACAGTCCGAAATCGCAATGCAAGGGTAAAATCGCCACTTACTCTTACCTACTAGATACTTTGAGTATGCATGAAAATCACCAACTATCACCAAGGGGCATCATGCCGTTTCTGTTTCCCTCGATACACTATCATCTAAATCTCAGCAGTCCGGATAAATGGGAAGGGGGATCACGTCCGCAGCCTTTTCACGACATGACCACCCAACAAAGATGAGCGTTGGTACCCCTAGGTGTGTCATTCAGAGAAATCAAGCCAGGTTCCGTCGCCACTTCTCTTCCTTTGCGCGTCAAATTCTCTCAGTCCTTCCCCCTTAGCCTAAGAAGCGCAGGAAGGACTGGGCTAAGACGGATACACCCAATTCGTTCTGTTAATCCAGCTACCTGTAACGATACTAAGTCATACTGCTGTCGTATCTGAGACATTCAAGTCGTTAATTAGGTATTCTATTTGTGTGTCTTATGTTGAGTAGTTATTGGACTGTATACCGAGGATGGTTGCGTTTCTACATCGTTTGCATGCATCCCAGTCACAATAGACGCCCCAAGCGGGCTCGTGTTGATCACCAATCTTCCATATATTGCATCCTTCCAACCCCTTTCGGACTTCAATAGTAGCTAGGAATGTCGTATCGAAGACGATGACAGGCCATATTCGGCAAACGGACCGGCACGCCAAACTATCGCCTGATGTAGATGCCAAGATGCAGTTCTTCAAGCCTTGCGTCTGTCTCCCCCTGGCCAAGCAAACCATCGATCGCCACTGCGCCAATTTCTCAGAGGCACATTAGCCTCTCATACAAATCACAACCCGTCATGGATCTCAACTTTCCGTCTCCATAAAGATGCGGCTCCAAAATGCCCTCGAATGCCATAGTTCGACAGGAAAGTGAGCTTGAGCTGCGGTAAGCGAACTACAAGTCCTGATGCGTAACGAGGCCCGTCGACGGCTGATGGTTCCTGGCTACCGCATTGATCCCAGAGGTTCTTCTGCGCTCTTACAGGGTTCCTAGTCTCTTTTGATCGCGCTTGAGAAGCAGGGCTGAACGAATGCAATTCCGTCTCGATACACGGGAAAAGTTCTTGTCAAGGTATCATGTTTATTGCTGCTTACTTGCTTGGGCAATCTGCAGTCTCGTATATGCTGTCTACTACTTGGATACTCTGCTGACCCTAATCACCATAATATGTCACTCTCTACCAGGTCTGTCAGTGCTGCCCATCTCTCCGATCGCTCAGTTAGCATCTGTGCGCTCACAGTTCGGACCGATATTGGCGACAAAATCATCGGGCTTGGTGGTCTGTTTACTGGTCTTGGAGATGATGGTAAGCCGCAAGAGCCGTACGTAGGTGGGGGTTTGGCCTCTCGAAGCGGTCTTTGAGTGGAAGGAGAAAATTTCTGTCGAATATTCGGATCGTAGCGGTGATGGACGGCATGGCTAAATGATGTTTGTAATGGTGGAAGAGGTAGGCCCCGGCGCTTTCGGTATCGAGAAGATGTTGCGCCCCATGATGGCCCAAAAGCGGCACCAGGGTGTGCGGCCGTCAAGAGGAGACAGGCGAGGAATGGGACCAGTCCGTTCATAATCATGAAAGCGGGCTCGCTCTGGAACAGCGTACCACTCAGACCACCAATCATCTCGAATATCCGATATATCGTCTGTGCAAAGAGTAGAAGAGATGCTACCTCCATGCCTACACCATGTCAACAGGTATTCAATCTTGCCCAGGAGAACAAGTTGAGCAGCGCTTACAACGAAGAAATCTGGAAAATCGTGTAGAATAATAGATGTCTGCATGTGTCGGATCCGGGGCTTCATCACTCAGGAACAAGCCTGTAGTGAAACAGACATACACGCCCATGATAGCAAACAACGAGAGAGCTTGGGCACCCAACCCTCCGGCAATTATATCGGCACTCCTGTCACGCTTTTCCTCTCGTCAGCTAACAGCCTTGGCATAATAAAGGGATCTAAGACATACGCTCACGCCTCCATATCCGTAGGCAACAAACACAGTGCCCACGATGTCGAGTATAAGGCTCACTATGAAGAGACCAAACAGGAAGGATGTGGTAAGAATAGATTGGCATCTGTCATGACCCTGCCCATAGATGACCAGTAAATGTGGCAATATACTTGTCATGGCACCAGACATAAAGACTGGTCCTAGGGTGCTCCCCAAGAGCGTAAGGGCAAAGTAACCTTGGCGGTCCCGCGATTCATGCAAGAGAACTCTTCCTAGAAAGCCGAAGACCTCGAAAGATAGTCCAGTTGCCATCAAGGCAGAGAAGCCCGGGGTCCGGAAGCGGTATCCCAGATAATAGGTGACTGGGGTCAAGAAAGCAAAGACGGCGAGGAGGATTGCACTGCCTCCAAGGTTGAGATCATTTGCAAAGAAACCATTCTCGGTAGGACATGTTGAGCCACAGGTACTTGCCATGGTGAAGAAGGATGGTCTGGCTTGGTCACATCGAATACTCTATGGCCATGAGAGGTAAATCTCCTGAAGGGGGAATGGGTTGGGGAGCCTCTCTGTATTTAATAGTGAAGCCATGTCGCAGCAGATGCCTCAGAGGTGGGCTGTGGATCGGCAATAACAGCCCAATATAGTAGCCCCCATGAGATCCTGCTTGATAGAAGGTTTACAAGTTGCGGCTTGCCTAGAGTGTCGCTCAAGCAGGGGACATGATGGCTTCCTCTCCACCATCTAGTCTACTTGGGGAGCGGAAGGGCATCACGACAGCAAGAGGGGATTCAGTGTCAGAGCCTGTTCAGGTAAACTACCGAGCCGTGCGATTCCACAAATGTAATCCGCGGTTGGTCGACACCCGTGTAGAACACTAGTCGACTTGTCCATGAGTTCGTCGGGTTGTACCAGCAGACCCGTACAGATCAAGAGACAGCCCATGTAACAGAGAAGGCGAGAGCACCATATCCGGCAGTCTGGTTCGGCCGGGGCCTCTGAAGACAAGGAAACCAGCGTCGAGCCAGTCATGGGGGCCAAATCTGCCATTCAGCAGCTAACCACCGGTCAAAAGCCGCGAGGCATGCACACCATCTCGAAACGAAAGTGTGACGTTGACCATGTCAAGCTATACAACTTCCTGATTGCGACTGGTGATACACCTGCCTATCCGTTGCGCATTTGTTCGTTGATAGACGTCCCGTCATGTGATTTCGAAGGAGGAAATATTCAACAAGTACGTCGAACGAATCTCTAGGCTGGCTTACATGTTCTGTGCTTGAACGGCTGGGCTGTATCAAATGGGGTATGTCCATGAATCCTTCTGGAGGCGGGGTTACCAGGATGAACGAGAAGGCTGTCCAAATCCAACATCAGTTACGACAGTAAGTAGAGGGGGGGGGGGGGGGGGGGGGGGGGGGGGGGGGGGGGGGGGGGGGGGGGGGGG